AATTAATCATTGTAAACTAATGACGACTGTTGTTTGTGGAAATTAATAATGGTGAAGAAAAAAGGGCTGTGAATGATATTCAATCTGTTCTTTTAGATGGAGTCAATTGAGTAGAAAAGCATGCACCTGACCTCAAAATCTGAGTGTTAGGGGATTATGACATTATATGTACAAGCTAAAGCTGCTGGTGGAGAAATCTTGCCACTTGGCCTGTTGGTCTCTGTCCTCGATCTCATTTTGCCTATAGGGCCGCTGAGAGAGGCTGTTTTCTTGTATAAGTTCCATCTCTCTCTCTCTCTCTCCTCTCTCTTCTTTCGAGCATTTACATTAGGTTTAAAATTTAGTGAAGTCTAAATGATGGTTTCTAGTTGCAGAAGGTTGGGTGCGAGGAAGAACTATGATAGTTCAATACAGGATAAGAGATGTTCTAATTTTTCTGTGGCTCAAAAATGTGAAGTCTGTTAGGCCTAATAGATCTTCAGTTCCTGGAAGCCATTGCAGCTTTCGGCTGATAAAAGGCCGTCACTTCCTTTTGACATGGTGTGCTCTCTCCTAGCGTAACATGTCAAAATTTATCATATGTTTCTTCTGAAATGGGTATCAGGGGTTTTTCAGTCATTCCTGATCCTTTGCATTGACAAAACAGATTAAGTTCTTGAAGCACCAAGTCCTAGTACTTACGCAGGTGCTCATTCTGTTGAGCTACTCATCCTTGTTCTTTAATTCAGAAGATCCGGCTCTACGATATTTTCAAGGCACCTGGTCAATCCTTGATCCAGAATGAGCCTTTTTCCCTGCTAAATAACACACTGGGAGATTAAGGTGTCCTTCAAGTCCTTTCCATGTAGACCAACATCAGTTAATATCTTTGATCAGGAATCCATTTAGTCCGATTCTTTGATCTGGGACATTTCATAACTACCAGAATATAATGTGTATTTCACTAGAGGAATTCTTCAAACTAGACAAGAATGGGGGCTGCATCCCACTGAACTATTGGTCCTATTGTGAGAAGTCTTGCTCCTGCATTTTTTGATTTCCCGTTCCTTGTTTGGTTTCTGGCCGATGGTTTTAAATTGGAGCATAGGAGTTCCCTACTGGCACTCAAGGAGAGATTAGTATCAATGTAAGAGCTACTATTGACACACCTCTTGTCTATAATTTTTTAGTATTGGCTTTCTGGAAATTACATAAATGTATAAATTTGTAAGCAATTGTTGCCAGATGAATTAATTGATGAGATGATAATAAAATAATAATAGTTGTTTAAGTAGTGGCTTCAAAGTTGAATAATTTATTATTAATAGTTATTTTCTTTTTGTTTTTTAGAAGTAAACAGAATTTAGTTAGTGAAAAACTTGGTATTGGTTTTAAGATCGATTTATCTTACGATTAATTACTGTTAAAAAAATTTTAATTTTAGAATGTAATATGAGCTTGTTAAAGATTCGCAATGAAAATCGCCCGTCTGTGGAAGTCGAACCACGACCATCTATTGGTTAAAAGCCGATGCTTCTCTAAAACCGGCTTGAGCTAAGAGGCTCGCCTGTAAGATTACTATTTATAATTTTATATCCCTATTATTAGTATTAATTGTACCACGCATTACATGAGACAAGCTGTTTGGACGCTTTGGCCGGGAGAGACCATAAAGCTAATGCTACTCGAAATTGTTCTTTTTGGGTGTTTGATTCGTTCAATATGGATCCATAACGCGGACGAAGACAATAGTCCGGAATCAGACTGGTAGCATTTTCCGGAGGCGACTTCACCCTGACTAGCTACCAAATACTGACTATCCGGTCACTAACTCTCTCTCTCTCTTCGTTTTCGTTCCCTTTCTATCTTTTTCCAAAAACACAAATTAGCCCAAAACTCCTGCTTTAATTCACGAACTACTTTTGCTTCTAATCTTTTGTTTCTTGTTTGATTTTTGCAAAAGGGGAATTCGTGTTTACATACCAATAGGTAGTTTGATGATATCTTTGATCAAGCCCACAGTGTTGTTGACTAGAATAGGAAACCAAAGAACTTATCTCGCAATTCCAAGTTCACGTGTAAGTCTCTTGCAACTAACTTCGGATTTGTTCTTCATATCTTGTTCTGGACTTGGGATTTTGTTTTAATAATCTAATTTTTTTTCCAAGGTTTAGATTATTAATTAAGGGTTTGCAAAGGTAACTCCTCTTTGAAATTTTTAAATGGCTTATTTTAATTTTTTTTTTTCTTGTGGCGATTTTAGGTTCCTTAGTCCTTTAAGATTAAATGTAATATGACATATTTTTTTCCAGTGGGTTAAGGCATAAAGAAATCAGTAATGTATATGTATTAGGTCTAATTTTTATTTTTTTTCCCCTTTGATGCAGGAAGTCATTATAGACAGAAATTGAATTGAAAGCCTCAATTTGTACACAGAAGAAGACATTTAGGATGTTAGTGTTCAGAGAAGCCCAAAATCAAGTATAATAGGTGCATTAATCATTCTTGATGAGATGCGAGCGGAAGCTGAACGTAAGCATTGAAGAAATAGTTACAAAGAAATATGAAAGTCGTCGTCAGTTGCCTAAGGTAGACTCATTTCTATGCTTCTTGGCACCATTTTGTTGAATTTCTAAATGCATTTAAGACTTTAAACCTGTTCTATGACCTATGACGAAACTAGTAATCAATTTTATACACAATTGCTAGCAGGAATTAGGAAAATTCAATGTTTAAGTTCTTTTACTTCGCTTTTGTCAGGTACTGGTCTTTGTTTTTGAGAATTTAAGTTGTCCAATCGAAAAAAATTTATCTTTGGAGAGAAACGTAAAACATATTCGAGTAGTTTGAATTATCACAATGATGATTAATGTATAATTGCTACTCTGCTTGCTACCCATGCTGCTTTTATTCGATACTGATTGCAAAAAAGGTGAGAATCAAAAAAAAAAAAATAGGATGTGTATAAAACAAGGTAACTGTGTTTTTTGCATTCATTTATAGTTTTCTTCATGGAATCTGCAGAAGGAAGCTTCGGGTTCTGATGCACCGACAGATTAAAAATGATTACATTTGAACATGATAGACGGGGAAAGAATAATATTCCTGCTGTTGCATAGGGCCAAAGCCAACTTATACTATGGAATTCAGAGACAGAAACTAGTTAAACTTATTGGAGGTTCAAGATGATAATAGAGCTACCCATCTCAAGTGTAACCTGTGTTCCTTGAGAAATAGCAGAAGTTTTGGGCAGTTGGATATTATTGCCTCAAACTCGATATGGGATGACTGAGACTCTAATGTGTAAAGATTTGTATTCCTTCTCAATACTGAAAAGCAATTCGAGAGTTTGAATATTAGCGAATTATTATATTTGATATCCTCATTTTTGTACTCGTACCAGATAGTTTGTTATCTAGAAGGCCATAGAAGGGCAGGGTGGCACACTTTCCACTGGAATGGTCAACGTCTATACATCGGAGAGTCAAGACTATATATCCTCGATCAAGTCATTGAATGGTAATTGGGGATTTAAATTTTGCGTATGTCCTTTCTTTGTAATTGTGAATATCATATCAAAATGTTAAGAAAAAATAAGATGATTTAGACTTTCCTATTTTTTCCCCATCGTACTTTACTTTTCTGAATAGTGAGAACGTCCAATCCACTTCTAGTAGCAAGCGCATACCGGAAGAAGTCTGTGGCTTGAAATGGTCAAGAGAAGGCAATGTATTGGCAAGTGTGAAATGAAAATAACATTTACATAATGGGAACTTCAAATTGGCTCGTTCTAACTTCTTGTGCTATCGATTCAAGGAACACAAAGCTGCGGTCAATAGGCCTCTTGCTTTGGTGCCCCCTACCAATTTAATGTGCTTGGCTGTTCAGGAGGTAGGTACAAATGACGGATGTTATTTAAGATATTGAAATACAGTCAATGGGAGCAGTGTATTGGGCAACATACCCGACAATACAACAGGCAAGTTGATGCCGAAATTGCACTCTCCTCTCCCTCTTTTAAACAGTGTGCTATTTAAGACACATCTGTTTAGGGCTCAATTTGGATGACAACTTTAAATTTTAATGCTGAATTTTGTCTCAGATTTGTCATTGGAGTTGGAACATTAGACATCACATAGGAGTTATTAAGTGGAACATGGGTATGCTGTGGGTGAGCTACACTAACCATCTATATGCTTTGTTGAAATACCCCTCCTTGACTAAAATGGGGCAGATAAGAATCCATAGCTTCCAGGAGTCCATTTGGTCTTTCTCAGGTTGACTGCTTTGAGTTATACTAGTGGTAGATATTTGTTCTTTACAGAATAAAAATCCAGAAATCTTATTTCCTACGTTGATTATTACAGAGTCCCTGATGTGTAACTGTTGTATCAGACTGGGAGGAAGAATTAGGACACTTCGCTTTGGGAAATTATTTTGGACGCAGCTAGCAATAGCAGAACTCTTGGCTGTCTAGATCTTGACAGCCTTTTAATTCACTGAAGACATCGCCCATGGAATGATTAATGGCTTTTTTTTTTTTTTTTTTTCTATTGTTTTTCTGGAATTTTTTCTTGTCTGGGATGAACGAGATTCATTGCTATTTTTTTTTTTTTTTTTTTTTTTCTATTGTTCTGGAATTTTTTCTTGTCTGGATGACGAGATTCATGCTATTTTACTACATATGTGAGGATAAGTATAGAAACCACACGCATAGGATCATAATCTCCTGGTTGTAGAGTAACTGGCAGTTTTGTATGTTTTTTGGTGTTCACGTAAGAAGAGCAGTTTTGTTAAGTATGAAGGATATAGCATTGCAGACATATCTTCTCTCTAATTTGCATCGCTTATCTTTTCTTTATAAAAACAACAAAATATAAATAATAGTAGAAGACTGTCATTCATTTATTAAACCGCCGTTCATAAATCCAATTTCCATCTGATCCAAATCCATGTTTTTCACTTTCCAGTTTCTCCTTTCAAATAATCTTGGGACCATTGCAAACTGCGATAAAATGGAATTTAGCTTGAAATCATCTCATTTCATTAATAGATTTCTACAGCGTTCACAGTTCAACAGAGGGTGTTCGTAATACAGAACCTTGACTAACTGAAAAATAGTCCCCAGTTACTCGGCCTCAGAATCTTCACTTTCACTATCCACATACAACTCTGCAGCTTCGCTGCCTGGCACACTCTCCTCTTCCTCCCTTTTCCTCCTCTCTTCTTCTTTTTCTCTCTCTGCAGCTTTAGTCTTTGCAGCTTCCAACCTTGCACTAACTGCTTCCCATGATACAAGCTTCTCTATAAAGGTTGATATATAATCAGGCCGTCGATTCTGTATAAACAAAAAAAAAAAAGGCAAAAGGTGGTTTTTAAGACCTTCACACAAGTTGAATAGATGAAAAAAGAATTATTCTAAGGAAAGAAAAATGGGGTCTCACCTGAAAGTCAAGGTAGTAAGCATGCTGTTGAAACAAAGTAAGATTCAAAAACCAAATGAGTGATCAGTTGGCTCAAATTCCGGTCACTAAAAGCAGTACTTTTAAATTTAATATAAGGGTGAAAAAAAGAGGTATACCTCCCAGACATCAATAGTAAGGAGTGGCTGCAAGAAATCAGCAACATGGTCAGACCAGACGCATATATAGCCAATAAGATAATGTAACGTGTATGTGATGCACTATGCATAAAAGATCAATTAAACAATTGTTGAGCCATAAAATACTTACAGAGTAATCCCAAACAAGTGGGTTTACAGCATTGGGACTCTTCACCACAACAAGCTTTTTGTCCTCTTCTGACGGGCGAGGATTTACTGCATTTTCGACATTGAGCCTATTTGCTTTATCTAGATGAAACAAAGGACTATGCACTAAAATTAGTATAATTTAGAGAGTAAAAAGTAGAAAGTAAAATAACTAAGCAATGCCTTCTCTAAATGAAGGGAAGGATCACTCACATGCAAGCCAAGCCCATCCAGATCCAAACTGTGTAGCTGCAGCTGACCTAAATTCTTCCACAAATTTTTTAAAGGAACCAAAGTCTCTTTCAATTAATTGCAGAAGCTCTCCTGATGGTTTTCCTCCACCACCTGGTTTCATGCATCCCCAGAAAAACTCATGGTTCCAGGCCTGCAATTGTATAAATAAATCAATAAATCCAAGTAATGCCAGAAAGAGGGGAAGATGCATATGTGAATGAACTTATGATACTTTTATTTATATCAGGTTATACATGAAAATGTCACTAATTAATTTTAGATTATTCAAAAAATCCACCACATTGTTAATGAAATTATTAAAATGAACTATAACCCAAGTTACATATAATGGTTCTAGTCAAACTCTAAACTAAGAACAACCTAAAGGTCATGATGAAAATGTGAACTTGCACCTAGCATACCTGCGCAGCATTGTTGAAAGCTGGAAGAACATCACCTTTATTGTAAGTAACAATTACAACATCTTCTAACGGCAAGCTATCTAGTTCTGTTCCTACAATTTGCTTGTTCAAGTTATCCACATAAGCCCTGTGATGCTTTCCCCAATGGTACTCCAGGGTATCCTTGCTCATATGTGGCTCCAATGCATTCTGCCAAATTAGCATCAAGGTTTAAAAATGTTATAAAACAATGAAAATTGACTATTTGAAACTAAAACAGTGAGCACATAGACATTAGATACATGAATTCTGTCTTTCAAATCTTACCAGGGGATATGGAGGAGGTTTCAGCTCAAATTTTGCAGTTACTATAGCAGAACCAGTCTGTCTCCTGACGTGCCTCTGAAGCATTCAACATTATCATGAAGAAATAAATATAATATTGAAGATAATTTTTTTAAAGCATCTAACTCGAACACTTAAGCAAATAGATGGAGCAACAAATCTGAAAGCCTGTTCCTCAATGCTTAAAATTTCTAACTACCAGCTCCGTGTGTATCCTAAATAACCAATAGACTTGTACTCTATTCTTCAATTAAAGATAAATAACACGCCAAAATCACAACTACATTTTAATAAGCTTAGATGCACCAATCCTTCTCCTAAATTTTTTGTTTTCTGGCAACTTTTTAATAAGCATTTCATCGAACACCATCGATGCACACTCTGCTAGGCGAATTTCTAAATCACAGTACACAATACCGAATGGTGTTTATGAGAGAAATAAGACGATAACTATCTGTTTTAGTTTTCTTAACTAAAGTGGACGAGAAAACGAAACTAGTATTTCGACCATATATGCAAATGCAGCTCAACTAGGCAAAAGATTTTAAATTTGGTTGTTGGTAAAATAAAAAAGTTTCAAGTTACAGCCTTTTTCTCCTTTATCAAGCTAAATTTTTCTGCGCTACCAAAACAGTACATAAGATAAATGAACACACGCATATATATGAATAGCATTAAATAATGGACTAAGCAAACCTCCTTTCTCCATTTGAAGGCACTAGTTGTTCGACTAAGCCCTCCTGCATACAACAGAGAAGTCAAACAACTGCATGAGATATTGAAGAAACAACTAAAACGAAAAGAAAGTAAGATGAATGCGCATCAGTGACAACCATGGTGGGGAAAAAGTGCACAGGTTAGTGAGGTGGCTGTAGTAGTTGTTGCTACCATTTCTCCTCTCTCTCTCTCTCTCTCTCTATATCTGATGATTGCTTCCCGTAAGATGGGAACCGTCGAACCAACGCTATTCGAACTTAAGTATTAGGACCCGAAGGTATTAAATTTATGAGATTGCAAATTAGAAATCTAAATTAAAATTTAATTAACTTGAAACAATATACTACCAGCTGCAAGTAGTATTAGTAGTTTTTTCTTCGATGGTACGATCCCTGAGGCAACGCAAGTGGGATTAAAAGGTGTTTTTAGATTTATACATTTGAAAATGTTTGGATGTTATATATTTGATTAAAATTCATTAATTAAATGTCAAATATCTATAAATTTGGATCTGAATAAAATCCATATTTTTGAATACTAGGGAGGGGGGATTTGATATTAATAATGTACTTATTACAAAATTATGTTTTGATATGCGAATAAAATCCATATTAAGTATAGATTTATCATTTTCAAAAATATTTACACTTCAAAATCTTAAATTTTAATCAAATACTTGAATTTCTTTAAAAGTATTGCATTCTTTTTGAATTGCAATCAAATAAAATAAAGATTATTATACACATTGCTTGAAGAAGATAATGGAGAGAACAAAGTTTCCCTATAATTTGCAACAACATCAGCCTCTGTAGTCAGTGGATGCTGAAAGCTGAAGCCACCTTATGGATTAAGAAATCCCTTCAGTTTCTCCAAGAAAAAATGAAATTTTCTATGCCCACACTCTTTTTCTAGGGACAAGATCCGAAGTCTTTATTTCATCCATTTTGGCAGCTACAATGAAATCATTCATACTCAGACCTCCTGCAATTCAATTAGAATTTATGGTTCAGAGCTGTATAAGAAATTGTGCAAAAACCTAACATTTAGAAATTGAATCAGAAAGAAGGTGTTGGAGGCTACTCAGAGGGAAATGTAAGGGAGAGCTTACCAATGGATGATGTCCACAGTTCAGCTCTAACCTGATTGGTATCTACCAAATGCAGATCTGGGAAATGTCCAGAAGCTTCTGCAACCTTGTAAATTCTATTGATTAGTTCAACCCCACATTTAAAATCTCTCAACTTCCATAAGCACTGTAGTTTAAGTCCATTTTCTTCCTCTAGAAGTCTCCAGCCAAGAACCTATAGATAAAAGAATAACCTTTTGAGCATAAACAAACACGGGAATGATTTATTGATGCTTTCAAAATGAAAAATAAGGAAAGAAGTTGAAATGATGCATAGGATGATTTTTTACCAAGTTTTTCTACGTTCATATTTGCTTTTGCTTTCAAAAGTAGATCAAGGCGCCCAATGGCATTGAGGCATGAAACAAGTTCAGAAAACATAAAAAATTATTGGAAAACAAGTCAGCTTTCTCTAGCTGATTCCTATTGTGGGGCAGAAAAACTACGCACTTGACAATTGAGATACTCAAAGAGGTTAATGTATTACTGTATACAATGTGGTATAGCGCACAAGATAAAGTGCTCCTTCTGACTTATTTGAAGACAGAGAAAGTAAGAATCTTGCATAGTTTCTCCGAACAACTCTCAGAAATACAATGCACATAGACCTCTTTGCACATTACCAAGCATCTCACCGGACATTGACGATTAAATGTTCAACAGAAACTCTATAAAAGAAAAAGAAAAGAAAAGTGGGATACAAGATCACCCAAATTTGCAAACGAGGAAAAATGTTCATTTCCTGTAAACAGCAAGATTCTAAAACAAGGCAATCGAAATCCTTCTATATTCTGATTCTAAAACACAACCCCAGTAACCACAAATTGGTACAGAAAAATTGCTGTTTCGTCGAGGCAAAGATTCTAAAACCACATTATTAAGCAATATGAAATGCTGCATCTGAATATGACATTTCCAGAACTGCAGATTTAATTTTCAAGGCAAGTCATTTGAAACAAAATCAAGAGAGCATTCTTCATTTCCTACTATTTAACATGGATTATGAACATGATTTAATATGTTTATTATTTGAAACAAAATTGTCAACTTCTAAAACATAACCAGCTGTAGCCTGTAAGTCTTTGAGTCGATGATGTTAATCTGTAGAGCTTCAAATATGAAGATTGAACAAAATCAGCAATATGCAGTGTAATTTTTAATTTTTGAATAAATAGTAATATTATGCCGTCAAACATATTAGTTCCAGTGTATTAGTAACTCAATTTCGCATTTCTCAAAAAGAAAAATTTCATGAAGCAATCTAATTTAAGCACACAGAACCTAAAGGAGTTTTAAATTTAAATGATAAGGGGAGAAAATCATTAGGGTACTGAAAATTCACCTTCTTCAAGAGCTTTTGAGCATCATCCTTATCTATGGGCGCTTGAAGAGGAGAGACAGGCGTGCACTGTTGCTGGGCAAGAGAGAGAGCAGAAATATTGGGAATAAGAATCTTATGCTCAGTATCAACATTTCCTACCACTTTCTCCGCAAAACCACTCTCTATTTCTGCAGGGAATGGGTCTCTGGCTCCGAAATCACCCAGCAAGTCCCCTGCCGCAGCCCGAGTTCTGACGGCACGCATTCTAGTCCGAGTCAAAACGGATAACTCGAACCGGTGGTTGCCTCGAGGAGACAATTTAGGAAGAGAGGGAAAATAGAAGGAGAGGTTAGTGGTAGCCATTGATAGAGAGTGTTCTTGCTCTACGCGAGTGTGACTTTTTGTGATGATAGGAGCTGCTTAGACCGAGGAGGAGCTGTGTCCTGTTGTAGTACTGTGGGCTTATCCGGTGGTCAGCGTTGTTTTGCTGTGGGACCTAGCCGGGGCGGGGAACGTCGTTTTTAGACTTTTTAATTTATACTACCCTATCTTCTCACTCGTTTATTCATTTTTAAAAATTTTATCAGCCGACGTGTCGTTTGCTTTGTAGTCCATTCGAAGAGTTGCGGGGAGTAAAAAGATGCGACTTCTCATTGACATTATTACGTATTACTCCCTATTAACTATCGCCTGTCATTTCATGATTCCATCTACAGAATTAGTATTTCTTTTTGCTCATTGGCAATGGCTGACTCGCATTTAGTAGAAGAAACTCCACTACCATCCATGCCATCGGCTTCCAGTTCCACGCCCCTCCATTTGTCTGGCTTTCTCAACGGAGACACCATCCAAGTAGAGGGAGACACCGGCAGTTTACAATTCTCCATGCAATTCAATATACACAGGAAGGATGTTTCTCGGAAGCACTTCAAATTTCCAAATGCGAATTCCTTTGAAAATAACCACACTACTGAGAATACTTCAAGTTTCTCTTCCTATATGACTCCAAACAGTAATTTTCACGAAATGGAAGTGGAAGATCGAAATGCGCAAGCAGACGCAGCAACCGTTGAGAACAATGAGATTCTGGAGACTGGAGAATGCAACACAAGAAACGTAGTTGGCATATTGACTAGGCTTAGAAGTGGGACTATTTCTCCAGTTAAGTATTTTCCTCGCGTTTCTGCAACTTCTTGTCAGAAGTTGAAGCGTATTAAGAAGAAGAAAGACTTGTTAGAAACCTTATTGAGAAGACACAGTCTTCCTGTGAGGCCTTGTAGTTCTTATTCTTTCTTTGTAATGGCTAATTGGGGTTCGGTTAAGAATTCTTCATTTAGTGAAGTGAGCAAGACGCTTGGTCAGATGTGGGGCCAACTTTCCGGCCAAGAGAAAAAGGTTAGCATACCAACACATTAATTATATATTTATATATATAAATATATAGCATAAGCAACGTAGTATTTTTGTTTTCAAGAACAAGCAGAGGCTCCATCATTACTCTGTTTCTGAAGTATCATTTGAATTGCATTGATATGATGTAGGTGTTCATGGACATGGCCTCGAAGGACAGTGCAAGATATAAGAGGCAATGTACGCTGTTGAAGCATTATGCTAGAAAGAGGACTGGCAGGAACAGAAGAGTGTAGTTTTTGTTATATAGTTTAACTTCTAATCATTTTTGTTTTCAATTTTTTACCAACTCTACAATGAAAAAGAGAGGGACATCAATTTCTCTGTGGTAGTCAGTTTGAGAATTAATCAAGGGTTCACATAGAGTGACAGCAAGAAAAGGGAGGCTAGTTCATTTTCAACGATAGGCAGGCCTGAACTTTGAATAAGAATATAAGATGTACCAGAATATCAGTAAAGCAATGTAATAAGCATGTATCACTCCGTGCATAAAAAAAAAAGATAAATAATAATGGCAATTATGAAACTAGCGTTGATATCATATAAATTGATAATCACCATAGAAAAATAAGACCAAAACCAAGCTTTCAAAATAAATAATTTGCTAGCAATCAGATGCCTGGTTTTGGATCTTCCAAAAAATCTGCATTTTCAGATAAAACGGAAAAAAAATGAAAAGAAAAAAAGGTAAATGATGGAAATTATTTTTTACTCAATAACTGTACATGGGAACAACCTCAATCAGATAGAAAGCTAGAAAATACAACAGTATCTCTGCTTGTTACAAGGAAAAAGGTTTTGAATACACATCGAATGGTTCGTTGGCAGTCAACTGTGGTTCCTGCAGCAAAGTTTAAATAACAAACTCAGCATAGCACAAAATATGTGATGGTTTTGCCAAAGTATGTATTATATGAACATGCATTAACACCATGTCAAACAGTTTAAGGTCTTTTACAATTTCCATAGGCATTTGACTGTATAGATCTCCAATAGCGCTATGGAAATTGCAAAGAGCAGGGGAATCAAGAAGAACAGCAACAGAACACTGTTTTATGCTGCATAACTAATCCATCCAGAAAATAGGACCTCTAGTCACCATAGGAACCCAAAAGGTAAGATATCAAAGGATTTGTATGCAGAAATCCTCAATTTTCATGGCTTTTACATTCTTTACACAGTCACTACAGCTTTTATAGTGGTGATTGGCATGCAGAAGAAAACAACAATACAAAATAGTAGTGAAAACTTACCTGTCTAAGCCCACCGGTGAGACTTCCGCCTGTTAGGAGCATTGTGAGAAGAGATGTCACAATGCCACCATCAGGCCCATTGTCCGTATTTCGAATGGTTGAGCGCATTGCGTTTAACATGTCCCCGTATGTAGTTCCATGTCCACGCTCAATGGCTTGGATGAAAGAATAAGTCATCGCACCAGTTGAAGTAATTTTTGAGAGAGCCTGACCATAACGTTGCAGAACAAACATTTTCAGTCCCTTTTGAGAAGAAAAGAAACTGCATTTTTCACTTGAATTATAAAGTTTATTCATCTGTATATGCCTAGGACTTTACCGAGGTGTCAGCAGAGGTTTGATCATCGTCACAGCCACTAAAAGAGATAGCCTCTCCACCACTTGTTCCTTTCCATATTCCAGATCGAGGGCGATGGTCCTCCCAAACGTATCTCCCACTCCTAGATCAACAATGTAAGCACAATAACGAAGGAAAGAATAACCAACAAACAATCGAGCAATATTAGGACTAACCGGTCCATTCTGCAAAGAAATGGTAAATCCAACACAGTGCCACTATGGCAAGCATCAATTATGGCGTGAAGCTTAGCCCCACGAGGAAGAGGTCTAACAATTGTGGCATTGATCTCATCATCAATAATCATTCCCTGTGTTTCAAAATCAGTTGGACAAAGTGTTTCATCATATCCATCCACCTCATCTCCCGAGTAATTCCTCTGCTGTGAACCATGACCAGAAAAGTGAAACACCAAGGAATCTCCAGGCTTGCAACCCTGGACAAGCCAGTACAATGCCATTCTCAAGTTGTGCTTGGTTGGCCGCCTATAAGGATCAGTTTCTTCTTCTGCAAATTGTCAAGTGTCGCCATCAAGATTATGGTCTATAGGTTTTTTTGGATCAATAAAACAGGAAAGAAAAGAAAAGGTCCAAAAGAGTATGATCTACATACTTCTAGACCTTGAATTGAAATTACAGGTAATTATAGAAATTGAATGGAGCAGGCCAAAAGTTAAAGAATTTAAATGAAAATGCCTCAGAGACCAAAAAGAACACGGCAATTTACTAAAAAATAATACGGCACTATTTGATATTAAACTATCCGGCGATATAAACTAAGACAAAAGAAGACAAGTAATTAAACCTAACTGAGATAAAAGCTAAAGAATTGAAAAAGAAAAAAGAAAGTACCATTGAGCATAAGAATGGAAGATTCCGGGAATTTGAACCTGTTAATCAACAAGTATTTCATACATTTGGCGTCATTAAGACATCCCTTGAGTTCATTCCTGGTGTTCTTATAAGAGACTCCGCAAATCAGAGCACGCTTGTTACCATGCGGTGAAGGTGGCGGCCCAGGTGGCGCGTGGTTGTACGGAGACGGAGCAACCGCTGGCAGATGAGGAGGTGGGGGCTGGTAATTGTGGTAACCAGAAGAAGAAGAAGAATAAGGTGGAGGTGGTGGAACGGAGCGAGGATCAGCAATTAGAGTGATGGCGTGGCAGATAGCACAGCGGATTGACTTGGCTCCTGGGGGAAGCTGCAACGGAGTATGGCAGTTTGAACAATCAACTAACATATACATGGCGATACACAGAGAGGTGAGAGAGAGAATTTGTGAGTTGAAGCTCAAAAATTGTAACAGTAGATATGTCGATGTGAACGTCAATGGCTTCGGGAAAGGAAAAGAAAGGAAATGGAAGAGAAAGAAAACTGGTTATGATCGGTGGAGAGGGAGTTGTAAAAAAAAAAAGAGGAAGAAGAAGAAGGAATTGAAGGTGGTAGGATGGAGGGATGAGGAAGGGGAGGGAAAATGGAAAGAAAGAGACGGACAAGAACTTTGACTTGCTTCGCTTGAGCGATTCAATAATTGGACGATTGGCCAAGAATTGAAATAACGATTGACGAATGAGAAAGAACCTAATGCCGTGTCCAACAGTAGGCCCACTAAATATATTAATAATAATAAAACATAAAATGATAAAAATGTATTATTCGCTAACAACATAATAACCTAATGGAGTATAACTATATAAATTCTAAAACCTTTATCTAATTCCTATTCCCCTTCTAAAAAAACATTCCTATTCAAAACTTTTTTTATTTCTTTTTTTTTTTTTTTTGAGAGAGATATACTATGATATAGACTATAGAAGTATTGTAAATTTACCACAATAACTAGAATTACAGGGCAAAACATTCAATTAAAAATTTACAAGAATAGAGGATGATATTTAGCTATATTTCTTTTTTTTTTTTTGTGTAAACCATGGATATCCGGATTCATTATTAGAAGCTGTCTAATTTAACGGTTAAAACTCTTTGTCCCTCCCTGCAGATGCAACCATATTATCTTTTTGGTCATAAGGAACTCACCTTAGTTATATAGGCTAAGGATGATTAGTTTTGTATTTCTTTATTTTAATTTGCATTTACATATACAAACTTATTGTTTTACAAATCAAAATAATTAAGGTATGTTGAATCAAAATAGATTGAATCACAATACAAATATCATTTATAAAATTGCTTTTTGTGTTATTGATAATTAAATTGTGTAAATATATTTATTAAAGATTAAGATATAAAAATTAAAAGCTTTATGAACTTAAATTAATTTGAATGAAGCTGACGACTGAAAGTGGAGTTGTTGGGAATTCACATCATCTGCCTGTTTTATAAAAATGGGAAGATTAGAAAAGCCGTCTCACGACAAAAAAAAAAAGCACGTGACAAAGTCCTGCATTGACTCTATCGTGCAAGCACTTGTTTTCTTTTCTTTACAAAAAAATTATGTGCTTAAATTAGGAGCTCAAACTTAATTTTATTTTTTATTTTTTGCTAAAATAATATAAATTTTTTTAAAAGCAAAGGATCCCTTGCAGATTTTTTTATTATTTATTCGATGCCAAAAAATTAAAATAATATTATAAATAACAAAACTTGTTGTTAGAAGTTTTTTTTTTGGTATAGTATACATCAATGTATTTATTATATTTCTCAAAGAATTATAATGTATCAAACAATTCACTTTATTTAAGAATAAATTATCATTTAAAACTTTAATAAAGGCACGATTGAAAAAAAGGAAAGAAAATCAGTTGGAAGTTATAAGGCAGAAAAAGTAATGAAGGAAAAACAGAACAAAGAGAAAATAAAGCAAGCATGGTAGAGAGTAAGTGATCCCAAGCACTATGTCAGAGAATAGAGACTAAACAAAAAAGGTTGATGGAGAACTCTATGTCAAAACTTTGGAGCTAAGGTTTCATCCATGTAGACCATCATTGTCCAGGGTTCTTGATTTGGGTTTGGGGAGGCCGATGCATGCAGTCGATTTTGATTGGTGTGTTTCGTGGGTATAGGCAAGTAATTTCCTGCATGTAGAATGTGGGTCAGTGCGTGTGGATGTAACGTGTTTGATGAAATGCTTGTAAGGCATGTGATGACTTGGACTGGGTTAATGGGAAGTTGTTTGATGGTAATTAGGAAATGGCGGCTTGGACTACAGTGGTTATCAGTTTTGCACGGAATCTGAAGCCCTCTAGAAGCAGTCCTTTAGATTGGAAAAATAAAGGGGAAATACTCAGTTTATAATTTAAATAAATCCGTTATTAAGCTTTTGACAGATGATGCTCACCCATGTGTGTTAGGTTCGCTAACAACGCGTAGGTTCCGTTGGCCGCGAAAATGGAAATGTAGAAAATGCATGATTCCTCTCTAAAAGTGCTTTCTCAATTAGTAACGTGCTATGGTGGAATTCTGTGGTGAGTTCAGGACTCTGATATATAATTTAAAATATTATTTCCGCCCATAATTGGACCTCCAAGTGTATAAAAAAAAAAAAAAGGGTTTATAGATAATTTAAAATAAAAAAATTAGGGAAAATTTGTCTAATTAGAAATAACTAACTTGAATTTAAGGATGTCAATTAGTGAATAAAATTCTAATAGCACTAAACTAAATACTCATCAATGAATATTCAGCTCTCTTGTCAACTCTCGTAATCAATAAACTAGAAAAAGAACTAGATGGATTTTTCAAAGACCACCCATTACAACAGCAGCAACTCTATTGCTGCTTTCTTGGTTTTTTTGTTTACTGGTTTAATTTTTATCTTCATGTCCAGCCCGACCGGATCCAAACCCTTCCTTTCATTCCAAGATTATAACCTTAATTGCCCATCTCCGAATGCAGTAACAATCTCTTTTCTCTTTTTCTTTTCTTTCGATTGGATTCTTGTATATATAGTATTTTTTAGAGAATCATTTACTAATTAGACTTTTACATTGTAATTGTCATTTTTGTGCATTACAGAGCGACGGGGCTAGCCATGGCTATAAAGATGACCTTGAAGCAGCTTTGGCAAAGGCATCAACTGCGAATAAGAGCGTAATAATCGCAATGGCAAACAAGGCCTATGTAGAGGGAGATAAGCCAATGCTAGATATGTTCTTGAATAGCTTCTGGCTAGGGGAGGATACGAGAGATTTGGTTAATCATCTTCTACTAATTACAGTCGATCAAATGTCGTTTGAGCGATGCAAGTTCCTCCGGCTTCATTGCTACAAACTCGAAACTGATGATGAAGGTTTTGACAGCGAAAAAATGTACATGTCCGACGATTTTATCAAGATGATGTGGAGAAGAACTCTGGTTCTTGGAGACGTGCTAAAAAGGGGCTACAATTTTATTTTTACGGTACGTTTCTTAGTTTCTAGTAGTTATCCATTAGTGCATGAACAACTAGATAGATGATCTTGCGTTCGTGATTCAAATTTTTAACGAGTAAGGCGGAAAATATAATTATCTTTTCCCGGAAATATATATTTCCAATTTATTTTCGGTTTTGGTTGCAATATTGAAAGTTGACTTAAAAAATATTAAGAATTTTAATTTAATTTGGAGATGATAAAAACATTTAGAATTATTGAAATTTTATATTAAAAAAATTTATTATTAAATATGAGAAAAAACATAAAAAAATGATACTATGGCTGGCCACAAGTGATCAGTAGTAGTTATCGATGATTAGTAGATTAAAATTATAAGCTTATAAAGTTATTTAATTAAGTTTATGGAAAACATTTTTCCCTTATTCAAATGACTTTTTTCAATTAGAAAAATATTTTATGTTAATTAATTTTCCTAAGCATCTATTGAAAAGTCTAGAAAATATTTTTTCAAACGTAATGTCAAATTGGTTCTAATATTTATTCATTCATTTTTTTTTCAAATAAAAGAAAAAATTCTATAACTTTTAACACTTTTACAATTTTAACTGGTTTTTAAAAAAAGAATCCGTTGGTTACCAATTACTTATTTCTTTTAGGTTTTCATTCAAAATTTCACCACATGAAAACAACATGCAATTGGCTAATTTACTAAGTCTAACTTTATTTTAATAAGATAATTCATTAATTAAATTTGAATTATAGAACATTATTTTTCAAATTGAGGACACCAAATTAAACTATATTTGATATAAAAATACTATTTATTTATAAATTTTAGACTTATATTTTATTTATTATAAAAGTCTCAATTTTATTTTATTTTTTTAAAGAAAATAATGAACCTAAATGAAATGTAACCCACTCCTTCAGAGTTAGTAGACACGTCAACGATTTTGAATGAAAATCTACTAATATGCCACTGTTATTTATCCATACTAGAATTTTTTTTTTTTAATTAAATTTCATTTATTGACAGGACACCGATTTAATGTGGTTAAGGAATCCATTTCCAAGGCTGAACTTAAACGAGAGCTTAGATCTTCAAATCAGTACTGATAGTTTCAATGGAAATGAGCGGTCAAAAGCAAACCATCGAAACATGTTACACTCCTTCAGAAGTTAGTTTAGACACGTCAAGCGATATTTGAATAAAAGATTCTACGTTAATTATGCCACTGTTATTTATCCATACTAGAGAATTTTTTTTTTTTAATTAAATTTTCTTTATTGACAGGACACCGATTTAATGTGGTTTAAGGAATCCATTTCAAAGGCTTGAACTTAACGAGAGCTTAGATCATTCAACATCAAGTACTGATAGTTTCAATGAAATGAGCGGTCAAAAGCCAAACCTGTTAGGCATCAGCTCTTGATAACCACTTTGTTAGGGAGATCAGCTCGTTGATACCACTCGTTGGGCCCTTTCAACCGAATTAGAGAAAGCATTAACGCAGCGGCATAATTAAACTTGTGACACACAGATATTTTACGTGTTCACCCTCAACTGTTAGGGCTATGTCCACGGGACAAATCCGAATCATTCTTCCACTATTAACAATAGTAGGTACACAAGAGAGTAATATTAAAAAAAGTGGCATCACAGTGTATTCCCAAAAACACTCCAAAATAATTTCACTCATTTTTTTCTACCCCTAATTTTTAGGAACGAGCTCATCCTAAAACTTTAGAAAACTTCTCTCGCTGTACATTTTTTCTTCTATCTTCTGTGTGTGTGTTGTGCGTCTTGCCTCTGCCTCTTATCTTATAGGCAAGGTCTAAGGCGTCTTAGGAAATGCCGTGTACAACTCTTTCAAGTTGCACCCCCATGTGCTATCACTGTATTGACTGCGGCATGCTCCTATTTTTTTTTTTCCTTACTTTTCACAAATGTGGTCCATTAAGTGGGCACACCACAACCGAATTCTCCCCCTGCACACTTAAGTGGGAACATTAGCCATATTCATCCATCATCCCTATGCAGCTATCCGCAATATATCAAAACTTTCCTTTTGAAGAATCTTCGTCAACATGACTGATCCATTTTCTCCTGTAGGATCTTCTCAAGCTTGTAACAGCTTCATTCCAGACACACTCCGCTGATGCTAGTGATAGAATGGAAGGAGGAATTCTTTCCAGGTGAATTGAGGCTTTGACTGTCACGACACGGCTCCCCCGTGCAGCTATAATCTATTAGATCTCCACCATTCTTGTACCGCCGCTACAACTTTGCGGGACACGCGCCCGATCTCCTTTTGTCGGGAAAAGCTTTTCCCGACACCAAGGCACTTACCTGCAGATCTGTTTCATTTCTTCCTTCTCTCCATCCGTCAGAAGGGCACTGTTTAGAACTCAGTTTGTAAAGTGATTAGTAAGAGGACAACTAACCGCTTTATGCATTCTCATTCTAAACCGTTGAAGTTACTTCTCAATGTACTTATCACCTTGTGACAACCATTAATGTTTCTTGGCTCTTCGATTCGCTTGTAATCATACATCCAAGAATCTGCTTTGCTGGGTCCCAAGTCTTTCACTTTAGCAAAAGACTTACTTACCTGTTTCTTCAAGCTAGAATTTCTGGGACCAACAGTCACCATTCAACCACATAGAGCCAAAAAACAATGGTATCATATCAGAGAATAAAAAACAAACAGTGATCTAAAGTCATCTTTCTGTCAAGCCAATGCTCCCCCATAAGACTCAAATTCTTGTACCACTGGGTCTCAAGTGCATGCTTCAAGCCGTAACAAAGCCTTCTTCAGTTTTGCAAACACAATCCTACTTTTTCTACGAAATCCGTCTGGACAGCTCCATGGATATTTCTTCTTCCAAAAATCTCCATTTAGGAAGGTTAGTTCTTTCCAATCCATTTTCTCGATTTCCAGTTCAAAACTGGTTGGCCATCCGAAGCACTGTCCCGAATGATGTCATTTCAACAGCTCTAGCTTTGAATTGTGGTTGGAGCTGTGTTTCTTCCTTGCTTTGCATACTTGAACACCCACTTGTTCTTCAAAAGCCTTCTTGCTTTAGGCAACTTCACTCAGCTTCAAATGTTTCATCCTCATGCAAGGACTTCATTTCATCGTGCATGGCATTCAATCCAGTTCCTCTATGTGTTCATTTTCTATAGCTTCTTAAAGCTTTCAGGTTCTCCGCCCGTCAGTCGTCAGTACATACTCATTGACTGGATATCTATGTAGCATGGTTGTCAGACTGTACTAGATCTTCTTTAAATGTTTGAGGAACCTTCTGAGCTGGTGGCTGAACATGAACACACAATTCATCTGGTTCATTGTTCATTAGGGAAACTTTCTGGATTTTCTAAGCTCTGGCACTTGTTCTTGTGGAACATTTATCATTCATCACAATTCGTCTGCTTCTATCTGATGGACTCTCTTGTACTGTCTTGTTGAATCTTACATCAGATCTACTTGGCACTCTGCTTCAATAATCTTCAAATAGTCTGAATCTTAACAAACTACAGCATTCACGATTTCTTATAATTCGTTTTCGATTGGGTCATAAAACCTATAGCACTATGGTTCTTGGGCCCATTAGCCAATGAATACACACCGTCTAGTCGTGACCATACACGAAGGCGTGCAACCAAATACCCGCAAATGATCATAGGAAACATCCTTCCTGATTTCATACTCTCTCTGGAGTATCATACTTGTTAGAGGGAGAATAGAGTGAACGGCGAACTACTGCTGAGTAACGGGCTTCACCCTAAATTTTTAGACAACCTTGCATCTGTGAGAGCTAAACATCTGACTCTCTCCATCAAAGATTCTGTTTCATCCTCTGCAGGCAAACTGTTCAGTTGCCGGCGTCTTGGGACGATTATCGTTGATGCTCGGAATTGCCATGCTTCTTTACAGAAAGCATCAAATGGCCCGGTGTATTCATCCACCTTATTTGTCCTGCTACACTTCAGCTTCTTGCCTGTTCTGTCTCCAAGAGCCAGTTTAGAAGACTACATGATGCCAACTGTAATCCGGTCCTTCCTAGAATGGTCACTCGATAATTTCACAACATATCGAAATTCCACATATGATATACGTTCAATGGTCCACACAAATCTGAATGAATCAGATCTAATACATTCTTCATTCTCAGAAGGGGGTAATTCTTGAAAGCTACTCTGTGTTCGCTTTCCGCCATACAATCAGGACGCTTGTTAGTTGAACTTCACCCATCCAGGTATACGTTCGTTCTTAGCCCAAAGTTTCTCATCATGTGACATGTCCGTTTATATGCCATAAAGAGTCAAACTAGTACTGTTCATTTCTTCCGTTACACTCAAGTGTCTTGAGAGAGTTTCGCATGCATCACGTACAGCTTATCGGTCTTAGCTACCACAAATGACCCTTGTGCAGCTTCAATGACCATATCTGAAGGTGCTACAGAACCTTCAGTCATCAATCTGCCAACTTGAGATTTTGACGCATGCTCAAAAGGCCCATTTCCTCATCAGTCTTTGTCATCCGGTTTAGTTCAATTAAACACAGGCAAAATGCATTTTATCCATTAAGGAGCATCTCTCATTTTCCATAATATGGTAATACGCGCTATTCAGAACTTTGATGATTTTGCTTGTTCCATATTTGACTTGTGCAGAATCATTTCACCAACATAAATCGTTTATACGTGAACAGTAGTATAACGTGAATAGTGACCATGAATAGTAACAGTATACTCGATAGTAACTGTATGCATATGAATAGTAACTGTACACGTCAATAGTACTATGCGTTGGAATAGTTGCCTGGGCTTACTTGAAACGGACTCCAGCAAGCACTAACGCCAATAGTAACGCCAATTGTAATATTCACCTCAACCACAAGTTACTATTTTACTTATTCATCACTGAAGTTCAATATCTGCAACGTCTTTCCGAGCGGACAACACCAATGGACTCGCTTGTAATTTTGCTCTTCATCATGGTATCTTTATTTTTCAAAATTATATCCACGGATCCGGTTTACCGCTTATCTGGCGACTAGGAACCTGCCGAAACCTTCGGCTCTGATACCAGTGTTAGGCATCAGCTTATAACCACTTGTTAGGAATCAGCTCTTGCATACAGATCGTTGGGCCTTTCAACCATTAAGAGGAAAAATTAACGGCAGCGGAATACATAAATTGTGACACACAGATATTTACCGTGGTTCACCCTCAACTGTTTAGGGCTATGTCCACGGGACAAAATCCAGGCGCACAATCATTCTTTCACATAGGTGTGCCGGCTGTCTTCTCTCACACGCAGATGGTACAGGGTTATATAATATAAAAATAGTTCGGCACTCCACAGTTTTCCCAAAAAACACGTGAAATTAATTTCCTCACTATTTTTTCACCCCTAATTTTAAGGAAACTCATCCTAAACTAGAAAACTCTCGTCGTACATTTTTTTCTTCTTTCTGTGTGTGTGTTGTGCCGTTCATGCTCTGCCTTTATTTAATAGGCAGGGTTAACGCGGTGGAATGCCGTGTACCAACTCTTTCAAGTTTGCACCGCCATGTTGCTATCACTGTGAACTGGCTTGCTCCTATTTTTTTCTTACTGTTCACACATTGTGGGTCCCATTTAAGTGGGCACACCAACAACAAAACCCAATAAACACAGGGTTTAATTGATAAAGAAGAATCATCAAGTCTGTATCTCTCTTGTCCTTCGATCCTGGTTACGAAACCCAATAAACACAGGGTTTTACATGATAAGATCCAACAACAAGACCATCTCATTGTTCGAATCCTGGTACGCTAGAAAGAACAGCTCCATTGGAAAGAAAGAGCAAGATGTTTTGAACGAGATGATGCATGAAGGTGTGTTTACAGAGCTAGGGCTTACAGTAAGGTTTCTGGACACACTTTACTTTAGTGGGTTTTGCCAAGATAGCAGGGACATCAAGGCTGTTATTACTGTTCATGCCAATTGTTGCCGAACGATAAGTGCCAAGATTGCTGATCTGACGGCTGTCATTGAACATTGGAAGGGGATCAACACCTTCCCGTCGGTCAACGGTACATCCACATTTGCAAGTTTGAAGCATGAAGCCTGCAAGAATTCGTGGATTTGACCTTCAATTTGGATAGGTTTATGAATTACATACTATTAATTGATGAAAATGGAAGTAAATTAGGTTCAGCCAAGTTTTTACTTAATTCAATTTTTTAGTATTTTTAATTAGTAACATATATTAGTATTTTTTCAGTAACACAGAATAAATATTTTTTTCCAAAAATAAAATAAATGTAGTGGAAAGACAGATCTAGTATGTACACTTTAATAGATATATAGATATAGATGCATTATATTGAAAAAAGATTTATGTTTACTAAAAAAGGAGTAATAAAATAAAGAGTGTGACCGGTGCGATTAATTTATGAATCAGTTGACTATAAACCCTAGCCTTCCAAGCTAGCGATGCGGGCTCGATTCCCGCTAGTTCAACTTGCTCGTGGTCTTGAACCAGCGAAGCATATCTATATCTATATTCCGAGAGAGGAAAAAATAATGACTATGTATAATTAGCTTTAGGGACGTTTTTCACAGTTTCAGAATCTCAAACCTCAAGAATTAGTTTTCTGACTCTAAAATAAGACGAAGAAAAAAGAAAACGAAAGCCCTCCATAGAAAACAATATATGTACAAAATAAGAAGAGGATGCAACGGACACTCATGACCTCACGTACTTTAAGGTTTCCAAGTACTGGCCTATAAATTGCAATCTTCCTAAATCAATTAACATCAAGAAAAACAAATAAATCAATCTTCACAAAATGGTTAAACACCTCTCTTTCACAGCCTTTCTCCAATGTACCATTCTTTCCATTCTTCTTGCAGCCCTCACGGTTTGCTCTAATGATGCGACGCCAATCCCTCCGGATAAATCCCAAGTACAAAGTTGGTTTGCTGCCCATGTCAAGCCACTCGCAAGCCGCAAGGGCACCCTAAATAGCACCCTCGAAGCAGCCGAAGCTAAACCAAAGACCATTAAGGTTAGACAAGATGGAAGTGGAAACTTCAAGACTATAACGGATGCTGTTAACAGCGTCCCAGCGAAAAATGCGCAACGTGTGATTATAGATATCGGACCTGGAGTTTATACTGAAAAAGTCACGATTCCAAGAGAGAAACCCTTCATTACATTTCGTGGACCACCTAAAATGGCAACCTTACAATTTGGTGGTACAGCTGCTAAATATGGAACAGTTTATAGTGCTACATTACAAGTGGAGTCTGAGTTTTTTGTGGCAGCAAATCTCATTATTAAGGTTAATCTCTTAACTTGTGTTTCTTATACTAGTTTTGTTCCTATATACACAATAATTACATTTGAATTTATGGATTTGTTGTTGGTTTAGAATACTGCACCACAGCCTGATGGGAAAAGAAAAGGAGCCCAAGCGGTAGCTCTAAGGACTGGTGCCAGCATGCAAGCTTTTTATAATGTAAGACTGCTTGGATTTCAAGACACACTGTGTGACGATAAAGGTTTTCATTTCTTCAAGGATTGTTACATCGAAGGCACTGTCGATTTCATTTTCGGAAGTGGGAAATCCATTTATCTGGTAACAAATCTTTGCTTCAAAACTCACTAAATCTGTTTACATAGATGGATCTAATATTAATTTACATATGAAATGCAGAATACACAGTTATATGTGCTCGAAGAGAAAGATGCTCAGATCATAACAGCACAAGCAAGGGAAAAAGAAGGAGAAGATATTGGGTACTCATTTGTTCATTGTGACATTAAGGGAGTAGGAAATAGAGCATTCTTGGGCCGAGCATGGATGGCTATGCCTAGGGTGGTGTTTGCTTATTCTAGTATGAGCTCGGTTGTCCATCCAGAAGGATGGTCTAATAATAACCATCCAGAACGTGAAAAGTAAGTAATGTTTAAGTTAAATCAATTTAAATCCATCAAATGAATATACATATATAGCTCATTGTTAAAACTGATGGCTGGAAAATGAAGGAAAATAGTGAAATTAGAAACTGAAATTTTTCTAGCAATAGAAATTCCAATTAACCAAGAAGCCATATCTAAAGAAAGTTAAATAAATTTTGCAGGAATCTTTATTTTGGAGAATTCAAGAACACTGGACCAGGATCAAATCCAAAAGGGCGTGCTAAATTTAGCAAGCAGCTAAGTTTTGAAGAAGCCAAACCCTTCCTTACTCTTGGCTTTATCAAGGGTTCTAGTTGGTTGCTTCCTCCTCCATAGATATAAAGAGTTTATTCATAAATATATATACACACACTATACAATAAGGACAAGATGTCTGCAAATCTCATGCACTAATTCCAATTTTTTGCTCTTGTGTTTTCCTGAGTTTATACCTTGTAAGCAAACAAGATTGCTCGAATAAATACAAATCTGGTGTTGAATATATTTTCCTTTTGTAAATGTACAATGTTGACAAGTTTTTATATTTTATGATTCTTAATTAGCTCTTGAAGATGCATAAAAACTATATTATTTTATTATGTTTAATTTATATACACTAAAAAACAGAGAAATCATTATAAAATTCTCAGGATGCAAGGATAAAAATTTTTCAATTCATGTCTTTCATATGTTTTTAGGAAAAGTTTGAAAAATTTTGAATTACAATATACGAGACTAACATAAAGAGCTTTGTTTGAACTTAATTAAACTTTTATTATTGAAATATGTAATAATAAGATTTGTTTGTTAAATTAACATTGAATGAAACCAATCAATTAACCCATAATTGTTAAAATTTCGATACGATACCGCATCATATAATGAGATAGAATAACAATTCAACAAAAATAAAATAAAATGCCTTTTAAAAGTATAAAAAAAAGACATTTACTGAAAATTTAATCCACGTATTTTGCATATATATATATACTGAAAACAAAAAAGGAGAAAGAAAAGCTACTTTGATGGGTCAATAGTTAATTAAAATATTTTTTGAACTTTGTAAATTAATTAATAATATTGATATTAGTGAAAATTAAATAAATTTATAAATGTATTTTATTAGAAGAAAAAAAATGTTGAATTCATGCCAGAATTCCATATAGAAATGAGAATGTACTACACATGGTAATTAACCATGCAGAGGAGAGGGGAGAGCAAGGAAGGGTATTCAAATTGGAATGCTAAAGAAAAAACAAAAAAAGAAATGGAGTTTGTTAAAATGAGGTTAGAATTAATGTTTTAAAAAATTATTAGGATAAAAAAAAAGGAATTTTTTTCTTAGTTCCATTCCCAGTATATTACTTTTTTTTTTTTTTTTTTTTTAAAAAAAAAAAGAATTTGTCTTTGTCCATTCCCATATATTATTTTTTTTTTTTTTTTTTTTTGTGTGTAAATATATTTGATTTTTAAATAAAAAATATTCACTCATCAATTGTTTCATAGCCCATAGGCCCAGTTTAGATTTTTGATGGGCTTAGACCTAAGCCTTTGACTAGACCCTAACATTGGGTGGAATCAGTGGGCCTGAGAATAGATATACAAAAGTAGCCAGCTGAAATTCGTAAAATTACAAATTAACCTTTCTCCCCCAATCTGTCGAATCGATCAAAGGATATCAGTATCACATGCTCACGCGCACACCCACCTCCCGATCCCTAGCTAGTTTATATGTTTTATTCCCAAATTTAAAACCCCAAACCCAAACCCTATTAGTTTCAGAAACCAATTTTCCACGGGAGAAGAGAGATGGATCCGCACGAAGAGCAAGAGCATGAGGTGTACGGAAGTGAAATTCCAGACGAGGGAGAGATGGACGCCGATATCGATATGTCTTCTAGGCTTGAGGAAGATGAGGACCAGGGCCCTAACTCCAAGGTCGTTCTCGTGTTTTTCTCTTTCTCAGTTTTGTCTAAGATTATAGGTTTATTTACCTGATTTTCTCTGCATTTTCCTCATTTGAATGGATTAGGATTTGGAGGACATGAAAAAGAGACTGAAGGAGATCGAAGAAGAAGCTGGCGCTCTTCGCGAAATGCAGGCTAAGGTTGAGAAGGAGATGGGCGCTGTCCAAGGTAGACGCTTCTTATATTTGTGTGTCTATGTTATATTCTTACTTCTAAATTTGTTTGACTTGCGGAAAAGAGTAGCTTGGTTTATTCTAAATATTTGTGGATCTTTAAATTCATATTTTATCCTAGTCTATAAACTTTTGTATAGTCATAGATGTTCACTTTTAGATAGCAATGTGTGTGTAACTTGTTAATTTCAGGTGGCAATTGATTGAAATTTGGGAATTTTGAATTTATATTTCTAGCTAACTTAAGAAAGGGTACTAGCAAGTGCATAACTAGCACATTAGCTCATTACTGGATATATACTGATGTCCTTTTAAGATTTTATATTTTGTTTAACTTACAAGCATTTCCTGTTTTTCTTCTAAATTTAGATTCTACTGCATGATGCAATTCTTTAGTTAACAGTTCAACTTACTGTTGCTTATACATCTCTTTCCCCCTTTGAACTTGTGTAAAGATTCCTCAAGTGCTTCTGCGACTCAGGCTGAAAAGGAGGAGGTGGATGCCCGCTCTATCTATGTTGGTAATGTGAGGGTTAACTATCCTTATTCTTCTTGTTTTTTTTCCTTTTTTTTTTTTTTTCCGTAGTTAGTGTCCTTGTTCTCTATGATGTTTAATTTGTTGGTTTCCACTGGTATTTGCATGAATCATTTGGATTATGTTCATCTATTTTGATATTTAAAAATTTATGTCCTGTATTTAAATAATTTAGCTGCTCAAATGGTGCTTTGTCTATTTGTTTCTGGCTAAGTCGTTGTGTCTATCAATCTCTCATGTGTGGACCAATACCACACACTGTATTATCAATTATTTATCCTAACTGATGAATTAAAAACATCTATATTAGTGCTAATGCTTATATTTTGCCATTGATTAAATCTCATTTGGGTTAGTTGTGTTCTTTCATGTTCTGATGTTTGTACAAGTTTAGAGACTTGAGCAAGCATATTTGAGAGAGTGGAATATGGTTCCAACTTCAATTATGTTTTTCACTTCAGGTAGACTATGCCTGTACCCCTGAAGAAGTCCAGCAGCATTTTCAATCTTGTGGAACCGTTAACAGAGTGACAATTTTGACTGATAAGTTTGGTCAACCAAAAGGATTTGCTTATGTTGAATTTGTAGAGGTTGATGCTGTTCAAAATGCCCTTTTGTTAAATGAATCAGAATTGCATGGCCGTCAGTTAAAGGTATTTTAACTTGTTCTCTTTGCTGGTTATTGTTCTGTGAACTTGTTTATATGATTATAGTGGTGTCTTGTTTATCCTTAGGTCTCTGCGAAGCGAACCAACATTCCTGGAATGAAGCAGTATCGAGGAAGGCGTCCAAACCCTTATTTTGGGTTCAGATCCCGAAGGCCGTTTATGCCTGCTGCCCCATTCTATCCTCCATACAGTTATGGGTAAGCATATAACCCTTTTGGTCACTTGGGATTATGAAGGAATTACGAGAAAAAATTTTATCTTGCATTTCTTTGCAATTTACTCAAGTCCATGCATGTTTAATTTCTCACGTTGTTTAATATATAATAGATGGTGTAATTTGATAATTTTTATGCCTTTTTTCAGCTGTGATTTGAACTTTTCTTGCCCAAAAAGGATATCTTAATATTTTAAGGCAGGATTAAAAGGCTTTTGGTTCACAATCTATAAGAAGGACTAAAGTTTTGAGATACTTTCTCAGTTTACAGTTTCATTCTTTCTATTAACTACGAATTTTGAATTTTGGATAGAGTACTGGACAAACCTCTTAATTGGTAAGATACATAACCAAGGTATTGCCAGTACATTGTTCTGTAGCCCATGTATGGGATTAGGTTGTTCAATTTAATGAACTATACACCTTATTCGCATCTTAAAAGGGACAGCAAATTGTTAGTTAACTTTGGGATATGATATTGTTTTCTTCATTAGCATTCATTTATTTCAATATTTTTGGTTCATGTGCATCAGAAATGAGACTGATTGTTTGTCATAGTCTTTTCTTGGGAGAAGCCTCAGTCTGGAGGCTTTTCCAGGTACTGTTGGATTAGAAGAAGAATTTTCTTCGTTGCATTAGCATTAAAGAACATGATATCTTTTCATTGGAGAGTTAGTAGTCCGTTAATCCAGACTAGAACTTCTGTTGCATGAAAGTAATTTAAAATGCTGGCTACTATGTATATATATAAGAACTTCTGTTGCATGAAACGTAAATTTAAAATGCTGGCTACTTATGTATATATATATATAATATATTATATAATATATATATATATATACGCCTTTTCCCTCTTTTGATAGCTGAAGCTCATCCTGATGCATCTATGTGAGTGCAAAATGCATGTGGAAATATGTATATATATATATAGCCTTTTCCTCTTTGATAGCTGGAAGCTCATCCTGATGCATCTTGTGAGTGCAAAATGCAGTGAAATATGTATATTCGCAGTGATGGTTCATGTTAATTTAATCTCATGTGCAGGAGGGTTCCAAGATTCAGACGACCTATGCGCTACAGGCCATACTAGTGGAACCATTTTGAAAAGGCCATTGATTCATGGATTATGATGGTCACATCAACATTGGGGTTTAATGAAGGGACAGAAGGACTTGTATCATCATTTGCATGGCGAAGGCCAGTCTGATTTTTCTCAAATTAATAGCTTGCAGGCAGGAGTGCTAGATTCTTGTGAATCGAACAAATTACTTGCTTTATAGGGGATAAAGGGGCGCCAGATGTGCAAATGTTGTGGAATGTTATTTTTTCTTTCATGTATTTACGAATTCATGATCTAAGATTTAAAGTTTCAGTGAGGTTAAGTTCAAACTTCAGGGGTTATATGATTGGCCACGTGATGCCTTTGTAGTTCAGAAATCATATTGGCAAGTTAGTTATTTTACAGATTAGCTATGGCCTGTTTGCCTCTGGCGATTTATTGTTCAATTTCATGTTTTAATCAAACGTTACTTAACCGTGATGACTTTGGCATTTCAACTAATATATTTGACTACTCTGTTTAGCACCTTGTTTAGGGGGTGTAAAATTGAGTCGGTGTGTCCAACTCGGATTAACACAAACACAATCCATTTAGAATGTGGTAAAATGAGTTATAGTTTAGGGGTGTAAAAATGAGTTGGTGTGATCAACTGCGTAATCCGTTTAATTAAATGGATAAAGTAACGGTCCATTTAATTAAATTAATAGAATAATGGTTTAGATGAGTCAATTCGTGACACATTCATTTATATTGTGTCATGTTCGGATCATTGTTTATGATATAGATTCATTTTTAACCCTTTGGATCACATACAAATTTATTTAGCTCAATCCGGACTCATTTAATTTCCATATAATTCGTTTAAACTCAACTCTAACTCATATAACTCAAACTCAATCCTAAGTCATAGATAATTTCTGCATTAGGTAAACAGAACTCGATGGTTGAGTAGATTTGATTATTGATGTAAGAGATGCAATTAATTAGGTTACCTTAATCACGGTAAATCATGGTAGAGTGATCTTGATTTTTTGAACTGCATTGGGTTACTTCTTTCTTTGGGCCTCTGTTTCATAATCCTCTACGTTGTTGACAGAGTTTAGGGCCTCAGGCAGCCCAACCTATTCTTAGCACCAAAATAAATTAATTAAATTTTTTTTAAACGAAATCCACTGTGCTTCCGAAATCGAAACTCGCTTCCACGCTCTATCTCTCTCCCCGATTTGATTTTCTGGGAACCGCGACTTTTGAATTTATCTTATAATTGAGGTAATCTCTAGCTGTATTTTGCAGTTCCTTCGATTTCTTTTATGTTTATCTTCGCTAATTATGCTTACTCTTTTTTTTTTTTTTTCTGTAAAAGAAGGTTTCAATGGCTTCTTCTAAAGAAACCGATGATACTCTCGATAATCCATCATCGTAAGCCTCTGTTTCTCTTTATAAATTTCTTGTCAACATCCTTTTCTTTAACATTTTTTTATTTATGTTAATTATTTATTTTAGTTATTAATTTTAATATGTTGTTGTTCATCGGTTTAGATTGGGTTATATTACTTAAGTAGTTTATTTAACTTAGTGAGCTGAGCTTTTTTGCAAATTGATTGCTTTTCTGTAGAAAGTTTGCTTTTCTTTTCTCTTCTCTGTTGCAGCTTACAGCCCTCTTTTTTTTTTTTTCTTTCTCTTGGGTGGTGGGAGTAATTTTTAGGCCAAAAAACATATACAAGGATCCAGATGATGGACGACAACGATTTTTGCTTGAGTTGGAATTTGTCCAATGTCTTGCGAATCCCACTTATATCCATTGTAAGTTCATGACTTCTTTTTGAATTTCACTTTAATTTTGGCATTGAATACCCTCTTAAATCACCTGTATCTTCAGCAATAATATATCCCCTGGCCCATATTCTTTGAAATTTGAGTGTTGTAGGTTTTGCTTTCGAGTGCTTAAGTACCAGAAATGCTTAATTGCGTCAATGCATTTTTCAAACTCAAAGCAAACTGATTTTAGAGTGTCTTGTCTTCCTGATTTTTTCCCCGAGAGTTATATATGAGTTATCCCCTTTAAGATGTCAAAGCATCTGAGATATTTTTCAACCAACTTTTACCTTTTATTTCCTTCTTATATCTTGGAAGCTTCTATCAGGATGCAACTGTTAGTTAAAAAATTTAAATACATTGCACCTGTTCATTTGTTGATTTGTTGCTGTCTGAATCTTAGGAGTATGAGTTAACGAGTTCATGTATTTTAGTTGCTCTTTTATTGCTCAGGCATCAAAATTCACTTATTAGCACCCTCATTTGCATTTCATGCTGATGCTGGTTTCTCAAATTTTTTAATTGTAGATTTGGCTCAAAATCGCTATTTCGAAGATGAAGCGTTTATCGGCTACTTGAAATACCTTCAGTACTGGCAACGACCTGAGTACTTGAAATTTATAATGTGAGCTAATCTGTTAAATGCATGCCAGGGTATTGTTACTTTAACAAACTTTGGCTTTCTGATTATGAAATGAACTAAAATGATGTGAATTTTATTTTATTTTTTATTCCATTTTTTTACTTTTTTTATCCATGTGATCACCATCTGATGTGATTCCAGGTATCCTCATTGTCTATATTTTCTTGAACTACTTCAAAATGCAAACTTCCGCAATGCAATGGCACATCCTGGCAACAAGGTTAGATTCTTGTGTTTTTTTATTGCCACCTTGAAAAATAATGATGTGAATAATTATCATTTATGCTTAGATATTTCTTTAATAATTAATGCCTGTATAAGAGTTGGCTCTTTCCAGTTTACAAGCTCATTCAACTGATGCAGATTTATTTCAGATGGGATTCAAAATGGATACTCTGAGATATTAAATTTTGTTTCTGCTTTTGCTTTATATTTTTATTAATAATGTTAGCATCTGGCTCAACATTTCCTGGCTTATTAACTGATTAGTGACTGGAGACTTGATCTATGTTGTTTGCTCTTGAGGAATCGTGCCCTAGAGTTTAGTTATATCCTCATCCTGGTCTACTGCTATTCAGTGAGTATCTTGAAAGTTGCTATTAGGTAGAATCTTATGCATTTTGAGTTAGCGATAGCTCAGGACAGATGAGGTGATGGCGTCTATTTTTGTAGGGTCTTCTTGTTTCTAATTTCCATATTAAAATGACTGTCTAGAAGGATAAATTTTAATCTTTTCATTGTCCAAGAAATATGCATATTTTTTGTTTACCATCAAGTGATAACTCAGTTTTATGTTTGTTCCGGGGCAATTTTAGTCTTACTTTCTTTTATGTGAATCTTTAGGAGTTGGCGCATAGGCAGCAATTCTTTTTCTGGAAGAACTATAGAAACAACCGATTGAAGCACATTTTACCTAGACCACTACCTGAACCTGCGCCTGCACCCCCAGCTTCTGCTCCACTTCCACCTCCTGTGCAGCCAGTACCACCTATGCCTGCAACAACCATTCCTGTCCCAGCTGCTCCTGCCTCAGCACTTTCTCCTATGCCATATGGCATGGCACCTGGTTCTGCCCTTGCAAAAAATGACATGAGGAATGCTGGAATTGATCGAAGAAAAAGAAAGTATGAAATTTATTGATTTTCTGATTCATTAGTTGGGCAATTATACTGATTTCATGCTCTCTCTCTTGTCTATCATAAAAGATCATGACGTATCAGCATTCTTATGCACATGTTGCTTCTTTATTGCAGAAAAGAAGTTTAACCTGCTATCAGCTGACTATGAAAGCAGTGGGGCAAACATATCTGCTGAGGTAGCTATACATACTCGTCCATTTATTTTATGAAACTGAAAAGGTGTGACAAAATCTAGATCATGATTGTCCATTGAATGATTTGTGAATTATATGTTCTTTTTTTCTAGGCATCAATCATCTGTTTCGCAACTGTTTGATTGCCATCTTCTCATATTATGCACAGTGAAAAATTGGCTTACCCTCAAAAGTTTTGCTGAAATACTTGTCAACTGAATGAATGTCATGAAAGCCTCAAGAAATTGTCAGCTCCAAAGTTTTTAGATGCGGTCAGCATCAATCTGGAATTGCTTACCTTTTCTATTGCTGGTTTTCAGTGTATGTTTGTCTTTATATATTCTTTGCAATAATTTCAAAAAAATATTTGATTGCTCTAATCTAACTTGTTAAGTGAAAGGGATCTTTTGCGGAACTATCGGAAAAGGTATCAGAGATTAGTTAGTTTACCATCTAAATTGGCTTTTACATAGATGACTGGCTTAACTAAGATTTTAATATTGATTTTTTACCTGAAATTTTTATTGAATCTGAAGCCCGAGCTCTGTAAAATAGTGGAAACAATTTCTGCTCTGTGTGATGGAGAAGATAATATAATTCTACTCTCATATGAAAACTCCACTGAATAGGGTATGTTTGGGAGGATGGACGGAATCAAAATGGGTCAAAAATTTACCCAGCTAATAGTATATAATCAAAAAACATTTTATCCTTTTTAAGGTATTGAGTCAAAATATTACAAACCAAATACGTTTTTCACCCTTCCAAACGGTCATAATATTGGCGTTGAAACAGTTGTGTATGGTGTGGAGGAGTATTTCAATTAATGAATGACATCTTATTCACATGGGTAATATAATATTGCAACAGGCTGTTAAATAAGCGTGGAAACACGTGTATCAAAAAAATATAAAAAATAATTGAGCTGTTTTACTAATCTCCATCGCTTTCATGTTCTTGGCGATAAGAGCGTAAGATGCCATGCCACGTCATTCTGCGTCACTGCTTTCGCTTAGACGCGGCGAAAAAAACACCCGCGGCTCGCTACGTCAATCGCCTACCAAACTTAAGTTTTCTATTGAGCCAAAAAGTTGTTAAAAACTAACCAACTACTTCCTATGTGGATATGTGATTGGTGACTCAGATGAGTAACGTAAAGCACTTGATTTCCTAATATGAAAATAAATGGATCATGGTCAACGGTCCAGATTTCCCCAAAAATCCTGGACTCAGTTATATACGAATAGATTTTTCACGTCCTGAATTTCTGCCCTTCTCCGTCTAAAATTTGGATTGTCCTCTTTTGCACGTTACGCATCATTATCCTTTACACATTACGTATCATTTGTTTTGAAATTGAAAAAAAATAAACCAAAAAGTTTTTTTTATTAATATACTAAATTTATTATAGAGCTATTAATTATTAAATTCAATTATTATATATAAATAACTAAAATTTATGCCTTTTAACATTTTAGAATGTAATGATAAAAACACAAGTATTAAATTTATTAATTGTTTGAATTTTTAAAAATAATATAATACAATTATATATTTTGCACAGTACGTGGCACATAATTAGCTTTTCAATTAATAATTTAGTCAATTATGGATAACACCTCATCCAATATTCAATTTCAACTATACCCAAATAACCAGGATAAAGGAACAATAAAATAAACATGTCCTTGTATCTATTTAATTTTCTTTTTTTTTTAAGTATAGGTAAATAAAAAATAAATTGATTATGGACAGCAAAATAAAGAATAATCAAACTTTGTCATGTTTTCAAAAAAAAAAAAAAAATCAAACTTGTCAACTAAATTAACCTTAATATTTGTGCTGCCACGTAACACCTCAAAGTGAAAAATAAAACAATAAATTTAATTATTTACTTTTTTGGTCATTATTTGAAATACCAAACTAAGCAAAAGCAAATTAGAAAGGTTTAATGACAGGGATATTATTGTAAATTGAAGTTTTTTTTTTTTTTTTCCACAAAATTGAAAGTTTTTTTTTTTTTTTTTATTCTTTTTTTTTTTTTTTTTCCACTAAACGACTCTCTCTCTCTCTTTCAGTCTCTCCCTTTCTTTCCTCTCTTTAAAATCACGATTATCCAGAGAGTTCACACCCCAATGGACCAGTGATATACGTGCTCATTCACTACCTTCCCTTTATATTATCGGTCTGCCAATTCCCGTTTCTAATTCATATTTGCTTTTTCTTTATCCGGTTGCTAATCCATTTCAGCAGTGGCGTTGTATTTTGTTTTTCTGGATTCTATTGTTTTCAAGATTCTGTAGGCAGCAGCTATGAACGCTCTTGCAGCTACAAACCGAAATTTTCGAAACGCCGCACGGATTCTTGGGTTGGACTCTAAAGTCGAAAGAAGTCTTTTGATCCCATTTAGAGAGATCAAGGTATACAAATTAGAAAATTAGCAAAACAACTGAGTCTTTCATTTGTAATTATTTGTGGATTTTGCACAGAAGGATTCTGTTTTTGATTATGCTGTGGGTGGCTTGATCAGGTGGAATGCACCATTCCTAAGGACGATGGAACTTTGGTGTCATACATCGGATTCAGAGTGCAACACGATAATGCTCGTGGGCCCATGAAGGGAGGCATCAGATACCATCCTGAGGTGTTTGATCGCAATATTTTCTGCTTTGTATTCAAAATTAGTTTGCTGTTTTCGTGTTTGAGACTTTACCAATTAACGTGTATTGGGATGCTTCATGTTAATTGTTTAATTTATTTTTCCACCTCCTATATTTCCATCGGTGATCCATCTTGTTGGTTTTCAGATTTAGAATTTACCAAATTATGATTTCCTGTCCCCTTTCCTTTTCCAAATTATGAAGAGCGATTTCACTTGAAACTGTTTCTCCAAGTCCTCTCAGATTATTTCATAATGTTATGATTTAGAATTGATTTTGAAGTACATATTTCCTTTTGTTTCCCCCTGGAAGGTTGATCCTGATGAAGTCAATGCATTGGCTCAACTGATGACATGGAAGACTGCTGTGGCAGACATACCATATGGTGGAGCGAAAGGAGGGATTGGATGCAGCCCGAGGGAGTTGAGTTTAAGTGAGCTAGAACGACTTACCCGTGTCTTTACTCAGAAGATCCATGATCTCATTGGTACTCATACTGATGTTCCAGCACCAGATATGGGCACTAATTCACAGGTATTTTCATCTGCACTGATTTCTTTTAATAGTATATTTGTTCATATGTTCACTTTCTCGAATTTAATTAATTTAGTCATAATTAGATGATAAAATATGTAAACAGACAATGGCGTGGATATTGGACGAATACTCAAAGTTTCATGGTCACTCACCAGCTGTTGTGACAGGAAAGCCTATAGTAAGTGTTAAAGACTGTTATTTTCCAAGTGTTTGTGTGTTAAATTTGAAACTGTCATCTTAAAGCAGAATAAATAATGCTTATCTCCTCATCTATCTCTTATCCATATTTGTTACTAGGATCTCGGTGGATCACTGGGTAGAGAGGCAGCAACTGGTCGTGGAGTTGTTTATGCTACTGAAGCTTTGCTTGCTGAATATGGGAAATCCATTAAGGGTTTGACATTTGTGGTTCAGGTAATCTCGAAAAAAAATTTCATTTCTGAATTTGGTTATCATTTAAATTACATTCTTTTATGTGATTGTTATTTCATTAAAATATTGCTAATTTAACCCTTTTAATTTTCAGGGTTTTGGGAATGTGGGGTCTTGGGTAACAAGGCTCATACATGAGAGAGGTGGGAAGATTATAGCAGTGAATGACATCACCGGTGCAGTCAAGAACCTGAATGGACTTGATATACCAGAATTGCTCAGGCATAAAGAATCCACTGGTGGTTTGACAAATTTTCACGGTGGAGACTCCATGGATCCTAATGAACTGCTGGTACATGAATGTGATGTGCTCATCCCTTGTGCTTTAGGTGGAGTCTTAAATAGGTTAGCATTTTAACAAGCAACCTGTTCTATGCTTTTCAGTTTCCTATCAAAGTATTGCATGTCTTTTTCAATTTCTAATTGCTACTGCTAGCATTCCTGTTATGTTCTTGGAACTTTATTGTAGTTCTTCCAATTTTATTTCTTTTACTAACAATCACATGAACCTCAGCTAATTTTGCCTATTTGTCCCTTTGAAGGGATAATGCTTCAGATGTAAAGGCCAAGTTCATAGTAGAGGCAGCAAACCATCCAACTGACCCAGAAGCAGATGAGGTAACTTTACACCTCTGCTTTTGCTGTTTACTACAGAAAGGTGGAGAAAGATTTTTATGGTTCTTATTTATGAGATTTTGATATTGCAGATTCTATCCAAGAAAGGAGTTGTAATACTCCCTGATATATATGCAAATGCTGGAGGTGTGACTGTCAGCTACTTTGAGTGGGTTCAGGTAACATATTGAAAAACTAAGATGGATTAAAAAATATATTTTCTTCTTGATATTATATTATCAAAGTTTGAAGAGCCTATATACACTGATCATCTGAAACTCCACTTGGAGGCCTAGAATGTTATTAGATGGTAGAAAAATGAAGCCAATTGCCTGATTCCCCAAACATACGACTTCCGGTGGAGTGCCACATAAATATTCTGAATTGTTTTGCTTTATTTTTATACCTAAAAAGGATGAATATGTTCCCATATATATATATTATTTTATAGCCTAAAAGGCATGAATATGTTCCAATATATATATATATATATATATATAATATAACAGAACGATATGTTGATCAACTGTCCTGGACAATTTATTACTCAAATTTCGGAACATTGTTATTTCTTAGTTCCATTATTTAGAGGTAGAGGACATAGTGAATGGTGCCTTGAATAACTGAAAATTTCCAATTTTGCAGAATATCAAGGTTTCATGTGGGAAGAAGAACAGGTTGAATAAGGAACTTGGAGGTAGAATATATGACTCGAGCCTTCATAACATCAAGAACAGTGCAAACACATATGACTGCAATCTTCGGATGGGAGCTTTCACCCTTGGGGTAAACCGAGTGTATATATATACAGAACGAATATGTTGATCAACTTCCTGGACAATTTATTACTCAATTTTGGACATTGCTTATTTCTTAGTTCCTTATTTGAGAAGGTAGAGGACATAGTGAATGGTGCCTTGAATACTGAAAATTTCCAATTTTGCAGAATATTCAAGGTTTCATGTGGGAAGAAGAACAGGTGAATAAGGAACTTGGGAGGTATATGACTCGAGCCTTTCATAACATCAAGAACATGTGCAAAACATATGACTGCAATCTTCGGATGGGAGCTTTCACCCTTGGGGTAAACCGAGTTGCACGCGCTACTTTGTTAAGGGGATGGGAAGCTTGAATCAATGTCCTGTTAATCTCCAGTCTCGGATATAACCTGTGGACAACTGAAGGAGACAAATTGGACGCTATTGTTACCCGCTGCTGAATTGATTTTTTTCCCCTTATTTATTTATTTTTTTTTTTTGGAAAAATTACTTCTGGATTAAAGGGTGCCATTTGATAGGGTGGTTTTTATTTGAAAAGAAATGAAAATTATAAAAATTAGATTTTATTCTTTTTGAACAAAAATTGAACTTATATTCGACCAACAGGGTGATTCTTGTAATTTGTAAACCCAAAATCTTGCTTGCTCCTAGTGCAAGAATTTATTTCTCAAGTTAGTTAAAGTTCAAATTTCAAAGAAGATATAATATGTTGTTAAAAGAGTCTCTTTCAATTCTAAAGCTTTTTAGAGTTTTTAGTTAAATTCTTCCAAATAGTCTTAAATCAGATTGTACCTCTAAGAAAAAAGTTCGCACTTTGCTTTCCTTAATGGCAAAGCTGCAATTATCGATGGATTTTCCTTTTTCAGATTTTGCCATATCTTTGGAACCCAACAAAAGATTCAAAAGTCGGGTTCCAGAGAAGCCCATAATCTCACATGAAAAATAAAAGGAAAAAAAAATTGAGGAAAGATAATATTTTTTATTACAAAGGCATGGGCATATTTTCTGCTCCTATCCTCCCATTATCACTAACAGAAACACCAAACAAGCAGAAAAACAAGTCTCCTTGAAAATCCATGGCTTCCATTTCCATTTCCCTTTCTGCTTCATTGCAAAGCGCTTGCAGCTCACATCATTTCACCAAGAAACAACAGCCTCAAATCAAACCTTCACGCTCTTTGGGGTCAAAGCAGGTCACCCATGTTGTTACTCTAAATGTTGAAGATCAAAATAAGGGCTTAAGCATAGCTAAACAACAGGAGAATCCTCCTTTGCACACTCAAGAATTAAAATCAAAGAATTCTGATGACAAATCAAAAACAGAATCCTCTGCTCCAAAATTTATAGATAAGCGCTGGAAGAAGGGAACTTGGGATCTAAATATGTTTGTTAAGGATGGAAATATGGATTGGGATGGTCTTATTGAAGCAGGTAAGTAAATGCCACTTAGATCTTATATGGTTTGCTTTTACTAATTCAATCTATTCAATACTCTGTTTCTTTGGTGTTGCAGAAGCAAAGAGGAGAAAATTTCTTGAATTATACCCAGAAGCATCTACAAATGAAGAACCAGTACTGTTTAGGAGCTCTATAATACCTTGGTGGGCATGGCTCAAAAAGTCATATCTACCAGAAGCAGAGCTACTCAATGGTTTGAAGCCTTAAAAACAAAAAATTTCCAGTCCATATTCTTTCATATTGATCTTTAAAATTGGCACTTTTTTTCATAAATTTTGATGCAGGTAGAGCTGCAATGGTGGGATTCTTCATGTCATACGTTGTCGATACATTGACAGGGATTGATATGGTTGGCCAAACTGGAAACTTGATATGCAAAGCGGGTCTTTTTGTAACTGTTATTAGCATAATACTCCTTAGGCGGACCGATGATTTTCAGAGGCTGAGAAATCTAGCTGATGAAGCTACTTTGTATGACAAGCAATGGCAGGCTTCATGGCAAGACCAGGATGCAACAAGCAGTGGTGTATCTGAGAAAAATGGAAACTAATTGTTCTTGTTGTAATGTATTATTACTTGGCAGAAAGACAAAGAAAAAGTTTATATTGCTTCTTGGAATTACTCTGAAACCTGGAACGTATCCAGTTTTGTATGATGTCGAAGTTGTTAGTTAAGACAAATTGAAAGATCTCTCTTTCTTTTGTAAACTAGAACTCAAAATCAATTAATTGCTTACCATTAAAAAATGTGAAATCCTCTACTGGCTGTGGCTTATACTTCGGTTTCATGCGCTCCGATGTTCACAGTAGCTAATAAACATTTTATCTCCAAGAAAACCAACTAGGAAATAGAAGTACATGCTATATATTTGTAAAAAGGAGATTTTCGTATATTTGTTTTCACGTTAAATCATATTTTTACAATATGAGTCTATTCGGCAGAATTAATTATTTTGATAGTTATTAGTTGTTTGAATAACTTTTCATAAAATTCTAAAAGCTAAATGTTACATGAATTAACTTATTACAAAACACTACGTTAATCTTTAACAGTTAATTAGCTCTATGTTACCGAACACTATAAAAAATAATGTTTAAAATAGCTGCTGCGTACTTTAAATTCTATAATATCATTTGTTTGTTTATATATTTAAAATATATAAACAAAATAAAGGGCAATTTTTAAATAATGAAGGGATTTAAGAATTTTTATTTTCTTTTAAAAAATGTTCTTTAAATTCATGTCAACCAAACAATGGAATGTGAAATTACAAGATTTTATATTCCATTAATTAAAAAAAATATTAAAATTTTTTATAAAAAATGATATAGTAAGACAGTAACATTATATTAGCCCCGTGAGTTTGAAATTACAATTCAATGAAAATAAGATTTACGTTCAAAATATCAAAAGAAGAAAGAAGACAATTATAGTAGTTAGATGAAAGCAGAGAGGTGAGATAAGGGAATGATAACTCACATGAGAAGAATTATATTTCATTTTTTAAATATTTTTAATTTTAGTGGGAAATTAATGAAGAAGTATATTAATTTTAATATAATTATTTTTTTAAAAGCGCCTAGTAAAAGTGGTGGTAGGGATTATTCTCATTCTACGTTGTCTATTCAATTTAAGAAAACATCTTTTTCATGTGATTTCTGATATGCTATCCTTTTCAAGTTGTCTAGTAGGGCTAAAGTGCAATAAATGTAAATTAGGAGGGGAAAATAGAAAAAAACCAGACAGGGAAATACACAATGTGTTCGATGAGCTAATGTAGATCACAGAACAGAGCACCAAATTTCAAATCCAAAACCAAACAATGGAAACTGAACTAGCCAAACAAATCCTTCCTCTCTTCAGCCAATCCACAATTTATATAATCGAATTTCGCCGCCGAAATAATCCCAACCTCCACTAACCTCCACCAAAAAGACGACGCTCTAACTTACTTCTTTTTTCATTTCTTACCCCTTAACTTTTCCTTTTTGTCAATTTCACCACATACTTTCTGTTTGTTGCTCCAAAACACACAGACGTTAAACAGCTCTGTGATCCTCCCTCTCTCTCTGCCTTCTCTTCAACAAAATGCCTACTCTCCCCAAATCTCCGCCTTCGCCACCGTCTCCTCCCCCTCTTCTCCACCAGGATAACTCCGATGCCGAGCGCCGCCTCCGTGAGGCGGAGGAGCGGTTAAGGGAGGCGATAGAGGAGCTCCAACGCCGGCAGCGTAGAGTGGCTCGTGATGGTCCTTATCCGCCTTGTGATCATGCGCCTGACGAGTCGTGCGTGGCACACGCTATCGGCAATCTTTGCCAGACTTTCCTTCTCTCTTACGGCGTTAGAGTCGGTGTCGGAATCTTGCTTCGGGCTTTCAAGCTGGCTAAAAGACAGTCTTACTCATCTCTTCTTGATCTAAAGGTTTTCACTCATGGAAGTTTCGTGATTTTGCACTAGAATTTTGGTTACTTTGCTAATGATCCAACGCCTGAAAATCTAAAGGTGAATTTTTTGTTGGCAGCAACTTGTGTCGGAGAGAGATTTAATAGTGAGAGAAGAAGCATGTCGTGTAGGTTTATTATTTGGGGGATTCACGGGGTCTTATCATGCAATTAGATGTTTATTGAGAAAATTGAGAAGAAAAGAGACTCCATTTAATGCGTAAGTAGTTATATTTCAAACTTTTTAGCTTTATAATAAGATGATCCTATTCCTTATTTATGACATTGTTTAAGGGGATGATGTAGCAGCATTTTAGCAGGTTCGGTTGCAGGGTTGTCTGTTTTAGCATTAGATGATTCTAACCGGAGGCGCACTCTTGCTCTCTATCTTTTGGCAAGGGTGGCTCAGGTACCTTTACATTTTGGAATTGAACTAATAAAGTTTCAAGCTTTATTTTTTTTCTCTTTCTATGTTATTGTTTGATGCTTGTTGTCAGTGTGCATATAATTCTGCGAAATCCAAGAACAAATTTCACCTTTGGGGAAGCCATTGGAGGCACGGCGATTCTTTGCTCTTTGCTTTGGCATGTGCCCAGGTAGATCAGAGCCCATTGATATATTGAATTAAGTTATGCTTATGATTAAATGCCATACTTGTTATTTTACCTGCTATAGATTTGTTCATGTTTTTGACAATTGGAAGAATTGATCTTAAATAGAATTAGGGAGCAAGTGATTAAACAAAGTTGCATCTGATTGCTGTTCTTGGCTAAGAAACTTCTAAGAAGCTGCATATTAGTAACATAGCTCCATTGCCGGTCATGTCTTGTAGGATGGAGTGCTGGCTGGTCAAAATAGCATTGAGGATGTCATGATTAGAGTGCTAATATAAGGTGGCTTAGGTGCAAATAGGGAAAAGGGGGTTATATTTTGTGTAATGTTTGTTTGAATTGAAACAAGTAATTGGGTGTAAGTCACATGTATTTTTGTTGATTCCATGGCTCCATAAAGATGTACCTAAACCAGTGAGGAGTGTTGCAGTTCAGGTTGAAAGTTCTGCTAAGTCAGGGTAGGAATTAGGAGAGAAAGATTGCAAAATGAAGTAGGGATTTGTTGTATGATAAAAGTATCATCATGTTAGTATTTAGTAGCTTTGAGTAATTATGGATTTTGTTGAACTGACTTGATTGGATAAATGTACATTGTATGGTTCAAAGTATTTGAAAACCAAAAGGGGAAATACTATGATTTAATCTTTATTTTAAATGTGAAATGTCATATGAGAAATTTGGGGCTGTTTGCAGCCTGATATCAGACCTTAAAAACATGAAAGCTGAGGATGAATTGAACTGCCAAATTATGTATTTAGTTATTTCTATTTTTGGGTGATGTATATGTTGCCTGATTGACACTGCTAAGATCTATTACTCACCCGAGAAACTCCGTATTTTGCTTCTTCTTGTTTTTGGCAAGTGAAATAAATATTGCTACTTACAACAGTTTTGCACTTATTTGCTTATTTGGACTCCATCAACTTTCATGCCCATTTATCATTTCACTGATTGCCATTATTTTCTCGGGATATTTGAGTGGTAGCTCTCATTTCTTCCTTATTAACCTTTTCCAGGTTATGTATGCCTTTGTAATGCGTCCTGAGAGCTTGCCAAAATCATATCACGACTTTATTCAGAAGACAGGGCCAGTTGCACAGCCTGTATACAAGGCTGTGAGAGATAGCTGCAGAGGTGGCCCAGTAGACATTGCTTCATTATCAGCTTATTTATCTAGCAGAGGGAAACTAAATTCTGTGAAGCTGGAAGAGTTCCCTTCTATTATTCCTTGTAACATTATTCATCCAGACACAAATTCGTGTGTAACTCATAATGCCAATGCAGCATCAGCTACATTCAGGAAAACTTTTCCACTTTACTTCTCTTTGACTTTTGTGCCATATGTTGTTCTACACCTTCAGAAGGTAAATCTTTGACTCAAGCTAATTTCATTACTTTTGAGCTTTCCTTTTATTTGTTTTTCAATTGTGTCTAAATCAGAGGTCAATGATGTGCAAAGACACTCATTTAAGGTCTAACATTTATGTAGACATCACACTTTATATTTGTTTTGCCAAACCAGAACCATTAAGGGAATTGTGTGGTCGTGCTTAAGCAGGGTCTTGGGAAGGAAACTGAGGAAACATAATCACCTTTTAGCAAAATTCAATTTTAAATCTATGATGAACGAAACTATTTGTGGTTTTTTTTATTGTATTTAACTTCAATGATCCATGCCCAGATTCCATCTTTTTCTCTTGTTTTAATTTCAGAAAGGAATTTCTTATTGTATCCGTCTGGTTGTTAAAATATTCTTGAAGTTATTAACTTCCTCTGTTTTGTATTCAAAGGTTACACAAGCATCTCTGTGTATTGCTTCTTAGTTCATATAGATGGTTATTCAATTTATATGAGGCATACCATGGCCAACAACCTTTGATACTAACATGTGATAAACCATACTTTGTGTCCTTTGAGATGGATTTTTTATTTTGACTAGTGGATAATGGGGAATGGTTTTTTTTTGTTTCTATTTAGTCAAGCATGACGGTAATGTCTTACACCTGGGACTAATTTTATCTTTGTTTGCATATTTTTATATGATTGAAGTTCATGGAAGCACCTGCTCGTACATGTTGGCTTGCTTTTAGAGATGCAGTTCGCTCAACAACATTCTTATCTGCATTTGTTGGCATTTTTCAGGTGCTTATTTACTTGGTTTTATTTAAATTTTCTTTTTTAAGCTGGTGAATGTGTTCTTAGTATTTCATGGATGATGCAAGGGGGTGATATGTCTGCATAGAAAAGTTGCAATGGTAGACCACAAGCTTGTGTATTGGGTAGCAGGAGGAATGGCTGCCCTTTCTGTACTGCTGGAGAAAAAATCTAGACGTGCTGAACTCGCTTTGTATGTTATGCCACGAGCTGGAGATTCATTGTGGTATATTTTAATTAACCGCCACTTGCTTCCAGATGTTAAGAATGCAGAGGTATTTCTTTTGTTTACCATTGTACTCTGGATAAAACTCCCTGAAATTCTCTCAAGATTTGCCGACAACCTGTATTCAATTGAAAACTAGGTTTCTTTCTTTATTCTAGTGATTGCTTGCTTCTTTCCTGTACCAATCATTAGAAGAAGGCTACTGACTCAGTCAATGGTCCAGGATTTGGACTTTTATGTGTGGGGAAACATGAGTTTCTGAACTAACTCACTATACACAAATGACAAGTTCTACTAATAGTTGCATACAAAAGAATTACTGGCTTTCTGATGTTACAGGTTGCCCTATTTTGTGCATGCATGGGAGGAATAATGTACTACTTGGAATATGAACCAAGCACTATGTCTCCATTCCTAAGGAGTCTGATCCGTCGCTTCCTGGCAAGCAGAATAAGCAATCCAAGCCCTCCATCTAACCGAAATGCTTCCTACACATATTTGCAGACTCTTGATGCTATCAATCCACCAAAATTGCAGGAGAGCAAAGAGGCTAAAGCTTCGTCAACACAGAAATACAATCTTGAGTCTATTCCAGGGCTGTAAGTGTATTGTCGTGGCTCTTAGGCTACTGCTGCCAGAATCTCATCCCAACCATTCTTTTAAATTCAAATTATATATCAGTTATTAGAAGGCAGATGAGTTATTCTTAGTACAGTAGAATTTAACAAGGAGATCAATAATCTTTCATGCTTCAGATTATGGCCCATAGAAAAATGTTTTGTGACCCATACAAATATGTTGAGAGAGAATAGGATTTATTTTATCCAGATAGAGGGTTATATTTCCCCTTATGATTGTATTCTCCATCAGATCAACAGTTTTACTAGGAAGAGAGGCTGAAGCTTTTAAGCCATTCTGGGCTCTGGGAGGTTTTCTGCTTGTAAATAATATTTGCCCTTTTAACTATTCTCTACATGCTTTGATGCTTTGTCTTATTTTGTAATCTGAAATATTTATGATTTCTGGCTCTTCCTGCAAAAGACTCGTCTATAACAGTGATGTTAATGGATAGTAGTGAAATTGAAAAATTATAGCATTCAAATATAAGGTGTTGGCCTAAATACCCTTTAGCTGTACAAATCCAAAACTATATTAAAATTTTCATATACTGGAACGCCACTGGTCAGTTCAATTACATTAGTAATTTCGCAATTAGCATTATAAACACAAGGGTGACGGCAGGCAAACGACACTTGGCTGCACCATGGGCGTGAAGAAAAGTCTAGGAGCCATTAAAAGAGGCATGTTCCTTCTATCTACAAGAAAGTATTTCCCCCACACCAACTTATTCTTGCATCTTTTGTTCAAGAACCACATTCTCGCATAACTGTACAAGAAGCTCCATTAGTGTATGAGAATGGATACAAGATGGCTGGGGGCAGCTCAAACTGGAAACACAGATTATTTGCACCAATTACTTGTAGAAAATCCTCTCATCCTCAACAATATTGCATTATTCTCATCAGAAAATCCTCTTCATATTGCTTCCACTGCTGGACATGTTGACTTTGTCAAAGAGATTTTAAGGTTGAAGCCAGAATTTGCCGAAGAAATAAACCAATATGGGTTTAGTCCTATGCACATGGCTGCGGCCAACGGGCATGTTGAGATCGTCAGGGAGCTGGTGAAAGTTGATAGGGGACTGTGTCGTTTAGAGGGAAAAGATGAGAAGACTCCTCTTCATTGCGCAGCTATCAAAGGAAGGACTGACATAATTTCTGTAATTCTCTTGTCTTGTCCTGATTCTGTTGAAGATGTAACTGTTCAAGGAGAAACTGCTTTGCATCTGGCTGTTAAAAGCAGCCAATTTCAAGCAGTAAAGGTATTGGTGGATTGGATTAGAGAAATGAACAGGGAAGATATTTTGAGCCCCAAGGACGAGTTAGGCAACACAGTTCTGCACATTGCTGCCTGGAAAAAACAACGTCAGGCAAGTTTCAATTTTTTTGTTTTTCATTTTTTCCTGTGAATCCTAAGTGAAAGATCAGCGATCAGCGATCAGCGATCACCGTGACAAAACAGACCTGCTACTCTGATCAGCGATCACCATGACAAAACAGACAGCTGACTTTGGTGTTTTATATGTTATTTAAAATTTTTAATCTCCACCATATATCAAGATAAGTTAAATAAATAAATCTTAGGAAGACTTTAGATTGATTTGACTATATATTTACAGTTGGGATTTGTGAATTTAAGTGAAAGACCAAAAACTAACTTAAAATAAATAAAATTCATTGCAGGTGATGGATTTGCTTCTTGCTAATGGCACTAATAATGGAGGCATTGTGGAAGTGAATGCCTTAAACAACAGTGGCCTCACTGCCCTTGATTTGCTACTGATTTTCCCAAGTGAGGCAGGTGACACAGAAATGACAGAAATCCTTCGGCGTGCTGGAGCTATACCAGCGAAGGACATCAACCACTCTCCCATTTATTCATCTCAATCAGTCGATCATACCTCAATAAGCAACCCTACAAGGCCACAGACTTGTCACACACAACAGTCAAATAACTTGCTGGATTATTTCAAGTTTAAGAAGGGACGAGACTCTCCTAGTGAGACACGCGGTGTACTATTAGTCATCGCAGTTCTAGTAGCAACCGCAACCTTCCAAGTCGGAGTTAACCCTCCAGGAGGTGTTTGGCAAGACACGTTTATACCAGATCAAAATAACAGCAACAAACCCATTACCATAAAACCACATTATGCAGGAGATTCGATTTTGGCCACATCTAATCGAGTTGCATTTGCACTAATCGTTATTTTCAACTCTATAGGATTATCAGTCTCTCTTTTGATGATCAACATCCTCACAACTAGGTTCCCCTTGCAATTTGAGCTACAAATGTGCATAGTTGCAATCTATTCCACTTACAACACTGCATTAATAAGCATGTCACCAGATGAAATAAAGCTCTATGTCATATTGACCACTACAATCTTGTCTTCACTGACAACAGTCCTTATCAGTTTTATAAGACGGCATGCAAAAAAGGTTATAAAGTTTATTGTTGACAGGTTTAGTTGGTAAAATTAGTGGTTTGTGGTACATGTAAAACTATCTTTTGCCCGACCAAATGATCAGTCTTTGTTGATGCATTTTGAGGGCATTTTGTGTCAATTACTGTAACAGCTAGTGGTGGTAAAATCTCTGGTGCCTGCTTTCAAGGAATTCATTTTGTAACCGTTTGCTTGGCAGAAAATCCAGTTCAGAAGCAAATTCTCAAATGCTTTCTTTGTTCCTCATTGATCACCCCTCATACAGAGGGAACAACTGGTGTCTGAATCTCGATACACTTCTAACACAACTCAATAAGAAAATAATCACCAAATGTAAATGGCATGTAGGTGCCACTAATTGCAAACTGAATCTTGTCGACTTTTTATTATTCATCATAAAATTTACAAATTTTATATGTTTTATTACCAATCCTACAGTCAATGCCACTGAATTTACAAGTAAATATACGTTTCTGTACTGAACCCCCAATGCCTGGCCTCTTTATTTCTTCTTCAACCACTCTCTTTAAGGAATCACTTATGTCCCCCAATGCCCAAGCCAGTGATATATGAGGGCGTGGATCCTACAACAGTGCAATAACCTTTTGTGAGGGTTATAACTTAAACACAAACACATGCACAAGCATTCACTTCCTTTTTAATTGGCAGAAGAAAATGAGTATAATATCCTCACCTTATAAAATTCAGGAAGATTGTGGAGCTTATAAACCTCGTTAACAGATTGAATTTGCTTAGTAATCTGTAGAAGTTGACAGTTATATAGTAAGATTACAAGTTACAATAATTTGCAGATTAAAAAATTGAAACAATTTAAGCATAATAACAAGAGTAAATGAAGAGACCATGTCAAGCATGAAAAGGCTATCATACGGAATATGTTTATCCAGCATACCTCAGTCAATCCTCCTGTAACAACTTCTATTGAAAGGAAAGAGCGAGTCTGATCATCATTGACAAAAACCGCCCACTTACTAAAATCAATCCAATATCTGTTTGCAAAAAAGAATGTGCTATATTGGTATCTTTGCAATTTAATAAGATCAACCGAGAATGCGTAGGTAAGAGGCTATGGTTACAACTGACCTTTTCTGAAACTGAAGCCTCTGGTGAAGCATTGTAATCACGGAATCAATCTGATGCACTCTAATCGGAACAGTTCTTCCCAAACTAATGTGGAACTCTCTTCCTAATGCTACTTGTTCAAGCTTCTGATCATCCTTGCACAGAATGTCAAGTGGAACATCAGCATCCACAACATGAAGACCAGACACAAGGGATGATACCCTCTTCAAAAAGCGGACTATCTCCTTCTTTGATGCAGGCGGTATATAAACTGGAAGAACATAGTTTAATAATGCTCTAAGCGCAATGTTTAATAGCATTTCCACTGTACGAATAGAAAATAATCTAACTTCAAGAGTATAAAATCCTTTTTTGCTATTTTCTATAGACGAAAAAAATTGCAACATTTTGGGAAAAAACTGAGAGTAAAAACAAGAAAATTTGAGAGGTAGAAGAAGAAACCTGGGATGTAAACGTGCAAAGCATAGTTGCCTTCAACGTGGGGAAAGCTCCTCAGTCGGCTTGACTGGCCAGCTTGCAAGTAATCCAAGGCCCCTACATTGACAAATCGTCGAACACTTTATCAGCAATGGAAACACTCGAGAAAAATCCAGAAAAGAGTAACAAAATAAATTGGAATTAAAAGAACTCTGTGGCTACATACCGATAGAATTAGGAGGAGTGAGAAGTGATATAGGAGGAGGTGGCAAAGCTACAATTTCCGCTTGCGCATTTGAAATCGGGACAAGTTCGGTGGTTGCCGTTGTTGGAAGAGCAGTATCCGAGTCGGAATCTGATGATGCGTCGCCGTATGAGGCTATCAGAGCTTCCATTTTGTCTCTCCGGCTAGATGAAGTAAGAGGATAAGGACAGTAGCCGTCAATTTGAACCCCTGGAGTCAAACGACGACGTTAGACCACCAAATACAGGACCAAAGCCCAACCATCCAAATTCGGCCCATCGATTTGAAACTTTTGAAACGGTGTGCCTTTGGGAGGGAAAACAAAATAAAACTTCTCTTCTGCACTCTTGCGCCTTCAAAGGGTTTTCAATTTCATTTACCATTTGCCAGTCCACCTTATGCGTGGCTAAACTCAGGTCTGGAATCAATCCAGTGGCGATGCCGAAGGAAAATGGTTATGTGCCGAGTAAAGTCATCACGGCGGAGCAGAGAGCTCGAATTTCACATAACTTCAGAGCTGCAAAGGCACTCCTTTCTCGCAAACGGTGCCGTGACTCCACTCCTTTTCCCCCTCAATTGCCTATCAAGTAAGCACCTTATTTTGCCTTCTTTTATTTCGAACTTAATATCCAAATCTTTAGGAAATAATTTTTGCATTTTTAGGAAACATTGCAATTGCTATGGATAGTCGTTATACTCTGCTGTGTGTCAGTTCAAGCTAATTGATTTTGAATTTAATTACTAGGGATGCAGAGGGAATCGAATCAGCAGCTCAGGTTACTAGTATCAAGAGAGTTCCTCTTGCCGAGATGCCTATAAACACGCCTTCTCCTTTTCGTGCAAATAGCAATGAATCAACAGATGGTGAATTGTTTAGAAGTGTTTTGTCTATTGAAAAATCTGATCCTAGGACTAAATTAATCAGTGATATTTCTAGTTCAAGGACAGTTGCTGCTTCCTTAGGTGATGAATATTGTTTAGATTCTTTTAAAACCCCAATAAAGCATCCAAAATGCGTAGGTTCAAGTGATTATTTATGGACTCCTACTCTTCTAGATGATGATTTTGATGAATCCATTTTGAAAGAGATTGATGCTATATGTCAGCAGAATTCTTCTGCAAAAGAAGAAACCCAAAGCTCAAATAGCAGTCTTCCTGTGGAAAGTAAATACAATGAGGAAAATAGTGGTGATTTTGCTAGTTCAGAATCAATTACTGAAAATGAGGAGATAAGATCACAACGTGCTGTGGAATTTGGTTTTGATTTAGAATTTACAACTGAAGATAAAGATTCCCAGATAATTCAGCATGGCAATATGCCTGAAGAATACTCAAAGTACTTGCGGTCTTTGAATGATAGGCAACAAGAAGCAGCTCGTAGTGATATTTCCGTCCCTTTGATGATTGTTGCTGGTCCAGGAAGTGGAAAGGTCTCCCCGTGGCTACCCTCACACACATACCCACATAGATACTTGTATGCATGTGCACTTGAGGGTTGCACACAAACACAAGATCAAAAGTGTTTTATCTTAATTTTTGGTTAGTAAATCACATTGTTTTTCCATTTCATGGTTAGAGCTGAATTTTCTGTTTTTGATGCTAGACTTCCACAATGGTTGGGCGTGTTCTGATGCTGCTCAGTGAGGTATTGTGCATTTTTAGCTGCAAATAATGTTTGCAGCATTCATATGCTAATATCTTTGCTTCACATATTGCGTTTTCATTTTCTCGTAAAATCTAAATAAAATATTCTTATCCTTCCTTCTTGGTTCTCCACTCAAAGCTAGTTGATAATGAAAACTAATTGGGTTTTCTATCTACTTTTCTTATTGGCGTTGCTAATATATGTTTTTCTCTGCTTGTTTATTATTTATATTTACTTTTCTTTTTCTTCTCTATATGGAACATGGTCAGGGCATTAGTCCAACAAACATTCTAGCAATGACTTTCACCACTGCTGCAGCTTCTGAGATGAGAGATCGGATTGGAGCAGTGGCTGGGAAGGCAATAGCTAAAGAGCTCACAATCAGCACATTCCATTCATTTTCTCTGCAACTTTGCCGTTCACATGCAGAGAAGTATGCTCATTCTGAGACTGTAAACATTTACATGTATTTTCTGCGTTCTATTCCTTTGCCAACTCAATGAGAAATCAATTAGTGTCTGCTAGCACTCAGAAACCATGGCAGGTCATCCTAACTATTACAAGAATATATAAACATTACCATCTACTGTTGTAGATACTTGGTTTAAGTTTAAAATTCTTAAGCACCTGTGGTTTTTGCATATTGTAATTGTTGAAGTTTTTGGTTGTCTTACATGGTTCTGGGCCTTCAAGGCTTCTATAATTCTTTTAAGATCATGAGAAATTTATGGCTCATGTTATAGGTTAGGGCGCACAGCAGAATTCTTAATATATGGGCATGGGCACCAGAGAAGAGCAATCATTGAGGCTGTGCGCCTATTAGAAAAGGAAAAGACTGGTGTACAAAATCATGATGCCTGCAAACTTGCTGAAGTTTCTAATGGTATAACGTCTCCAGAGTATTTCAAGGATAAGTCGAAAAAATGGCAAAAGTTTGTGACTCAGGTTAGTGAGAATGAACTTACTTATTCTACATTGCGAAATGCTGTGGTTTACGCATCTTATAGAGTTCTGGTTTGATCTGTTCTTCCCTTTTTAAATTTACAGTCCCCACCCCCATTTGAAACTTTTATTTGCTGGAATTCAGCTAAATGGCTCGCTACATTCTTAGTTCTTGTACAGTTTGTTGAGTTGAAAATTTGTCCTTGTTCCTTGTAAATTGATCACACAAATAAATTGTTCTTTGATGATGTACGAGGGAGAGGTTACCCCTTAGATGTGTTTTTTTTTCTTTTAACTTTCGTCAAGCATTTATCTTCATTGTGTGCCAGAGATAACAACTATTCCTTATTTCTGACTGGCTAAAATCACTCGTTGTTTCGAAATAGCAGAACTATTTAGGTTCTGATTTGATGCCTGCTTGTTTCTGATAGGACATAGTGTATGAGTATGACAGTAAGGCCTATTCTACAACCACCGTCATGGATAATATTTTCAACCACTGCATTCTCTTCACCGTTACACTGAAATACTATTTATCTGTTCTCTGCATCATTCATTCATTTGCTCCATTTCAGGCTAAAGCTTCGGGAAAGACACCTGCAGATTGCCATAAAATGGGCGACAGTATGGGAGTAAGAATGAATTTCAGGTTCTGATATCATTTTGGTATTCTCGGTTTCATATCTTTAATTCTTTTACTATCTCCATATCAGGCTTCAATACTGGGGAACTACAACAACATATTGGAATCTTGTAATGCGCTGGATTACCATGACTTGGTCATCTGCTCTGTGAAGTTGCTCACTGATTACCCTGATGGTGAATATTATCCAAGTATATTCAATCAATTTATGCCACTTCTCATTATGAGTTAACAATTTTATTTGTATCCAATTCAGTATTCAAGGAGTGCCAGAATTCATGGAAAGCCATCGTGATAGATGAGTTTCAGGACACAAGTGCAATGCAATACAATCTTTTACGACTTCTTGCATCCCATAATCATTTAACTATTGTTGGTGATGATGATCAGGTCTATATTTTATTTTCTATGACCTTCCATTGCAGAAAGTTTACTTTTTATTTTTTATGGTTCTTTTTGGTGGACCCAATACCAAAGATTACTTCATTATTTATTAAAGAAACTTCAACAAATTTTCTGCAGTCAATATTCAGTTTCAACGGAGCTGATATGTCAGGGTTTGATTCATTTCGTCTAGATTTTCCAAATTATAAAGAGGTCTGCACCGTCCTTTGGCTATTGCAGATTAAATTTTTATGGTGGTTTTCTTGATTATGTAATAAAGGAGTACATCCGTAATCTCACAATTGTTTTCTGGAGTGTTGATAACATCATGTCGTTTAGGTTATTGAAACTTTTTACACCATTGTAATTTAGATTAGACTCAACCAAAACTATCGATCCACGCGCTTTATTGTTGAGGCGGCGTCTTCTCTTATTCAAAATAATATGAAGCGATGCGGTTTCAAGGATGTTGTTACTGATAATTCTTCTGGATCTAAGGTATTTGATACTGCTAAAGTAACTTATCATTCTTTTCCTCTCTTTTTACTGTTTCTAGTTGGTAACTTAATATGTGCATGGTTTGACTCGCATATTACAGATAACCATCAAGGAATGTCAGAATGACCATGCACAATGTTCATTTGTTGTTGATAAGATCTTGGAAATGTCATCCAATGGACCTCCTGCTAAACCGTCTTATGGCAGCATTGCCATACTATACCGGAGGCAGGTCAAGCCTCATAATCATATCTTTTAACTGCACAATAAATCATTAATCACCTGCGGATCAATAAAGGTTTCATTTTTCTAAACAACAGGTGTCAGGAAAAGTCTTCCAGGTAGCATTTCGTGACAGAAAAATACCCTTTAATGTTCATGGTGTCGCCTTCTACAGGAAAAAGGTTCGACCTTAATTTCTTTCCCTCCAATTTTAGTAACAGTAGTAATCCCAGCAGTGTCAATAAAGGAAATTGTTACCATGTTCTGATGAAATAATGATGTTGATTTAGATTGAAATTGTATTTTCATCACCAATTGCAGTAAGGCTGTAAACGAGCCGAGGTCTTGTTTATCTGCTAACTTGCTGTCTGACTTTAATTTTAAGAGCATTTGCAGGCGTAATGGGACTTGACGAATGGCCTATAATGCCTGGAATGTTCTTCAGAAGTCAGTTTTTGTTTGATCGTTCGGGCAAAAACAACTGTAGTATTGCGTCCACACTTTTTCTAATTAGTGCACAACTAAGTCTATCGATTGATGGTTGCTTTAACATGCATGCCAATAAAACTAAAACTAAGTTAGTGGCCAATCTGATGAGCACTAATTTGTTTTAGGTAGTTAAGGCCATTATTGCCATGCTTAAGACAACATTGCCAGGCTGTGATGATGGCCCTTATCGTCAAGTTTTCAAGGCTATGCTTCCATTTGAGAAGGATGAAAGAAAGAGGGTATGTGCTATTTTATTTTTTGTACCACTTATGTATGTGATTGTTGATTTGTTAGTTTGTGTAAGGCTATTTTACTAAAATCTCTCTTTCTGTTTACAGGTTATTGACCATATTGACAAAATCTCGACTGTTAGAAAATGCGGCTTCATATCTGCTGCAAATGACATTTTTAGTGCAAAGATTTCTGGTACCTTCAAGAGGTTTTTGCTACTCAAAATTTTCTCAACTATCTTCCATGGAACTAATTGATCTCAATTGAGTCTAAAATTATTTTGTCAACGTTCGATAAAAGAGAGTAAACTAACAAGTTTCATTTGACAATTGAAATTTTCAATTTTACAATTATTACTTTTTTTGAATGCAAAAATTCTAAATTTTTGAACATCAGAGGTTTGCTAATCTGAAATATGAGAGTTTATCTCATTATTTTAGTAGCATTTTTCTATAGAAAAGGAAAAAGGACATCGTTGTTGGTTATTTCATAAGTTCATTACAATGCAAGCTACTTGAGCATGAGAATGTCAATCTCTCGCTTAATGTGTTTCATATTTTCTTACCCTTGAACCCTGTTATTGACTACAGGAGTCAAATCAACCAAGGACGCAAAGTGTTGATGACACTAGAAATGATATCAAAACTTGTCCGCAAGGTAAATATACAAGATGCCTTCAAAAATTTTGGATTTGTTTTATGTTTTGGAATATTGATTCTCTATTGCTGAAAAGGTTTTAAAATGCTGGACACTAAAGGATTGAACCATAGTTTATTTTGACCTCATTTTAGTTAACCATCCAAAACCTTGTAACTTGCTTTGTTATATGAAACCTTGACTCAAGAAAGGTGCTTTTCATTTTCTCCAAGCTGTAGGATTTTTTAGTAGCCAGACAGTGACGGTATGGCTTTGGACAGTTTGAAACAAATTTGAAAACCAAACTGTAAATTACAAATTTGCAATTTGTATATTCTTCAAATTGAACTAATTTGTTTGACATAAAACCAAACTAAAACGATACGGTTTAGTCTGGATTTCTAAAACGGATTGGAAAAATAGATTTTATTTAAATAAAATATTCTTATAGTTCTCTTTTTTTTTTTTTTTTCACAGTAAAATATACCAAGATCTTCAAAGATTTTGGATTTGTTTTAATGTTTGGAATATTTGATATCTCATATTGCGTGAAAGGTTTTAAAAAGTGGAATAAAGGATGAACATGAAGTTTATTTTGAGCCTCATTTAGTTAACCATCCAAATTCGTATTGCTTTTTTTATGGTGAACCATTTGAACTCAAGAAAGGGTGTTTTTTCATTTTTCTCCAAGCTGTAGGATTTTTTAGTAGCGACAGTGAGGTAATGGCTTGGACAGTTTGAAAGCAATTTTGAAAACCAAACTGTAAAAAATTACAAATTTGCATTTGTATATTCTTCAATTGAACTAATTTTTGACATATAAACAAACTAACACGATACGGTTTAGTTGATTTCTATAAACAGGATTGGAAAACAATAGATTTTATTTAAATAAATATTACTTATAGTTCTCTTTTTTTTTTGTTTTTTTGGGGCATTTCAATATTTTTTAAAATAAAATTCTATTTATAATAATTCAAGATTGAATGAATTGTTAGGTTTTTAAGTTCTGGATTCCAATGAATTAATCAATTATATGTTAGATGGTCCGATTCAGAAGTAAAAACCAGAAGAAAATTCATTGCGATATATTTAATGAATGTCAAATTTTTCTTAAAATTTAAAACAAAACTGTTCTTCTTCACCAAGCAAGTAAACCAAGTTAATTGTTTAATTCATTTGTCATTTAGTTAGCTTGTCACTGGATTTATAATAATTTATTTTTTTTTTTTTTTTGCCAATTTCAATCATTTTTTAAAATAAAATTCATTATTTATATCATTCAAATTAAATGAATTGTTAGGTTTTAAGTTCTGATTCAAATGAATAACATCAATTATATTTATGATGGTCATTCAGAGTACAAACCCAGAAGAAAATCATTCGATATATCTTAATGAATGTCAAATTTTTTATAAAATTTAAAAACCAAACTGTTCTTTTCCAAGAGTCCAACCAAAGTTAATTGTTTAATTCAATTTGGTTCATTTAGTTTAACGCTTTGTCCTGGATTTCCTAAATACGGCTCTTTACTGTTGTTCAAACTGTGGGAATTTATTTCATCAAATCCTATAAATGAGTTAATCTAACTCATGGATGTTCACAGGAACAGTCACTTTCAGCAGTCATAACTTCAGTGGCAAATATAGTACCTCAGGTTTGTTTCTTCTCCTGCTTTTTAAGTCATTTGCTGTGTGAGTTCATAGATTTGCAAGTACTCTTGGAATTTGGATGGTGATAATTGAACATGAGTGTTGTTTATTTGGTAGCACTTTAGAAGCATAAGCCATTCATTTTAGTTGTAATATGGATGTTTAACTGATCTATGCCGTAACATTACAATGAGCTCGTAACTTCTCTGGTTCGGTCACCTTTTTTTTCTCATTGTAATACATTAAAATGTTGATTTGTTACTAACATATACCTTTTAATCTTAGAAATACCTTCTTGATCAGCGAGCCATAGTTGATGTTGATGGAGGGAAACTGTTGAATGAGGACAATGACCTCAGATCTGTAAGTATTTTCTGCTGACCCAGTAATCTAGTTCGTAAGTGTATCTTATTTATTTGTAATAACTAGGGATGGAAACAGATCGATGCTCGCTTAAAATGCTCTATCCAAATCCGCTTACAAATTAGGTATCCGAACTAGTTAAAAATTCATTTTTACTGCTCGAATCCGCCCTAAACCCAATTATAATTATCTGTTTAAAAATTCGAACCATTTAAATACCCATTTTGCATTAAAAATGTTTTTTATTTTAATTTACATTAAAAAGCAAATAAAAATTATTAAATCATTTATATTCACTTAATAAAAAATATAATAAAAATATTAAATATAATTATAGCATTAACTATAACTAAAAAAGTGTGTATATGTGATTTTTTATTGTAAAAAAATAATTATTTCAAATATTTTTTGAATATTTATTAAATAGGTAAAGAATAGTGGAAACTTGAGTCTTTGAATCCGAACTCGACTCGAACCCAGTACAGATAGTAAAAATTCTGTCCGAATCCGTCCTAACCCGTTTATTTACTACCTAAACCCATTAAAATCTGATAGGGTACCTGCCTTGTTGGGAAAATTTATCATCCCTAATAATAACATATAGTCCTTATAAGGATACTGGCTAAACAGAATTATTATCAAAATATAAAATGCGATTAGAATACAAGTATTAAAACTTAATGCATTCTCAAAAAAATAAAAAATAAATACATTAAAATAATTTACAAATAGAAGTGCAAATTTTTTATCTTTGTTTTTTTGGCTTAAATTTATATTCTTTGCTAGTGGAATTCTAAGGTTTATGATGACTGTACAAGGGCAGCCATGTTGCGTTCGACTGTGTGTTTCTACTGGCAGTTTGAACCCATTAAAATGCTTTGCAGGTGCTTCAGTACTTATTGGATGACGTGTCTGATTTTTTATCAATGCAATATGCTGTAAAAGAAGAGGTTGGAGAAAAAGAAGAGAAAGGTTGTCTTCATTTACTGAAAACTTTTACTGACTACGTAGCAGAGCGTGAAAAAGAAAATTTTCATTCTCGGAGACATGATAATGAAAACTCTGTTACCTTAACTACCATTCATCAGGTTGTCTCCATATTCGATAATCCTCCTTAACCTTATGAATGGAGTTTTGCTAATTCACCTTAAATTTCCTTTAATCTTGTTCTTTTTCTTCGTGCAGTCTAAAGGTTTAGAGTGGGATATTGTTTTCATTGTAAAGGTAATCGCCTGCTTCATTACTTCTTCTCAGTGAACCTGGCTATGTTTTCTTTCCATTATGACATCTATTTTCAAGCATGAGCGCTTCCCTAGATCATTAGTATAACAAATACCATAATACTTACAATGATGCCTTGTGAAGCGATTCATTCTCAATCTCTTGCCTTCTATGCTTGGACCAATGCAGGCAAATGAATCTGAGATTCCTTTGTTGCATGAGTTCAATGGCACTACAAGGGAAAATGGGACCTCAATTGAAGTAAACTTTTTCTTGCACTAAGAATTTTATCCTGTTGCTTCAATATAAATTATTTTATTATGGTGCTGTGCTAATCACCATCATTATGAATCTTTAGGAGGAAAGACGTCTATTATACGTGGCAATGACTCGTGCTCGAAAAAAACTATTCATTTTGTATGTCATGATGGATTCAAATTGGCAGGTTTAATCTTTCATATATTGACTGTACTGGTTTCTTCTTTTACTGCCACTTTTAATTAACAAAGCAAGTCAATACAGATGCTTCAACCATCACGGTTTCTCAAGGAGATTCCAGATTACCTTCGGGACATTCAGGTGCATTTTGCTGGTTTTATTCTTAAGTTGTTCCAATCTCCGCATCACCCCCTATTGGGATGGAAAAAGTCTACTTGTATTTGGTTGATGGCATGCTTGTACAACTTTTTTTGGGGGGGTGGGGGTTTTCTTTCAAAACTGGCTGAACAGGATTGTTGTTACTGCTAATTGTTTGGTTGCTGCTCATTTGATTGATCAGAGGACATTGTGAAAAATATCTCTCTTGAAAATCCTTTTCCATGCATTCACGGGATTAGATTAGGTCAAGTTTTTTAGTGTTTTTTTTTTGTTATTCATTCATTTTTTTCTGAATCAGCATATTAAGTAATGCATCCTCATGTTTTGCACTTCTTTGAAATTTGGACCCAATCCAACTGATAACAGGCCGAAGTATGTGTACAAGATTTGCAAACAAAACCTCAAGATATTCCAAAAGGATCTGTCTACTTTACCACTAATTTACCAAGAGAAAAGCAACCTTCTGACGTGGATATGGAGCCTAATGAGTTCCTGAACATTGGAATCAATAGTGCCTCAGATGAATCAACTGGGCCAGTAGATACTTGCATTGGAAATATTTTCTTAAAAAGGCATCCTTCAAATTTTGATGGTCATTTGAAGTTGTTTTCATATAGTGCTTGTGGCACAGAAAATAGCTTTAACTGTTTCCTTTTGCTGTTATACAGATTTACTGTGGAGGACAGATCAGTTGTTTCCCACTTATTCCATCATTGGGCTAAGAAGAGAGCATTCCAAAACCCTAAGAGGCTACTTGACAAGGTGACTTTTGACACTTTAATGATTTTTACCAGCTCTGGATAGTTTGAAGTTGTGGTTTAGATTTCAAAGCGAGGTGTGCCATGAGGGTTTGATTCTAATTCTAGGTGTTGTGCTCATCATGGTAGTTCCTCAGTGCATCTGTGTGTATATAGAAGTATGGACATTCAGATTCAGGCATTATATCAAATCCAAAATATTCTCCTTCATTCTTTTTTGGTTATTTGAACACACTCGAACTTTGTTGAGATTTTCCGAATAAAAAGAAGACAAAAGGGTAGATTTTTTCAGTGGAGTTTGCAAGTGAATCTTAGTTGGATCAGCAACTATTTCTCGGGTGATACCTATTTATGTGACTTTTCCCATATACACATGCGAAATTTTGAATCAGATCAAGCATTAATATTTCATTAGATGTTATTAAATATTAACCCTCTTAGAGCCTACTTGGGGTTGTGATTGAACTGCTTTTTCAGAATAGCATTATTTTAGGTGCTGTTGAGAAGTAGTTTCATACTACTGTTTAACTGGTTTGTAGTTTTTATAACTAGTGTATTTGAAATTCACTTTGAAAATAAATTTGTGACCTAGATTAATATTTTTAAAGTGCTTTCTCCGAACTAACAGCCAAACAACAATGTCGAACCCACCCTTAGTATCATTTGAATGGCTTTCTCTTTTATTTACTTTTTGTAAGGAAACTGCTTCTTCCCAGGTCAGAATTTTTTTTTTTTTCATCACTGTTGCAATTTAGTATAGTAATATAATCCTTTAGCAAAGGCAGTTTGAAGATTGGGTATGGTCTAACCTTTCCTTTGGAAAATAAAGTTGACCAAGTTGTAAAATAAACAAGTGTCCTCTGTTGTTTCTCTTGTTTTAGATAGCTTTTCTTGTACATTTCACGTTTAGGTCGGTGTAGTTGTTTCGATTTTCATGTTAATTTTATTTCATTTACATTACAGGTTGGCTTTGTTGTTGATGAACGACTAAGAAACAAGAAAAACAAGCACAAGGTGATAAAACTTGTCCACTTTCATTCGATAATGTGTTTATATTTCTTATCTTATTTTTTTTCCCTTGAACTATGATTTTGTCATTGTGTTGTGTGTAATTGTTATGACAAATTTTAGCAACACATAACTCAAAAAGTTACTTCTCATTCATATTTGGGAAAGTAAATGGGTAATCTAATGGATTCAGAATTCCAGTTGCTGAGATGATGTGTGCTCGCATTTTAAAAGCGCTGCTTCTATTGGCAGTTATGAGTGTATTCAAGATCGAATGTGTTTTTTCCTTTTTTGCATTGTTGACAGGGGGCCTAGGACTCTTGGATAACTTACCCAACTGGCCAACAATTTGGATTATGGGTTCAGAACTGCATTATGATGTTCCTGCTGCTTTGATGACTTCTATCTGTTATGAAATTGAATTGTATCGTACTTCCAATATTTGTACACTCATAATTCCAATATTTACTCGGTTACTATACCTGTTATAATCTATACAAACGTTTGCGTAATCTTTATCTATTGATAGGATCATCATTCCTGCATAACTTTTCAGGATGTTTTGCGTTCATTAAAGGCATGCTTGAGCTGTGATGAAGCATTTCAATACGCAGAACATGTAAGCGTTATGCAATTTTTTCACAATTGTTGCTGATTTCGAGAAATAACTCCCTGTTAGAATCAAATGAAGAATAGTTAGATAGATAATTTTTTTGGACCATATGCAGGTTTTATTCACTTTGTTAGTTATTTGTCTGATAGATACTGAGATGGGAGCAAATTCCTGCTGATGAACGTGCCCATTTGATGCGAGAAAAACAGGTTTATTTCAGCTCATATCTTTGCTATTCTATTCTTATCTTCTATTTTGAATCTTTTAATGGCATTTTTAGTTTGGATGCTAAAAGTTCTAAGCACAAAAATATGGTTGTGAGAAAGTAATTGCAACTCTAAACCAAGGCCATTTCCATGCTGTTGACATCATCTACGCTTAGTAAATTAGTGATTCTCAAAGGAATGTACTCTGTGGATTACCATGTTGTTTCACAGCTTTTAGCCATAATTTGAATAAAGTAATAATATGTTAAAGGTAACATTACCTGATAAAACTAATTTAAGCCAAGTACTGTCTAGGTGATGTTGCTGGACGACATAATCTTTTTACTTGTTTCAGTGGTAGATTTTTCTGTTTAGTGTATGATAACCTTGTATCAACTACCAAGAACACCAATGATGTAATTTATTTTATTTCTCATTTCAGGAGCATTTCCAGAAACTAAGGATCGAAAATTCAATGGGCAATTCTGCGCCAACGTCCAAACAGGTAATTATAATAGATTGGATGAACAAGTTAGATCAATATACAGGGTGTGACTTTTTGCATATGTACAACTTCTCAGTTAAACTACTTGAGAATGAAAATCTTGTACGATGGCAGATTGGGTATCTACAAAATTTGGGATGCACTGTGGTTCCCACGTCGCGTCTTCATGCCTCTCGTTTGATCGAGCAATATAAATCGTTGTGACTAAAGGTTCTGATCTGAAGATTGTAAACAAACGGTGACATGATCATTTAATATAATTTAAGTTACATTAGACATCCAGTAAATTATAACAATGTCTTTTTTGAATTCTGTCGAATTTTCTTGACAATTATTACCGCGGAAATGGAAAATGAAAACGTGGCAGGTTGCCACTGCATGAGAAAGTAGGGGAAGGACAATGATTAAACGTGATTGTTTATCAAATTAAGGTAAAGTATTGACATGTTCCGCTATTAGTATTACAATCCCCGCGCATTCCACCTCACATTATAATTATTGGAAGTGAAAAAGATGAATAAGGAAAAATATAGTCTTACGCTCTTCAGCCATTTGTCTCTAAAGATCCGTTTTCCCTTGCCCCATCCAAAATCTATGGCGGAGAGAATTCCACTCGTCCAGGAAAAGGTAAATCCGTGGGTTGCGTTAACTTGCCATGCCACTCCAGTGGGAATTATGATACATGTCGTCTAATCAAAGGGATCAATCCGTGGGTCATGTTCACTTGCCATAGCCATTCCAGTACAAAGGCATGTGGGACACATTACCTGCCAAATATTGAAATTCAAAGTGTATACACAAGATAGTGACACGAAAAAATCGTTTCTTGTATGCTTATGACTAAAGTAAAAACAGATGCCCACACAACTTAATTAATTGCTTAATATATGCAAAAAAATAAGTAATTTGACGTATGTCCAACCTTTCCAGATCCTGAACAATTTGAACATCTTTCTGTTTTGGGTGCTGATAATGGCTGATCACTGCTTCTGACTGTTGATACTGGTTCAATAAGAACAAGGGCTCCAGTGCTTGAACAACGAGCACAAGCAAGATATCCTGCAGTTATCCAGTATAGATAGGAAATAAGTACAATAAGTCCATTCTCATAATCTTTTAGATTAAATTCATAATACCATAATAATGATCGTTGCCATATATATTGGCTTGAATTGCAAGGAGTTATGTACTCCAGTTAGCCATATATAGGCAGGAACTTCAGCAAGTGGAAGCTATGAAGGTACTAGGAGAAATATTTTGCCAATATAGGAAGAAAGAAATTTATGGTATTTTCATTCCTAAAATACACTGACTTTACTGTCTTGTCTTATGAAGAATCAAATGGAGTAGAAAGGACACTCACTGAACAGGTAGGAGACACAGCTTCCTCATATTAGATATTGAAACGAGAGCATAAGCTCTTTCAAGCAGACATGCCCAATATGGATAAAAAAAATGGGAACTATCAATGGTCTAATTGAAACTCAAGCAGATATCACGACGATGGAAACAAAATTTTGGCGAGCATATTATATAAGAAATGCAGCTCTAAATTTTGTTAGATGGAAACTGATAGCCACAGCAGCACCATACTCATAATCTCTATCATCACCAACCCTATCTGTCTGTATTAATTACAAGTAATTTTGAAGATAGTCATCCAGATCAGAGCTGAAGAAAATGAAGCCAAGACAAAAATGCTTGCGGACACAAAAGCCAAAAGAGAGGGGGAAGAGAATCAAGGACACACCAGTTCCAAGACAATATTTGCATCTTTTATGTTCCTGCTGTTTTACATTGTTTATCTCAACTACCATCAAGGCTGAGATAACCCCAACTGCTCCTCCGGAGAATGATGCCACTATAGGATCAACCTGACTGCAGTTTACAACAGTTACGTTGGTAAGTAAATGGACCTTAAAAACAGTAGTGTCATAACATAATCTACTCGGAGACCACATCAAATACATCATGGAAACAACTAGCTCAGTAGCAATAGAATCAAATCAAACTGAAATAGTTATAATTAAATAAAAAAAAACATAAGAGCAGCCATAAGGGTCCAGCACATGACCGTACCTCAATTGCATGGGCAGATGCATACTACGGATGAAATCTTCATATGATGTTCCTCCTAGTCCCAGCTTAAGCTCCAACTGGAATGTGAAAGATCAAAAAATACGAGTCATTGTTGCACCTCCTTAGCTTAGTAGTCACAATTTGTCTTTTTAATGGGTGTCCTTGCGCATTTTCATGTTTAGACCTTGGATAAGTTCTGATCCTTATTTTAATGCAATACATGATTCATGCTGCAATTCTTTATAAAAGTTAAGTGCACATGGTAACTTACAGTTGGTGCTAAAAGGCCGCCAAAAATAATAATCCCAGCAATAAGAGAAAAACAAGTAGCATAATAAAGCTTAAGATTTGCTGCACTCTGCAAGAAAAATAGAAATTAATTGATCAACATCTTAATAGAGAAGAAAATTACATTCCTCGCGATGTTAAATGTGCAAAGATAGATATAATTACAAGTAAAACAAGTTGAAGTGAACGGAAATGATTTGCAAAGAGAAATCATTAAAAACACAGGAGAATAAAAGAAAGCTCACCAAAGGAGGCAAGAAGGGGATGAACGATGGAAAGTTGGGAAGTTCATTTTCTTGGGTTTCATTAAAAATCCCAAGTTCAGCACTTTTGATTCTCTGTTGTATCCTCAGTCTACGAACCTACATGTATAGGTATAAAAAAAAAAAAAAAAAAAGAAAAAAGAAAGATCATCTGCCCTATAGAATCAATCTGCAAAATCTGATATTACGCAAAATCGGTAAGATCAAAGGCCAAAGCAAAAGGAGAGCTAACAACTAAGAACAGTAAAATTTCCTTTCTCTTTCCGTCCAATAAAAGATTTGAAACAATCAAATCATGTAACATAATAAACAAAATAGAGAGATACCTCCTCCATATGCAAGAAAATTTTGTTTCGCCGACTTCGAATATTATCTTGAATTTCTTGGAGTTCCATTTTGGCGAAATCCTGAACTGTTTCAGGCCCTTCTATAATACAAAAACTGCATTCAAAAGACAAATATATACTAGTTAGCAAATTTTCTCCGATTCTCTGAACCAAACAAGCAGGAGATGAGACGGTGATCATAAATTGGAAACTCATCGTACTCATACAGTTAACTCAAATCATACTCCTTACTCATCCGGTTATCATCATGTTTCACAAGTACATGAAAAGAAAGAAAAAAAAAAAAAGAAAAGAAAAGAGCAGTACCCGGCTGCGTTTGAATCCGAGTCAACAGAAGGCGTTAATGGAGAAGATTCGAACTCAGACACCATAGATCGCCATTTCGAGCTCAATTTGTGATTAACGCATAAAAATCTACAATCAGATTGATATGAGCAAGGACTGTACAGGCATAGAGGCTTTATAGGGTAAGAAACCGCTAAAACGCGGCCCAAAGTGCCCATCATCGAATTCTTCCAAATCTCAGTTTCTGTTTCTTCCTTATTGCCTGGTATATATATATATATATATATATATATATATTATATATATTATATAATTATATATATAGAGAGAGAGAGAAGAAGAAGAGCAGAAGAGTAGAGAGAAAAAGAGAGAGAGAGAGAGAGAGAGAAAAGAGAAGGAGAAATTCAGTGAAGTTCCTGTGTTAGTGTTTCACAGCGACAACATGCAAATGTTTATTGGCAGAGTCAAATGAAGAAGGAGAATAGAGACAAAAGAGTAAGCAATGGAGTTGGGCGCAATTCCTGAAGCTAAAGTATCTTTTAATGGTGCCGACGAGCCGTGGTGGGAAATGAGGTGTTTGCCACGTGGAAGGCGAACGTTGGTCGTTTAAAAAAAAATGAAATTTTGGGTGGAAGCGATTTTTGTGGGCTTCTAACATAATATCCCTTCTGTTACGTGTGTTTGATAACAGCGACGTCTTAATATGGATAAATTAATGTGGATAACATAATCTCCTATTTATTTTTTATTTATATAGCAGGCTTATTTCTCTTTTTATAGCAAAATAAATTTGTTTTATTAGAATTATAATGTCTATTTTTAAAAAAAATTATCCAAGCCTATCCCACGCAATAAACCTCTCATTCACACCCAATGAACTTATTTCTATTTTTATATAAACTAAACAGTTTATTTAACAGTATTGCAACAATAAATTCTATTTATATTTTTCTGATATACAAACTATATTAATATCCATTTATTCCCGTAAAATAACTTGAAAAAAAATATTTTTCATAATTTTTCATTGTTTGGGGTGCTCGGAAAGATAAGTTAACGGAGAATATTTTCTTGGTCCAAGAAAAATCATTTTTAAGGTAATCAACTTTCCTTTTTTGAGAGAGTAAAATATTTTTTGGACATTGAAAAACTTTATAGGTTCATATTTTTTAATTTATTAATCATCATAGTCATTATCGTCAGTCACTATCTACCACCGACCACCACCACCGACCACCAACGACTTTCATAATTTAAATTTTCTTTTTGCATTCTTTTCATAATTAACAATAAAATTTTTAAATTATAAATTTTCTATTCTTATTAAATATCAATGGAAAATATTTTTAACGTAAGTCATTGAAATTAATTTAACATTTTTAATATACAATCAAATAATAAAAAATAAGTCATTTTCAGCAAATTATTTTACGGAGACAAACGGACGTTAAATATCAATTTCTCAAAAAACCAAACGTAAATATCAATGTGAGAATTAAATGAAAAATTATTTAAGCCATATTAAATATAAGAGTATATCAAAACATTGAAATTAATTCCATGTTTAAAAAAAGAAAGTAACTTACAGGTTAGAGTAAATAAACAAAAGAAAAGTAATACTCCCTCCGTTCTATTTTATTTGCTTATTGTTCTTTTTTTGAATGTCTCAAAATATTTATAAGTTTTTTAAATTTAGATATATATAAACAATTATTTTTTCCATAATAATTTTTATAATTGTTTATTGAATGAAGGATTTTTAATATCTTAATGAGTTGTTAAGGTAAATAATAGTAAAATAACTTTTGTTAACTAAATTCTTAATATGCATATTTTGTCAAATCGTGCAAACAAAATGGAAATGAGACGGAAGAAGTATTTAATTTTAGAAGAGGGTTGGCGTATTATAGGTTTAAATATTTTCAAATCTCTGAAATATGATCAAATTAATACTTAAGTCTCACAACATTTGAATAATTATTTTGAAGGACTCAAATAATGTTGCCGTTATATTGTAAGTTCCTTCCATCCAGATTCCTACATTTTTTTTCCATTTATATGGCTGACAAGTAAATAATTACTTAAATATTAAGGGACCTAAGTGTTATTTTGATCATAATTTAGGAACCAAAAAATATTTAAACCCCCAATTAATATTCGTTTTTCACCACATATAAACGGAAAAAAAAGCTAAAAATTTGGATAGAAGGGCCTTACATAGTAACTACAATATTATTCAGATCTTTCAAAATAATTATTAGAACGTTGAGAAATCTAAATATTAATTTGATTATAAATTAGGGATGCGAAAATATTTAACCCGTGTATTATATACTGTGTTGTGCTTTTTCATTAAAACAAAAAAAAGAAACATAGAACAATGGGCGTGAAGAGTAATGGATCCGGCCCAGAGCTTCAAGTGCTTGAGCCCACAAAATTCTATTTACGGGCTTAATGACCTGTTCGCTACAGACCGCAGGTTTTATTTGTAGAAAAATGTACGGGCTGGACGCGTTGGGCCTATAAAATTAATTTACATTGAAGCCCGCTAAGTTTGTTTCCATAGCTGATGAAAATGAAACCCTAGTCGTTATTACTATAAATATACGGCCATTACAGTCCATTGGCAATAGCCGCTGGTCTCTATATTCACTGTGCCTTCATTGTGTTTCAGTTTTCTCTGCTCTTCTGATATTATTTTTAAATTTTCTTTAGTTTTTAGTTTCAATGAAAAAATGTTTTGTGGAGGAAGATGAGATCGCGGTGATGACTCAGGAAATTCAAGCTCAACAGACCGGAATGCAGGCTTCTCTTTTTTCTAGAGAACTTTGCGTGTCGACTTTCCCGCTGACCTGAGCGATCTTCCTTCGCAATCTTTAAACAGTTTTTCTCTTAATTTTTAGCCGTATCAAATTGACTTATTGTTTCTTGTTTTGGAATTGATGGAATTGGGGAAATTAAGGTTACAATGAGGATTCACAGCTCCCTCTTCTGAGTTAAGTTGAGGAAATCTGCTGGCAGAATCGAACCTAAGACTTTTAGCCATCACTGAGTAATCTTCTTCCCCAATAATTTTTGTTTCTATTTTGGATTTCGATTTATTTTGAGTTCTGTACTTTCTTTTCAAATCTATTTTTTAAGTTTACTGTTGCTGGAAATCGGAGAGTGCTATGAGGATTCACAGCTCCCTCTTCTGATCTATCATTTGAGGAGATCGGCTGGCAGAATCGAACCTATGACTTTATTTGCCATTGCTGTGTAAACTCCTTTCCTATTTTTATTGTCTTAGTTAATTTTATATCATCATAGTTGTGGATAAGGATGAAGCGATAATACTATAATCCAACACTTGATCTGAGACTTTTATTGTCAAGTGATGTTCGTGTATTGACTTCTGAATCTGCTGACGAGTGTATTGTATTGTGTGCACATTCACATGAAATTTTTGCTGACAGTTACTGCATTGTTGGATTGGATTTCACTCCAAACAACATGAATATGATTATGAAGCGTGTTTGAATGACTTGGATTTGAGTTTGTTTAAAATCTATAATTTGAAATGTCAAGCGCTTGGTTACTTGGATTTGAATGAAATTTATTTAAATGCACTTTGAAACGTGCCATTCCAAATATACTCTACACAGTAGATAAATTTAATATCTTAACGTTATAATCGTTCATTTTACTCATATTTTTATGTAGTCAGGTATGTTTATCGATTAGTGGTTGAAATGTTGTTTATTGACATGTTGCTTAGCTCTTTCATCGTATGTCTATCAAGTTGTTATTTGTACAATTGAACTACAAACGTTTCTGAATCATCAAGTGATGAATCATGGAAAATCTTAGGACACCTTCCTACATAGCTTCTTTAGCTATGGATGAGATTAACATTTCCGTTCTGATGATGATGATAACTTTACTGTTATATATTGCATTGTGTTTTCTGTGCATAGGTCGCAATGACGACATTTAAAATTCAAGCTCAACAGACTGGATTACAATCTCTCTGTATGAGAAGATTGTGTGTCGACAACCACTTCTTTTACTGAGCGATCTAATCTGCTTTTGTTGCAGTATTTGTTTTTAAGATTTGGGTATTTATGCTTTTAATTTGCATTTATGTGTTGCAAGATAGAAACATATATATTTACCAAAATGTCACGTGCATTTAGTTTTGCTGAATGTCTCTATGGTTATTTAATTTTAGATGGATGTAGCATTCAATGAAACATGTATATTCTTTTATTCTGTCAATCAACTCGTTGAAGTTTCTGTGCTTTAACCTTTTTGTTTACTATTTCTGTTTGTGAATTTCTGTTGGCTTCTGTATCAAACTACCCAACATCTGTCTATGCATTCTCTCCCACACTCAAAAGCACAAGGCTGGCTTCCGTATCTGCAGGCTTCATTTTTAAGGACTTGGCATTGCAAGGTTGAAGTGGGCATCTTTGTAGCTTGTGCATTTGCGAAGTTAGTAATTTAAAAGATTAAAATAGTGCAGTGAATCAAACCATATGAGTTGTTTGCCTCTTAGATGAAGTCACGATGCCTGTTCAGTTTCTCTGTTCTGAGCTGCCAGAGTTAAATTCCGCTTCATATGGATTGGGGATTTCTGTGGCACAATTATATGTTTTAATGAACAAGGATGCTGATTGCCTGGTTATGTAATTGGGAAGGATTTGAAATGTTGATATATCGTGCAATTGTTTAGTTACATTATACATTCAGATTGACAAATGACAAGGACTTCATTGAATTTTATGTACTAACTGAAACTTCTAGAAATGTAATACGAACCTTTCATTCTTATCATGAGTTCATTTATTATTCTATTTATTGTATTCGTGTAAAAGTTGAAGTAATTTAATTTAGCAATTGTTTGGTTTTGAACGTAAAAAATTGAAATTCACTTTTAGTTGAATATTCACGCCAAAATAAGTTTAGAAACGGACTGAATTTTTCAGTTTGGTTCACATCGGTTTGGTTTTACTCATTAAAGAAATGTTATACAATAATCGGTCTTAAATTTGAAAATCAAAATTATAAAATATTTAAAAATCGAAATTATAAAAAAAAATTGAAAATTGAAATTGAAATCGAAAAATGAAAAATAATTTGGTTTTCGATTTTTGCCAAAGTTTGGTCACACCTAATTATAGATATCCAACAAGCTAAAAGGTGAATTTTGCTTAGAATTCATGGGTTTAGATCCATAATGATGTCCCTTTCAACTTCCGGCTCATTGGCCCTTCGGTGGATCCAAGTTATATGAGGGCTATGCTGGGCTTAATACAGGGTCCAAGCCTAGGTGCTAGTGAAACCTACGAACCAGCTGTGCAAATATGATGTTTTACTCCAATTTTAAACAAAAATTAAATAATTTGCTAGTTTTGTAATATGATTTTGGGAAAATCAAATTCATAGTTTTTATATGTGATCTTGGATGCCATATGATCCTAATCGCAATACAAGGTATGGAATTTAAGCTCTCCATTTTTCTTTTTTTACAAAGAAATGTATAGCTTTCGAGTGGTAAAGTTTTTTCAAAGTCATATAAATTAATATAAAAAACAATTACAGGTTCATTGCGCTGCCCCAGTCCCATTATTATTTACATATATAAAAAAAACTGTTACTTTAAGCATTATATTGCAAGTTTATATTTTAAAATTAAATATTATTTAAAAATTAACCACTGTAGAAATATAGTATTTAAATCTAATATCGTGTTTGAAAAGAGGATGAAAGTAAAATAATGGTGTAAAAATTCACTAATCATTCTCTCAAAATAGAGTGAAAATAAATCAGAAATAATGTAAAATAAATTTATTTTACAAGATATCTCCGCGTTTTCACTCAAACGAAATAAGAAATTTAAAAAATCGCAAAATAATTTTCACTCTCCATTCTACAGCCACCTATATTTTAAACATAAGCGCATTTTAATTGGATTTGCCAAAATTGTGTCAATGAAAGTAAATTTTCCATAAATGGCGGACTTTTGACATTATGTAAAAAGATAATGTCTGTCAGTTTGAAGGTCTGAAGTATGGGCGCAACATAACTAAGCTATCAAAAAAAAAAAAAAAAAAAAACTGTCAGTTGAAGGTCTGAAAGTATGGGCGAACATACCGTAAGCTAAATTAAAAAAAAAAAAAAAAAAAAAATCTGATATAGGTTGGACCCTTTCCACCATCTTAATTTCCTGTCCACTGAAATCTTGTTTGCCACTTTGTCTGATTTCTCATTATTTGGGTGTTTAGCTACTAATTTTAGGTGAATCTACAAATTAGGTCATCAATGTATGAATCTCATTTTAAGATTCCACTTATGACCAACAATTAAATCACAGATGGACCATACCAGATTTCTGTTATATAACAGAATAAAATGATTGATGGCAACTTCCACTTTCTTTAGTTAATGTTCATAGCTATCTCATACTCCCTTTGGTACAAGCCACATAGCTTTACAGGAATGGACATTCTTGTGTTTGTTTGCTATTAATGTTGGAATTTAAGTTGATGCCTTACCAAAATTTAAGTTTCTGTTTTAGTATTCTTAGCCTAGTTGGGAAAGTGAGACTATGTAAGAGTTCAATATCATCTTCAAATTTTGATTATGTAAAAAATGTGATTATGTAAAAAAAAAAAATATATAATATATATATATATTATATATATTATATATATATATATGATATATATATATATTATATATATATTTGGATTAATTTTAGAAAAATATATATATTTGGATAATTTTAGAAAAAAAAAATTAACATTATTTTTGAATTGTTGCAACTAAGAATACGTCAAAAACTATAAATATATATATGTATGCACCCTCTTTCCATAAAATATTTGCTTAATAATTTAAATTATACTTTCAAATTTCCTCAAAAAATAAAACAATTTCATTTTTATTATTTGTTGATTAATGCTACATATACCATTTGAGTATGGAAGGAGAGACTTATCTATTTTTAAAAATTTCGTTGACAAATTAAACTATTAAAAAAAATTAGAATATTATCTTCCTTCTATTCGTGTGTTGTTTAAGATAATTACACAATGATTAAAAATTCATAATACAATTTTAATTAACTAATACATTTTATCTATTTTAAAATATAATTAACACTTAGTGGAGATAACATATAAAGGCAAAACTAAAAAGAATAATTAATTAATTTTTGAAAATGACAAATTAAATCGACAAGAGGAGAGAGTATTATATTTATATAACCATTTAATCAAATTTGATTAACTCGATTAATGGAAAATCGAATGCAATTTGGTCCACTTGTGAAATAATTGTGTCAAGTATGAATTATTAATATATATATATATATATAAAAAAGAATTATGGACAAGTGGATTGGGCCGAGACGATCAAGTGATCCGTTGAAGTTGAGGAGTTATGGTCCAACTTCATGTGAGATCTCAGAACGACCCCACACGGTTTGGGCTAAATGAAAAATCTAGTCACCTTTTAGGCTTATCGATTAACGACGCCTCTCTGAAGGGTGCATGTCAGTTTCAAATAGTAACGTACCTAAAGAGTGCCCTACGTTTTTAGATTTAAATATAATATATTAAAAATAGAACAATTAAGAAAATTAATAGATTTTTAAAGTGGTTAATTAGACAAATTTTTTGAAATTATATGGATATAACATGATTTGAATGTTTAAGGACTAATTGCTTATAACAAACACAAAATTTAAACCGGGTTTTAAAAACTAAAATCATTATCTATTGAACAAATTCTCCATAAAACCATACACACATCTAAATAAAAAACAAAGCAACAACTTCACATAGAATAGGGATATCACAAATTTCATAAAAGATGGAAAAGTCACTAAGAATAAAATACATCGTATAATAAAAGAATAAATAAATAATATGAACTTGAGCACTAATCAAGTATGGTATGATTAGTATTCTCACTTATATAAAGAGTGAAAGATCTCAAATTTTGACTATAAATTTTTCATTAATTTAGTGAATTAAATGGAGGGTTATCCCTATATTGTGTTTCGGTTCAGTGGGCTTCATAATGATCAAAAAATAATACGAGCTAGGCTAAAAGTTACGTAAAAAAATTATAAAATTATAAAAAGATGATGAAATTCTAAGAGACAAGTATCAACTCTTTTCCCACATCGACATGCTTAATTGTCTGCTCTGATGGAGAAAAAAAAAAAAAAAAAAAAATTGTCTGCTCTGATGGAGAAAAAAAAAAAAAAAAAAAAAAAGTAAAGCTTAGGATTCAAAAAAAAAAAAAAAAAAAAAAGTAAAGCTAGGATTCTAGTGGAAAAGAAAAGGAAGGAAGAGAGAGCACTTCAAGTCAATAAGCTTCATAAAAAACTGAAAGGAGAAAAAAAAAAAAAAATCAAGGTATTGTGGTCCAAAACATATAATTGAGCTCAGATATTTGTAAGGTGCTGAAAATATATGATGATGAAATTGCAAATACAGTTAAAAAATGAAATGTGACCTAAAAAATTTCCGCTGAACGAGAAAATAGGAAGGGAAAAATGAATACACGTTTCAGGATCATGTCATTCTATAAAATCAAGAATGTGCAAATCAAAATTTATTTCTATCACAACTCACTACAAAATTAAATGATAAGAAAATTTAAATTATTTCATAAGAGGGGAAAGTGATATATTTTGAATGAGAAAATTATTTTTTTGAGAATAATCTGAACGTTTGTAAAAAAATAAAATTAAATGGAGAGATGTGTGGATAAATTTGTCAATTCATCACTTAAAATAAAGAAATGAATGCAAAGATCTCTCTGTCCGGTTAGTAATTACTGGCATTAAGTGTCCATGCTTGTATTGCCAGATGTCCTAAGTGGGCTGGCCGGCCGGTTAAAAGACGATTAAAAGCTACTGCCACTACAACAATTCATTCTTGCTTTTGGACCAACCTTCTTTTCCATCACTTGTTTGCTTCCCCAATTTTGGTTTCTTGATTTATTCCAGCCAACATTAATTTTAATATTTATTTCAATTCTATTTTAAAACCTAAATTTACCTTTTCAATACTATTCTATTTATCCACTTTTATTTATCATTTTTAAAAACATTATTTTGTTGTTAGGAGTGAAGCCATGAAGGCAGGCAGTAATACATCTTTGATCTTAATATCGAATTTTCAACTCATGAATTAAATCTTTTGGAAAAAAAAAAAAAGGAAATAATTCCGTACTCAAGCACGTGCTTTTCTTGCCTCAGTTAGAGGCACTTATCACGCTAAAATAGGACGACCAATAAATGAATACATACATATATATGTTCTTTTATTTTTTTTAAAAAGTTATTTTATTATTTATTAATGACAATTATAAATATGTAACACGACATGGATCTACTATATGAATATATTGTATACAAAAAATATTACATTAAAATCAAGTATCTATATGTTTGGAAGTGCTATAAGTCGCAAATTTTAAATTAATTGTAAATGAATAACCCAATACTTTTTTTTTTTAATTTTTTTTTTTCTGTTTATGATAAATCTCAAAGGCAGTCATAAAGAGCAATGTCTTTAAGGTTGCTGACGATAAGAACACGTTATGTGGTCAGGAAGCAATTAACTTGAGAAATATTTTAGTCCAGGCGGTGGTGCGAATCTGAAAAACGTGTTAGTGGCCGTCACCGTGACTCTCCAGTTCAATTTCTTTTCTTTACCTCACAATTAAAATTTTTTAAAAATAAGGCCAATAAGATATATTATAGTTGTTTTTTTCACATCCTTTTTATGCTCTACACTTGTTTATATTGTATATATTAAATTAATTAAATTATTAATTTTATTATAATAGAATATTGCTAATTATACATTAGAAAATAAAGATAAAATAGAAATAATTTTTAAAAAATTTTATTTTTATTAATTTAGTCTATGGTAGAGTCATAAAACCAATCTAAATAAATATTTTTTCTCTTTTTTTAATATAAATATACAATATAAAAATTAGAAATCTTAATTTTGAATTCTTAAGACCGAAGTTACCTTGTATCAAGACTCTTTATTAAAACCTTAAAAAGGACTTGCTTTACCTATACATAACCCTTATTGTCCATTCAAGAAAATAAAAGGTGTCTTCACTATTCTGTCCCCTTGCATTTGCTGTTTAATTTTTGACTTTGTAAATTTAAATCCTATTTTCCCCCTCCAGGTCATAAATTTCACCTACATGATAAGTTTAGAAGAGAAAAACTCTTATTATACACTCTCTCCCTCCCAGAAAAACACTTCATCTTTTTTTTTTTTTATTTGTTCAAAATATATTTCACTCTTCGTTTTTACACTGCAGTTAATTTTTAAATCATTTACAGTACTTTTATTAAATTTTATATCAATAACTCTTATTAATTTTTATTTATTATTCTAATATAATAAGTACTTATATATTATTTAAAATGAACATAATAGAAAAATTATTAAATAAAACTGTTCTTTAACTATAATAATTGCTTTTTTTTTTTTAGTTTATATGAAAATAAAAAGTGACCTAACGTTTTTGCAGGAGTATCGTTATTGCGATGCATTAAATCTCTCTGTGGATAAAAAAAAAAAAAAAAAAAACTATACGTTTTTGCAGGAGTATCGTTATTGCGATGCTTAAATCTCTCTGGTGGAATAAAAAAAAAAAAAAAAAAGACCTCTCTTACTAGCGAAAAAAAAAAAAAAAAAAAAAGACCTCTGCTACTAGCGACCTGACATGTAGAGTATGCAAAAGAGTAAATCGGATCACGGGTGGCCACTCGTCAACATCAAAACCCACTATATAAACCCACTTTCTTCATGTACCCTTATCATAAGGTGCAGTATCTCACCATAACTCACAAGCCTACTTTGCTTTCCCCTTGAAAAATATGCAGCCCAAGCAGTTTCGTTTCACTGTCTTCTTTCTGTTATTGATCATTGGAGTTTCTGTTGGTGGCACCGCTCCTGAAATGTCTACTGAGCCTAATTATGATCAGGGACAGGGTGGCTCCTCTACTGGGGCTACTGGCCACGGTCATGGCCCCAACTATGATTACAGTTGGGGCTGGGGGTCCAGTCCGGGCAGCGGATATGGTTATGGTTCGGGTTCGGGACGGTCGCCAAATGGGTTTGGTAGAGGTTTTGGGTTTGGGTCCGGGACTGGAAGCGGATCAGGATCAGGATATGGTTATGGGTACGGAAGTGGTGGTGCACATGGTGGTGGATATGGGGCTGGAAGTGGGTCCGGCAATTCTGGCAGTGGCGGTGCTGGTGAAGGAAGCGGTGGCAGTGGTGGCTCCAGTAGCAGTCACCTGCCCGTTGATTCCAGGTCCAGAGGTAAAGGCAACCACGGCAAATGATACGGATTTGAAGTCTTGGGGTTGATTTCTATCTTTATATAAGTCTCCGCATGGTGTGTAAGCTTATGACTGATATATATATATATGTATTTTTATATGTATTTTTAGTGGCTAACAACGTCTGCTTCTCTGGTCTGTAAAATTTCACTTGCCTGAAGTATTTTGTATTCCATAATCCATAACATATAGTAGAACGGAATTTAGAAGAATTTCCACGAGCAACATCATCATGCATCAAATCACCATTTTTTTTTTTTTTTTCTGCATCAAAATCAACCATGTTTTTTTTTTTTTGTTCATGTTTCCGTTTTTGAGTTGATTTCCCTCCGAATTTTTACTTTTTGTTTCTCTGGTATATAATTTAGTTGAAATTGTAAGGTTTTAATGTTTTGTGTTGATATTTTGAAAATTTTCCATTTTTTTTTTTTTTTGTTCATGTTTCGTTTTTGAGTTGATTTCCGAATTTTCTTTTTTGTTTCTGTATATAAATTTAGATTTGAAATTGTAAGGTTTTAATGTTTGTTTGATATTTTGAAAATTTTTTTTAACGGACTTAATTTTTTTTCTCATCTAAATAGGTACAAAATTGATCTTTATAGTGTAATTATAGAAATTTAAATATAAAAAATATACATAAATCATTGATATTATTTTAATTTATAAAATTTTTTAACAAATTCACTAAACACAATTGTTATACGTTCTAAAAAATTTATTTTTGACCAATAATAAAATTTATTATTGTAATTGGCTTATAGCATTTTTTTGTTTGTGGTAAATTTGACTATTAATTTCTAACGTTTGACTTAAAATATATTTTTAGTTTATAAACCAATTTAAAAAAGTAGTTAAATATTTGATATAATTATTTAATTAACAATTGTTTTTAAATAGTTTAAGCGGTTGGTTTATAGGAACGTTAAAACTAATTTTATTTATTATAATTACCGAAAAGGATATACTAATTAAATAAAAAAAATTAAAAGAGTTCAATAGAAACGAGGATGATATTGCTATTTTTAAAATCTAATAGGATAAGATTTTTTACTTAACATTTATTTTTATTATATAAGCATTTATATTAGTATTTAGAGTTATTCTTACGTTTCATGAAACGCTAAAAAGAATCTATCGAAAAATTTAATCGATAATCCGTCACTAAAATTATTTAATATTTTTAATTTTAGAAATAAAATTTTTCAATAAACATTTGCTAACAACTACCAACAAAAATTATTGTTGGTAAATTTTTATGTTGAAGATCTACTAGGTAAAATTAGTTTTTTTTTTTGTTTTTTTAGAATAGATAGATTGAGGGATTTGAATCCCTTGGTAAAATTAGTTATTAGTAGTTGTTAGTTGTTTGAGTAAATTTTCATAAAATGCTAGGTTAACGATTTATAAAATGCTATCTCTAAAATTTTTTTATAAAATTTTACTTTAGAATTAAAAAATTAATTCAAACATTATGGTGCCTAATACTATAAATAAATAACATTTAGTGTTTTGACTGGTTTCACTATTCAAAACGCTAAAAACTATTTAAAATGTTATTATCGAACACAATCTAAGTGCATATTATTTAGTAACATAACATTCATACCGGTGCAATGATGGAAGCAAACATGTACTTTAATGATGATATGAATGGTTACAAACCAAGGAATGAAATGAGTTTGAAACCAAAGTACTGAAATGGGTTTGAATTCATAATAAAAGCTTCACTGACGACTAAAAAATAAATTGATAATGCAAAAAATATAAAGTTTTGTAAAATATAAAAGATTGCTTGGAAATTGAAAATAATGTATTGCCAAAGATAGCAACTTTAAAGAAAAGGTGACAAAAAAAACTGAAAATGTAATTTATTTTTTTATTATACTCTCATTGTAGAGATGCTTGTTTATCTAACTCTTAAAACGCTTAGGAGGATATGTAAGTTCAATCTCCTCATCATCAAGAGTTTAGCTTCGGTTGTCCTTCAATTCTCCTTAATTGGAATTTAAAGATTAGTTTACCAAATTCACCTCTTTCTTGTCGTTCCATATTATTCTTAAGTGCAAGGGTTTCCATGTGCGAATGCTTGGTCTTGGAGTGATCGTTGATTTTGAACCATTGGATTTCCACCTTCACCTATATAGACCAAACAATCAGATGAATTCATATGGACTTGTAGCAACAATACTTGTGGCTAATTTAGTTCCATCTTCTATCGCAAGGTAATCTATTCCCTTAACGAGTTGATGATGAAGACCTATAATAAATAATTGAGCTCTAAATTGAAACTCATCACCCATCTTTACTCCTGGAATTGCGCCTAATCTTTTTATTGGGTTCATCCAATCACAAGTTTTGATTATCGTTCCAAATTATATACATAAGCACTTTGATTATCGTTCCATTCTTCTTTTTCATCATCTTTTAGGATACAACTGCATTCTTCTTTTTTATAATCGTCATCTCCTCTCAAACTTGATACACGGGCACTTTGATTATCATTGCATTCTTCTTTTTCATCATCTTCTAGGATATCGTTGCACTCTTCCTTCTTATAATCATCATCTCCTCCCAAACTTAATACACGAGCTCTTTGATTAGAGTTCCATTCTTTTTTTTTTTTTTATAATCATCATCATCTTTTTGGATAGTGCTCCATTTTTCCTTCTTAAAATTATCATCTCCTCCCAAGATTGATACACAAGCACACTCCATTTTTCTTTCTTATAATCATCATCGTGGTCTTTTAAAATTGATATATAAGCACTACAATCTATTGCAAACTTTTCCTCAATAGATGCAATATCCTTAAAAATAGAATGTAGATCTTGGTCTACTTTGGAAAGCAAGAGAGGTTCTTTGTCATAATCAACGATAATTTCCTTATGCAAGGGAAAATCTCGTCTAACAAAATCTCCTTTCAGATTTCTTCGAGGAGGATATTATGTTGGACCATATTTCGAAATATCTTGCATTCTATCGCACCCAAAAGCGGGAGCAACTCTTTGTTCTGTACATATACGTGTTGATGAACAATCCATGGAGCACCTCTAGTTCCAAAATCTATCAATAAAAGATAATATACGTGTATATTAAGATAACGAAGGCATAAAATCTTTTTGTAGTAACATTAGTAGTCTGAAGGATGAAAAGACAAATTTAGATACTTGATTGGTGGAGATAATTAACAAAATTAATAATTTAATTTGGCTAAAAGTAAAAAATTTAGCGAACACTAAATATATTAAAAGTGAAAACAAAAATAAAAATATGACTAAACATCTGTTCAGCAAAATTAACTATGTTACCCAATATTATACTGAATATTTTAAAAAAATAGCGTTTATCGTTTTAACCAATTATTTAAAAAAACTGTTTGCCGTGAAAAGCATATATACTAATTAACAAATTGAAAAATCACCATTAACATGTAAATAAAAATCAGAAGGCCAAAAAAACCATCATTAAAAAAATTAAAATAAGAATAATAAAACCTCAGTTTCGATTGATCAATAACAAAAACGCACCAGTATTCGTCTTCCTTCTCAGTTCTCTGTCATCCAATAGAGTCTGCTCGCAGCTGCGGATTTAAAGAATGATATTGAAACGTTCCCTTTTATAGGCGAATTCTGCTTGGACACCGAGAGAAAAAATTGTACAGCTTTGGAAGTTTGAATTCTAAATAGATTCGGAAATCCGTCCGTCCTTCTCTATCTCAAAGTCTTAATTTTCGTTAAACATTTAAAACATATGAACGGCTGCGATTTTAATTCCATTCCGATTAGGAACTCTTCCAGTATGATGAGCTTGGTCTTATGAATCTAACGTCTGGAATCAATTTCAATCCTTGGTATCGTATCGGACTGAATCTACGACCGTCAAGCCTTTTCATATTACTTACTAACAGTGTTTAAGTCCTAATAAGTGTGAATTTTGGATTTTCAATTTTCTTGCCTGCGAAGTCGCATCGCAAGCAAGGCTATCTTTCTTCTAAGAAAGATTTGAATTTCGAAAGCATAATTTTCTACTTGCTATATAGGAAAGAAAGTATCGAGTGATTCTTACCTAATATTCCGGACTCCATAATATTAATAACCACCTTCTACAAGTATTTCCCTGTTTTTACAAGTTAAACTGCAGATTCCTGGTCTGTGCTCTTCACAGACAAAAGAAGAAAACTAAACACACTGATCCAGAATAGCAATAGGAGAAGTATTCAGATGCAGTTCAAGCATAATTCACGTTTTCATATATTATAAATATAAAAGATGCACCATCTGGACTGGACATAAACGTGCATTTCTTCATAATTAATAAATGCAAAAAGAGAAATCGATGAGAAAAAGATGCATGAGCAGACATACTAATCATTTCATTAGCTCAGACAACATTACATTCCATATACACACTCAACATTTTATCGACCCAAAAAACTAACTTATCTATGCATGTCAGCAACACTTTGCAACAGTGAGATATTAAACATATAGTCCACCCAAAAAAAAATACCTTTCTTTTTCTATTCAGTAAAACTTTCCAACACATTTAAGAGACGAACAGAAACATTCCTTCGCCTTAAAATTCCCATTTATATGACAAAGTTCTCCTAACCTGTACTTGTAATCATACGTCAACTCCTTGGAGGGAGGCATGTTCTTCTTGGCAAGTAGCATTATGTGAGGTATTTCAGGATCATCATAGAGGACTTTTTCCACATAGAGATTAGGAGAACAACTATGATTAATGAATCTTGCAACATTACCATATTGAGCTGCATCAATAGCAGAACCTCCAATATCTTTCTCAGAGAAATTTGAAGGACGAGATTCGTATAGAGGTATCCATTCTTCTTTAAAATTGCGATCACGGCAGTTATCTCCTATGTGAAACAAATATTCATCCCTGCTGCCAACCCTTTGCTCTGCTTCCTTGGCTGAAAGAAATTCTCCAACATACTCGCAAACAAAACTTCCAGATGGAATGTATGATCTGGATTTGACACCCAATCCTTTTGATTTCGTCTTGAACACCTCGAGTTGAAACTGGATGCCCTGTTGGCTCACTCTATTAATGCAAGAATCAGAACAATTGCAAGAATTACCACATTCATAAACGTAGGGCTTTTCCTTAATAAGATGCCTGTGATTGTCATATGGAAATTCTTGCCCATTCTCGATTTTGCATTTACAATCTACGGACTTAGAGCATTGACTAGTACAATGACAACCAATTAACAGAGAATGATTGTTCAATCGCAGATAAGTTACCTTGGCAACATAAGTAAATGATGAAGGTCTCTGTTCATCAACTTCATTCACTACTGCAATCGGCATCTTCTCGCTGCCTCCAGAGATATCACTAATTAAAGGACCCCTTTTACGGGATGCTACATTTTTGTGTGTGCCTGGAAATCCTCGAGTTAGCCCCGGTTTCCCTGAAATTCTTCTCGGCCCATATTTGAAAACAAGTTTACCAGACTCCCCTCTTTCCTGCCATAACTTTTCCACATTGTATAAGCCATCATAAACACATGTGGTGGCTAAATTCTTCTGTTGATTACCTCTAAGAGCAGATAGCTTAGACCTCTTACAATTTTCAGATAGAATAACTCTTACAGGAGTTAACTTGCTTCATGCTATTTTCCCATGCATGATTTCCTCGTTCAAGAACTTGATCTTTAATTGGTTTTCCACTTTTAACATTTGGGTTTCCACCTTCACCACAGTAAATCAACACGTCAGGCGATCTCATTTCATTGGCATACCGATTGGTAGCAACAACGCTTGTGGCCACTATAATCCCATCCCTCTTCATGTAATCTATTCCTCTCTCAAACTGACAATGAACGCCAACTACGCGTAATTCAGCCCTACATTGAAATTTTTCACCAATTTCAACTCCAGGAACTGAACCCAGCCGTTTGGCAGTGTTAACCCATTTGTTTTAATCTCCAGTGCTAGCATCTCTGTAAATTTTGGGATTTCTTACCAGATTTGCTTTATTTTCCTTCAAGAGCTTCCTGAGGGTCTCACGGTACAATTTCAGAACCTTAATCACTTCATCACGGCTCGCTGTTGACTCCCCACTATAGCAATTAACATCAGCACTAGAATTAGCGGCAAATGGTTTCTTGCCCCCAACAAACTTGTCACTTGCTGGAACAACTTCCTCGGAAACAGAATAAGGATCGTTTTTCGTTGGAAGAGCGGTTTCAGGGGGAGGGTTTTCACTTTCGCTTGGGTTCGCCTCCATGGCCGAGACTTCATGTCCGTCTCGGCCATACTAGTAGGCCTTCACCACAATCTTTGGGAAATTGGCGTAAAGCGACTGGTCTTGCTCGCTTAAACTTAGTCTAGGATGAAACATGCATAATGCATAAGAAATTTTACTTCGTTTCTTGGAAATAATTAAACCAAGCTCACATTGTTAGGCATAAGCTCTTACACCTGTTATTGTGCATCAGCTCTGATACCACTTGTTGGGCGTTCATAAATTACGTGTTCACCCTCAACTGTTTAGGGGTCTACGGGACAAGCTCCGAATCATTCTTCCACTATTAAAAATAGTAAGTACACAATGAGAGTAATACAAAAATAGTGGCACTTGTTTTCCAAAAATACTCCATAATAATTTCCTCACTATTTTTCTCTCCCCTTGTTTAGGAAACCCTTCCTAAAACTACATAACGCTCACTACATTTTTTTTTCTTCGTTTCTGCTGTGTTTTGCTTGAGGCTTTGCTACCTCTATAACTCATTCATGGCTCTCCATTTTGTCAAAAGAATTGCATGCTTTATTAAACTTTCCTTTTTCTTTTCTTTCTTTCTTCAAAGAAACACGTTTTCCTTCTTTTATTTTATTTTTTTTTCAAACTGTGTGTGGGTCCCACATGTCGGAGGGACCCACAACAATTCTCTCCCTCCCAACGATATGGTGGGACTCTCCATTCCTGCTGCTTTGACACACAGCTTGGAGTTCTCATTTTGCCTTAGTTGTTCACAAAGCAAAACACTTCTGTAATCTTGACTGCTACGACACGGCTCCCCTGCAAATGTGATTGGATATCATGAAAATCCATTTCACTGCAGTCCAATGTTTCTTTCTAGGATTTGAAAGAAACCGACTCACTACTCTAACTGAGTGAGCAATATCTAGCTGTGTACAAATCATGATATTCATCAAGCTTTCAACTGCTGAAGCATATGGAATCTTTTCCTTTTCTTCCTTCTCTCCATCCCTAGAAGGACACTATTTAGAACTCAATTTAAAGTTATTATTAAGAGGATAACTAACAGCTTTAGCGTTTTCCATTCTAAACCTTTGAAGTACTTTCTCAATGTACTTCTCCTGTGACAACCATAATTTCTTGGCTCTTTGATCTTTATGCCAAGAATTTGCTTTGCTGGTCCCAAGTCTTTCATAGCAAAAGACTTACTTAGCTGTTTCTTCAAGCTAGAATTCTGACCAACAATCTTGATCTTTTATTGCCAAGAATTGCTTTGCTGGTCCCAAGTCTTTCATAGCAAAAGGACTTACTTAGCTTTCTTTCAAGCTTAGAATTCTGACCAACAATCAATATATCAACCCAACATAGAGCAAAAAACAATATAGTCATCATCAGAGAATTCATCAGAGAATTTCTTCATAGAAACATAGTGATCTAAAGTAGTCTTTCTGTAGCCTTGCTCCCCCATAACAGACTCAAACTTCTTGTACCACTGTATCAGTGCTTGCTTCAAGCCGTACAAGCTCTTCCTCAGTTTGCAAACACAATTCTCTTTTTCTACAAAATCCTCTGACTGCTCCATGTATATTTCTTCTTTCAAATCTCCATGTAAGAAGGTAGTCTTTCCATCCATTTGCTCGATTTTCAGTTCAAAACTAGCGACCATTCCGAGCACTGTTCGAATGGACGTCATTTTCATAATTGGTCAAAATCAATACCCTTTCTTTAATTGACTCCTTTCACAACCAGTCTAGCTTTGAATCGTGGTTGGGAGCTGTGTTCTTCCTGTTTGATCCTGAACACCCACTTGTTCTTCAAAGCTTTCTTGTTCAAAGCTATTCTTGCCTTTTTAGGCAATTTCACCATCTCAAATGTTTCATCCTCATGCAAGCATCCTCATGCAAGGACTTCATTTCATCTTGCATGGCTTCAATCCAGCTCCTCTTGTGTTCATTTTCCATAGCTTCTTCAAAGCTTTCAGGTTCGAAAGCTTCTCCCCCGTCAGTTGTTAGTACATACTCATTGACTGGATATCTAGTAGATGATTGTCAGACTCTACTAGATTTTCTTAATTTTTGAGAACCTTCCGGTGTTGGTGGTTGAACATGAACACCATAATCTTTATCTGGTTCATTCTGATTAGGAACTTCTGGATTTTCTAACTCTGGCAGTTGTTCTGTGGAACATTTTCTTCATCTCCAATTTATCTGCGTTCTATTGGAGGGACTCTCTGTATGTCTGTTGAGTCTTCATCAGATCTATTGGAACTTTGCTTCAATATCTTCAATTGTCTGATCTTCAAAAATACAGCATCACGATTTCTTATAATCGTCTTCTGGATTAGGTCATAAAACCTATAGCCACATTGGTCTTGGCCATAGCCAATGAATACACACCGTCTGTCACCTTAATAATACCTCATAGACTCACTTGATACATTGCTCTTACTAGCCAATTGAAGTACAACTACTTGTGTTCATAGTCTTGACATTCATTATTGGCTATTAGTACTGTCTACCATCCCTTCGGAGATCCACGAAGAAGCTTTGTCCACACGATAAACAAAGCGTAACGCGACGATGAATCACCTACGGCCAATATCCTATCGCCCATTTCCCTACTTCGGCATAGACTCTCTTTGAGAAGGTAAATCAATAGCTGTAGAGGCGCTAAAACCATGCAGGGTGGAGACGCAACAAAGACTGAGCTGGTAGCGAGGTAACAGCTTGCAGCCGGCAAGGAACTCTCGTTTCAGACAACTTTGACGTGAATGAGAGTAAACATACAATGCCACCTCTCCTCCCCTCAACAAAAGTTTTGATTCATCCTTCTCAGCAAAAGCTCTCGCTTGTAGCATGTCGCAAGCGTATCTCTGGGAGGTCTGTGCACCTGGTGAGTGTCGAATGCTTGCATTGGTACCCTCATTTAGCAGAGAAGGGCATGACGAGGACCCAATGTGGTAAAATTCGTCCGGCCACTCTATCATCTGACCGCATCCTGATACATCTTGTAGACTTCTTGACACTGTCGTGATCTTTCTCTAACCCCGACGGTAGTTTAGAAGAGACTGTGCGACCTGTGTATACCCAGGAGTCCTTCTCTAAGAAGCCGCCAGGAGTCAATCGGATTATATTAAATCAGTCATAGATGAATCGCTCGTACCAATTGTCACACTCATGATGATGATTATACCAGATGGTCCACACAATCTGGATGAAATCAGAAAAATGAATAACACTATATCTCAGTTCTGAGCAAGGTAGGGACAAAATTTCTTGTCAAAGCTAGCTCTAGTTTTAGGCTTGGCTTCCCATATATCATTATTCAAAACCAAATCCAGGAACACAACTTGTCTGGGAGGGGGTGAAAACGCTCTCAATAGCCCAAAATCAGAGTAAGGGTGTATGGCGTTCTGTTCTTGTCCGGAGGAGCTCGTACGGTTTAGACATCATGTATGCGTCGTGTGGTAATGAACCAATCTCTACATCCAGTGCAACCTTGATATATAGCGTGTTCGATCTGCGCCGCTACTCACAAAAGCTCTCCAGTAAACGAAGAGTGATACTTGAGGGATGAGTGATTCTTCGCAATTGCAATACGACGAATAGCAAACGTTATCGGTGTGCCATTTGAGTATCCTGGTTTCAGAACTAGAATACCATTTGTGGTGAGCTTCCATCTTGGACCATTCTCCATAGAAAGGTGGCAACAGAATACGCAATTTATTCAACTGGGCAAAGGAGTTCTTGTCCCGATATCGCGTGGAGTGAAGGTTGTGGACGCAATCAGCATACACCAAATATGCCCAGTTCAACTCATTAGTCTTCTCTTTGCCGTTGTAGGTATAACCAAACTATATAAAACCCAAGGATCAACCGAGAATGTCTTTTTAATATCCAAATCCCGGAAGAGAGAAGCTCTCATCTCGGCCCATAATGGTGAATAATAAGTCTACCCGCCATTTAAACTGATCCACAAGATTGACCTTGTCCCCATTTTGCCATGGTATGGCTGCATAAAAAATTATTCCCTCAATCTATTAAGAAACGTATATGACAAGATCAGTGCTAGAAGTACGCTACAACACCGCTAAGTATACGTAAAATAGTGACCTTGAAAATAATAGTAATACTGTCGTTAATGTAGATAGCGTATTATACTCGTAAATATTGTAAAACTATAAAATGCATGAAAATAGTAACATGTATAAACTGTGAAAATGAAGGTAAATCTGAGTGACGAAATTTAGTGCTGGTGCTAATAAATGACGCATGCGACAAAATAGAAAGTAAGAACATCACAGAAAGTTTACGTGGTTCGACTTTTCAACTACTTAATAGTGGCTCATTCACACCGGGACAAACTGCTATCGCCATCAATTCTTCCATCTATTAAAAAAAAAATAGTAGTACACAAACGAGTTATAAGTAAGATACAAAACAATAGGGGCATTTCAATTATTTTCAACATCACCCATAATAATTTACTCTATTATATTTGTCAATCTATTACAATTAGTTTTAAGAAACCATCATAACAACTGTTTCATAAACAAAACATACATAACGCTCTCTACATTTTTTAAATTTTCTTCCGTTTCTGTTATGTGTTTGCTTCGAGGACTCTAGGAGGCAGTTTAGCTAGAGAGCCGTGTATACTCATATCACGAGCTCTCATTTGGTACAACGAATGTAATGCATGTTAAATTCTTTCTATTTTCTTCATCTTTAATTTCGGAATATAAATTACGTTTCTTCTTTTATTTTACTTTATTTTAACTTGTGTGTGGTCCCAACATTGTCGAGGAGGACCCACAACACACTATATTTTTGCCTAGAGAATCGGAGATAGTGAACATTCACAATTGAAGACAAAAAATTCAAACAAGCCGGAGTATTTACGAAGAGAAAAGTCTCTAGAACATAAACTTCTAACCCAAACCGCCATTTAAAAGGTGGAAACGTGAATAGTACTATGCGTAAATAGTGCTGGGCTTAATTGACGCAGCGGAAAAATAGAAATAGGACACACAGAAATTTACGTGGTTCACCTTCAACTATTTAGGGCTACATTCACGGGACAAACTCTGAATCATTCTTCCACTATTAAAAAAATAGTAGGTACACAACGAGAGTAATACAAAAATAGTGGCATTCAAAGTGTTTTTCAAAACACCCCATAATAATTTTCTCATTATTTTTCTCTATCTAGTTTTAAGAAACCCTTCATAAAACTGTTTCATAAAACTACATAACGCTCTCTACATTTTTTTTTTCTTCGTTTCTGTTGTGTTTTGCTTGAGGCTTCTAGGAGAGTTTACTAGAGAGCCGTGTATAACTCATTCACGACTCTCCATTTGGTCAAACGAATTGTATGCATTGTTAGAATTTCCTTTTTCTTTTCTTTCTTTATTCAAATAAATACGTTTTCTTCTTTTATTTTATTTTTTTTTAAACTGTGTGTGGGTCCCACATGTCGGAGGGACCCACAACACACATATTTTTGCCTAGAGAATCGGAGAAGTGAAATTCAAATTGAAGACAAAAATTCAAACAAGCCGAGTATTACCGAAGAGAAAGCTCTAGAACAAACTCTAGCCCAAACCGCCATTAAAAGTGGAAAAAAAACGAATAAAGAAATACACATGCATATACGAATACAACGAAAACGAGAAGGACTAGAAGCAACGGGCCAGAAACAGAGAATGTCAAATGTACCTGAGAACTGTAAAGCTTAAAACCGCCTCGAGTCCTGGAGTTGGAAATCATTTATTTATTTATTTATTTTTTTGTTTTGGGAGAGCGAAAATGAAACGAAGAGTAGCATAACATGGTACAGCTGGTTTCAGTGATCACGCGCCAAGACGACTAATGTTGTGGTTGTGCCCCATTTTTAGATGCGGCAGAGTTAGTAGGGCCCATTAATTAGCTACGTGTCTGATAGTGATAAGTTATTGCTGAGAAGGCCGTTTATCCACGTCACCAATTGATTCTTTTTTTTACTTATTTATTTTTTTGAATTCAGTTTTGATGAAAATGTGAACAGTGCAGTTATAGGTAATAATAATAATATCATGATGCAGCCATAAAATGTGAAGGATCAAAATGGCAACCTAGAAGTTCTAGCACGTAATCACTTGCAGAAAATAATTACACGGTCAGGTAAGAGGATTTCTTCTCCAACCAACTCTCTTTTTCTTCTTGAACTTGAAGTTATTGAAGCATCTTTTGACAGTCAAAGAGATCAGAAAGTCATCATTGACAATGCAATTTTTTTAAAAGACGTAAAACGCATAGAGACCACTATCAATTGCAGTATTAGTTTTAGAACTAAAAATAAAAGAGGAAAAACCTCAATTGCAGTTTTTGATTTTTCTTGATATTTCTATGTACAATACAATAGAGATAAAGCATTATCTACTTGCCCAATTTGCACCTAGTTAATGGCTATTATGTCATTAAGCTCCAAATAAAATTCCAATTCACAATATCTCAAACAACTATAGCAAGTTTTGTTCAAAAGATTCACTATTTCAACTGAATTAACTGAGCAAATCTTGATAATGACAAGTTTTCCACTGTACAGAAACTGCGGGCAGTATTATACTCTGTAATAACCTTCAGCTTGCACAAAGTTCTCCCCTGTTTTGAGAAGATAAAATGCAGATTCCTGATCTCTATTATTCACAGATAAAGAGGGCATTAAACCCAGAGAGAGAGAACAGCAATAGGAAAAGTCTTTTGCGGTTCAAGCATAATTCAATTTTTGCATATATTATAAATATTAAAATAAAAGGCGCCATCTGGATATAAACGTGCACTTCTGCATAGTAACTAAAATGCAATAAGAGAAAGTGATGAGAAAAAGATGCATTACATTAGATCAAAGAACAGTACATTCTATATGCACATTCAACATTAATCCACCCAAAAAACTACCTTATCTATGCATGTCAGCAAAACTTTGCAACAGTGAGATATTAAACATTTAGTCCACCCAAAAAAATACCCTTCTCTTTTTCCATTCAGTAAAACTTTCCAACACATTTAAGAGATGAACAGAAACATTCCTTTGCCTTGAAATTCCCATTTATATGACAAAGTTCTCCTAACCTATACTTGTAATCATACGTTAACTCTTTCCAGGCAGGTATGTCCTTGTTGGCAAATAGCATTAAGTGAGGCATTTCATGATCGTCATAGATGACTTTTTGCACATGGAGATTAGGAGAACAACTGTGATTAATGAATCTTGCAACATTACCATATTGAGCTGCATCAATAGTAACTTTCTCAGAGAAATTTGAAGGATGAGATTTGCCTAGAGGTTTCCATTCTTCTTTAAAATTGCGATCACTGCGGTTATCTTCCATGTGAAACAAATATCCATCCCTGCTGCCAACCCTTTGCTCTGCTTCCTTGGAAGAAAGAATTTCTCCAACATACTCGCATACAAAACTTCCAGATGGAATGTATGATCTTGATCTGACACCCCATCCTTTTGATTTCGTCTTGAACACTTCGAGTTGAAACTGAATGCCCAGTTGGCTCACTCTATTAATGCAAGAATCAGAACACTTGCAAGAATTACCACACTCATAAACATAGGGCTTTTCTTTAATAAGATGCCTGCGATTGTCATATGGAAATTCTTGCCCATTCTTGACTTTGCATGAACAATCTATGTAATCAGAGCATTGACTAGTACAATTACAACCACTTAAAATAGATCGATTCTTCGATTGCGGATAGGTTACCTTGGAAATATAAGTGAATAGTGAAGGTCTCTGTTCATCAATTTCATTCACTACTGCAATCGGCATCTTCTCTTTGCCTCGAGATATATCATTAATTAAAGGACCCCTTTTACATGGTGTTACTTTTTTGTGTTTGCCTGGAAATCCTTGAATTAACCCCGGTTGCCCAATTCTTCTCAGCCGAAATTTGAAAACAAGTTTACCAAATTCCCCTCTTTCCTGCCATAACTCTTCCACATTGTATAAGCCATCATAAACATATGAAGTGGCTAAATTCTTCTGTTGAGGAGTATCTCTAAGAGCAGTTAACTTAGACCTCTTACAATTTTCAGAGAGAATAACTCTGACAGGAGTTCTTTGTAGCATGCTATTTTTCAATGCAAGATTTCCTCGTTCAAGAACGTGATCTTTAATTGGTTTCCCACTTTTAAAATTTGGATTCCCACCTTCACCACAATAAATCAACTCACCAGATGATTTCATTTCATTGGCATACCTATCGGTAGCAACAATGCTTGTGGCCACTATAATCCCATCCTTCTTCATGTAATCTATTCCTCTCTCGAACTGACAATGAACGCCAACCACACATAATTCAGCCCTGAATTGAAATTTGTCACCAATTTCAACTCCAGGAACTGAACCCAACCTTTTGGCTGCTTCAACCCATTTGTGTTGTTTTTGAAGAATAATTGCAGCATCTTTGTAAATGTTGGGATTTCTCACCTGATTCGTTTCATTTTCCTTCAAGAGCTTGTCAAGCATCTCATGGTACGATTCCAGAACTTTAATCACTTTCTCGCGGCTAGTAGTTGGCCCCCTAGCGGACTTCATGTTACAATGTGAGGGAGAGGCCGACTTCATTGAAACTCCTCCTTGCAAAACCCCCGGCAGAGAATATCTTGCAGGAGCTGTTTCAGGAAGAAGGTTTTCACTTTCGCTTGGGTCCGTCTCTGCCTTCGTCTCTGCCACACGAGTAGGCCTTCCATAATCTTCAGGAAATTGGCGAAAAGCGAACGGCCATGCTCGCTTAAACGTACTCTTGGTTGAAGAATGCATCACCTTGACAAAGTGCATGAGAAGTTTTAGTTTGTAATAGTGAAATATTCATCAGAAACTGAAAAAAGAAAACTCTAACACAAACCGGCATAAAAACATTTTTTAAAGAAAAATTCAAGCACAAACTGCCATACACGAAAAAATAAAAAAAAAAAAAAAAGCTAAAGAAATACAAAACAAATACAGATACAAAAAAAGGACTTGAAGCAACGGGCCAGAAAGAGAGAATGTCAAGTGAAATATGCAACTAGATCAAAAGAAAACTCTAGCATAAACCGCCATTAAAATTTTAAAAAGAAAAATCTAGCACAAATCGCCATCGAAAGAAAAAGGAAAAAAAAAAAAAAAAAAAATCGCCATCGAAAGAAAAAGGAAAAAAAAAAAAAAAAAGCTCGCATATAGATAACAAAACACACGAAAATAACAAGAAATATTGGAAAAAGGAAAAAAAAAAAAAAAAAGCTCGCATATAGATACAAACACACGAAAAGAACAAGAAATATTGGGCCAGAGAGAAAATGTAAAGTGTACCTGAAACCTGTGAAGCTTGAAATCGCCTCGAATCGTGGATTTGGGAATCGTTTTTTTCAGTTTTGGTATCACTGGGAGAGTGAAAATGGAAACGAAGAAGGGTAAAGTAAACAGTTTAAAAAGAAATTGAAAAAAAAGAAAGGAAGGGAGACCCAGAGTCCAGCCTAGCAGTCTTCAATTATTTTCACTTTTCAGTGATCACGCGCCGGTACGACTACTTGATATGCCCCGTTATTCAACGTGACAGAGTTAGTGGGGCCGATTAATGAGCTACGTGTCCAATGTTGACTGAAGAAAAATAAAATACTTCTCTGATAAGTTATTGTTGAGGAAGCTATTATCCAACGTCACCAATTCATTCTTTCATTTTGAATTCGGAAACAAGCCCTTCTGTTTTTTTTAGCGTTTAAACGACAACGGCACCGGTGTCCAACTGGGATTAAAACGGCGATGCTGCAGTTAATAGCTAACAATTAAATGATGCAGCCATAAATGTAAGGATTAAAATGGAAAAACAGCAGTTATAAGCTCATAATCGCGTGCAGAAAATACTTACGCGGTCGAGGACTTCTTCACCAACCAGCTTGTCAAAGTATGCGGCCGCAAAGTTTTTGCGGCTGCTGCTTCAAGAATGACTGCTAATAAATTTGAGCAGCAATTTACACATTAAAATATTTTGCCTATAAAAGCTACTTCCCCATTTGTAATTAATTGTGTGCAGATTAGCAAATCGTGAAAGAGAGTAATTGTAAGAGAGAAAAAAATAAAGGGATTATCAAAAAAAAAAAAATCTAATTTTTTGGATATTATTAGATAAAGGATTGTGAATTTTTATAAACACTTTATTTTTTTTTTCTATAAAAGATATGCGTCAGTCCAAAGATGTATACAAGATTGGCCGAACTCAGTTATTAAATAGTGTGTGTTATTATTTTATTTTGCTCCCTCATAATTTTACTTATCTGGAATTTTACGTAATTTTTATTTGACACAACTCTCTTATTCTTGAATTATAAGTTAGCAGGGGTAGCATGGTCATTCAAAGATAATACAATTTCGAGGGGTGCACAAATCTCTGAATATACAAGATTAATTCAATATTCAGAAAATTAGATTTTCAAGGAAATTAATTATAACAATATTGAATTAATCTTGTATATTCAGAGATTTGTGTTGCGACCCCTTGAAATTGTATTATTTTCAGGAAAAGAAAATAATTTTCAAATGAATATTAATTAAGTTGTGATAACCAATCATACAAGACATACAAAATTAGAATTAGCAAATTTAACTCATTTACAAAATACAATACAAATCACAACTAATTTATCAAAAGCAAACACGTACCTATTTTGAGAATCGAAATCAATGCTTGTGATGTCTTTGAAAAAGGCTTCAACTATTGTAATTACTGCATAAACAAATCTTAAACACGCCGTATTAGTTTTGAAGTTATTATCTACTTTTCTTACATAAAATATGCATTTACGTGATGACACGAAAAACACATTTCTAATTTTTATTTTAAAATCATTATTATTTGCTTCATACAATACAATTAAATATATTAATCAATGCATCTATTTTAGAAAATAATATTACAAAATTTAATTATTACATTAATTTTTTTTTATTCCTGACGAGCTTATATTAGCTTTTAGCTGGTGAGTATTTATATAGTGCTTTAAATTAAAAGTGTTGATAAAAAAATAGTTTACTAATTAGCTGTTTAACTTAAAATCACAAAAAATGATATTAGTTCGTTAATCAACTGAATTGGGATGAAAAAAAAATGGGTATGATTGTCAAAAAATTTTAATTTAAAGCTAAACTTTAAACACTAGAAAAACTTAAATATAATATGATATTATATTCTTACTACATATAATGCGTAGCTTGTAAAATATAATATGATCAATCAAAATTAAATTAACTTTTTTTTTAACGGTAAAATTAAAATCCTTAAAGATATTCTTATCATACTTATTATATGTATTTTTTTATCAGCAAAGTTAGTTTTGTCTTATTTATATATATCGGCAAAGAAAAACTTAATATATCCAAGAAAAACTTTTGATCACACATATAATGTGTCTTCCTACTCACTTGTGGCCATCAACTTTGTGCCACCAATTCTTCGCACTGTGAAATAATTAAAGCCTAACAATAGTTTGAGCGTGCCTAAGTATTGAATTCTTCGCTACCTAAGCTTCTAACCAAAGGACTGAAATGGGTTTGCAACACGTGCACTCCTTTTTTTTTTTTTCTTTACTAATTTGTTAATTCATTCAACAATCTTTTAAGCTATTCCATTTTATCAATCTTTTCATCTTCTTTGTTTGATCCTGATTAAACCAATGGAGAAATCGACCATGATCTCTCAACCCAAGTGCTCAGAATCGAAGACCAAGCTTATACTTGGGAGTAAGCTAGCTGGATGGCTGTATTAATTTCTCATTTCTGGTCTAATTATTTTATTTTGTAACACAAATATAATTGCAGGGGAAACAATCTGGATGATCTTGGGAGTGTTATTTTCAGGACCAGGCCTTACGGGTCTACGGATGGAGCTGGGAATTCGGTTCCCGTATTAAAGAATATGCTAATATGTACTCCTCTATTCTTCTTCTCGTCATTGCTGGCTTTGTCTGCATATGCTGCTCACAGATATAGCGTACATGTTCAGGCTCAGCCACATGTAATTGGCAGCAATGCAAAATGTGCAGACTTTGTCGTTTCAATGGCTGCCGCTGTACCTGTGCGCGTACATTCGCGTTTGGAACGTGTTACTACACTTTTATCGCTGCTATCATGCACCATACAGTTGCATGCAATTATAATCCTCGCATATAAGATTTTAGATAGTAGCTTTCTCGATATGTTTTTCATATTACTATTGCAGGCTCTGTTTTACCTAGCATTAGACTATTCTTATCTAGAAGTTGGCTTAGTTTTGATTTTTTGTGGTGCTCTTATTCTTTATCACTATTACTTCTACAAATTTCCCGTTACTTTCCGTAACACGAACTCGACTTAGAGTTCATCATGATATAGTACATTGACAAATGATAAATGAATCCTTCTCGTCTTCTCAAGTACCAAAATCAATCATCGCTCTTATCATAATATGGAAACCACAAAGGCAATATGTGAGAGCACCATGTTTAAATTAATGCATAAGCATAATCGTTTTGTCATTCAATTGTGTGTATTATATATACTAATTATTTAGTAATAATGTATGCTTCAAAAAAAAAATATTTAGTAATAATAATTAACTAATTCATTTATTATTGTTGTTATCCTACTAATTTAGCTTAAAATCTTCAGATTTTCTTCTTTTGATGTGACTACTACAACATGTTTAGAACTCTCTAGGGTCAACAAAAATGGACATTCTAGGGTGATTCTTCACTGAAGCTTTCAGCAGTCGCTACGGTGGAAGTTTTGGCCCAAAACTTCTCTTCCAATTATTCTGTCTTCAGCATGTGCCTTCCATATATAACAGGAGGCATGAATTCGGACAGCATGGCCATTTCTTATAGCTGCATTCGAACAACTGGTGCGTTAGTTAATGTGCTTGGACCAAGAGCATTTGCTGAGCTTCCTAGAATAATGAAGAATGTGATTAAGATATCTCATGAAATGTCTTCCCGTGTTGGTGATGATAACGCCTCGTCCAGAGAATCTTTTATGCATTCTATTCTTGTTGCTTTGGAGGCAATTGTGGACAAGCTAGGTGGTTTTTTAAATCCTTATCTTGAGGAGGTTACAAGACTAATGGTGATTGGTCCTGATTATATTGCAGAATCCAAACCAAAGCTAAAACTGAAAGCTGATATAGTGAGAAGGCTTCTCAGTGAAAAAATCCCTGTAAGACGTGATATAACTTTTTGTTCTCTTCATCTTATCTATCATGGCTTGAGGAATGTTAAACCTAAATTTTGCTTCCCTAGGTTCGTATTGCTCTGCCACCCTTGCTGAAGGTATATTCTGATGCTGTGGAGTCTGGGGATTCAAGCGTGGCAACGACTTTTGAAATGCTACTGAGCTTAATTGGTAAGTTGGATAGATAATCTTGTTGCAGGTCTCTCCCATATGTGGGACCCACATATATTTGAAAAGAAAAAAAAAAAACACACACGTTTTTTTGGCGGTCAAAGAAGAAGAAAAAGGAAAGTAAAATTGTCATGCAATTTTTTTGACAAAAATGGTTAAAGAAAAAGGAAAAAGGAAAGTAAAACACACCTTATACACGGCTCTCTCGTAACATCTCCTATAAATAGAGGTAGTGAAGCGTCAAACAAATAGCAGAAAGAAGAGAAAAAAAAATGTAGAAAGAGAGAATTATCTAGTTTTAAGAAGGGTTTCTTAAAATTAGGTGAGGGAAAAATAGTGAGAAAATTAATTTAGAGTGTTTTTGAAAAACACTTTGTGTGCCACTATTTTTATATTATTCTCTTTGTATACCTACTATTTTTAATAGTGAAAGAATTATTCGGAGTTTGTCCCGTGGACGTAATCCTAAACAGTTGAGGGTGAACCACGTAAATTTCTGTGTGTCCCATTATATTCTCTTTGATTCCTTACTATTTAATAGTGAAGAGAATTATCGGAGTTTGTCCCGTGGACGGTAATCCTAAACAGTTGAGGGTTGAACCACGTTAAATTTCTTACTATTTTTAATAGTGAAAGAATTATTCGGAGTTTGTCCCGTGGACGTAATCCTAAACAGTTGAGGGTGAACCACGTAAATTTCTGTGTGTCCCATTTCTATTTTTCCGCTGTGTCAATTTTTCTCTTGATTCTTTGCGAGGCCCAACAAGTGGTATCAGAGCTGATACCCCAACAACTGTTATCAGAGCTAATGCCTAACACATCTGTTGGCGGTAACTGTGGAAAGATTTTTGAACTCCGCTTGCGTGCTCTTGATCTTCGTCGTCAACGTCCTGTTTCAATTAAGAACATTAATATTGTTGAAACAAGTATCGTCAAGGCTACGGCTTCTCTAACAATAAAACTCACCGAGTCTATGTTCAAGCCTCTCTTCATCAGTAGCATCGATTGGGAAGAATTTTCCAACGAGGGTGCATCTGTTTTGGAAACATTTCAATTGTTTTAAGTAGTAGTACAGTCAATGATTGCTTACGTGGTGGTTTTACTAATGTTTCACTTTGGGTCAATCTCCATATGCTTGTAATCAGTGCATTTGCACCAGGTACTAACCGATAGGCATAGAACAAATATATATACATTTCTTAATTTTAACGTTTGTATGAGCAATTACATATATTATTACATTCAAAATGTACACCAATATTTTATTATGGAAAAATCTGAGAACACATGAGTAGTCGCTGGAAAAATATTTTTGACATAACGTGTAACATCGAGACTGTAATGCCTTTGAAAATCTTTTAACGGTTTCGGTATTTTTGATGTCACACCAATGATGTAATTATAAATGCAAGCAGGCAATTTCAGCAAAGCTCTACTTCCCATTATTATCAAGGGACAATATTGTAAGGAGATGTGTTTGTTTATGCTAGCTCAAAAAGCAAAGTAGATTTCTGTTTTCTACATACTGTTTATGTTTCTTCAACAATAATTCACAACACTTGCGTGATAGTAGGTACAAGGGTACAACACCTTCTCTGCATATCTGCTTATATCAGGCTCAGTTCATTTATTTTCTCATTTTCTCTACTGCAAATTTAAAATTAAAATTTTTGGGGTATAAATTAGTAATTATATTGTATTTTACCGGGATAGAACACTCAAATTTTTACCTGAAGGAACGGAATCTTTTTCACTCAAACCAATCCCGTTGATCTTCCCATATAAATATTTTTAAAACTGAGAAAATATATATTTTTTTTATAATAGTTATTCTAAAATGAATTATGGGAAAATTATTCCTATAATATTAGATAGAATAGCTAATTGAAAAGGAAAAATTAATGTACCAAGAGAAATTTAAAAAAGAACATTGGCTGAAATCATGGAAAGCCAAAAGGAGAACTTTGACTAGATGTCAAAGCAGAATTTCAAGTGGAAAAAATACCCTAAATTCCACAAGATTCAGATTCAATACAAGAGCCAGCAAGAGATCTAATGCTGAAAAATCTACTTACACAGAAATCAGTAATCCATCTTTCCTAATTATCCTAAAAAAGGCATAATTAACTAAACAGCAAGTTGCTTCTGATGGGAGGACTCATCATCATTAAAACAACAATGGATTTTTAGTGGTCTAATTGTCATATTTAGAGGAGGTTCTACTAATTGAACAGGAGATTGCATCAACATTTCTCTTTGAAGGTAAGAGCAATAAGTGTGGAAAGTAGTGGGTGCCACGTTTAATTGAAACCCTAAACCAAACAAGAAATCCACTTCAAGAACATTCATTTCTGCTGTGCTGATCCCTCCAACTTTAGCATAGTAGGCATTATTGTAATATCTGCAAAAAAAAAAAAAAAAAAAAAAAAAAAAAAAAAAAAAAAAAAAAAAAAAAAATCAGAAACCCATTAAACATTAATTCAAGATTTCATATATTAAAAGTTAAATATCTTCTTTTATGTGAATTTTATGGTCACATGCTCTGATGCGCATTTATGGGAAAGAACAGAGCAAAGAATTACAGACAAATTACTAAAGCAAAGAGGCCTGTGACAGTCAATAAACACAGGCAAGTAGGGCAGGGTTCTGTTAAAAGAGGGCAGAAACTTAAAAATATATATATATTAAAAAAAAAGGTAGCTAGCTAGTGAATTTTTTTTAAGAAAAACATATGAGCTTGATTGAGCTGTCACTGACTCTGAATAGGGTATAATGATAATGACACATGCTTGCAAATTGCTCTAAATAGATGGAATTTACAGGCATGCCTATGTAGAAATAGACAATATCACCACCAACTTAGGTGGTTCCATCTGTCTATTAAAAGACGGATCAGGTTTTCACATGGCTGTCTTCTTTTACTTACGGTGGTTGTTCCTACTTGTGCTCTTAATTTTGCATTCATTTTATTAATTATAGTTCATGATTATACAAAATTGGATCCTAGCTGGTAATTACTGAGTTAGGCATAAACTCGAAATGAAATGAAAAGTTATTAAAATTAATAATTCATTAACCATAATCATAGATCATTTAAATATATGCATTTTTCAAGAAAATGAATGAAGTTAAAGATTGAATTGAATTTTGAAGAGAACTTACATATCATCCATGAACTTGGCAGAAACCAAGACACTGGTAATAAGCAGTCTATGAACATTGAAAGAATTGATAGGAAGAGAAGGCTGTCTCTGGGCAAAGCGATCGAGATACACATAAGCAACCACAAAGCAAGACGGACTACAATTGGCATATTTGAAGATTCTCTCGAGATAGGTTTGAATGGATATGTTAGGCCTGGTTAAGCCATGAAAAACAGATATCCTCTGCGGGTATAATTGACTCCTAAGATCGTTAGACTCTGCCACTCGTTGAAGAAGAGAGGAGAGGAAGCTTATTACCTTAGGCATCGCCTCCGACGCTTCTAAATCTGCCATTTTTGATTTTTTTTTTTTTTTTTTCTCGGCTCTGTGTTTTTCAAAAAACACACGGCTCGGTTTTTATTTTTTGTGTAGCGTGTGAGGAATTCTGTGTAGCGTGTGAGGAATTCTGTTTAAAACGAAAGCGAAATGGCCGTTCATTAAAATGCTTAATTTACGATTATCTTGCTAACTTTTTAAATAATGGCAGGTATGTCCTTCCAAGTGGAGATGGGCCATGGGCTTTTATTTTTTACCCTTGTTTTTTGGCTACAAAATCAATAAATCATGATATAAATGTTCAAACAGATTGGATTCAACCACTGATGACATGAAAGGTGGGACTTTAAATAGTACAGTAATTAGGGAAAATTAAGATTTTAATGAATGTCTCTAAGTTGCTAATGACATGCATTAATATATAATTTATTTCTTTATTGCTGGGTAGAGTTTGGCAAGAATAGGAATATGATGACAATTATGTCCCCACAAGTCAAATTGTGTTTTTCATGCCACAAAGAGGTGCCATAGAACTTTTAAATTTGAAAGGGAAAATTAAAAATGAACTATCCTTTGTTCAATTAATTATTAAAATGTCTAATTAAAGATCAATGATTTGCTGGCCACCAAATGGAAAATAAAAAGTGATTCATTGGTTGCTTGAAAGTGTAAAAGTTGGATTTTCAAATGTATCATACTGAGGAAACTCCTATTTGTATCGAGTAATTTCTAATATAGACAGTAGACATTCTGTGTGTGTGACCACCATAGTAATCTTAAGTAACTCTCCAATATTAATAATAATGTGTATATATACTGATTTTACCAAGATTAGGATCATAATAATTAAAAATTTATGACAGTTGGCATAAATTAGAGTCTCAGAATTGAATTTTGTACTATTGATAAGGAAAGATGATGTCCATTAGTATTATTTATTAGAGATGGAGTCTACATTGGAGATTTGAGCTGTGATTAAGCAAATAATAACATTGTCTGTGTTAAAAATGGAAATGGTCCAAACCAAGTTCTAGATCTCTGATCTACATCCATTTCAATAATAATATCTTGTCTCATTTCTTTTCACTAAAGAAGTAAAGGTGAAGCCATAGCTTAACTTAAAGCAGAATTCCTATGAGGTAAAGGTGAACCCTAAACATAAGAGATGAGATGAGCAATCATCAGAAAGCCATATCTTTTGTTTCTCAACTTTCTCTTTCTCAGAACATCTGATTTAACTCATTAATTATGTAATAGATGGTTGATTTGCACCAAACAGTTAAGTAATTAGTTTAATTTATATACATATTTGCAAGGATTATTGAAAAAATAATGATTAAAGGGCAAACATTTCAAAAGTTTAGTTGGTTTATGTTAGGATTACATTGGTTACCCACCATACTAATAATTGCTTGCTGCTAGCATTTCTTGCTTTCTTGTAAGACCAGGCAAACCACAGCTAACATTCATATGTATCCATAATTTCTTCTTAAAGGGTACATATGGAAAATGTTAAAAAAAAGGCACTTAATGTCTTAATCATGAATATTAGTAATTAGTAAATAAAAACACAAGTAAGCTGGAAAAAGTCAATCTGGTTATTAAGGCTAAACAGCTGCTTATAACAAGCTGGCAACCCAGTGCAAGTTCATGCTCTGCCTTGTCTGTTCCGGCAAACAGGGTATTTAATTGCTTGTAATTAAGATTAATAATTTAATATGCTCTTGTTGCTTTGGAGTATCTTGAGGAAGTAGATTTGCAAATTTTTTTTATTATTGTAATTGAAGTTTTAATATTATTATTATTATTATTATTATATTCTAATGTTTTAATTAATGTGGTAAGATAAAATGCATTATGTTGTAGTACGACCTGAACTTAGGGACAGCCTCTTGGCTTGTGCCACGCACGTTGGTGAGGTATGTGATGCATGTCAACATGTTGTGGTAATGCGATGATAGGTGTCATTCTGTGTCGCCAGCCAAAATGTAGTGCATGTCAACAACGTTCTGATTGAGTTGGGCCAAAAACTAATAATCGGAACGGACCCGATTAATAGGGGTTCAACAAGGCCCATCCAATAATGATTAAGTTAAACTTCTCTTTGGTCTCTCCGACGTTGCCGTCTTGTCTTGTCTCCACTTTAGTCTCCTCACCAGCATTGTCTAATCAGAGCAAAACGAAAGATCGAAGTCGAAGAAAAATCGAAACATGGAGCAGAGTTTCATCATGATCAAACCTGATGGCGTCCAACGAGGCTTGGTCTCTACTCTCACTCTGTTCTTTTTACATACATGTATATATTTACAGATTATTTTTCGTTAAGATTGTTTAGTTTAGTTCAGTTTTTTAGACAATGAACTCTTTGAATTTGCTTTTCTCTTATGGCTTATGGGTTGATTGCTTGATTTTGAAAAAAATTGTACTAATACTGAAGGGAAAACTTTGACTTCAATTGTGCCAAATCGCTGTTTCGAACATTGAAGTGCTTTCTGGCTGAGAAAACTAAATAATTGTTTGGCGACTTAATTATCATGAGCTGATGGATCAGCATTCAGAACTTTCTTTTTTTTTGTGGTAACAATTGCGGAATATTTAGAAAAATGGTTTTATTGATAAAGTTATCATTTTCAGCAATAGTAAATTGTGAAATTTTGTTGAGTATATGCTGTTTTAAGGAAAAGCTAGGACAGTGAATTCTTTTGGTGTATATGATGGTTATCTGTCAATTTGTTTTGAAAGGTTGGTGAGATTACTAGCAGATTCGAGAAAAAGGGTTTCTTGCTGAAAGGTAAGGGCTCAAATTGGTTATCAACTGTAGTTTTTTCAACGCTTTGGTTTTGGAATGTATTCCATATTTTTTTTTGTTCAAATTTAAGGCTTGAAGCTTCTGAGTGTTGAACGGCCGTTTGCTGAGAAGCACTATGAGGACCTTTCATCAAAGCCTTTCTTTGAAGGTCTAGTTGAGTATATTATTTCTGGTCCTGTTGTTGCTATGGTATGGGAAGGTAAGAATGTTGTTGCAACCGGTCGAAAGATCATTGGTGCTACTAAACCATCAGAATCAGCCCCTGGCACCATTCGTGGCGATTTTGCTGTTGAAGTTGGAAGGTAGTCAACTGATAATTTGGTTCATTGGCTTATTTATTCTTCGTTCTTTTTATGTCCATTTTTCTGGTTTTATCAAGAATTGAGTTTACTTTCTCCTTCAACAATATAATTCAACATCCAATTCAGTCTTTGTATTTGTAAATTTTTTGTGGTACGTTCTACTGATTTTACTGTGAGCATATTTTTTGGCTATGAATTTGAAATGAAATATTTTGCTTTTTCCTCCTTTTGCTAGTTAATGTTTCTGATAATGTTTAATTAATTTTACTTGAAAAATCTGGCAGGAATGTCATTCATGGAAGTGATTCGGTGGAGAATGCTAAGAAAGAGATAGCTTTGTGGTTCCCTGATGGCACTGTCAACTGGCAGAGCAGCCTTCATCGCTGGATCTACGAGTGAAATTTTCTCTTCAGCAGGCTGCTTGCCATACCAGCGTCGCGTCGTTAGGGTGTTTCTCTGTAGGAACCTTGTTTCAATTACTATACGTACAATCTTAAGAGTACTAAGAATAATAATGGTGAAGGGAATATCATAATGGATCAATTCAAAAGTGTACCAACCGGATTAGAGGTGGAAAGATGATCTGAAGGCCGCAACAAATCCATTTGGATGGAAAAGAACAACCTCTTTCTGTCGTTCACTTTGTTTAATGTGATAAAAAATCCATCGTCGTTTGAAAAGAATAATTCCATAATAGAACAATCCAGGATTGCAGTAGTACAAGAAATGGAATGCGGTAAAAGACTCATTTGCTTTGAGCTAATTGAAGTCGAAGTTTGTTTAATTCAGTATAATAGAAAATATTGGAAGTAGCGCAAGCATAATTCCTAATCAACATTTGTGCATCATAAAATGCCTATTATGCCACCATAATGCCTAATCAACAGCAAAAAGCTTACTTTTAAGACAGTAATCGATCATGGGCAATTGCCTTGTACTCATGCTTCAGATGGAAAGGCTAAGTGAAGCTTAATGCTCATGGACAAGCCTTTCATTTGCCTTCCCTCTTCAATTTTACACAAAACAGATAAAAATCTTTATTTCATATATATACCAACTAATCTGCCTCAGCAACTTTACACAAATAGTAAAATGCAAACACCTTATGTGTATAGATTATTCCAGATCCATTTCCTGGAAACTTAATACAATACATGCATAACCCAGCAAACTGTATAAAAACTCGAGCACATTAATAAAAATAACTGTGGACTTAGCCATAGCATCTAATGGGATCATTGCAGCCTTTCTCAGCAGATTGCTTAAACCCAAAACGGCCCCCTTTTGCAAGGTATTGCTGGTGGTATTCTTCAGCTCTATAGAACTTCTTGGCAGGTAAAATCTCAGTAACTATCTTCCTGTTCAAAAGCTTTTGGTGCCGTTCCAGAGACTCCCGTGCTGCCTTCTCCTGCTCTGGAGTGTAATAGTAAATTCCAGATCTGTATTGTGTTCCCACATCATTTCCCTGCACACCAGGATTAACATGATATCAGAGCGTCGAATATATGTATAACTGACATCAGTTTACATTACTAGATTTCTATTTATAATTCCATGTTTCTATCCAAACCTACACGTCTTCGTGTTAAGATTAACATCTGAATTCGACGAGTTAACCAACAAAAGCATAACAACTCAAGGAAGTGAAACAACATGGTGATATGGCCGCTCAATAATTGTTCTTTTGATTATCAATTCTTCTTCTGCTTGTAGTTGCATGATAGTTCAAATCTATTACTTATCCAATTATGGTGATGCATTCAGCTGGAAAGCATATTTCTAGTAATGCAAGGAGCTAAACTTCATGTAAGGATTCATATGGACCATACGTCCATTGTGACCTTAAACTAAATTTTTTTTTCTATCATACCTATTATAGCCCAGAGTCCGATCAACTGTGACTGCCAAATTTCATATGGCTAACCCAGCGGTTGCGATAATTGCAAACAAATTTCATGCCATTTTCTTTTGAAACTAACAATAGAGTTTAATAATTAGGAAGCTATTGATGTTGACAAACCAGAAGAAATAACAGGAACTAATAGTCTGGAGAAAACAGAAGATAAGTTGCGAAAACAAAATTAAGGAGAAAAGAAACTCCGAAATTATTACCAAGGCACATGGCAGATTAAACAAACATATATATTAACCAAAACCAGTCAAAACGATAAACTTCCAAAAACCCCAAATTATCAATGATTCCATCGAATTAAAACGTGTAGCACAAATTAAAACAGACATACTGTGAAAGGAAATCCAATAAAACTCAAGAAGAAAAAATCCCATGTAATCCCATCAGAACCCACATAATATCAACCACCAGCAATCAGAAATTAGCTAGAAACATGAAGTATGCTAATTTTACCAAACCAATTCCAAGAAACTAACCTGGCGATTTAAAGTAGTAGGATCATGCCTGGCCCAGAAAACATCAAGAAGAGCCTCATAGCTACACTCCTTAGGATCAAACTGCACTCTTACCACCTCGCTATGATTGGTAGTTCCAGTACAAACATCCTCGTAAGTAGGATTATGCAAAAGCCCCTGAGTGTAACCCACCTCGGTCTTTGTGACACCAGAAACTCTCTGGAAGGCCAATTCCACACCCCAGAAGCAACCAGCTCCAAACTGGGCGAACTGCTGGCCAGGAGCCGGTACGTCGTCGTCTGGACCCTGAGGGATTGTAGGGTCCATGGTGGAAGGGTCTGGAGACTTGGTGCCGAAACCGAGTTTGTTGAGGATATTCATCGGAGGCCGATAATAGGAGATGGGTCTCGAGTTTTGAAGGGAAGTGAAGCGGCAAGAACAAAATTGGAGTTTCTTGGAGAGAGAAGAGAAGGGTTTGGCGAGGGAAGAGGAGATGAGGAGGAGCCGTGAGTTGGCGGTGGCAGAGGAGGTTGCTAGATTGTGGAGCATTTTCTTTTCGTGCGTTTATTGTGTGACGTGTTGAGTTAAGTTGTGTAGAAATTCCATTTTCAATTTCCCATTCCATTTTTTTTTTTTTTTTTTTTTTTTTTATGATAGACACCCAGCAAACTCTCATGGAAGGCCATATTACCACTACCCCATGAAGTCAAACCAGCTCCTAAACTTGAGTATTTTATAATAGCAACTGACTCTTCGGCAGAAGAGCCTTTCTCAGGTACGAATCGATCGGGTCTGGACCACACTGAGGTTGAGTGCTAGGAGGGTCCGATTTGGTGGAAGGGTCTGCGAGGACTTGTTGCCCGAAACCGATGTTTTGTTGAGGATATTCATACGTAAGATGAGTCACGATAATAGGAGAACTGGGTCTCGAGTTTTGAAGGGAAGTGAACGCTCTCGAGACAATGAACAAAATTGGAAGTTTCTTTTGGAGAGAGAAGAGAAGGGTTTGCGAGGAAGAGGAGATGAGGAGGAGCCGTGAGTTGGCTAGTAACGCGTGGCAGAGGTGAAACGTTGCTTAGATTGGGTTATAATAAGCATTTTCATATTTCGGACGTTTTTTGCTCTAGATGATCGATAGACTTGACGTTAAGTTCGTTTTGTTAGAAATTACCTTTTTCAAATTTCCCTATTTTCATTATTTTTTTTTTTTTTTATTTTTTTTTTGTTTATAACTTTTTTTGATTTAATCATCCAGTTCTGGATTCATTTTCATTTGACTCTCAAAATACCTATTGTGTGTGATTTGGGTATGTTTGTAAAAAAAAAAAGAAATCTGGCAATAATTAAATTACCATAAATTTACACTATATTTTAAATTTATATTTAATAAATATATTTAAATATAACTTGCATCATACTAATACAGACTTCATATACATTGTATAAAGATAAATTGTTCACTCACTCACTCTTTTATTGATATATTTTCATTTGCAGCTACATTTTGTATACTCTTGTTTGCTCTTTTTGTTTATAAAATTTTGGACCTTAATTCACTAAAACATATCCGCTCTAACAAAATTAAAAATAAAAAAAAAATTAATGCAAAAGAGAACAAGGAAGTTTTACGTGTCACGTGCTGGCTTGAAGACCCCGTTTTAATGTGCGAGGAGAATCTAGGGGCCAATCGATTATTGTGGTTTTAAAAATTTGAAATTGTTTTACCAAATATTTAAATAGAGGAAATTTTTTTTTTTTTTTTTTTTTTTTGGTTTTGTGATATTCCGTCGTGTCAAATTCATTTCATAATCCTATTGTTGTGATTGGGAGTGAAAAAAAAAAAAGAAAATCTGCAATAATTAAATATAAATTAAATATATTTAAATTTTATTTAAAATATATTTAATTACATTATATACAGACATTACATTTAAAAGATAATTATACTATATTATATTTCATTTGCAGTCAATTTAATTTGTAGCTTTTTTTGGTTTTATAATTTGGACCTTTCACATAAAATATAGTTAACAAAAATAAAAAATAAAAAATCTTGCAAGAGAACAAGGAAGTTTACGTGTCACGTGCTGGCTTGAAGACCCTTTAATGTGCGAGGAGAACTGGCCAATCGTGTGGTTTAAAATTTGAAATGTGGTAGGAAGCCTGTCACTGGCAATCTTTTCGGCTTTCAAAATTACTTGACTGTACCAGATTCATAACATTATGATGTAAATCAATTATTGTAAGAATTTTTTAAAAAATATTATGATTTTATTTTTTTATTTATAATATATAATAAAAAATATCATTATTTTAATAAAGAAAAATTTATTTTCGACGGTTTGATCCATACGTACAATAGGTAAAATTTTTACCGACGGGCCTTTGCGCTCGGAAAAGCAAGACCCACCTTTGGATATGAAATTCTTTTTGGTTTTTCACACTTTTATAGAAGCTTTCCAGTACGTACAGAATACTAACACCTCAACAAGACACATTTCATTGGATGGAATATGCATTTTCTAGAAAATGCTGCCAAGAGCTATCTTTACCTATTCGAATATGATTGAAGAAATGTGCTGGACTTTGTGAAGGTCTCCTCCTCTAAGTCTCTCGACAAAGACTTTTGGCATCTCTTCAATATGCAACTCTTGAAGAGTAGTCAGACACTTCAACTCTTCAGGTAGCATTTTAAGTCCCATGCATTTGATAATTCTAAGACTTCTAAGCCTTGGCAGTGCACCTTGTTCTACATTCAACTCTTCCAACGATCCCAAGCTGTTAAACTCAAGGAACTTCAGTTGAGGAAACCCATTACCAGAAATTGCCAATTTCTCTTTACTGTATGACTGTGCTTTTAATCTCAGAACTAATAATTCTGGAAGCTTCTCAAGTGTCTCTATTGATTCTTGCTTGAGACGGGTGTGTTCTAACGTCAACTGAGAAAGACTTGGTGGGAACTCTTCTATTCTCGGTGATTGTGCTATCCTTCCTCTCAAATGCAACTTGCTCAGGCAGCGAAGAGAAGCAAGTTGAGCCAGGGATGGAAATCCAGATTGTTCTGCTCGCAGATTCAGAGATTGAAGTTGTGATAGCTCTGCAAGAGACTTGAATATGTCATCTGTGTTCAAATTTAAGTTTCCTCGAATTCCCAATTTTCGGAGACTTAATAAACTTCTGGATTTGTTATGCTTCCATCCTTCAACATGTATCTCCGTAAGAGTCTGCAAATGCTTTAGGGTGTCAATTTGAAGATAACCAAGTTCATGTCCGCACATGTAAAGATGCCGCAAATATATCATATTCCTTATAACGTTAGGAACTATCCGAAGATGAAGGTTTCCTGCAATATCAAGAGTCTGCAGGTTTCTCAAAGAACCTATTGCTGAGGGAAGCACTTGAATATTAGTCTCTTTTAATCCCAAATACTTCAAATGAACAAGGTCACCTATTCTGCTTGGAATGCTACTACAAGATATGCCCTCTAACTCTAGAACTCTTAGCAGTTTGAAATTCAAGCTAATATACTCAAGATTGGCAGCTGATAGTTCATAAACATCTGTAGGATTCCTACCACGTAAGAATTTATAACGAGCTTGACTGACAACTCTAAAGAAGAGGAGGGAACGGAGATGTGGAGAGGAATGCTCCAATGAGGACAAATGAGAGCTCGAATAGATTGGATGACGGCGCGGCCCATAACTAGATGGGGAAGAGCTTCCGTTTATATCACTAGGAATTTCAAGAAAATTCTCTATCTTTGCTTTCGAGATGGCAAGGTCTCGAAGTAGATCGTGCAAACGGCATTGCTTGACCCTGTCAACGCTCATTCTTGCAACTTGAACCATATTTCTGTCAATCAGCTCATTCAAGTAATCTTCTGCAACATCTTCCATCCTTTCTTGTTGATCCGGAATCAGACCCTCGGCAACCCATAATCGAAACAATTTCCGCGTTGTAATTGCACAATCTTCTGGAAAATGACCTAAATAAAGGAAGCAAGCTTTCAAATAATATGGCAAGTCATTGTAACTCAAAGCTAATATTGCAGAAACTCCAGTCTGGTCTCGGGCAAAAAGCGAGTACATGTTATTAAGAACTCTTTGCCATTCATGATGATTCCTTTTTCTGGAAAGCAACCCACCAATTACAATGATGGCTAAAGGCAAACCAGCGCATCTCTCCACAATCTCTTTCCCAATTTCCTCCAATAACGGAGAAAAGGTATCAGTTCCATCCATAAATGCTTTCTTGCTGAACAACTCCCAACTGTTCTCTTTGTTTAGGAATTGAAAATGATACGGAGAAGTTTGAGGGTCAGCGAGCAGAGCAATGTTTTTATTCCGAGTTGTAATCAACAATCTACTTCCATTATCTGTAGCTGGAAAAGCCTTGGAAAGGGAATTCCAGTCATTGATGCTCCATATATCATCCAAAACCACCAAATAGCGTTTCCTGCATAAGTTATCATAAAGCAATCCCTCCAATTCTTCTTCTCCCAAAGTTTGGAGTTCTTCTCCTACTGGCATAATTTGTTTTATAATTGATTGAAGTATATATCTGACATTAAACTCCTGCGATACATAAATCCAAGCGCGAGAAGGAAAACGAACCATGATTTCGCTATGATTATAGACTTTTCTAGCAAGAGTAGTTTTTCCAATTCCTCCCATTCCGACTATGGAAATAGCACGCCAACGATCTCCCGACTGCACAAGCCGGCCCACCAATTTTGCAGTCCCTTCCTCCAAGCCAACGAGATCCCTTTCCTCGCCGCGAGGAGACGATCTTCTCAATTTCCTCAGCGTCTCACTGGTACTTGTCGTTCCTTCTCCAATATTTCTGATACCAAAAGTTTCACGACTTGCAGAGATGTTGTCAAGTCTTTTGTGGATCTCCTCGAGCTTGTATGCAATCTTGGACCTAATTCTCCAGTCAGTGTAATAAGAGGTGGATCTCTTGATGAAAGGCTTTTTCCTCAAGGAATCGACCTTCAAGATGAATGTATCGATGAGATCTTCAGCTTCATAAGCAACACTTCTGATTTCGCAGACCCAATTGCGAACTCTGTCATCTTCGTCTTGCTTTGCGTCGGCGTCTCTCAAGAAGCAACGCATCCTTTTTAGTTCGTCTTCCAAGCGACTAATCTCCTTACGAACATCGGTGTGAAAGTTAATTTGGCAAAGCAAATCAGTAAGCTTTTGTGCAACGAATGATACAGCAGCTTCAGCCATGTTAGGTTTTCCAGCTCTCTTCCTTCCTCAAATAGCAATTTAAGTGTAATATTATACAGTTGATATAAGATTTTCTCGCTTCCTTTGTCATAAAAACATTAGTCTCATATATTGTTAAGAATAGAAACTAATCAAATCAATCATATTAAAATAAAACAATTTATAAATAAAATGAAAAAAATTATGTAAATAATGAATAAAAGTAATAAAGTAAAAATATATTATCAAAACTAAAAAATAAAGGCACTATTAAAAATAATATAGAAAATAAAAAAATAAAAAAATCAATCAATGTATTTTTGTTTTAGGATTTTATTCATCCTAAATAAATAAAATGGATTGCTAGAAAATTAGAATTTAATATATTGAGTTCTGTCTCTATTGAAACATTGTGTTTTTCAACAGATTTATTAAATTATTAAATAAGGAGCTTAAAAGTTGACTTTTCGTTTCTCAATTTGGTATACATTGTTTGTTTGTTTGGAATCCAAATATTTTTATATTTAAGCTAATTTAAATTTTTGTTATGCAAGTATGTTTTTTGACTACATTTCAATATAATAATAATTTAATAATTGCGTTTTAACATTTTTTATTGATGGCTTACCTAAGCCATTACGCGGAGTTCCACTTTTGTGGGGGCTGGGGCTTTTATTATCTATTAGGCTTTTTATAAAATAATATTATTATTTAAACGCCGTATAAAATCCACGTGTAAATGGTAGGACTATTGACTAGACTACTTTAAAGTAAGGGAAAATTATTATTTTATCCTTGAGGTTTGCCATAATTATTTAAGTAGTCCTTGATATTTATACATATATTTATAACGTCTCTGAGATTTGCCACCCTCATATTAATTGGTCCTTCCGTCAAAAAAATACACTTTGTCTGTTAATTTTGAGAGGAAAAGACGAAATTATCCTTTGAAAAAAATAATTATTTCGTCCCTAAGATTTTTCATAATTATTAAGTAGTCCCAGACATTTATACAAATATTTATAACGTCCCTCCATTTTAAAAAAACTACACTTTATTCAGTAATTTTGAAGGAATACAAAAATTCATCTGTTCCATAACCAGATCACCAACAAAACTAAAAGGGAAAATAATTATTTCGTCGCTGAGATTTGCCATAATTATTTAAGTAGTCCCCGTCATTTATATAAATATTTATAACGTCCCTGAGGTTACTGCCGTCATATTACTTGGTCATTCCGTCCAAAAAACACACTTTTTGCTGTTAATTTTTAATAAAATGACCAAATTACTCTAAATCCTCTAATCAATAAGAGAGAGATAAATGGATGAAGGGTGATGATGGCTTGATTGAGTTTGGATGTTGGGTTTTAGTTTTGGTGGTGTTCTAGTTATGGAGATGATAGTTTTCATTGACACGGTGGTGGCAATGAAAACCGCTTTAGGTTGAGGAAGATGGTGAAAATGTGAGTTTTAGGTATTTTAGAGGAAATGGATTAATAATATTAATGAAAACTTATAAAGGATAATTTTGTCTTTTCTACTCAAAATTAACGGAAAAAATATATTTTTTTTTATGGAAGGACCAATTAATATGACAGAAGTAAACTTTAGGGACGTTATAAATATTTGTATAAATATCGGAGACTACTTAATAATTATGGCAAATCTTAGGGACGAAATAATTATTTTTTCAAAGGATAATTTTGTTTTTTCCTCTCAAAATTAACAGAAAAAGTGTACTTTTTTTACGGAAGGACCAATTAATACGACGGTGACAAATCTCAGGGACATTATAAATGTATGTATAAAGACGGTGACAAATCTCAGGGACATTATAAATATATGTATAAATATCGAAGACTATTTAAATAATTATAGCAAATCTCGGGGACAAAATAATAATTTTCCCTTAAAGTAATTGCTGTAAGTAGTATATCCAGGAAACAGAACATAACGGTTTCCTTCCTCTAATTTCTTTTTCCATTTCCCACCTACAGCCATGAAAATTACTTGCAGCTTTGTTAATTTTTGGGTTGGAGTCCTTCTGATTCAAGTTTACATTGCTTGCTATACTGAGGCTATGACGAACAATGTCACAGATCAAACCGCTCTTTTAGCACTAAAAGATCATGTCAGTTACGAACCAAATAACGTTTTGACAAACAACTGGTCTACCATTGCGCCATTTTGCAGTTGGGTAGGTGTCACTTGCGATGCCCGTCAGAGGGTCACCAAATTGGATTTCTCTAACATGGGACTTGAAGGCACCATCCCTTCCCAAATTGGAAACTTGTCTTTCCTAGCTTTCCTATCTATTAGAAACAACAGTTTTTATGGCTCTCTACCAAACGAGTTGACTCAGTTGACTCAATTGAAAATTCTCGATTTCGGATTCAACCATTTCAGTGGAACAATCCCAAGTAGTTTACTCAAGTGCGAACAACTACAAATTTTATCACTGTCTTATAATAACTTGGCAGGAAGTATACCAGCAGCAGTTGGCAACCTGACTATGCTCAAAAAATTATATCTTGATCATAACAATTTCAGTGGTATGATTGTGCCATTTTTTCCTTTCATTGCTGAGGACTATACGTTGTTTCTGATTTTATTTTTCTTTTGTGCTAGTTATAGAAATTTTCAAAATTAAAATTGCAAGGTTTTGCAGGTAATATTCCACAGGAAATAGGTCATCTTACTAAGATGGAGAATCTAAGCATGTCAACCAACCACCTCACAGGTCAGCTAATTTCACCATATAGACGTGTAAATTTCTTCTTGTTGTTTGTACAACAATGAACTTTGATAATTCTGCAGGAAGTATACCAAGCAGTTTAGGGAACTGTACCTTGCTTCAAGAGATAAATTTCAGCGAAAATAACTTGGCAGGTAATACCCATGGAAATTGCCACCCACCTGTTTGATAAAAGTTCTCTCTTAAGCTCTACCTGCATATCATATCATTTTCACTCTGCTGTTGTTTTCTGCACCAAAGCTCAAATTTGTAAAATTAAACATAGGTTAGGAATGCAATGTTGTTAGGTTCCTATCTTTACCATCAGCATAGGATGCCAATAGTGTTAAGTTCCAATCTTCTGTGATGATTTTATAGGCTTGACCACTGTTGTGTTTTGATATATGGCCTGAAGACAATTAGCAAGACAAAATTGTGCAGCACAATCTCACATATCACTCCACCAAAACGAAAGCGTGTTAATTCTCGAAACTCATGCAGTGTATGTCTCATTGTGGCAGGTGCAATACCACTGGTGATTGGTAACCTTGGCAGTCTACAAATTCTAAGAATCACTGATAATGCCTTAAGTGGAAAAATTCCACCTGTGCTATTTAATATCTCAACAATGAAAGCCATTGTAATGTCTACAAACCACCTGTCAGGCTCTCTTCCCTCAACCATGGGCCTTTTTCTGCCTAATCTTACGGATCTTCTACTAGGGGGCAACAAACTAGATGGAATGATCCCTGGCTCTATCTCTAATGCAACCAAGCTTGGGTTCTTAGATTTATCTGATAATTCATTCACGGGCTTTATTCCCAGTACATTAGGAAATCTAAGACATCTCCAAGGACTTTATCTAGCTAACAATCATCTAACCAGTGAGTCTTCAACTCCAGAATTGAGCTTCCTCGCTACGTTGGCTAATTGCAAGCAACTGAGAAAGGTAGTGTTGTCAGGCAATCCGCTCAACATTACACTGCCAGTTTCCAGCGGCAATCTCTCCAATTCTCTTGAACAGTTTCATGCAAACAATTGTAACTATAGGGGTATCATTCCTAGAGAAATCAGCAACTTAACCAATTTGATAGCATTGAGCTTGGGAAATAATCTTTTGACAGGTAATGTTCCAAATACAATTGGAAGATTGGAAAAGCTCCAAGTTTTGTATCTAGAGGGAAATGGATTGCAGGGAACCATCACGAATAGTCTTTGTGGCCTGGGAAGTTTGGCTTACTTATCCTTTGGTGGTAATGAGCTTACTGGTTCCATCCCTGCATGCTTGGGTAATCTGACTGGTCTAAGATCTCTCAATTTAAGCTCTAACCACTTGAGTTCCACAATACCTTCTCCCTTTTGGACCCTTAAAGATATCTTGAATATTAACATGTCGTCAAATTCTCTCACTGGTATTATTTCATCAAATATCAGAAATTTGAAGGTAATGGAAATTTTTGATTTGTCAAATAATCACTTATCTGGTGAAATCCCATTCAGCATTGGGAACCTTGAGAGTCTAACACATCTCTCCTTGGCCAAAAATGAATTGCAAGGTCCAATTCCCATGTTACTTTATCATCCAAAAGGCTTGGAGTTCCTAGATCTCTCTCATAACAATCTTTCTGGAGTGATTCCGGATTCATTGGAGAAACTATTATATCTCAAATATTTTAATGTCTCTTTCAATATGCTTGAAGGGAAAATTCCTACTGAAGGACCTTTCTCGAACTTCTCAGCTAAATCTTACATAATGAACAATGGACTTTGTGGTGCGTCTCAACTACTTGTTCCACCTTGCAAATCCGGTGCTCGTCAGCATGATCAGGTTGTATTCCTTCTAAAAATACTCATACCAATTCTGTCAATAGTACTCGCTTACTACATATGCTTGTGGTTAAAATGCACAAAAAGGAAAATGCCCTCGAGAGCACCCACACTTGCCCCAGTAACATCTTTCCCTTCCACAGAACAAATTAGTAGAAGATACACATATCTAGAACTTCAGCAAGCAACAGATTGGTTTAGTGAAGACAACCTAATCGGCACTGGACATTTTGGTTCAGTATACAAAGGAATACTTAAGGACGGTATGATAGTTGCAATAAAGGTGTTTGATGTGGAAGAGGAAACAAGTTTAAGGAGTTTCGAAGTTGAATGTGAAGTTTTGCGCAGAATATCTCACCAAAATTTGATCAGAACTATCTGCATTAGCAATAGCCATAATTTTAAAGCTTTGGTAATGGAGCACATGGCAAACGGAAGTCTTGAGAAGTGGCTTCATACACACAACTACGATTTGGATATCTTTCAAAGACTCAACATAATGATTGACATTGCAAAAGGGCTTAAATATCTCCACCAAAGAAGCATCATTCACTGTGATATAAAGCCCAGTAACATCCTCCTAGATGAAAATATGATTGCATATGTTAGTGATTTTGGTATCTCCAAGTTTGTAGATTCAGTTTCAAGGATTCCATCAAGACAAAGCAAACTTATGTGCACCATTGGATATGCGGCACCAGGTAATTTTTCTTGTTCAATAGTTGGACTTATGTTGCAGGTTTTTGTCAGCATCTTTAATTCCTTTCTTGGAATCTAAATTTTGCAAGAATATTTCAAATTTAGTTCAACTTTATTTTGTCAATTCTCAAAATGCAATTAATAAAATTCAATTCTTTCTCAACTTAAAAGAAGCGATTTTATGTTTGATTTTGCAAGAAACTTGATTTCATTAGATTGGACCAATATATAGTTGAATTGGGATTTATATAATCTGTACCTAATTTTACAGGATGTTAGTATTTTTTAATTTTAACATGGATTAAATGTTTGAAAAATATTCTTACATAGTATTCAGATTAAATTATTTTGTTATTATAAATCCAATAGATTGTTGTACATCATTTCTTCTGTTTCATCAGTTTTTCGTCCTTCCTTTTTCTTTTCAGTCATAAAATAGATTACAACGGATATTGTATGGCCAATTATAATCTTAAATGCAGAGCATGGATTGTATGGAACTGTCTCCGCAGCAACGGATGTGTATAGTTTTGGGATCTTGCTGATGGAAACATTCACGGGAAAGAGGCCAACAGATGAAATGTTCACGGGTGAAATGAGCTTAAGGGGTTGGGTTATGGAGTCATTACCCAGCGGAGTAGAGAGAGTGATCGATCCCTCCTTGTTGCAGGCTGACGAAGAACGTTTTGATCATCAAAAGAGGTTCTTATCAAGTATTTTGACGTTGGCTCTAATTTGTTCTGCAGACTCGCATAACGAGAGATTACATATGAGAGATGTTGAATTACGACTTGTCAACATCTGGCGCTCGCTCAGCCGGACGGACAGCCACTTTACTAAGATGTAAAATCAACTCCGACGGAAGTATGGGTTGTGGCTTTTTCTAATTGTCAAATCAGAGAAATAGACACTTGAACAATAATATCTTTTTCCAATGCGATTGTCTATTTAATCTGCTAAGTTGACGTGTAAAAAAATAAAATAGACACTGTGAACCACACTCTCTACTTTTAGAGAGTATGTTAGACAATGTAGCTCAGGTATTTAATTTAATTTTTTTTACTATTAATTTTATTTTCTTCTCTCACGCTAAAACTTCTCAGACTCAATTTATTTTCTTTTATTTTAATTAGATATAATTTTTAAAAAATACTACACATCGTCATAAAATCTTATTCTAATTAGAATGCATTGAAGAATCCTTTTTCAAATTCAATATTCACAAACAAATTTATAGACATGTCACCGTTAACATCTTCTATTTATGCCATGTAAGTTACAATTCACAATTACATTGGAATTGCTCTAAGTAGTCAAATGAAAGCATTAACAATAAAAATAATCTCGATTCAACATTAATAATACTCTAATGTTATGTAAAGTTAGCTTCTATGATTCAGAAAATATATAGTTTTATTCAAAGAAAAATCTATCCAAGGGTAAAAAAAATAAAAAGGATGAATATCTACTTATATTTATAGATATTAATTCTATTGTTAATTATTAAAAAAAGTGAAAGGTTATTAAAATGTTAATAATATTTAATTTTATTATTTTATTTAAAAAATGAAATTCTATAAGAGTAAAAAAAAAGGAGAAATATTAATGATATACTTACATGAACATAAATATTAATGAAAAACTGTAAATTATTAAAAAAAAAGTAAGTAAAAGGTTTTCAAAAATTTTAATGATATTAATTCAAGTTGTCAAAAAAAAAAAAAAAAAAAAAAATCAATTTCAACTTAGCAATTATTTTAGTATTATGCCATATCAGCACCCTAATATCCTAAAGTTGTATCACATAAGTTTTGAAGGTTGAGTTTTTATTTATCAATATAAATAGATAGATATATAATAATAAATGCAAGATACTTTGTTCATTCATAATGAAAGATAATTCTATCAATCAGTGGTAGTTAGTTGATCTTTTCACCTATATGAGGAGTGAAAAGTCTCGTTAAAAGAAGATACTTACCGGTGTTTATTATTTCCACTTATAAAAACTTTGAAATTCTTTTTCTTTTGTTATTTGAAGCGGTAAGGAATAAATTATTGACGAGGAAGGGATAAAAAAATTAGCCACAATTAATTAGTCAAAAAAAAAAAAAAAAAAAAACGTTTCCATCCAAATTAAAGCAATAAATAAAATAGTTATACATATTCAAAATGAGAAACAACCTTCAGATTATTATCCTGTCAACTCAGCAATAACAACACAGTAGCCGCAAAACCAAAAAAGACTTTTCCAAGATAATTCTTTCCGCCATAAACAAACCCTGAAGAAGTAGGAATAGGGTTATTGTTCTTTGAAGGCTGAGGAAGATCATTACTTGCCCCTGGCTGCCCTTGAGGAGCAGCCACCGGAGAATCTGCTTCATTTCCTTGTACATTTACTTGAAGTTTCATTCCTCCTAAGCAATATAACCTATTCCCAGAAATAAAATACCAAGCTCCAGGTCTTGTTAATGTAACCGTCGTGTTCCCATTATTTGTATATGTCTTAATAACCTTGGTGGTGTTGCAACCGTCATAAGCTTCTTTTGTCACTTCATTCACACTATCTGACGACGAGTATTGGAAAACTATATATGTACAAGCATCAAATATTAGCATTTAATTAATAAGTTTTAGAACCCAAAAAGATTTTTAAAAAATCTGATAAATGTACTTACTTAGAACATCTCCAACGGTGAATGTCTTGTCCTGCGCCCAGGAAGCAAGATCAGTGCTAATGTCCCAACCAGAACTATCCCCCACAATGTAATTTGTAGCTGCACATGATAATGTGAAGCCTAGAAAAAGAAGAATAGAGATCAAAGAAAGCTTAGCCATTGATGTGAGAATTATAGGTCAAAAACATGAGAAACAAATGATGGGTATTGGTTGTATATATATGTGAGTGTGAGGGTTGATTAATATTAGATGACCTAACTTCCAATTTGCGTGTCTTTTTGGTTTTTTGCATTCTTTAAATTAGATTTTGCACTTTCAATCAATATTTTTATACTCGATAATAAATTTACGTAATTTTTGGGATAAAAAAAGGGTAGAGACTAGAGATTTTAGAGACCAGCTGCTGAAGTAATTGGTTAATGTAGGTGGTCTATCATGAGGAATGCATGTTCCTCCATTCTAGAGTACGATGAATGATCTAGATATGATGGGGTTAATCTATGATCAACATAAGACTATTCGTTGAGTTGGTGAGGTGGTTAGAAGCACAGATTTGTTGTTGCAAGGAGTTAAACCCCTTCCAACTCCAAACTATTGATTTTGACTTTGTAGTTTAGCAAGTCCCCACTTCCACTTGATCAATATTATTATTTATTTGTTTTTTGAAGAACTTATTGTAGAATATAAAGATTAATTTTCAATTAAAGAATAAAAGACGTTCAAACAAGGTCTAAATTACATGTTTACGATAACTAACTCGCCTAATGACCAAAGAAAAAACGGACATAGGGTTGTGGTGATGGGCCTCCAATACCTGTGTCTGAAAAGTTCGTCTCTTGGTCGCAATCAAGAAGCCCATTTATTATATATGGATCAACCCGAAACTCATTGGCCCACCTTGCAATTCAAGATACCAAAATGTTGGAGAGCGGACTGGATACTCTGTCACTGAATCTATTACTAGTATTATTATTTTAATTATTTATGTGAAAGTGCATTTTTGTCTAGGCAAGGTTGGCCACAAAAAAGAACCTTCTTCCTGCTTCTTTCATTCTTTAAAAGAAAAATAAAGATCATCCTTCATCTAAGAAACATATATATAACAGATAAGATTCCATTCATCCAATTAAACAACAAAGATACGATCCCAAAATCCAAAACATCGTTTTGCCAAAACCCAGGTTTTTGCACATTCTTTGTATTGTCATCGAATATATGAGCGTTTGACCTCATCAGAAACCCACTTGCATACCGCTGTTTCAAGGGATATTATTATATTGATTCTTTAGATATGATAGTTTTAAACTATAATAGAAGATCCAATCAAAAGCCTAACCGTTTGACCTGCTTTTGATGATGTAGCTAGACCACACTCAGTGGGATAAAAATAACCTTTGGTTATACAGCTTTTCACTTTTTGGGTTTTAGTACCTCTGGTCATGGGACTGGTGTACATTCAGATATAGCTTACAAACTTAACAAGCAAGTCGACACCGTCACGTATATAATATTTGCTAGTTGCCGGCTTCCCTCCTATATAAACCTTGTTCTCCTCTGCTTCAATTCTTAGATTGTTCCTTTATTTCTGAGGCATTTCTGCACATAATTAAGTTGTTTTAAAATGAAGGGTGATGAGAGATCATGCTCATTCACAATTGGCAATACTGCCCAAGAGAAGGGATTGTCATATTTGCCTGATTGTTATGTAATTCCATCTTCAGAACGATCGAGTTTGACTCCTGAGACTGCCATTATACCTGTTATTGACATTGCCGAATTGATACAGGATGCTGTCTGAAGGGCTTGCGTCGTCAAAGAAATTGCAAATGCTTGCCGTCATGTCGGTTTCTTTCAGGTATATATGCACTCTATTGTACTACGCTAGAAGTTCCTTCATTTCCTTCAAGATTTTGTGAATGACCCCAAATAATATTGCAAGGTAGAACTCTCCTGCGCTCACCAAAAACTCGAATACAAACTTTCTACTCTCTACTTTCCATATTTTTTTAGAACATCAAAAATCAATTATACTGTGCATGATAGCCTCTTTCTAAGAAATTTTTTATATATACTGGACAGAATATATATTTTTTTCTCTTTAATATTCAGATTGTAAATCATGGAATTTGCCAATTGACGCTGGATGAAGCTCCATCCGTAGCGACGGATTATTTTGAATTACCGACAGAAGAGAAAATGAAGTTGATGTCTAATGATGTGTATAAGCCAGGAAGGTATGGAACAAGCATTAAGGACGGAAATGACAAATTCCAATTTTGGAGGGTCTTCCTCAAGCATTATGCATATCCTCTTTCTGACTGGATTCATTTATGGCCCAACAATCCATCGCATTATAGGTAATTTCCGTTCTCCTCTCCTTCCAAAAGTATAATTTTTTAAAATTCTTACTTATCAAAATTAGGTATATCTAGGTCACATTAAAATCTTAATTATGAGATGAAATTTGCATGCAGAACGTAATAAAAAATTTGATTGCTGATATAATGAATAGATCATATTTTATTGATTCTAATTATTTAATAAATGGGAAAATGGAACTTATTGTCTATTGTTGTTGCAATAAATAGCTTATGCTTATCCATAAAACATTAGATATTCAAAATGAAACGTGAGATAATATGTTCTGCTTATTACTATTCTTAAAAATATCGAAAAGCAAATACATTGAGTTTGGACCAGGACAAATTATTATATAAAATAATAATATAATATTATTAGTGTATAATCATTTTTTTGTTAGATATGTTTATGTTCGAAGCACCCGTCTGAAAAGCCCACTACAAAATGTCATTTCCAGCAAACAAATTGATCAATTTGACCCTTCTTAATACCTTATTCAGAAAATAACCCGATCTGATATATATATATATATATATTATATATTCTTTTGGTTTTTCTCTTTGACAGTCGAATTTGATTGTTTTGAGAAAATCAGAAAGCATCTCTTATTAATATATGCGAATATGTTATGTTTCAGGGAAAAAATGGGAAAATATTGTACAGAAGTGAGAAAGCTAGCCCTAGAAATAACAGAAGCCATTACAGAAAGCCTTGGGCTAGGCCCAACTCACATCACCAACAAAATGGAAGGAGGAGTACAAGTAATAACAGTACATTGCTACCCACCATGTCCAAGCCCACATATGGCACTTGGGTTGCCACCTCATTCAGACTACAGTGTTCTAACCATTGTTCTTCAAAGTTCACCTGGCTTGGAAATAATGGACGCAAGGGATGACAAATGGAAAGTAATACCAGAACGTCATGGCGTTCTTCAGGTCCATGTCGGAGACCATCTTGAGGTGCTAAGCAATGGCCTTTATAAAAGTGTTTTGCATAGAGCTACACTTAACTTTGAAAGAACAAGAATGTCAATTGCTAGCTTACACAGTCTGGGCATGGATCAGAAAATGGAACCTGCAAAAGAGCTTGTGGATGAACAAAATCCTAAGGGATATAAAGAAAGTAGTTTTAGAGATTTCTTAAAGTTTCTTTCCAGTAATGACATTGCACAAGGGAAGGCTTTCAAAAATACACTGAAGATCATCAAGACTTAGAATGTTTTCTTTTCTATGTTTTCAAAGAGAAGGGAATAAATTAGTAGCACTGGCAAATCTTTCTTTGTCGGCCAAAAAAAAAAAAAAAAAAACAAATTATTTATTGAAATTATTAGTCCTTCTCAATTTTAAAATAAACTATTTAATTCTTAAAAATACAAAGACTAAATATTAATTATTATTAAATTGTTTAACTGAAAATAAAAACAAATTGAAGATAGTATAATTGGACGAAATCAAATATTAAAAGTAATAAAATCATCTATACTTAATTAGTTAATTGGGTTAATCCCTCCACTGTATTAAAAAAAACATCTATACTGAAAAATAAAATAATTAAATAATTAATTATGGGAAAATATGGAAATAAAAGAGTAGTAATTATCTCGGGAAAATAAATTGTCTAAAAAAAATGCTGGGCTGCTCTATATTATATCATCATAAAAAATTATTTTCATATGAAATTAAATCTCAACCGTTAATTAAAAAAAAAAAAAAATCTAATATAGCACACCTGCCTCGATGACTATAGAGACGGTCAAGGCATCAAATCATAAACACAGATTTCTCGCGAATCAAAGCCGTTTCCCGTGAACGAACCTAAACACAAGATCGAACACAAACTCTTTCACATTCTATGTCCTGAGAGTAAACGATCTCTCTTTTCCCCCCTTCACTTCTCATCCTCAATTATTAATTATTATTAGCATAATAAGAAGTAGAAAGGGGAAAAATGCATCGATCGGCGAGCTGGAACCGGGTGACCGACGATTATTTCATTCACTCGTCGCCAAAGGCAGCGACGGGGTTGAGAATGACATCTTCAATGGACGAAAATGAATTACCAGCTTATGATCCACTGATGGAAAACGTGAAAAAGGACAAGTCACGTATTAAATTTGCAGAGAATGCTATTCATGTCATTCCATTCGTGTTGCTTTTGTGTGCCTTTGTTTTATGGTTCTTCTCTAATCCAGGTATTAATCACTTAATTTCCTATCATTAATTCCTTCACATGGAGTTTAAATGTCGTTTAATATGCAGATGTGGAGGTGGGAATTAAATCCGATTCGATAACAGCCAGAATTGAAGGATTGAGAATTGAAGGAGATATCGATACTGATAGTGATGGTATTCAAACGGGATTTTTACCGATTGATTTGGGAGATATGGACGCCCCCAAACAAACGAGAGATCATGAAAAAGTTACAGAAAATTGGCGAATTAAATCTTGATAATCGTACTTTTTTACAGAAGAAATGATGATTTCTTGTGTGCTTTTGATTCAGAAACTTGTTGCCTTTCCATTTTTCATTAGCAGCTCATCTTTGATTAATTATGAAGGTAGATTACACTTGTGTGGAAATTTGTACTGGATTGGTTGAAAGCTCGTGTTTTTAACATTTTCGTTTTTTTTTTTAAATTACGAATGATGAATTTGTAATTAATGTATATATATACACATTAATTGGTATGAATGAATGATTAAATTTGAAAATAACCAATGGCGAAACTGTATACTTATAAAGTTACCTTGGATTTATATTTTATATTTTATATTTATTTCTAATTTCTAATGGGATCTAATAATAGAAGAACAATGGGAAAATTAATTGGATTTTTTTTTTTTTTTTTGAAACGGATAAATTAATTGGATTGATCATAATCCAAGTGGTCTTTCCAATTTTGTTAAAATTTAGAATTAATGTGATAATATTTACTTAAATTTATCTAAGTTTTTACACGTAGACTAAACCGATAAAAAAAAAGACGTATTAATTTTTAATGGAATTTCCACTTTAAAGCAATTTTTTATTAAAATAAAAAGCTGACATTAAAAAAAAATATTTGTTAAAATAATCAAATAACTTGGATTTTGCATTATCAATTTGCCTTTTTAAGTACCAACTTGATAGGCAAACAAACAAACTTTAAAAGAGAAATACAATATTAAAAAAAGATATTGATCTCTGATGAAGTTGAAACAAACAATAATCAACAGTAGAATATATATTATATATTATTTTTTGTAATTATTTAAAAAAAATCCGGAGATACTCAACGAATGAGTTGAGAAATAAATTATCGTGTGTATATATATATATATATATACATATATGCAAACATTCCATGATGATGTCACCATTTAAATATTTGAAATAAGCTGTAGTAACGAAGGATGGTGCGCCCAGAAATTGAAATCGAAAATTAAGTGGAAAATAAAGAAAAAAATAAAAAATAGAATAATGAGCCAGCTGTGTTACCACAGCAATTCGTTGTATTTGTTTTCGGGTAATTAAAGGCGGGATTTGGACGGTCCAGATTTACGAACATAACATTACTCCGTAGTTGTCGGTTCCATTAACACTTCTTATTCATTTCCTTTTCTTCTTCTTCTTACTTTCACTTTGTTTATTTCTTCATTACTTACGATAATCCCCTTTTTATAGTCTCCCCTCTGTCTCTCCTCTGCTTCGCTCTTACCTGTAAATTCCAGTTCAGTTCCCGCCTGGACCGGTCCAATCCGGTCGAATTCATCGTGATGAATCCTGAATAGTGAGTCCCCTCGATCTCATCCCTTCTTTGAATTTCTACTTTTAATTTATTGAGATCCGCTTCTGAATCATGTTATGATTGGATTAGTTTTTATGTTCCGATGTCTGTTTCGATCTGTTATAGTGGTGATTGTACTTTTGATTTTTGGTTTCGACCTTTATTCAATTTTATGGTTTGTGATTCACAAAAATGGCAAACCTTAATTTGTTATTTGTCTTAGATTCACCTGAGTTTGACCTTTTAGGGTAAGATTTTATTTAGATCTCGAATTGCGATTTTCGGGTCGTGATAGATTATTGTTTCTTTTGTTTTTAATTTCTATTGTTTTTCTGTCATAGTGATTATCTGTTCAAGCTTTTGCTAATTGGGGATTCTGGAGTTGGAAAATCATGTCTTCTTCTGAGATTTGCGGTAAGCTCGATCCTCTTTAATTGCTCTCTCTCTCTCTCTCTCTCTCTCTCTCTGTTCGTTCTTTTCTTTTTCTTTTTTAGATACCTAGTTTACCTATTTAGTGAATGTACATAGGTTGAAAACTTCGTTTCTTATTCATATATCTGTTAGTATCAGCTGTGGAAATTGATTCTACATTTTTTGTTGCTATCTCTTGCCTGAAGAGGGAATTGAGGACCATTTATTAGTCTGTAGCCACTGAATCTTATTGACAGCACTAAGGAACTTATATTAAATACAATTTTCTTTTTGCTTGGATTTTGAAAATTTTTTAAAGGTTATCCTCTAGTTAATTACATATTTCTAGCTGTGTTTTTGTTTGAGATCCCAGTCCAAGTGTAATGCTGACCGTGTGAGTGCTAGAAGTAGTGGCACCTAGTTTGTTGTAAGTTCCAGCTGAAATTAATAGTAGCATTTTTGAATCTTGATGGACAAATACTGCGTGGTCTTTAAGGTAACTGGGTATTCATTAATGTAACCGAAAATGATTACTTTAGTTTAAGTTTCTATTCTATGGTTGAAATTTTTCTTTCCTATGGGTTATGGCTGAATTTATACCTATTTGCACAAGCTTATTAGTTGTCCATTTCTTCGGAACAGGATGATTCATATCTGGACAGTTACATAAGCACAATTGGAGTTGATTTTGTAAGTATTTGTAGAGTTGTAGGTTTATACAAATTGCACTTAGTTTTAAATGTGCAACACTGCAACTGAGATGATTTACTTAATTTTCTATTCCATAGAAAATCCGAACTGTGGAGCAAGATGGGAAGACAATTAAACTTCAAATTGTTTTTTTTTTTTTTTTTTGTCACAGAATAACTCTCACAAATTTCTTTTTGGTGCGAAACTAAATTAGAATTGTTTGCTGCGAAAGTCTTAATTTAGTCTGGCAGGATGAAGTTTTGATGAGCAGGAGTTATATAGCATGATTGTATTCTTAGTATTTTGATATTGTTACTTTTACTTTCATCTCCTGTTCTAGTATCTATTCCTTTTTTTTTTTGGAAGATTTTTATTCTTTTAAATTTCAACCATATGTTAACTGCAATCAATTTTTAACTTGTTTTCTTTGGGCCTACTGACCTTGCTGAGAAAGTAAATACCAAAAAATGATGCAGTTTTTGGGTTATTTAGTACTTATTCATTGTTTCCAAATGTGAATAGGTATATGGTGGTAATCTGTTTTTCTATTTTTCAAGTCTCTCTTGTCAGTTGTCACTGATGTTTTCTCCGGTTATCCTTTCCCAGTGGGATACTGCAGGGCAAGAAAGGTTCAGGACAATCACTAGTAGCTACTACCGTGGGGCACATGGCATTATAGTGAGTTTGTTGCCCATTTACATTATTGGCATCATGTTCATGGTTTCCGGAATATGCTTTTTAATGTTTTCACATGTGGCAGATAGTTTATGATGTGACAGACCAAGAGAGTTTCAACAACGTTAAGCAATGGTTGAATGAAATCGATCGTTATGCAAGTGAAAATGTAAACAAGCTCCTGGTTGGAAACAAGTCTGACCTCACTGCCAATAAAGTTGTTTCTTATGAAACAGCAAAGGTAAACTAATCTCCCTATCATTGCCTGTTGTTACATTTTATTTCAATTCAGCTTCTGAAAACTGATTCTTACTATTCATCTGTGTTTCAAAAGGCATTTGCAGATGAAATCGGCATTCCATTCATGGAGACGAGTGCAAAAAATGCTACGAATGTAGAGCAGGCTTTCATGGCAATGGCAGCTGACATCAAGAACAGGTAGGGTTTCGGAATGTCATTGTTATTTCTCTCTATTTCCGTATTATAAACATATTGTTAGAGAAAAGATCAGGTTGTGGTGCGAGACATTTGAGGCGAGAAACAGAACGACATGATTAGGCTTTTTAAGGATTTAACTTTTGTATTTGATTGAGTAATGCAATTCTGAGCTGCCTTGCTTTAATTTTTTCTATGTAATCCTGCAGGATGGCAAGCCAACCAGCAGCAAACAGTGCAAGGCCACCTACTGTGCAGATACGTGGACAACCTGTTAACCAGAAGTCTGGGTGCTGCTCTTCTTAGTTCGCTCTTGACTGACCTTACATGGCATGTGCATCCAGAAATGGCTTCTGAGTTGTCTTGGAACTATAGACTGAATCCACATTAAACCATAAAATGATTTGCTTTATCAGTTCTGTATGCAATTCAAAATATTTTATTGTTTTCTGTTTATCTTATTGTTTAATGTCCTGTACAAATGAAATGATGCATTGGTTGATGGTAGTAAATGGTCTTGTCATTATTTTCCTCCACAAAGTATTTCGCTTGTTAAAGTTTGCAAATCATAAATTTTTGTTTTTTGTTTTTCTTGGTAGTTAGCTTAAAATGGGTGTGTTTGAGGGAATGAAGCAGCATTCCGATATAACACTGCGTTAGCTTTTGTCCTGCTTGAATGAACTTTTGTTTTGTTTTTGACTTGTCGATGAGATTTTGAATCCAATGTAAAACACGGGGGTCGACTGTCGTTTTTAAGTGTTGCCTTTTGCTTTTTGGCTGTCTTTTAAATGTCTAGAAATTAAATTTGTTCCACTTCTTTATTTTGTATTTAACCAACCTTATAAATAAGTATTCGAGGGTTGCAAATTTCAAAAAAAAAAAAGGGGGAGGGGGCCGGGGAACGTCTTTTATAAATGAATAATGAATAAATTTATAAAAATGATTTCCAAAATAAGTCATTTCATATTACACTATTTATCGAATACAATATTTATTTTTGGTCATGAATGGACATATAAACTTTATTATCATGGGAATGGACAGCCAGTGGATGGAGGGTGAAAAATATAGAAAACTTTGTTCACGCACAATGAAGAGCATGACTAGCAAGTAGCAACCTGAGGTGAATTAATACTATATCATATAAAAATCTAAATTTTGTTTATGGATAGTAAGTGACTTGTACTCTAAGACTCTATTTCTCAAACAAAGACCAAAATTTCTCATATCACACTGATGGGACCAGAAGCCTGGGGTGACAAACTTGCTTCTTGAGGGGATTGAGGCGGAGGAGGTCCAATTTTAAGGTCCAGCTCTGGAGGATTTTCCTTTTTAGTTGGTGAAGTTGATGAACCTTGTTGCAAAAACCCGAGGGGGTACGATCTTGGCGCGGGAATACCAGAAGGGTGTGCAGTGAGAGGTACACAAGTAGCAGCAAACCTTCCTTGGCTATTAGGCGGAAAAGGGTAGGCTAATCTTGAATAATTATAATGCATCATTTGGAGTAAAGGCGCAGCTGATGCAGTTCGAGCACCCATAAAGCTCCGCCCATCGTCGGGGAATCCTAGCTGTTAAAAACATGGAAAATTCAGTATGCTGCTTTGGCTAGGAAAAATTTTCAAACTAAAAGCAAATTTTTCGTCACCAATAATAAGTACTGATCAGTACCATGTAAGGGATTCCAGTATAATTTGGAACACTGGTAGCTAAATATGCAGGACCGATCGCTGGCGTATCCAAGCAAAGATGAGGGAATCGGTTCAGAATCTGAGCTGAGGTAATAGCCTGTATAAAATAAAAAAGAAACTATTATCACTAATAAGTTCTATCAACTAATATATATACAGTTGCTTGTTAGAAGAGACATGAACCATACACGTGCCGGAATATCAGTAGTCGTCCTCAATGGTAAAGCTAAGGAGCTGCTGCTCGCCTGTTTTACTTGTGATGAACTGTTAGAAGGCAAAATTGGACGCTCCTGAGACGTCAAAACCTTCTGGAAGTTAAAATATCAACTTTAGACATATCTAATACAATAGAAGAGAATGAATTCTATCAGTGTATATGGTTAATTAACTAAGAAAAACGTACAGGTTCTTTGAGAGTCATATCAAAAAGACTTGATCTCCGTTTCTTTATATCAGCTGAAGCCTGTCTCAGATAATATTTCTGAGCATGACTAGCAACCTGGGTTGGGGTTCTAGTGGTTACAAAATTCTTCGAAATGCCTCTCCAATCACCTTTCCCCAGCTTTTTCAATCCAGCTAAAAATGTTCTATGTTCCTCCTCAGTCCAAGGCTTACCTGAGTACAGCAAAGGTACACTTCAAAACTGGCCAGAGAAAATATTATTGGAAAATTTCAGATACTTCATTTCCATTCTTGGAAATGATGGCAACAGTTGCATAATAACTCACTCTCTCTCTAACTTTACTTGGTCCAGGAATCTCTCTCTTAACGCTTCTATCATCGGTTACTCTTTCAAATTAAAGATGAAGTGGACTAACTAGCAATTCCCCTATTTTTTACTATCAAACAATTAATTTTTGTCAAACATCCTCAACTGACATCATTCACCATTTATTGACTCTGAATAATTACAGAAAATAATGGGGTGTCCTCATTTTGCCAGAAAATAAGGCAGTCTTATAACCAACAACTATTAATCAAACGAGGCAAATCATTGTGTAGCCAACGCTACTGCCTCAAAAAGAGGAACAAAAGTAATATATATATATATATATAAACACAGAAGCTATCTCTACTTCAAGGATTTAAACACAATTGCATGATAGATTAATTTGAATGCAAGTACTTTTTATGCATGTTTATGATGGTTAAAACACAGTATAAGGCTTAATAGAAATTGAGCTCAAGTGCACCAAAAGCAAAAACAACAAAATATGTAATGTATGCATGTGTGTGTGTGTGATGTGTGTGTGTGTGTGTGTGTATATATATATATATATATATATATATATATAACAAAAGAGAGCATTTTGATTACTTTTTATAAAATACAATAATTTTTTAAAACAAAAAAAAAAAAAATGCATTCGATCTCTTGCACACTAATCAGACTCCATAGCAAAGACATTGAAAAAAAGATCAAAACAAAACTCATACATACATACACAAATATATAAAAACACTTTCTGCAGAATTCCATATAAAAAGTAAACAAAACAACAAAACACAAAAACAAGATTATTAAGTGAATTCAAAATATATATATACCCTTTTTCCTTTCATTGGCTGCTTTGCCTCTTTTGAAATTGATATACCCATCTGATAGATAACCTTCATCTACATGATGATGAGCATTATTGTCGATCAAGGACTCTAAATTGCCCAAGCTTGCACTTTTTTTCATGGGTTGTTCTTGTTTTTCAAAAATATTCACCCCAAACAATTTTACACCAGCTCCTCCTTTTCCATGGTTGCAGGTTCTCGAGTTGTGACCATTCTGCCCACAATGAGAACACTTTCTTGTTCCTTCCTTCACCATATTCGATTTTATATCTAGTGGCTTCTCTATTCGCAGAGAAACCCACTACAGATATTTATCTGATTCACAGTAATCAATACTACAATCTCCATAACCTTATTAAGGTTATTAGGTATTTTATAGGATCTTCGCCTCTCTACGATAACCCACGTATCTATCTTAAAATTTGCCAATTGGAATAGGAAGATCTGGTCACTTTTAAAAAGACATAACTACCCTTTATTTAATATTTCAATCTATTAAAGTCAAAATAGAGAATCCATCTCTATTTCGGAAGTTATTTCAATGGTTGAGATTTTATCGGATTTTAGGAATAAGATTATATCAGCCATTGAATGCACACTTACTTTTATGTATACTACAGTTTGAGCAATCATGTGATGCCACGTGTGCATCCTCATAACTTCTAATTATGGAACGGTATTGTGGGATCACAAACTTGCTTTACATGCCTTTTTTAATAAATGGGAAAAAAAATTATTACTATATAATCCTGTAATTATTATTAATTATTAAATTAAAATATTGGGCTTGCCATCTATTTTTATGGTGATGGGTTAATTGTAATTAAAATAGTTAATTAATTATCCAGCTCATGATTAGCTAAAAATCCCAAAAGATTAAGATATACATAAAGATTAATGTAGGGCAGATAAAGGTAATCTCAAGCAGCTAGAAAATAAAAAATAAAAAATGCGTAAAATAAAGAATTTGATATTTCAAGAATTAATATAAATTCATATATTATCTGCACGAAATAAACATTTGGAGTGTATGCTCAAACCATATACTTAAAACAAAGTTATTTTTCAGATTGCCTAAAATGGATAAATTTGTTTTACTTCAGTTAATCACTGCCTAAATTTACGTAATTTATAATATTTCCATCACAGTTTACTTGGCTTTGAAGAAATGACTCCTCAAAGTTTGAAAATTTATAAAGATTTTCATTTCTCGTTTTATCACGGTTGGCTATTTCAGCTGAATCAGTTTTTTTTTTTTTTTTGAGAATAAAACAATTTTTTTTATAAATTTTTAAGCGGAAAATAAAACATAATTTTTAGTACTTGGGTAAGATAAAATGTAATCTTTTATTATGATTTTTTTTTTAAATGTTAAGGAAAAGCACATTATGGCATACCTCTTGTACTTGTTTATATTTAATCTGCAGCTAATATAAATCTTAATCAATTGTTAATTACTTTGTATTTATATTATATTTAATTATATTAATCTTACAACCCTCGATAGATATTTTGTTTAATAATATTAAAATTATTTATAGAGAAAAAAGACATCAAATTTGAACCTCAATTTGACAAAAAAAAAAAAAAAAAAAAGAAAAATATTTACAGCTCGTTTGAAATGATGGATATGAAATACATAAATTCTTCAAAATCTATTAAACATAAAATCCATAGATTTTCAATTCATAAATTTTAAATTTCATCATTTTGTTGTAAAATAAATTTCATGGATTAAAAAATATTTTCACTATAAAATTAAGTTGTTTAATTTTTATCATTAATAAAAAAAATGAAGTTAAAAAATTACTCTTATATGATTGGACTTATCCATCAAATAAAAAAAATACAATAAATCTGTAAAATGTTTAAATTTCACCACTTAAATTTTATTAGGCAAAAAAAAAAAAAAAAACTACCACTATTAAGTAATAAAAAATAAAATGTTGCAGATGTTAGGGGTTAATTTGCTAAAACTTCAAGTTGTCGGGTCGAAAATTAAACAGACAAAATCATTAAGGCTTTCATTACAATTTTAAACAATTTAAGGAATTAACTGGCGGTGCGAGTGGATAAAATGCGAATAAAAGAGGAATGGAAACAAATGAAATCATTTCTATTTTCTCGTTGTCCTCTCCAAAATCTATCTGGTGTCTCCTGGGGTCTCTCTCCTTGTCTGTCGTTTGGTCCGATTCAGAATCTATTTACTGTCGTTTGGTTCTCGATTGTTCAAACTCAAACTGTGTCCGCTTCAATTATGGAATATTGAACCAAACAACTCCCATTTCCCAGTTTCGAGAGCGCGAACCGCAGGCTTTCTTTAGGGTTTTTCTTTTTCCTTCTATTTAGATTACTCCCAAATTGAGACGAAACTATCCCCTCAATTTTAATACGCGCATTAGGTATCTGTTCTGAGCTCAAATTTTGTGCAGGTTTTTCTTTTTCTGCTGAGTGAAACTGTAGAGAACACTGTTATTTATAGCTATGAAACTGTTTACGCTGGAAATAGTGTAGCCAATAATGCCGGGCATCCCTTTAGTAGCTCGCGAAACCTCATCGTACGTTTCTCTTCTTTATAAATTATAAATCACGTGAGAAATTTTGAAGTTTGTTCTCTTTGAGCGGATATGATATGGGGGCTAATAGCAGGTATACAAGAAGCACGGATCAGATGTGCCGTGAAGATGGTCGTATGCATTTATCCGCAGAAGAGGAAATGGCAGCTGAAGAGAGTCTTTCCATATATTGCAAACCTGTCGAACTCTATAACATCCTCCAACGTCGCGCCATAAGAAATGTAAATGTTGCTTAATAGATTTGTATTTCCATGTTTTCAGCATCTCATGTTTCACTTGTATGAATATTATAGAGTTTGGAGTTCTTTTGAGTTTGGAGATTATGACTGTTGGGTGTTATAGATACGTTAGTATTCAATTTCATCTAGTTTGAACCCTTTGGTTTTCTTTTCTCATTGTTGAATTTCCGTGTAATCGGCTAAAATCTTTTGGATAGCAATATGCATTTGCTCCTTTTTCCAATTTCTTCTTGTCGCATATGTCACTCTAATTTTTTTACTTCCATCTTTATTTTTCTGATGTAGCCATCATTTCTGCAAAGATGTTTGAACTACAAAATTCAAGCAAAGCACAAAAGGAGGTAATCATATTTCAGTCTGACTTTTCTTTTTCTAAGTATAAAGGGATCAAATATAAGATAGTTTCTTGACGTTGCATAGAATTATTTGAGAAGTTGGCACTGTGAATGTCGAGGAAAATTGGTTTAGGAGTGATTTCTTTATAAAGTTTTCTTGTTCAGAGGTTATATAGCTTCGACAACTTGCTTGAAGTATACACACACACACATTCACACATACACACGTCTTCCTTTTTCAAGTTGTCTCATGGAGTCTTTGATGTGTTTCATTGGTAATTCACACGAGTTTATTCACTGAGTATTTCCATTTTGTCTTTTCTTATGGTTATTTTATTGCCTAGTAGTTTGATGATTCTGGCAGCTTTTTAGTTGTTGAAATGGTTTCTTTTCTTTAATTAAATTTACAGCGCAAGAAATTAGTTTAATTCCAGCACACAACATTAGCTTGTCACTAAACAAATTTCATTTGGTTGAATGTAGAATACAAGTGACTGTCTCTCTGTTTGTGACTGTGAATGGAAGTGCACTATCTCGTAGTCTGTTTCCATTATACATTTTATTGGCGAGAACAGCTTCAGGCATGGGAGGCACAGAGGTTATTTTTTTCAGTTTTCTATAAAGCCAAATTCATCAAGAAATTGGAATTGTCTCTTGGGTTTACTCATTCATTCTCTACTATGTTGATTTTTTCTTTTTTTGTTCCATTCCAAAATGAAGTATACTACAGTATATCGCTTTCATCGGGCATGTGTGTTGACCAAATTCTCTGGAATCGAGGGAAGTACCCAGGCTCAAGCAAATTTTGTTCTCCCTGAGATTAACAAGTTAGCATTGGAGGTCAAATCTGGCTCACTTGCAATATTGTTTGTTAGCAGTGGTATGCTTTCAAATGATTGATATTTAAGAACTTATCCATGAGCCTCATAAAAAAATTTCATCGGATTGTTTGTTTTTCTTTCAGCTGGGTCCCAAAGTTCAATGCATGGAGTTGATTTGATCAAGGGTCATTCGGGTATGGAATTATTTGCATGTTAGATATGCTTTTGTTACTTAATTGTTTCTTGGATGATAGCTTGGTGAAAAGGTAACAATGTGTGCCTGCTATGGGACAAATTTAGAAATTAACACACACGTTTTGTTTTTTGTTGGTTCCTAAATTTTTGGGATTTAAGGTATAGAACGTCTACAAGCAAGAAAATACATATTGAATTTGTCATGAGAAGTGAGAATAGATAGGATTGCTGTAAATGTGAACATTAAATTTCCAATTTGATGTGAAGAAGCAGATGTGGTATTCAGTAGACACATATGTTAAATGTGCAACTTTTCTCTTGCTAATCCATCTCATGGTTAGTAAAACGTTAACATGCTACACTGTGATCCTTTGAAATTTTTGAGAAGTATTAATATATTATGATTTTTAAGTATCTTCTTGAGAAGTTATGAGCTGCGAAATAATGATATGTTTATGGAACATGACATCTTATAAGTTATAAGCGTTTGTTTTCAAAGAGCTAAAACTTATTTGCTCTCTTTAATCTCAGTTGCTTTATTAAGATACACATATAATCTCTCCCATTTTTTTCATGGCATTTTGACATCCTATTAGATAATGTATGATGTATTTTAGCTTTGATGAAGGTTACAATAAGTCAATATTTCCTTTATGTATTGTTCCTCTGAATAAAAAGCATGCTTTATAGTTTTATGCATGTAAATAATTGTTTGGATTGCCATGCTATGCTGGTTATGGTGTGGTAATTGGTAAAATACAAATATCAAGGAAGTTGTAAAGTTGGATATGTAATCCTGCTCTTTTCTCGAAGAAGTGTTATATTTTAATTTTTTCTATCAAGTATCAAAATTAGTCTCCAGTTTTAATTGGATTTATGACACAGAAAATGTTGGAGGATGCTGCCTATTGGGCACAATACCTCTGGAATCGCTCTATATGTCATGGGAGAAGTCTCCAAACTTGAGTTTGGGACAAAGAGTGGAGGTGCCGTCGCAGGTTGACATGAAATCATGCTTCTTGAAGGTATGGCATTAGGTAACTCTGGATTGGTTATTCCTTTTATATATTTTATGGTAAAGCTCTGGTATTGGACTGCATGCCATGTGTTGGCAGCACTGAAGAACAGTTAACTTCTCCTAAGCTTGCACAATTTTCTCAAATTTTTTCAGTTTGACTTATAATTATCCAGGAGTTGTTTCATTTTTGTCATATATTTAATGTGATGCAGTTGAACTGCTATAGATATCTTATTGTTCATTTCATGCAAATTTTATTTTGTTTTCAAAAGATTCTATTTTTCTGACTTTATAAGTGCCTTTTTGTGTTTCCATGTGCAGTTAAATTATTTGAATGATGAAAAATGCCTTTCAGTTCAAACTCCATATAATTCTGAAACCGTGGTTTGTTCTCCCTTGAACTCTTCATTTTGATTTTGAATTATCTGTTTTAACCCACATTATTTGCTAGATGAACTTACTGACAGATAGTGCTGCTTTTTGGCTTTTTGGTTTTCCAAAGAATATATCACAACGAATACAAGTCAACATTTCTGCAGAAGAGGTTGGGGCCAAGGAAAAATCTCCTTATCACTCATACACATGCAGCGACATTTCTTCTTCATCATTTTCTCATATAATTCGGTAATCCTTGATGTATCATAATTTCACTTTTGTCATCCTCCCTTTCAACTCTTCAATTTCATTCTTGCTTTGTTTCTCCATTCTTAAAGTCTTGAGGTGGTAATGCGTATCTTTGGTTGCATTTCTGTGATTTGGCCCTTTGTGCACTAATAATGTAGAATTAGAACTTATTTGTTACCATTTGAAGTTCCTGATATGATGGCTTGCTGCTCCATGCATGGAACTTTGTCATATTATTACTGTTCATGTTACTATAGAATTGAAAAAGTTTGGTTATTATGTTTTTTGTGTTCCACATATAGTTTTGTTAAGTGAATAACAGTTCCCCTTTGCAATTCTTTCTGCACTATTCTTAGTGTAAATTGAGTTTACACTCTGAATAGGAAAGGTAAGATATGGTGTGTATTATTTATCAAATGTAGATTAGGTTCTCACTCGATGTTTTAATTTTCATCTCCTGTTGGTATTTTGAATATATGAAGTTCTGTGCAGTAGAAAAATTTGGCATTGGTAATATTGTTGTGTATTTGGGTTAATCCTGATTTGAGAATTTGTCTGACAATGTATAACTTATGTTTTCGTAACTTCTATTTTTTAGGTTGAGGGCTGGAAATGTCATTTTCAACTATAGGTATTACAATAATAAGTTGCAAAAGACTGAAGGTACTGTTGATTATTTAAAGACATTCTATTCAATCTTGTGTGATGTCTATTCATTTCCTTTTCCTAAAAGGTGCTTGGTTGTGGAAATGTTTCTGGAGATATGTAATCTCTTCAATGATCAATTGACTTTCCAAAGCAGAGGATTGAACAAATTTTGATCATCAATTGAAAGCCGTATAAAAATATTGCTTTCAGCTCAACTAGTGGACAATAATTGATTTATGCGATTGTAAAATCCTAGTAAGAAGGTGCTGGAATGATTAATGGAATCAGAATCATTGATTTTGAAATCTATCCTGCAGTAGTCTATTTCAGAGTGAAATGGAGTTAGATATTGATCTCAGTAGTGGTCCATTATTGTTTACCTAGTCTCAGTTTGATATAATGTGCTCCTTCAAGCTCAACGGCATTTGCTTTCCTTGATAATTTTTTTTCTAGAATATACACATTGGCCTTGGCAGGTGTCATGAATCAACTAGGAAGCATGTCTAGTTCTTGGGATTGTTTCCTTCCGTTGTCTGAATTTGACTTGTTAAGACTTTTCTATCCAACTTGGCTTATGAAGGCATGGAATATAGTGATTGTTATATATTTATGTATTAGAACTTCATGAAATATTTGGGGAAAGAGCCTGGGTTTATTTTGAGTTAGAATTTTCAATGATATAGTTAATTTTTGAATTTTGCCAGTAAGTTTTGCTGGAAGTAACTAGGTTTCAAATTTTGGCGTGAGCTGAATGATTGAGATCTTCAGCCTTGAAGAAGTATGGATTTCGTTTTTACACATTTCGGTTCCTTGATTTTTGGATATTTTGCTTTTTGGTAACTGAAATATTATGTTACTTTTTGCTTTGGTTTTTGGTTCTTCCTGAAAATGAGATTTACAAATTCTTTTTCTTATTCTTTCTTAACCTTTCGGATCTCTATCTTTCAGTAACTGAAGACTTTTCGTGCCCATTCTGCTTGGTAAAATGTGGAAGCTTTAGGGTAGGAGCATTCTTTGCTTCTTCATTGTACTTCTTTTCATTCCTTTTCCTTCTAATTAGAATCAGATCATAGTTGCTGGAGTTTGTTTTATGATGCTTTTCTTATATTTCTTTTGTTTCCTCCATTTTTCTTTTTGCTGAGCTTTATATTGGACGCTTACATTTTTCTTTTCCTCCCTAGGGTCTAAGATATCATTTGCCTTCGTCACATGATCTCTTCAACTTTGAATTTTGGGTTGGTAATCTTCAGGAATCTTAGTGAATTCCGATCATTTATATTTTCTGGATTATGACTACTAAACTAATTCCTTCGATATTTCGTAGGTAACTGAAGAGTTTCAAGCTGTAAATATATCAGTGAAGACTGATAACTGGAGATCTGAGGTTAGAATATTTTCTCCTTTAATTTGCAATTTTTCTAAGAACAATAATGTTAATTTGTCAGTAATGGCTTCTGAAGACCATAGGTGAAAGTCCCTGTTCTAGGCAAGCATTGTTTATTGCTTTGAATATTCTCGGACTATTTTAAAAGTGCAATCACTACTATCATGAAATCTGAACCATTACCAATTTTCTTTTATAGGAAACTTTGTTTGAGCTTGGCCAACTTTGATGACTAATTATATCTCCTTTAGGAATATATTCATGCAATATGTCTACACCCATTTTACTATTAAGCTAATCCTTCATAAGTAGGTCAATTAGGTTGTTCTTTGTAATCATAAGATTCTCATTATGATAGCAAACATGGTTTAGTCTGTGATGAGTGTATTAATGACCCATGATATATTTGTCAAGCAATGAATTAATTGTAAAATGTGTACACCAATTATTGTCTTGCCAGTGTTCTGTACACACAGACGTTACTTTCCCTGTTTCAAAGGGGAGATTAACTATGGGAAGTTATTTTATTTTCGGCGGGTGGGGGGAGATTCTCATGATGCTCAAGTGGCAAGCCCTTATTTTTATAAATTTGCATAATTACAGAAAATGTAATATCATTTTACAATTTCTGCTATGTATTCATAAGTCATGTATACACGATGAAATAAATACTATTGGAAAATTAGGAAGTACATGCTAACTGCTGAGTATGAAACTGAGGGAAGTGTTATGTGCTCTTGCTAACTGCTAATTATGAATTTCTTCCTACTTGCTGCTCTTGGAATTTATATGCCAACATGTTTTCTTCAGATTGTTGCTGATGGTGTTGATCCAAAGCAACAGACATTTTTCTTCTGGTAAATCAGATTATCTTCCCTGAACTCATAGGCTGGTTTGGCTGTATGTCCTTTTTCTTGATATTTGAGAATATAACGGGTTGAATTGGGTATGTGTATTTATTTGCAGCTCAAACAAACCAAGGCACAAACAAAAACAGGACCTTGTTCAAAATGCAAAGCATGTACATCCATTCATCCTTGAGTCAAACCTGCGCAATGGAGCCCCCAATATCCTTGATAAGGCTGATGGTATGCATTTATACGCCAACTCTGATGGATCATTGATGCTGCCCTCTAATTTGATTATGATAATATTTGAAGAATCAGTTTATGCATGTCAACTATATCCTTTTATTTGTTTTCTTCAATTGATTCGTTGAGGTTTAAATTTGATGAATGGTGACATGCAAGAATTATAAACACTGCAAATATTGGACAAGAAATTGAACTAGAAAACATATAACCAATTTCTCCATGAATGATCATATATCAGTTGTTTGTACATATTCCCGGAAGCCAAATGGCACTGATGAGGGAGATAGGTGGGGTTTTCTATCGTTTGGACCCTCTGAATTTTTCCACCTATTTTCTGCCATCATAGGAAATGGATTGCAAAATCAACATATTTTAGATCATTTTTCATCTAGGGTTTAAAGAACTATTTGAGAGCCATGTGGTGCTACTGACATAAAATGGGAACACAAATGACCGCTATATTTTATTTCTGTTGCATGGTTGTCTTTGCGTGCATGCATAATGTGGATGTATCTAAGATAGTGCCTGATAAGTTTTTTCATGCCTATGAGGAAATTCTTCTGTGTATATCAGTTTTTCTCCAACAGATTCATCAACAGTGTTGATCTGTGGATGATTTCAAAAAAATTTTTATTTGATTTTCTTTTAGTTGAATCTTGTACTTATTTTTTTGCATGGTTCATATCTGATGTTCATATGATGGCTCTTTTGGATGCTTGTATCTCAGGTAGGAAGGATTTGCCTATTGCCAGCTTTGGTGCTGCGTCATGTGCGGAACATGTTCCTTCCAGCTTTGATGTTGTAGGGGTTTCGGGTTCTGCACCACAAGCATATCCTGATCCTGAATGTGTTCAGTCAGCATCTGGAAATAACTTTGCACCCCCTGCCATGTTGCAATTTGCTAAGACAAGGAAATTATCCATTGAACGGTCTGACCTGAGAAAGTATGTTGCAGTTCTTCTATGTTTTTAGCATATTCTTGTTAGTTCTTTAGGCAATGGAAAAATGCATTAATTTAATTGGATGGCCATTGTCAGGCTTTGTCAGGAAGGTAAAGCATTTACTGGATGGTTTAAATGCCATGTGTGTTAGGCTGTAATAGTTGGTTGAGAATAAACTATTGACTTTTTTTTTTGAACTTAATTGACTATTCAGTATACCCATGAAATTGCTGCTACTTGTTTGTCAAATTGCTTGTAACAAGTATGGTTTAATCTAATATGATCCTTTTTCCAGCCGTACCCTCCTTCACAGAAGGCAGTTTTTTCACTCACATAGAGCTCAGGTGTGTAGTGGCTTTATCTTTTGACAAAAGTTTCATTTTTTTTCATTTGTTTTGCTTGCTAATCTATGTTTAATTCAGGTTATCATGCATATTAGGGAATTATCTGCCTTATCAGTGTTTCTTGAAATTGATCAACCCTAGAACTTGAGTTTTGTTTTTGAACTACATATTGCATTTATTTAATTGGAAGAGTTTGACATGTGTGAGCATGTGGCGCGTCCATGCATGTGACATTTTGAAATATCAACTGCTCTTATACTAGAAGACGGTTATTTCAATTTTGATTTGTCTGTACTTGTGTAGTGATATAGATATCATTTACAACATTTTTCAAATCAGAAATACTGCCATGTCCATATTTTTATTGTGGAATTTTCAGTTTAAATTCTATAAAACTGTTGTTGAGTTTATAGATCATGGTTATCTAATTATTTCCTGCTTATCTAAAGCATTTTAGATTCACTTGCCAACTTCACAAGCCATATGAATTATAAAAATTGTGTTTCTCAAATATTGGAAGTTTCTCGTAAATTTTGCAGTCATGTTTTCTTTTGTTTGATTGATTATATGCATCAAAATAATTTGAAATGAATATTTTTATTTTTGTTATTTGTTATTTGAAGCCAATGGCAATTGAGCAAGTATTGTCAGATCGGGATAGTGAAGATGAAGTTGATGATGATGTTGCGGATTTTGAAGATAGAAGGGTATGTTTCATTGTTGAAATATAATATGTTGAAATATGTTTTTGCTTGTAAGTTGGTCCTCTCCATTAGCTTTGGTGACATCTGCTTTATTATGCTGCAGATGCTTGATGATTTTGTGGATGTTACTAAAGATGAAAAGCAAATGATGCACTTATGGAACTCATTTGTGAGGAAGCAGCGGTAATCATCTCTTTATATTCTGTTTTTGATTGTCTATTGATTCTATTCTGTTTCAATTATGGTCTCTCTATGTTTGTTGCTTTTAAGATGAGGCCTGATTTGTCAGGGTGGCGTTATCTTTTGGGTTGATTGAGGTGTTGTTGGGGAGGTATGCAGGGAATTATGAGTCTTTAGTTTAATTGGCTCCAAAGAAATTTAACTCTAACCCTTTGTCTGGATGAGAGTTTTTTTTTTTTTTTTTTTAAGGAAGGAAAAATTATGAGTACTTTAGTTTAATTGCGCTCCAAGCAAAATTACTCTACCTTCGCTCTCGGATGAGAGTTTTTTTTTTTTTTTTTTAAGAAGGAAAAAGAAATAAACTATGAAAACTTATCTAGATGAAACTGTATTTTCCCTTTTTTTTTTTTTTTTTTTTTTTTAAGGAAGGAAAATAACTATGAAAATTATCTAGAGAAATGTATTTTCCCTTGTTTGGGAAAGAGGGGAAAAAAATTGAAGTAATATTTCACGCACCCTGGCCACATGTTCTGAATCTCTCCAATTTAGAGAGAAAATAATGGAGGAAAGTGAGAATTTCACTCATTTTTATTAAATTACCCAAATACTCCAAATTAATCAACAAACTTTAATCCTTTCTTAAATATCTCATTATTTAGGTGAGGATATAATTGTCGATTTTCAATAATAACATTTTCTTTTTTCCAATATTTTTCCCTTTCCAAATGAAAGAAAACAATATATATCCAAACATAAGGGTGGAAAATAATTATGGAAAGGAAGTTAACAATTCCTTATTATTTTCCCTATCATTTTCCTCCCTCTCCTTTCCAAACAAAGGGTAAGGGCAAGTGCTCTTCTGAGCAATGGCAAAATCAACTATTGTGATTTGGAGGTCATGTGTGGGAACTAGGGGAATACCCTCCCAGGGGAAGGGGAATGTTGTACCATACTAACCTCCACAGAGTGGGAAGCTTTGTGTACTCTTTTAGAATACTTCTGGACATTTAGCTCTAACTAGAGCCATAACCTGGGGCCTGATTTTTGTCAACTTTAGAGTGACTTGTTTTATTTCCTTGCTCATGTGCTTGACTTTTACGGGTCCTTCAAGTTGAATAACATCCTTACGTGTATTTTTCATCTGGGGCTCTCATTGCTACTCACATGAGTATGGCTTTTATCAGTATGTTTCTTATGAAAGGTTGTTTATGTCACTAGGATACATATTTGATCCAGGCATGTATGTAACTCAATGATGTAGTATTTAGTCTAATCTTTAGCAAGTTGATTCATTTTGGTTTATCTACAAGTTAAAGTTCATGACAAATGAGTTAAAGCTTGCCTTTTAAGATGTTGAAAGGGGCTCCTGCCCTTGTTGACATGTAATTAATTGATTGTTTGCAAATTATTGTTTTAATAATATATTTGTGGTTTCAATTTTGTCTTGTTTTGCATGGGGACAGCGTCCTGGCAGATGGCCATATCGCTTGGGCATGCGAGGCATTCTCAAGATTACATGGGCATGATCTTGTCCGAGCCCCAGCCCTACTTTGGTAATTCAATTATTTCATTTGGGAATTGCCATAATGCACATAATCCATCTAAGTTCCAGTTTAGTTCTTCTCTGCTTTTATAGGAATTTGGTTTTGCGTTGACAGGTGTTGGAGATTATTTATGATAAAATTATGGAATCATGGTCTCCTTGATGCCCGTACCATGAACAGTTGTAATATTACCCTTGAGCAATACCAACAGCAGGTTTCAGATCCTGTGAAAAGCTAAAGAGAGATGACAAAACAAACAAGTTTATTTTTGTTGGTGATCAATGAAATGAGAAGGCAAAGAGGAAATGCTTCCTTATCATTTACCAATGAAAGGCAAGGCGATTCCTGCTTTTTTCGCTCTGGAGGTTTGATGGCCTACTTTGCCTCCTGTCTTCTTGTAATTGTTATGTTGTACCATGTTTTTCCCGATCGATAATCATTTCAAAGCGCCAAAATCATTGAGAATCAATTATTATTATTATTATTATTATTATTATTTATTTATTGGTAATGATTTTAAACCTGCTTTAATTGTCATGTGATTATGTCTACTTGATAACTTTTGCTTATATAGCAGTGTATGTTGATTTACCTGAGTTTCACTTGAACGTGTGTGTATGTACTATTGTTCATACATTAGTTATATACTTTCGCAGATTTTTTTTTTTTTTTTTTATATTTTATCTATTGTTCATTACTATCTATTATATACATCTCGTCCACCTTTCGCAAATTTTTTTTTTTTTTTAAACGATTCTGAATAATTCCATATGCACCGATTCTTCTCTCTCTCTCATCTACTGGCCTTAAGGATATAGTAGTTATTTATATCATAATATTACTATAAAAACTGTGTCTTTTTACGTTCAGTTTAATGACATTCATACTAGCCTGGAGACCATCATCAAAAGTAAAAGAGACAAATATACAATGAGCTGTCTGGGTTTTTTTTTTTTTTTTTTTTTGCCCTTTCGTTTATCCCTGTCTTCATCTAATTCCTAGCATTTTTTTTTTTTTTTTTTTTTTTTGCCCTTTCGTTTTCCTGTTTCATTGAATTCCTAGCATTAAAATGGGTGGGTCAAGTGAACCCACTGATAGTCTGATATTGACGTGGCATGGACCCCGCGGTTGCCAATGTTTGATAAAAGACAAGTTCTGACTGAGAAGGTAGTTAGGTTGTGTTGTCGTTTTGCCACCAAACCATCAAAAAACGCTCGCTGAATGTGAGGACTCGCTTTACTCGCCGAGTTCGTTTCATTTCTATTACTATCCGCAAAACGATCTTTTGTCTTTTTTTACTTACCCTGTGCCACGTGTCTGTCTGCATGCCATTTTGCTTTTATTTTATTTTATAAAACGAAAATGCCGTCATAAAGTCAAGACCTCGAGGTCATTATCGTGCCACGTTTTGATGGAAGAGTTATTTAAGGATGTTGTGGGACCCATGAATATTAATTTTAAAAAGGCTGAGCAATGATATGCAAATTATCCTGTTCGAAGTTGCAATACCACGAGCAGAGACCAATCTAATTAAAGCCACTTTGCCAAGTCTCATTAATAATTATTAGCAATACTATTTTATTTAATATAAAATGAAATTTGAGATGTAAAAAAAAAAAAAAAAAAAAAACAAAAAAAAAAAAAAAACATTTCATTTTCATTATACCCAATAGATATCAAGCTGGTTTAAAATAAAGAGAAAAGAAAAAAGTGAAAAAAAAAAAAAAAAAAAAAAAACATTTCATTTCATTATTACCCAATTGAGATATCAAGCTGGGTTTTAAAATAAGAGAAAAAGAAAAAAGGATGACAATAAGTTTGTCACTATGTTACCAAAAAAGAAAAGAAGAAACGCTCGCCAAAATTGAAGACTAATAATACATAACACGCGTAGTAGAGAATCCCATGTCGTTTTTGTCCTAATATAAGTCGTGCGGCTTATCATCTACACGTGTGTTTAGCCATGCACTATTGCTCTTTGCCCCTTCGCCACATTTCTACCATCTTTTACTATCTTGGCCCTTCATACGCTGCCGCTTTGTCCAGTGCAAATTTGCAAAGTACGGCTTCCGCTAAATTTATATACTTTTTCACTATAGGATTGGTAAAAGTTACATTCACGCTTAGGCTTAGATTTTACTCATATTGTTATATTACCATATATATATATATTAATTTGGAATTAAAAAAAAAATTAATAGTTCCAACCATATTTGTCAATTGCATTATACATACACTCATTAATTTTAAAAATAAATTTATTAATTAAAGATAAAAAATTATTTTTTATGATAAAATTGCTAAAATTGGCCAACAAAAAAAGGGCACGGAGTTGATGAATGGAAGAGAATTGCTTTCTGCTTAGGCTAACAACTGTCTTAAAGAGGTAACAAATGTGCTCCCAATGGCTGCAGAGAAGCACTAACCATTGTCCAGGTCACACCGTAAGATGTCCGTTACCGTTAGATGAAAGGTCAGATATATGGAGTTTAAATGTAACTCATGATGGTTAGCTTTTAACTCAACAAAATAGTTGAACTTCATTGCTCTATAAATGCCATTCTTTATCTCCATCTCTTTCACTACTGCACTTGAAACTCCTCTTTCTCTTATATAAACATAAATACATTTATTCTTTATTTTCTTTCTTCATATTTTCCTTCTCTGCTCTTGTAATTATAAATAAATTCTTCTGTATTACGAAGAAATTCAATTGTGTACTATATATATACATGATATTTACAATCTTTCTTTGTCTATAAAACCCTACGAGAAGGGTTTTTTTATGTGCATGCAATTTGAATAATCAAACCCCTTTTCTTTTCTCTTCAAAATACACAGTAAAATGTTGACCGGAATCAATCCCACTGATTACACTAAATTCTACGATTTCGGCGATTATGCATTCTCAGGGCTAAATGTAACACCACCTCATTACGATAACATCCACGATGCCATCTACGGCTCCGATGAGTTCCGCATGTACGCTTACAAGATCAAACGGTGCACCAGGACTCGCAGCCACGACTGGACGGAGTGCCCCTACGCCCATCGCGGAGAGAAAGCGACTCGTCGAGACCCGCGAAAGGTTCCTTACGTAGCCATCGCTTGCCCTGGGTTTCGAAACGGGAAATGTCATAAAGGTGACACGTGCGAATACGCACATGGCGTTTTTGAGTACTGGCTGCACCCTGCACGTTACCGTACACGTGCATGCAATGCGGGGCGTTTTTGCCAGCGTAAGGTTTGTTTCTTTGCTCACACGCCGGAGCAGCTCCGATCGGAGAAGAAGTATGCGTGTCCTTTTGTATACAGGGCGAGAATGAACGGAGGGAGTGAGGAGGGTTCGACGTCATCGGGTATTAGGATGGATGAGTTGCTGAATAGTTTGAGGAATTGGAATATTGTGGATGAAGAGAAGAAAGGCGGCGGAGGAATTGAGGAATCGGAAGGTGAATTGGCTCATCTTGATTGGATTTCTGAATTGGTTAAGTGATCTTCATTTTGTGTAATTTTTGAAACTATGTTTAAATTAAATATTTAATTAGTAATTACTACTGTGATTATATATATGTTATTGTTAAGAGGAATCGGAGTATTATATTTTATTTTATATATATATATTATTTTCATTTATATATATATATATTATATAAATATTATTATTGACCTTGCTATTAGATATAATGTGTGACTTCTTTTAATTATATATAATATATAATATTTAACTTAGAATCTGATTTAATTTACATATTAGAATAAGTAATATTATTATTTATTATTATTTTTTTTTTTTTTTTTTTTGAAGAAATTATTTTATTATTTTATTACTATTGAGAATCACTTTTTGGACTGTCTGGTGATCTAGTGGGCTTTTTTTTTGAAAAGAATTATTATTATTATTATTATTACTATTGAGAATCACTTTTTGGCTGTCTGGTGATCTAGTGGGCTTGGGCCACAAATGGGGTTTAACTCAAGAACTGAACAGAAAATTATTTTTACAATATACTTTCCTGTGCTAATCGATTCAGGAATTATAATCAAATGCTTAACAGAAAAATACTTGTAAGAAATCACTAATCAAACAGCTTATTAAGCTTGGAAGGCCTACATTTTCCAATGTAAAGCATATGGTAAGAATAAGATCTACGTCTTCCCAATCAACAGAGCCCCAATTAAAAGGCGGAGCAGGCACAGTCCGGAGACACAGTCTGTGTTTATGAGCTAGTAACCTTTTGTGAGCGAAGACAGAGTAAAATTTAAATAACGCAGTACTTTGTTTTTGTCTAAACTTGGAAGCCGTATGGACAGAGGGCAAAGCTGTGTCGGAGAATTTAGGAAATTGCCTTGTCAAGTATTTGCTCCCTTGACTTATAATTCCAGCTTCGGCTGGGCGCCTGGATAATAAAGCTGACACAGATGAACCAGGTGAATAATCCTGAAATAGAAAATAAATAGATGTGTTTTTTTTGTACTTTTTATTATGTTTAAGTAACTCAGATTCTGACAAACAACCTGTAAATTTAGTTCAAAGTCAGAAGAAAACTGAACTTTTCTGGTCATTCTCGAAACGCAGCAATAGTTTTCCTTGTTTTCCTGCTCGTTCAGGAAGTCAAAATATAACTGAACTTTCCTGCTTATTCTTTCTGATCTATAGGAAGAGCATGCCCTTCTTATCTGCTGGTGGCGGAACTCTTCCAATACTTGTACTAAACCCGATCCATGGCTCCAGACCAGACCCTCCAATGGTACAATACTTGTACTAAACCCGATCCATGGCCCACTCATGGACCATTTGGTTTCTTTCCCACGAACCCAAATCAATATTATTAATATTATCTTCCAAATTTTAGACACTAATTGTGGATTATAAAATATGTTGCTTTGATGAATTTAAAATTGACAATAATATTAAGAGCTCAATCGTACATCGACTTGAAGAATTTAAAGATAATATTTTTTTATCAAAAATCTGAAAGGCACACGCTCCATTATAATTTTTAAACTTTAAAATATTTTGAATATTTTTATCAAAAGCCTAATATTTATGTTGGAACTTCAGTTCTGATAAAAGAGACTAATATTGTTGGACATGGGTTCACTGGCAGCAGCCCAATCATAAATCTATTCACTTTGGCAATGGACAAACTTCATCACAAACCGAAACATGATAGGATAGTGTTATACAGAAGCCGATAAAGAAAAATTTAACCTTTATTCATCTTTTCAAATGATTTCAATTTTTTTCCCCTCTACGTCCGCATATGCATATAACAAGTGTCATTTATAATTGCCACGCACCAAGACACGTGCCTCCTCCTCTTGTTCTTAAGATACACTCCAATTAATGGGAACTAATTATTAATTAAAACCAAAAAGTATGGAAACATCAAATTCATCAACAAACAAAGTAAGACTTGATTACAGAGACCTTCAACACATGACAAGAAAATTATTTTAGACAGCTCTCAAAAGAGGGAAGACCCGTTAACAAATTACATAGAAGAAACAAAAAGATTTAAGCGAAAAAAGAAATACACCAGACAAGCAATGGCCTTCCATGTTAATTAAAGGACTCATATATTTTTATATATATATCAAAGCCATTTTATGTTCTCTGCATCAACCACCAAAACCCACTTCTCTTTTAAGTCTGTTGACCTGTTACATGCTGTCCAAACTGCTCAGCTCTGTCCTTCATCTCTCTTGCCTTTCCCGCCAACTTTAAGCGTGCCTGGTCCAGACTTTCTGCTCCTGGTGGATGCTTTCCAGTAACATACCTGCAATTCATGTCTCCAATGTCAAACATTGTCTTTTTAATATTATGCGTTGAAAGAAATGAAAGGAAGTAGGCAAATTTCTTTAAACCTATAAATCCAGGACAAGACAGAAATGGCAGCGACGCCAAAACCGCCTGAGGCTAAAAACCCTGTGATTATCAAACAAACTGTGATAACCGCAGGAACAAGAACCGGACTGAATATGACCAGCAATGGAGTGGCTACGGTCAGTGCAATGACCGTACCAGCAAGGGTCAAACCGGAGAGAACTAGAAGAGATCCACCGGCAGTGACTGCAGTGGCTGCCTTCACTACTTGGTGGGATCGTGGCTGTTGGCCAACATGCTGCGACTGTGGGTGCTCCGCCATTGACGCGATCGAAGCACAGAGTAAATTCAATGGAGGTTTACGATCAGTGATATTTGATATACGGTTGTAGGTGATTGAGTTGTGAAATTACGGTGAAATTTATAGGAGGAAAGGAGAGATTGGGTCCCAAGAAGGATGGCACGTGTTGAAGAAAGAAGGGGTACGTGTTGAGGAGGTTTTCATGCAAGGGTTGCATGCAACGAAATGGATCTGTTTTAGGACACGTTTGTTTTTGTCTATTTTGAAGTTGTTGTAACAAAAACGATAAATGATGAGACAAAATTGAACAGTCAGGCATTGGCATTGCACCACAGTCACAATACACGGGGCGAATTGCATTTTACATAACTTTTAGGCTACGCTTGGTGCTCATCCACCATATCCTTATCATTTTTTCAATTTTATTTATTTATTTATTTTAATTTCAAGGTGAGTCCATATCTTCAATGTAATGATCCTATCAACAGTTGAATAACATCTCGACGAATACAACTTTGCGTTACTATTTTTAATTAAGTTCATTTTCATACAAGTGTATCAAAAAATATAAATAAATATATCTTATAATTTGCACATGTCAAGTTATTACTATAATATTTATTTATTTGCATGTGACATTTTATCTATGAAATGAAATACTCTTTTCTTTTATTCATGAAACATCTTGAAAGCTCTGCTGCTTCTCTTAATATGGGCCGACCTTGCATATATAGACGGCCCAAGCCTCAAGTTCTTTTTCCTATTTTTGGCTCTCAATTAATATTGTATTTAGATAAATCCTTTGATTAATAACTGGTATAATTACAAGATTAGTTAATTAGAATACATACTTTCGCCTTTACGCTTTACACATAGGGTAGGGATTAATCATTACAGAAAGGCTCATTTTTCTCATTCTCACTGAAAACTAATTAATAGAAACATTAGTTGGTATTAATCATTGATAATCACACTTTAATGTAAAAAACACCATTGGGTAATTTTATCTCCACTGTAAAGAAGTCAACCACTAACAAAAATGGACCGTCAAGAGCTCAATTTTCCACTAATTGTTTATTCCTTTCATATTTAATCATATCCATAATCCTTTAATTAAGCATGATTAACAGGATACGAGAATCACCATTGTGTTTGTCGAATATCATTAATAAAATTAAAATGGCTAATCATCCCTCTGTTATTACGGTTTTAATGAATATTATTATGGTTGATTAGGTAAACATTAATTAGTTCTCTTCTGTGTTAAGCTTAAGCATATGAATTTATACCAATCAACTAACCCAATTTAAAATAATAATAATGAAAAGATATATCTTCTTGGAATAAGGTAGGGAATTCATTAACCCCAAAAAAGAAAAAAAAAAAAAAGTATAGTTTGAAATTAAATTATTGAATGATTCTATTATATCTCCTTTAACCCCAAAAAAGAATAAAAAAAAAAAAGGTATTATTTTACTTTATAATAGAGAGGGGACCGTGTTCAATGTGTAACCCACTAATTATCCAGCAAATTACTACTAATTAAACTGTCTTTCCAAAATAAAATGAACTAATAATTAATGCATATCTGTTTTCAATTATTTTAAATAAATATCTTATAAAAGTTTAAAAAATAAGGATACAGATGAGCCATGTGATTTGGAAATTAGATTCTATGCTTGCTTGGATTGGATTATTTAACCAAAAACATAGTTATATATATATAAAAGAAAGAATTAAGTAATGTCAATTAAGGGTGGGTGGATCCAAATTTTCAAACAAATGATAGGCAGGTGAAGTTAGGACAAATAGTTCAGGTCCAGAGTGTGGTGGGTAGACATTCCATTAGTTATTAATCTTTATTTTTTTTTTTTTACATATATATTTAATTTATAATAGTCTCTTCATAAAATACATAAAGCTATTGTGAAAAAAAAAAAAATGTTGCTTGATTTCTATTTATATGTGGTAAAACTATTGGGAAATTTTTGATATTTAAGCATTTCGTCAACAAATAAAACTCATTTTCACTTGACTTTAGTGAAATAGAAGAAAAAAAAAAATTCCTTTGATATGGATTCCTTTCTAAGTCTAAAACAATTTTTTTGTTTTTTTCCATTCTTGATCTATGACTTGATTAAAAAGACATAGCTAACTAGGTCAATAGTTCATAAAGACTTTTGCCATAAAAATATCAAAAAAATCTACAACTTAAAGGTATATCAGCTAATAGTAAATATGATAAAGAAGGAAAAAGAGAGTAACGTTTGCTTTTCTTTTCTTTAATACATACATACATATATATATATATATATATATTAGATGATGGATGTGCATAAGCTGACATGAACGAGCATTCCATCTCGTTAACAATTTGTTATTATTAGTTGTCCAATGATCAAACTGTAATTTTTTAGGCTAATTTTTATTATTTATTTATTAGAAAAAAGCTCAATCCCCAAATAACACTGTACACTTAATTTCATCCCACTTTATCTATCAAATTTACTATTTAAAAGAAAAAAAAAAAAAGTGTTTTTTAATTAATAATATAGGATAGAAATTTGAAGATCAAGACCGAACTTAGTAAAAACAGATTAACCATTCAAATTAATGACTTCATGATTGTGTATATATGACTAATCTCAATAATGCTGGTCAATATCTCAGTGTGCATGCATCCATTGACATAGAAGAAGAAGAAGATGATGATGATGGCGACGACGACGACGACGACGACTAAAAAAACTCATTCTGTTCAGTATTCACACGCGATACATCCAAACAAGGCACAGCAAGTCAACAACCCAAACTTAAAAGTAATTAATTGACCAATAATTGTTCGCCAACTGGCATCGGTCCCACATGAAACACAACATTGTGTCTTTTTTCCTCCCTCTCCGGCTCCAACTCATTAGCTTCATCACCGGCCATAATTTTCCTTCGCTTAGCCGACGCGGCAATCTCTGTCTCACTGCGTTTACTGGTGATTCTCACCGGTTCAGGCTCATTTGACCCAATCTTGTGTGGAAAATTTAGCAGAGCCCTCGAGCCACGCATCCTAAAAGCCGCTCTATCGTAAGCCAAAGCAGCTTCCTCCGCCGTCTCGTAAGTCCCGAGCCATACTCTGGCACCATTTTTAGCCGGATCCCTTATCTCAGCAGCGAACTTACCCCACGGCCTCTGTCTTACTCCTCTGTAATGCCTTCCTTTGGAAACCTTCTGATTTTGCTTTTTTAATAAATCAGTACCCTGGCTTCTATTTTCGAGAATAGGAGTACTCTCAAGTAATGCTATATTTGAAGCAGCTTCTTGAACGAAGCTAGCCGGCTCCACCTCATCCGTCGGTTCAGTTTTAACAGCAGTCGTGGGTGTTGCAGAGGCAGGGGAGGACGTAAAATCTAACGGAGACCAACCGGAACAAACGGCATCGCTGAGGAAGTTGTATATGACCATATCTTCAGAGTCGTCGACTTTTAACGGCAAGTCGCCCCAGTTGTCCGTTAAGCAAGGAAAGAGACTGCTATAAGTTGAAGTGGGAGTAGAGCAATGGGACAAATTAGAATCGGATATGATGGCTTCATTCATTTTTAAGAGAGGGAAATTGACAAGATGCAGGAAGAACAGAGGTAGGATAGGATGGAATACGTTCAGAGGAAAATATTTATATATATAGTACAAAGAAATTAGTAGTAATTAAATTTTAAACTGTAAATAGTAACCGTCTTCCGGACATTGTGCGTAACTTCACTGTCACAAGTGGGCAAATTGAGGAGCTGTATCCTATATCTCATCTCATAGTGGTAGATATTGTTAGAGGGTGACGTCACCAGCTTGTGTAAGCCACTCGCCATGATCGTGAGACTGACGGCATTTGAAAACGAATAATACTATTTCTATTCGGTTAATTATAAAATCATTTTAATTTTTCAATAAAATATTTAATTCCTAGAAAAAATAAATATTAATTAATGACATTAATTTTTTATAATTAAAAAGAGACAAAATTTAGTAAAAATATCTAGACCACGATAAAATTAAAATAAAATAATACTATTTTGATTTTCTAAAAATGTTATTTATATCACCAATATTTAGAAAATGATTTCTGTAAATCAAAAATTTCAATTCACAAAAACATACTTATGGCGATTATAGTTATAAATTCTGACAAGATGATAATTTATAACCTTTAGTAAGATAAGCAGTGAAAAAACGACAGTGTTTTATTCCTTTTTAAAATTCAATGCTTTTTCAAAACGACTGTGTTTTATTGTTGTAGGGTTTTCAATTAGTGATCTAGCTAGCATTAGAGCTTATAAGTTCCAGATCTAAGTATTAATTTATGGGAGTAAAATTATCACATGGAAATTGTTTAATGGGATTAGTTGAAAATTAATTAATTATTATAAACAAAATGAAATTTTTTTTATTTTTATTATGAATATACTTTTTTTGTTATTATTGAAAAAGAAAAAAAATTATAATAATCGATCAAGGTGTCTTTTATCACAATATAAATTAATCATTATAATAACGAGAATCCAACGTGCTTTCTATTTCAAATATACAATGAAAATTTTCTTCTCTTACTCAAGATTTAAAATTCAGAACTCCAAATAAAAAGTCTTACGTTTCCTATATATTTCAATAGTATAATTTTGCATCTCAATACATAATGAAATTAATTACCATCCGCCACGTAGTTTATTTGCCCTAAAATGAGGAATTGTTGAGATCAGAAACAGTGAGTTGATGAGTAATGGTCAAATATTCAAAATGTTGAACTTGAAATTGAACAGTAGGTCCTGAGTTTGACTCGACGATCTAATGCTTTTTTTTTTTTCCTTTGGAAATATGATCCTGATGCTGAGGGTGCTGTGCTGACTAGTTAAGTGCCGCAACTTTTACACCTTCGTGGCCATTTTTGACTCTTCGTAGCCATTTAAGATTTAACTTTTGATTTCTTACATAATACGTTTGCCATTTTCTTGGAATTCAAATTGCAGTCATTTGGGCCTCTGATACTCCTTATTACTACTGTTGTAAATGAAACCGTTGCTCTATTACCTTGTAGGTATGTGGTATGGAAGTGAAACCTTCCGATATTTATAACTCCAGGTTTCAAACTCTTGTATATTTGCTCTTATTTAACTGTCTCTCAATGATATTATTATTACTAGTAAAAACATATATTATGTTTCATAGCTTAGTATAAACAAACAATCTATATTAGAGAAATTTATTACAAGGTTTCAGATTTGGTTATTAATTTGAAATATTAAAAAGAACATTATAAAAGTATTGAAAAAAAAAAAACAACTATAAGAGTCGTAATTTCGTAATTCGACATGCATACATTACGTATGATTCCTCTCTTTTAATTCTCTGCACGCAAAGATAAATGAATTAATTAATAAGCGCTGTAAGTAAGAAAGCCGATCAGCTCAATCCAACACATCTGCCAAATGTCAGCCCGTCGTTATCAAAGGATGTTGTTTATCTTTTTATTAAGCAATGATTTTGATTTTAAAATTTTAAATGTCATTTTCGACACGTCATGACAAAAAACAAATCCATCAATCAAATTAAAGAAGTTAATACAAAAAACCAAAAAGGGGCCACGTTCATTCCATCTGATCGATCTGAGGTGGCCAGTGGGGGAGCAGCGGAAGCAAGTTGGTGATGCTAGTTGATTGATCATATCAGATCAGATGAGCCTTCCTCTTCCTCCATGTCCGTGCAAGGCAAGTTCGTTCGTTTTGCTTTGGAAAGTTTCATTCTTAAAAAGTTACTGTCTTTTCAAGAGACAGAAATGTCAAAAGTCAATCCACATGGTTTTTGAAAACGAATTTTCAGAGACAGAGTCGCAGATTTTGGTTATTTTTCTCAAATACTTTCATGTCATACTCATATGGTACTTGGGCTGTAGATTTTTATCTCCCAGAGGGTATATCCTTGATTTTATTTATTTTTGATTCTTCTAATTAACTCTAATTTATCTAGATTGATTGGCTGGCACCTAATTAATAAGACATCTTTAATTTTATAGAAATGAATTAAACAATCATTAATGGACAGCAGCCTTATCAAAAATTTTAACTGAACTTTTACTATATCTATTTTGAATATTATTATAAAATTTATATAAGAACGCAGTGCGATAATTTTCATATTCAAAAATTGAATATTTTGCTATAAAAATTTTCACATTAATAGTGGATTTGTCGTATTTAATGCTTTTTCAAAGTTTTGGATACATTGAGCTGATTTGTAGATTTTTATATTCAACCTATTGTCGGCTATAATTATTCAAAAGATATTTTATTTTATTTGAATTATTTAGTTAGAGAAAAATGAATGGTATTGGTTATATAGACAAGACAGCTAAACGTTGAGCAAGTCCCAATTGAAGGTCAGGTATATGTCATTAACTTAATTTAACTAATAAGTTGTCGTTTAATCTTTGTTTTTCATCTCAGCTCTTTTATTTCTGCTATCTCTCTTCAGAATCATAAATAAATTTAATTTATTTTTATTTTATTTTAGTAGTATATTAGAAGAGGAGAATTCCAAGTTGAATGAAAGCAATGCTTTGTTTTGGGAATTGCAGTAATGTGGGTTAAGTCATAGTCATAGTCATAGATTAGCTAAGACACCTGTACAGGACAGCCATTTTTAAAATAAACCTTCCCAAACTCTTCACGGCTTTCTCGATCAGAACAGTCACCTACAATTCTGCCCGTGATATGCATAATAAGTTTCAAATGAATAGGAGATTTTTTTTTTTTTTTTTTTTTTAAATTTAACTTTATTCTTTATATTTTTTTTTGTAGTATCTTAGAAAGGCAGGGAATTCCAAGTTGATTGAATGACAAGCATGCTTTGTTTTTGGAATTGCATTAATGTGGCGTTAAGTCATATCTGTCTAGATTAGCCTAAGGAACTGTACAGGCAGCATTTTTTAAACATAAACTTCCCAAACTCTTCACGGCTTTTCTTCGATCAGAACAGTCACCTACAATTCTGCCCGTGATATGCATTAATAGTTTCAATGCAATTAGGATGATTTTTTTTTTCTTTTTTTTTTTTTAACCTTCGCAGTCTTCCTGTTCGTTGTGAAATAAAAAAAAAAAAAATGCTGCAGAGCATACAGTTACCTCGGCTTTCAGTCCATGAACTTTCCAGCAATTGTCACAGTCACTTCAACTTTTCACTTACAGGAGATATAGATCTTAATCACTTTGCGTGACAAGATTCAATAAATGCATCACCTTTTTTTTTTTTTTTTTTTTTTAACCTCGCAGATCTTCCTGTTCGTTGAAAGTGCAGCATACAGTATACCCCTGTTTCCATGAACTTTCCAGATTGTACAGTATTCAAACTTCACTTACAGAGATATGAAATCTTAATCACTTTGGTGACAAGAATTCAAAATAAATGCATCACCTATGTGAATTGTATGCCTCGTTTTAGAACTCGAAAACCAAATCTTTTTAGGTTAAGGAAGAATGATTGAATTGCATTCTTTTGTCATAAATGTTAATTAATTCACTCTTTCATCTTTCTACTGAATCAAAAGCTGAATTGACAAAAATATACAAATGTTCAAGAAAGCCAATGATAATAGATGACTTTATCGAATTGGAATAATAAATAATTGAGGGTACCCTTTGAAATCCAAGTCCAACATATCTGCACTCTACACTCTCTCTTTTCTTTGTCAATAAAGATATGCAAAATAAAAGAAAGAAGAAAAAGGAAAATTTTTAAAATACTAAAAATGCCCTTGTTGGTCAAAGAGTCAATATGTGTGACTTTGTAGGTTGATCTTGTAAATATTAGATGCATGTAACAAAGGAAATGGAAATTTATATTAATAATTTAACAAAAATTTTAAAATCAAAAGACCCATTTGTTGCGTCAAGAACGTAAAAATTATTAAATCAACCAAATTTATTTAAAGAACATTTTGTACAAATTACAAGTGGAAAATGACATTCATCTCCTTGTCGTATGACCAGACGCATCCCTTAATTTCTTGTATACTTGGAATTTCAGGGGCTACCACTTAGCGCCAATCAAAGCATGTCTTAGTGATTTAAAATTCTTTTAAATTTATTCTTTATGAACTAAGCTTTAGCTTTTCTAATGAAAAATAATTTAATTATATACAAGAAAACTTTAAACATTGAACTAATTATGGGGCTAAATGTAATTATTTTTCTAATTTAGAGTGTACATATCTTCTTAATTGTTCTTTGAAGTAGAAAATAAAAGCCCAATAAGAAGGGGAAAGAGGGACGAAGATCACAAATCGAAAACTGGATTTACGTTAAATCAATAGAAATCCTAAAATAATATTATAGTTAAGCTGTCTGTCTGTTCTAACCCGAACCCTGCAGGAAGCAGAAGCTGTGAATTTGGACCCTCCAGTCTCCGCCACGACAATAAAAATCCACTAAAAAACAAAACAAGAAAAAGGGTATCTTTTTATATTTTAACTTTCCACTACAGGAGTTGCGAAATGATGCTTCCTCTCACCATCCGAGAACCTCACTCGAAACGCTACCGCTTCCTTATTTCTCCTCTTATATATATGCACACGTCCTAACTCTCTCTTTTCCACTCATAAAAATACCTTCTTTTCTTATCCCCTTTCTTTCAGACTTCAGTTTCAGTTTCTTTCTTGCCAGTAAACTCTCCTATTACTGCTGAAAACAAAAGAACCTCCTCTCATGGCGTCTCCCAATGAAGCTTCAGCTTTAGATCAAATTAGGCAACATCTCCTCAGTACTGACTGTGCTTCCTTTGATAGTTTCATCTCCACTAGTAATAATTTCTTTCTCAAATCTGAAATTCAAGATTTTGATTACTTGCTACCAAATCAAACTCTCAACTTGGAATTCAAGTCCCAGCAGGTAGTTCAAAATTCCAACAATTCCCCCAAATCTTCCACTTTGAGTCAGAGGAAACCCGCTATGAGTAAAATATCGATTCCTCCTCCGGCAACTATGAACGTGATGCCAGTACCAGTGGTGGCAGTAGCTGCTGAAAATAACAGGTCTTCTGATCATTCTAGTGAAGAAAAGCATTACAGAGGAGTTCGGCGTAGGCCATGGGGAAAATACGCAGCGGAGATTCGCGATCCTAATAAGAAAGGAGCTCGTGTTTGGCTTGGGACTTTCGATACCGCCATAGAAGCTGCAAAAGCTTATGATAATGCTGCTTTTAGGTTACGAGGAAGCAAAGCGATTCTCAATTTCCCTCTTGAAGTTGGTAATTGTAATTCAAATCCCCAGCGAGAATCTCAATTAACAGAAAACAATAACAATAACAACAAGAAAAGGAAAATTGAGGACGCAAAAAGTGAAGGAAGTAATGACAATATTAAGATGGTGAAGAGAGAAAATCCATCGCCGGCAGCAGCGACGGATCCATTAACGCCGTCGAGTTGGAAAGGATTTTGGGATGGGGAAGTTACTGGGATATTTAGTGTGCCACCGTTATCGCCGTTATCCCCACACCCTACCATGGGATATTCACAGCTGATGGTCGTCTGAGCAAGAAGAAGTTTGTTTGGATATTACAGTACTAAATGAGGAATGATCATCTGAAGGCGAAAAAGTCTGAGATGACGTAGAGATTTAGGAAATTTAGGGCAGTGAGCTGTTTTTTATATGGTGTGTATAATTAGGGTAGTGAAGCAGTAGTAAGCAACAAGCAAAATATACATAGTTGCTTTGCTTTTGTTGAAACATATATATATTATATATATTAAAGATTTCCAGATTGTATTTGTTCTTTCATTTCATTCATCTAAATCTTAAACCTATGAGTTTACAACATCATTGGAGAGATTGTTAGGGATTTAAATTGCCTCTATAAGTCAATTTACTCAAAATGAAATTGAATCAACCCAATTCAATTCGTGTACTATCCAATTTTAAATTCAGACTGCACGAATAGAATTTTCAAAAACCATACTTGATTGGTTAGTTGCTAATTAAAAAACATAAACCAGCGCCATCATCCTAATATAATAATTATTTGGGTTTAAATTATATATTAGTTTCAGTATATAATACAAAGAATTAACCAACCAATAAAATTTAAGAACTTAATTTTATATTATGAAATAGTTAAAGGCTGCTTGTTGGTATGGAAATTAGTTAATAATTTTTAATTACATAGTAATTCTTCTTAATTATACAAGTACTTAGCTCACAAAATGGAAGATAAGATTCAACTTTAACAAATATTTTAATAAATCTAATTTAGTAAATCTTCTTATATATGAAATTAAGCATTTAATTTGGAGATTGCTGGCTCTTGGTTATCGATAAAGATACAATTTTTATGAAATGGGTACTTGAATTACATAACGGAGTAAGTACTCTTCACAAACCTTCCCCTATCTACTTGCTAAGAGAAACAAATTAGATGCAGCACGGACATGGTCTTATGTCAATAATTTTAGAACAAGTTGCTTAAAAGGAAACTGCTTCCTGTCTTTTCAAATTAGTTAAGCTAAAAGAGAAAAACAAGTGTAATAGATATTTGCCTCCCTTTGCACAAACTTACAATATCTTCAATAACAACGTTTTCCTATGTATATAAAAAAATTTCCTTTTTTTTAGTTGGAAGGTCCAATGGATTATAAAATATAAGTGGTAATAATTTCTATAACGTGTAGGATTTGAATTCAAAACATCTCTCATAAAATGTGAGAAAATAAAATAAATACCGCTTGATTAACCGTAATTATAAATTATAAAGCCCATTAACCGGTATTAGAGACCATAAAAAAAAAGATATAAATTATATTAAAGTCATTACATCACCCCAATAGGGTAGAAGATCATTTGCCTCTATAATGACATTTATTTGTATTATAAATTGTAATTCAAAGGATTTGAATACCATTTTTATATAAAAACGTTGTTATATCAATTCATTTGTTTTATAGGTATATGTATGCTCTGTAAGGTGGGGGCACATGACCCCGTGAGTGGCAAGTGGCAGCGACGAGGAACCACATGTTGAAAAATCATCTCAACTGATATCCCATGTTTTTAAACTTTCTAAGGCTCCATCATCAAAGATAAGTTTTTTTTGACTGTGCCCTTTTTCTAAGTGCATGAATGGATGGCTCTGTTGGCACAAATTCGTACCAAACCATAGGAGCTTTTGGATCTGGTGCTGACTTGTCAAGGGAAACAATTGCATGTGGACCCCATATATAATTGCAAGGTTGCAACATATGGGCCCTACCTACGTTACACATGTTAATTATAACAAAACAATTACAAACAACAACTCCACTGTGGACATGTAATGTAATAGATGCAGTTAGCACAAGTTGTGGCTATATGCGTATCGTGGCACAAACCAAACGCTCAACTTCAAAAATTTAACCAAAAATAAATAAATAAATAAAGGGAAAAGATTTAATAATCTGTAGCATTAATGGAAATGGATAAGGCCATCTCATTTCCAGCTGCAAAACCAGGGTTAAAACCGTGTGCATGTTTATATATATCTACAGATATTTACAATCTTGATCAGATGATGAGTGAGTCCCACATCAAATTGCTACTAGTATTTGGTTAATATAAATTCCTGCTTTCTTGCTTCAACAAACTCATCGTATATCCATTTTCTTTAAGTTCTGAAAATGGCAACTCCCCAAGAATCCTCTGCTCTTGAGCTTATTAGACAACATCTTCTTGGAGACTTCACTTCTACTGATGTCTTTATTAGTAATCTTGATTCTCATATTTCTTCTCTTGTCCACAATCTCCAACCCGTTAAACTTGAAACCCAAGATGAATCTTTATCTGGGTCTGAATCCAACTCCTCTGTTTCCGACTCGTTTCAATATACCCACGAATTTGTTGACTTAAAATCTCAAGAGTATTCAGGTTCTGGTTCGGTAAAGCGGTCTTCGACACCTAAAGCCAAACCGGCTGATGATGATGAGAAGAAGCATTATAGAGGGGTACGGAGAAGGCCTTGGGGCAAGTTTGCAGCGGAGATCCGTGACCCGAGCAGGAAGGGCAGTCGGGTTTGGTTAGGAACATTTGACACTGATATAGATGCTGCAAAAGCTTACGACTGTGCGGCGTTCAGAATGAGAGGCAGAAAAGCAATCCTTAATTTTCCGCTGGAGGCTGGACGGGCTGATCCGCCAGCAAATACTGGCAGGAAGAGAAGGAGAGTCAAGAGAGAGGATGTTCCGCCGGAATCTGGTGACTTGTCACCGGTTAGTTGGGATTCCGGTTGTGTGGGAGGGGAAGGGGAGGGAGTTTTTTTTTATGAAGAGCAACCGTCACCGTTATTTTGCTGAAGTGTTAGTGTATGATTGGTGTAGAGTTTAAAAAGGGCCCCATATCGAACCTGCCCCACTTAACGCCAATAAATCGCTTGTACAGTATGTTAATATATGTATTGACTATTGAGGAAGATGTTAATATTAAGACCTTTATTTAAAGTAAATTGAGTGCATTAAATAATTTCTCTTTTTATTCTGACTTTCATGGCATTTATTATTTATTTATTTTTTTAAAGAAGCAAAAGCACTGAAAAAAAAAACCAATCACATCACACATTATACAAATTGCATTTTAAATTTTAAATATTTTATATTCAAATTCAGTTTAAAAGAAAAAGAAAAAGGAAAAAAAGTTTATAATAAATTGGCTACTAATCAATTTGAAAGTCCACATTGAATTACCAAGCTAAAATAATGTTTGACCTTTGGAAAAGAATTAAAGCATGTGAGGCAAATTCTCATACATCTCTTACATATTTCTTATTTCGAAAAGTATATAATGAAAATTCTTGCTTGAATCTTGACTTGTTTTTTAGTTGCTACTGGTTTTTCTTTGCTTGACTAGTCACTTCACTGGCTATGGAAGCCATTAACCTTATCAATTCTAACGGTACAATCATTCTAACTGGATATTGGATTCAACTCTTTGAACTCAGAAAGAGACAGACTTCCTAATTTTCATCTAGCATTAATTATGTCATACTATTGAGATAGACATTTCTCGATTCTCTTATGGGAATAGTATTCATTAGTCTAAGTTCATTCAATAAATTTTTTAATTTGGAGCCGGAACTTTAAGCTCCATTTTAATTGTATTAAGAGAATCACTGAATTACTAATCCAACAGTGAAGTGAGGTGGAAATTGGGATATCATTAGATAGACTTTTGAGTCTTGAATTGGCTTAAGAGCAGAACAAAAATGGAACTTCAAGTCAACTTGATCGATAAAGACAAGGACCTGGATGCATTTTTTTCTTTCCCTTGGAACTGGGACCGGATGTCATTTATGAAGGTTCATGTACAGGAAAAGTGGGCCAATAATTGATGGGTTGCGAAATACTGGGAACTTAGCCATCAAAACAAGGTTCTATTTTAGCCAGCCCACGTGATCAGAATAATAAATTATGGTTCTGCATAAAGAGAGATGAACAAGTTGCATCTGATTGGAGGTCCCCTCTTGGATCCAATTGCAGAAACTTTGTTTCCCAAACCTGTAAATGTCCAAATACAATTTGCCCGTCGGAAGGATTGCACTTTTATGAAACTGGTGGTACAAAACCAAGTTGTAAATGATAGGAATGGGAAGCAACTTGCAACTCTTAGGAGGACGACAAAAGATATTAGGTGTCGTATTTATAGACAGCGTTATTGGATTTTGTCTTAGATGATCTCATTATTTTTGGATTTTTTATTTTCTGGAATTGACCCTTTTTATGGTATTGGCTAATGTTTTATGTAAGGACCACAGAAAATTGAGACATATCATATCCCTAAGCTTGTATGCACCTTATTAAGAGAGCATAAATTGGTTTGAAAACCAACCTCCATTGACAATTTTTATAAAGAAGAATAGACATTCAGAACTAATCCCATTTTATTATCTCCAGTAAATTACAACCTATACTACCGTAAATGAATGAGCCATTGCAAAGTTGGCGATTAAATGATGTATGCAGTCTACCTTCTTAGAGGCAGTAAAATTTTATATTTGCTATGCTTCCCAGGACTCATCAAATTTAAACAAACTGACCTTCATGTTGTCTTGGTAACTGTAACAGTCTCTCCATCAATTGATCTTTCTTGCAACATGTCGTTGGAATTCAAGAAACTAGGCTGATTTGTAGAAGCAAGTAGTCTAGCCCACATCCTATCTGTCAACTTCACTGTGTTTGTTGCCTCAGTCACACGCTGTAATGTAGCACCGTGCCGTTAATATACATTCCCAATGGGTAAGTTGCAAAATCAATATGATGATGGCAAAATATACAGTTGAAACCTTTTTCATCCAAACTAAATTATATAATCAATTTTAGTTTGTTATTGAGCATGATAGGTTTTGGTCCTAGTCAAATTTTGATCCATTGGTTCACACATCTAAAATGAAAAACTAACGATATAGGAATCCAAAGTCTTCATCCTTTAAAACAAAGTTAAATCTGCAAAATTGCGTTCATAGAAGGTCACAGTCATGATACAACGAGAAGCAAGGGCTTACTGAAATAGGAATATAAGCATGTCTGCTGTTCACTGGTCCGACTGTGAAGCCAGTGTACCCAGCCATGGCTCCATGAACTGCACTGTGTGCTAGAAGAGTGCAATAAATGTTGTCTGATGCATTACTTGGAATGGCGCGTATCATGTATGTGGGATCTGCAGAGAGAAATGTGATTGTATGATTAAGAATCACTTTGTTCAGTATATTTGTTCTTGATTCTTAGTCCTAGAATATGCTAACTACTAGTCAATTTTCATCATAGAGACCTTTCTGATCTGACCTCAAAACGATAAGTAACGTTATTGCAAATTTTTCAAGAAAAGAATTTCCCGCACAACTTTTACGTATATATCTTCTTTGAAACAAAATCCTAACGAAACTATTCAGGAGCTAATGTTTGTATAACAAAACATCGCCTGAAATTGTTGGAAAGTGTTAGTAGAATTACATAAGGTACCACTGCATAAGAAAGGCATACAAAAAAGGTAATCCTGTATTATGGAAGGTACCTATATATTTCATGTTCACTTCCATCTTCCGAACGTTCACAAAATGATCCTGTGCCATTATATATAAATATATAAAAATTATACAATAGACGATGAGAAAGAGAACATATAAAGAAGTGAAGTGATATGGCTCAAACAAATCATAGAAGCAGCAAGACTGCATTAAATTTAGTTGTTAGATGAATTCCAGAATGTGAAGTAGAAAATGACAACCCATTTTCCTAATGGAATTAGGAGCCAGTTGGGCATGTTCTGACATCCTGCAAGAGTCATATCTAACTCCAAAATTTTCTAAGCTTTCTGTGTTGGAATGGCCAGATTGGTCCATCATTTTTTTTTTCCAAGTTCTGTGTACTGAAATGGCCAAATCACTAAAAGATTCAAAACTTTTAGATTTTCGTTTTCATTTTTTTTCATGCTTGGCCAAGCATTTCAACTTGAACGAAATTTGCTGACCAATTCTAAGCATCATAATGTCCATCTCTAGTTTTTTGCCAATGAAAATTATTTAGCATTTGGTAATATATGAATTTAGCAAAAATTAATTCACAATGCTCAATGGTTATTATTCATGAATCCAACAAACTATGCAATTATTGCACGTATTTGGTGCTGGCCTGAACTGGCAGTAAAGGTTAGGCCAAAAATTACAAAACATTTTAAGAAGACATAGATGTTAAGGTAATTTTGCCCGTTTAAAATTAAGACTTGTGTAAAGGAATATTGCTCAAATTTATTGGTATTGATATCGAGTGAGTTTAAAGCAAATAACTAGGTGGTATAGAAAAGCTTCAGTACATGATGTATACATTCATATACAAAAATGTGTAGTTTCAATGCCCAAAAGCCTAGTGACAGAAGAGGCCATGTTACACATTGATGTATATATTCATCAAAATAAAGATCAAGGAAGAGGATGCAACTTTTTATACTCTACCTTAATTTTCTGAGATAACCAAAGACCAACGTCAAGAAGTAGCTTGTTTCCTGATGCATCTTTCTCATATGCTGCATGTGTGCTCTGAGCTACATAGTCCTGCCCAGCTCCTTCTGCTACCACAATGACCAAATGCCCATTTTCCTTAAGCCGTAGCTCAATATATTCAAACAGCCCATCTGGTCCTTCCAGATAGAATGGAGATTCTGGAATCAAGCAACAATCCTATTGCATTCCAAATACTATTAATAGTATTAGTAATACAGGTAACATTAAGGAAACATATTTCAAGCACCAAGTCTTTTCTTTATTTGGATAAGGAAAGAAATTATAGATTTATAATTATAGAAGTAGAAATGGAGCTAAATATATCACTGTGAAAAATATAGTTACAACAGAAAAAGATGCAAAAATTTCATTCACTAATTAAATAGTGAAATACTAAAATTTATCATTCTCATAAAATCCTGCACATCATGATATGCAAATTTTGTAGTAAAGTCTGTCATTATTTTCAAATGATTTTAACACTACTCATCTTGAAGGACTATGTCTATGTGCATAATGAAGATATACTTTAACATGGAAATGGTGAAAAGAGTCTTTTAACAGCTTTTAAACCAGAATGAAAACATACATTGGCAACTGGACATAAAGAAATTAACAGCCCGCACATTTTGAAAGGGCAAAAGGTGAGCACAGAATCATCATGCCACAACTCAACAAAGCACAATGACTAAGTCAATTACATTGTTTGCCAACACCAATTTTTAATCTTAAACCCGTGTGCAAACCAAGTCAGCTAGTCAATAGTAGCTCTTTTCTTTTCCAGTAAGAAGCTTCCTTATTCAATTCATAATATTTGACTCCCTAATGACACCAAAAAGTTTAAAGTGTAAAATCATAAACAACAGGAAGAAGGTTTTACCACATCTCTACTTGCCAAAGTAGCATGTGTGGCGATGAAACCTGCAAAAGTGAAGAGACAAGGCAAGGCAACAAGAGTATAAATGCGATATTGTGACAATTTTAACAGCATAAACATCCATTATTACTGTTCAGAAAACATACCACAGTATCTGCCCATCAGTTTAACTATTCCAACTCCATTTTCCACACTTTCAACCTCCACATGAGCAGCATTAATTGCTCTCTGAGCTTCCTCAACAGCAGTATCAAATCCAAAAGATTTGTCTATCACCTAAGACCACACATATAAAACATATATCATATGTAAGGATTCAATCAAAGTCAGCTCAGCCATCCCTCATGCCCAAATCATTATTAGAAATGTTTCAAGAATAATATGAGAGGCCTTGATACTTGTTTCCAAAGTGTCTTCCAAGGTTTTAATGATGATAAAGAAAGGTTCTGAACAAACATGAAACATGTTTGCAATTCATTCATCAGCATAATACCTTATTTTCACTGATTAAAATTAAAATATGTTTACAGTTGACATGTAAATAAAAGGGAGAGGCTTTTGCAAGCATTTAACTACAAAAGAAGTTTTCTACACATCAATTATTCTGCAAAAAGTTTGAGAAGCAGTAAAGCACCTTGTTTCATCTTCTGCAAGCCCAATCATATGATAGTGCAACTAAGAGAAAAGCTAGCCCATTAAAAGTTGATATATAGGATTGATATATGAATCTAATGCAGTATATGGATATGAAATGATCAATTGATTCTTGAACTGACAGGAAAAACTCAGCTCAACTGAACCAAACATTGGTTACAACTTACCAACCAGTTAGATTCATTACAGGAACACTTTTATTCCATCAAACTGTTCTTTCTGGAATATTTGGAGATCAAATACCTCTTGTAACTTAAACCATTTGTAGCCTATCTTGAATCTTTTGCTAGCATTCAGTTGATGTACATCTTGATTCATCTAAGGTTTTATACTGCACGTGGCCAAACAATACCTTTCCTCAACTGTCTCTAAATTAGCATCAATTTTGCCCATGGTTGTTTGTGGTCATTCCCCATTTTTTATTTAATTCATTACCACATATCCATCTTAATATTCATGTTTCAGACACAATTAGTGTTTACCGTGATTACCAACATCAGAGGGAGAAACCAACATCAGAGGGAGAAAATATAGTGCAGAGAAAATTAACTTTAGCTAACAAGATATTTTCCAGCAAATAAATAAAGGCAAAATCCTAAATACAAACATCTTCTATGAAGGATTACTTTTAAAAAGAGAGAGAATTTTTATTGCAGTGGAATTAAGTTTCCTCCAGGATTCTTAGCATACCTTATTTGGTGCAAAATTGTCTATCTTTGACAATAATTCTCCTTTCTATGTGCAAGTAATAAGATATAAGACAATACAGCTAGAGCTAGAAGCTGCATCAAAAACCTAAATGATGAAGTTGCCACACTTCTTTTGAGTACCTGGTTCAGATGTTTATAGCAGTGGCGAGAACACAAAGATTTACATAATGACTCATGACTAGCCAAATACCTAGATAACTGTGCATGGACTACGTTGTTTTTAACTTTTAAGCATAAAAATTTGAGCATAGTTGATAAAACTTACAGCGATATCATTATCAATTGTCTTGGGGATACCAGCAACTGCCACTCGAAGACCACGTTTCTCAACTTCCTTAAAAAAGAAGTACAAAGAAAACACAAGTCACAGAAAATAAAAATGAGAAAGCATGCCAATCTCATGTCATACCAAAATGAAGCATGCCTTATCAGAAGCAAACTAACGGAGAAAAAATTCCTCTGTTAGGAATTATTCACCTTGTAGATTAGTGCTGCTCCTTTCTGGGTGCCATCACCTCCAATAATATATACCTAGAGTGCATAAAGGTTAGTTTATCTTATAATTCTTATTCCTTTCTCTCCCTCTCCCCTTTTTTGTTCCCTGAAAAAATTCAAGTACCCCAAAATATGCACAAGAAACGTATATCCACCTGATTTATTCCCCTATCCTGAATACTATCAACTATCTTGTGGGTATCATGACCTCCTCTAGAGGTGCGAAGAAAGGTGCCACCGCGTTTATGTATGTCATTTACAACTTTAGGAGTCAACGTCAAGGTGTTTTTGGAGTAGAAACCTCTATAACCTCCCTGGATGTTTCAAAGGGAGAACAAAAAAAAAAAAAAAAAAAAAAAAAACCTCTATAACCTCCCTGGATGTTTTCAAAGGGAAGAACAAAAAAAAAAAAAAAAAAAAAAAAAAAAGAGAAATAGAGAGAGAGAAGGTAAATTGATGTCAATCAAACAAGAAGAACCACAAAATAGCCATTTAGGCCCAATTGCAAAACTCACCTCAATTTGCCGGAGCACATTTATCGACACCATACATATAGTTCAAATCCACAACTATCGTTCCCGGGATGAACCGGATTGATCCCGGACACAAACCCCACAGTCACATACAAGCACCCCACTTCCTCAGGCGTAAAATAGACCTACCACCAAAATTCTCTATAAAATAATATTTATCACTTAGCAATTTCAAGAGGGACGTTTAAGTAAAAAAAAAAAAAAAAAAAAAAAAAAAAAAAAGAAGAGATAGAGAGAGAGAAGGTAAATTGAGCAATCAAACAAGAAGAACCACAAAATAGCCATTTAGGCCAATGAAACTCACCTCAATGCCGAGCACATTATCGACACCATACATATAGTTCAATCCACAGACTATCTCCCGGATGACCGTATTGATTCCCGGACACAAACCCCCACAAGTCACAATACAAGCACGCACTTCCTCAGGCGTAAAATAGACCTACCACCAAAATCTCTATATCTATTATCACTTACAATTTCAAGAGGACGTTAAGTAAATTCAGTTAGAAGAGGGTACCTTCTCGCGAGGCCCTGCACGCCTAAAATGCACTCCTCTGGGACTGTTTCTCTGTACAACAATCTGAAGGCAAACAATAAATAGAGCTCAGAAAGACCCATCGAAATTTAGTAAAAATGCGTTCTCTACTTACCTTTTGCGCAACCACATCTTCTGATGTAACGAAACTTTGCCTGGACAAGAAAAAAATTATTAAGAATGTAAAATTTATCAGCCAAGGTTTTAAACTTTGGTTTCCAAAGAGCCAGTGAAATGAATACACATACTTGACAATGGCATATGCTTGACTCTTCTTCAATGGATTTGAATACGACTGGAAGAAGACGAGATAAAGAAGTAAGACCATCACAAGCACAAATCACAGCACAATATAATAGATAAAGGAGATATTGAAGAGTGAAATTACCGCTAAATCAGGGAGGAAATCAGTCAAGTGAGGGACATCTTCAAGGACAAAGACATCGTCAACATTACCGCTGGAAATCTGAGATCTGAGATAGTTACAATTTTGGCGCCAAGACAAGGATTTTGAGGGGAACTTTCTGGATTTGAGATTGAAGTAGCTATTAATCGGAAATGATCTCAGTTTCTGGAAGTTCGAAGGAAACAAAGGATGAAGGAGAGAGTGCGAAGAGAAGGTTTCAAAAAAAGATGAAGGGATTGACAGATCCATCTGAGCAAGCTAATAATCACTATTTGTGAAGAGAATTAAAAGAATGGAAATCACTGTAGAGAAAGGAAGTTATGTCTCTACGCCCCCAATAATTCTGGGCACCTAGTTATGCTTTGCTACATATCAGCTCTCTGCCAGTCAAATCAAGACAAGCGTACTGTTTGTGCTGAATTAAACTGTTAAATCAGTCAACAGTCTCTTACAGATTAAAAAAAAAAAAAATCTGAAAGTTTGGAATGTTTCCCCAAGATTAAAAAAAATTAATTATAGATATTGGTGACATTAGAGTTAACTTTTTCCCCCAACAAAATTACCTTCTCTCTCCAAAACTTAGCAACCGAAAGAAAAGTATTTCAACACAGAAATTAGGTTATAAATCGAATCGCCCTGAAGAACTTTTGTTCTGCAATTTGTTTCTGCTTCCCAAAGACTACGACCAGAAACAAACTTTGATTTGTTAAATGAGGGAGGATGAATAACTAGTAATATAGGAAATTTCATTTGCGATGAGGAGGAAGCTGCGATATAATAGTGATCGGCGCATAACGTTATTCAGAAATTTGATTGCGGAAAATCGGAGGAATTTGCGAAATCGGAGGTCAAAATTGAATCAGGCGCGAATAGTTGTCTTGCGAAAAAGAATTGATGTCGTAGCAATGAGCACGTTTCGAATAGTAACTGAGACGCGTGGTAATTGATGACATGGATTAGGCAGAAGTCGTATGATGTGTGAGGAAAATGAAAATGTGGCAATTCTTTTTTTCGGGCTGCATGGGAAATTTCTCCTGTTTTGGTAACGGATGACGTGGAGTAAAGATACACCTGGTGTTATTTGCTGATGTGGTGTGTGATGACATGGACAAAGAAGTAGACATCCTAATTAATTGTTGATGTGGCTGCTAATGACATGGAACAGAGAACACGTGGCAACACTTGGATGACATGAATCGAAAGCACATCTAACAAGAAGAAAATACTTTTTTTTGTGCAAATTATTGTCAGAGATTTACAGTGTTTATAGAGGAAAGTATTTTTTCTGACAGTATACAATTTATGATGATCTAGTATATGGTGATAATTAACATGTTATATAGTTCTCTCTTTTAACTCAAACACAAGGATATTGTCACAAAACCCGATTGAAAGAGAAGTCCCCTGGCTTCAATGCATGGTTAAGCTCTCATCTGATGAAGCGGATCTCACTTCCTTACTCATTTATATTACTGCACAGTGCAGTTCAACTGTAATCAGTTTGAAATGCACCGTACCGTTTAAGAAAATTACAACACCCCTAAGTGCATCCAAAGTTGCATTGAAAAAGAAGGGAAAAAAAAAAAGAGAGAAGGGATGCGGCACAGAATTTGTCATTTGACGCATTTATTGATATTTTTGGTTTTATGTAATTACAAGTAGCAATGAATGAATAAAATTTCCCTTAGTTACTGATTATAGTCACAGATTGTCGTGTTCTCCTTCACCAAGAAAGTAGACAAACTTCAACCTGCAACCATCGAGGGACTGATTTCAGCAGAGTACTCGTTGTACCTCACTATATAAGATCTTGCATCCAATGGTAAATGTGTTACATCTAGGAGGCATTTGTCTCTAAAGAAGGAAGTGGTCAATCATATGTTGTATGACGTCTGCACCTTCTATATGCATGATCTGATCCTTGACCTGCAAAGCATCCGGAATGTTTGTTCATTCAGAAATGATATAATGAAGTTCCTTTTATGTGTTTTGGTTGCACCTAAGCCTACAGAGTAGAGGCAACATTATTATACCGAGAAATGATTTCCATTTTAACATCAGTACTGCAATCAAAATAAAAAATGTGAACATGCAACTTCCAGTGCAAACAACCGTATGTACATGTATGCATCTATTTGTTTAACCATGTTTCTCAGTTTGTGCATCATATGAGAGAGAAGCAGAAAGCATGTGAAGAAACCTGTATGACGCTATGAGCGGCAAATCTATTTCTGCAGGTGTGGAAGCTAACATCTACTTTTTCCCAGGACACACGGGATAGGCCAGTTACTAATTCCTCTGCGCAAAAAAATTCCAATTAACCATCCATTAGAAGCATACATGATACACCATTGGAAGGGGGAAAAGAGCAGTCAAATATGATAGAAATGTATATGAAATGTCTTCATTTGTTGAATTGGTGAAAGGGAAAGGAAGCTAGCATAAACAAGCAAAGTGGTTGACATTGTTAGCTTCTATTTGGTGAGTCGTAATGGAATAGAAAGTAATGTAATTTAGTCACGTCTATTCCTACTGCAATGTTTATACTAGAATTCTGGAAATGCATTTGATTACATTAACTTCCATTATGGCTTACCAAACAGAGCCGTAGTTTCATTGGCACATACCTTCTAGCTTGTCAAAGCTATTATCTTCTGTCGAAATAAGATCAGATTGTTCAACATCATAGGCTTTGCAGCGTTCTTCATATACAATATGTGGATATTTTTCATTCACATAATACTCCCACTGACATACAAGAAATGTCGATAAATTCCAGAAGAAAGTCAAAATTTCAAAACATCAAATATTTTAAATAAACACACAAAGTTCCAGCACACGTACTTTCGGCAATTCATTGTTACGCCTAATCGATGATGTTCTCCAGCCCACTATATCTGTATGGTTTTTCATAAAGGAAACAGAAAAAAAATGACAACTAGAAAATTTCAGACCACACATGAATAATATTATTATAAGCACTTAAAATGAATTAAGGATACGGTCATAGCCCACATTTGAATACACAACACGACGTTTGAAAGTACGCAATGCAGACCTGCATATTGTGTTAGATGCTTTTGTTAAATTACATATATGAAAATAGAGATGACACCTTAAAAACATCAATGTCAATAAAGCAATTCATAGCAATTGGATCCAAAAGGCATACATGAAAAAACAATCACCATAATCTTCTATCATGCGTTGAAGCAATGGAGGTTTCCCCTCATCATCATCAGTAAGAAAAAGGTGTCGACCTGTTCTCTTAAATATCCAATGAATAACAAGAACTGCAGCTTTCTCAAAGGCGGGTACACCAAAGAGAAAAGGTACCTGCAAATGGATGATTTTTGAACAAAATAGATACATTGATTATAATGTAGTCCACAAAAATCTATGAATAATGATTAAGATATAGCAGTTTACATGAAATAGCATTTACATTCCAATAATTAGTAAGAAAATGGATTGTAAATTTAAAATGCATTGCAAAGAAGTAACACTAACTGCTGATACAAATCCATAAGTGATATCAACCATATTTGTAAATGATTTGGGTACCAATGTTGTCCTTGCCCCAAGGGGCAACAATGGAGCATAATTAGGTCCTCTTAACTATCCTTCCAATAAGATATCACCAGACTTGTCTAACCAATTAAAATTACCTAACACGATCATCATGATTTCTAAGTCCACTTCAAGAAAAATGAACTCTGCTCTAATTGGGCAAGAGAGAAGGAGAAGTTCTAACATGAATTCCTCTTCACGTAAAGCAGGCGAAAGATAAAACTCCAAGCTAGCAAGCAAGCTGACAGCATAGTAATCTACAACAAAGAGATCCTCATGCTGGATTACTGTTAAACTTATTATCTTTCTCCCATGAAAGTGTTTCTCTTCTTACCATCAAGGTTTTATGTGATATGAATTCAGGAACTAAGCCAACCGCAGTCCATATTCTCAAAGATAATACTATGGAAGCAATTGAGAATCACTTTACATTCTTTTAGCCCAGAATTCAGAATAATCTACTTATAAACCATTGGATTTTTTCTTCTTTCTTTTATAGTATCAAAGAATTTCAAATTACTCCATCCCTTTCTCTAAAGCGGACAAATTTTTGTGCAATCAACTTCATCATATGTTTTCTCAAGTCTTATAGAGCGTATTGATCATGTTTGAAACTTTAGATGAACAGAAATAGTTAAGATATCATACCTGTTTATTCCCTCTTGAGCCAAGGTGAGGCGTAGCAACAGTGATGAAGTTCATAGCCTCCAAACCACCTACTGTAGCCCTTAAGGTCTCTCCATTTGTATTATTTGTCAAATCATCTGCATTTTTCTCCTGGGGTGGTCTATACAATCTCCCAATCGCATATCTTGCAACAAGTCCTCCCACAGAATGAGCAACAAAGGAAATCTTTCGTAAATTTGGCTTTCTCTGAATCACTTCAAGTACCTGGAATTCATACATTCAGTTAGAAACAAGACAAACTGTGTGGCAGATGCACTTGATTTTAAAGTACTCGGATTTGGTAATTAGCAATAGTTAGAGCATGAAGTAAACATGCATCCCATATTCCATAACATTAACAAAATACCAACCTCCTCAGCCAACCGCTCGCCCATTACATCCACACCATCTAGAGTCAGCCGCGACATATTTCGTTCACTACCTATAATTCAAATAAACCAATCTTAGTATTCCATTCTTAGGGGGAAAACAGCAGCAATAAAACAAAATTTGCTTTAAATTTAAACTCAAACCCAACAAAAGAATTAATGCCAACTAAATAGGTTTTCTTTATAATTATATAATTCAGAACACCAAATACTCCTTACAATGAACAATCACTTTGTCTGGAAGATTTCGAACAAACTGCTCAGCTGCAAACTTCCAATCAGAAGCACTGCACAGAATTGCGTAAATACAGTCAGCAAATAACATAAGCATAGAGTCCTCAGCTGAGAAGATAAAACATGCTTCGCTGTTGAGATAGAGGAGAAAAGGGGAAATCAGAGTCTTAAATTCAATAATTTACAGTAACTGAGATTGAACAAAACAATACACTGCACAAATTAGGTGTTAAAATTTGACTTCATAATTTGCAAGTTCCATAAATTATGAAGTCATATGATAAAATAAGCCTCGAAGAATGTTTCAGATTGTCATTCATGAAAAAACAAAGTTAAAGCAATCTAATCCTGGAAAATCAAGCAATTAACTTGTGTTCATTAAATAAAGCCAAAATAAAAACAAATCCCTGAAAAGAAAATCAAAACAATAAATGAATATCAATAAATTTTAGAATCTGACCTTCCAAGAATCCCGTGGACCATGATAACGAGATGATCAGCAGAAGAAGAGTCAGAATCCTTACAACTCCACACATCGCAGCTTCCATTGACCGACTCCGAGGAGCAAACTCCGTTGTCTAAGCTTCCGCTTTGTAGAGTACCATTCCTTCCGTTCTCCATAGTTGCTTCGATTTTCACTTCTGTCGCTCTCAGGTCAGCTAATTAGGCATTTGAATTTGAAATCAAGAACTATAAAATCAATTGAGAGGTGTTTGACTTTGTTGAGGAATTCTCTTGAAAATTGAAGAGCTTGGATGGTTCGTTGGAACTATGGAAAAAGAGAGAGAAATGCCAGAGAGCTAAGAAAGCTAAAAGCGAAGCGAAAAGCCTACCAACTGAAAAAAAGTCGTATTGTAGCGGATCATTTCCTGCGTTGGGTCCGGTTATCCGTGACAGTACTCCACGTCAGCATTTTATTTTATTTTTTCCCTTTTATCCAATTTGCAATTTGTAGCTGATTAATCATTTAACTGTAACTATTGCTGTCCAATAATAGAAAGTCCGGTAGCATACATAGCATGGGATTTGGATGAGTATTTTTTAGATTTTTTTTTTAAAAGGGTATCTTTTTAGATTATTGCTTATAATTTTTTTTTTCTGATTTAACTTGTATTAAGATTAAGAAATTTTAATTATTATAATTTTTCTTTATTTTTTTTATATACTCTTATATAGTATTCCATTCAAATTAGATAATTTATATCAAATTGCTCTTACAATAAATTAAATTATAATTAAATATTTAATTAAGTAAATTTTTCTTAAAAGATTAAATATTTATATTTTATTTTTATTTATATCAATATTTAATCAATAATTATATAGTAATAGTAAATTTTAATATTATTTACCTATAAATAATCAAACATGACAATAATTTGAAACAAATGAAAATGAAAAATAATCTTAAAATAAAAAGGATAGGACAAAAAAAATTATGAAACAGATCATTCAAATTTGTTTAAAATTTTGTGTAAGTGTCAGCACGTCGGTGCGGCGCGTCGATGGTCGGTAACTCTGATTAGTTTAATCTGATATTGAATGATGATGATGTGCTTAAAAAATTACCGACGTTTCGCTATCCTCTTTCAGTCCTCCTTGTTCAGCCTCTCCAGCGGCGGAGGGAAAGAGGCCGCCTCAAATTTTCTTTTTAATTTACTTTATTATAAATTGTTGATTTTTTGATATTTTGTCTAATTTTACAATAAAAAAAAAAAAAATCAGCCTTCTAGTATAGTATCTTGGCTCCGTCACTGTTAATTATCGCTGATTCGATTAATGCTTTAATATGCAGTTTAAACGAAAGAGAAGTGCAAGGGAAGGATTCAAGTGAGGAAATCCTATGGCGTCAGCTGTGGAGTGCAGATATGGATGTGATGATTGAAAGATTATCAAGCAATAGCAAAGACCTGTCGAAACTTGCAAGAAAGCTCCTGCGGTTCATTTCAAGCAACAAACTAAAATTTGGGCTTCAAAAACCTGCAAATAATGTTTCTATTCTAGAGCAGAGGTGAGAAGACTGAACAGCGTTAATATGCTGATGTTGAAATCCATTTATGTCCCAACAAATGGGAAAACGACATTTATGAGCCCACAAAACTCAGTATAGATAGAGTTATCCTTTTCTTAATTACTTTGCCTAACTGATTGTCCCCAGTGAATGGTGTTTTCTTCCACACCTTTCTATTTCAGAGTTCCCTTTCCCTACTGTAAAGTTGAAATGAATTCACATGCCTCACCCACAATATTTGTTCTATAGTTTCTGGTTCTTTCTTTAGCTTTAAAGATAAAGAAATTCCAATTTAAGTAAGGAAAAGTGAGAATCAATTGTTTTTGTACCAGTTTAACCAAATTATATAAGCAGTTCCAAGAAAATTTAATTTTCTTTAAAAAAACTATAATTCTATTATTATTCTGAAAAAACTCATCTAAATCTCAAGATTTACTATGTTCTAAGATGATACCCATTGATAGGATTCGTGAAGATGGAACTCTATGATCAAGAACTTAAGATGTATACTGTAAGTATTAAACCTCGAAAGTCTAAACTGAACATATACAGAGTTTTATTTGCTGTCTAAGTCTGAACCTTTGCACAAGAAGATGTTGATTAATGCAACCCAAAGGGATGGGATGATGATTATAAGCCATGCCCAATTCCTGTATTTCCGAAAGCTTCAACACTTGGATGATCCGGGTCAAAACTGTTAGCACTAAGGTGACACTTTACGTGAAGCTTCTAGACTTCCCTAGATTCAACCAAACTGCTAGATCATGCTTCAATTCATCCTGGAGCTGGACTATATCAGAAAACTTCTCTTCGGCTTTGGATAACAGGGACCAGAACTTAAAGCAGCAAAAACATCACCATTTGGAATGGAACTACTACCAGAATTAACAGGCTTCCAATTGGTGGTGTTCGAGGTTCCGGAGCACAATTTTTGCAAAAACTTTGGCTTCAACAGGACCACTTGCAGCAGCAGCAGTAGCTCGTAAGGTCCTTGGTGCTCCTGCATTCTGTAAAAGGCTTGCGTGATGAAGCGCATGTCGTCCTCCAGGCATGGTGAACTGCAGTGATGAGAAAAACATTGTTTTTTATCATGATGGCTTCCAGTTCCACCAAATTTCTTAAGGGACCAACTTAAAATTTCTAATTGTAACATGTGCAATGTAAAATGGCAAGAGCAAGAGGTTGGCTTACTTGCAGAAGTGCAAAAGCAGAGCACGCCTTGAGTATAGAAGATTGATTCCGTAACATGGCAACAAATCTTCCAATCTCTGCCGCACTGAAAAGAAGATTAAAAAAAAACAAAAGAGATAAAGATGTGAAGTTAAGGTCAACAATTGAGCAGCTTAAATGACAACTTATGAATAAGTTTCTGATAGTCTTACTGCAATGCAGCAAGCAGTGATGAAAATTATTTTAGGAAGGACAATTGCCACATGCATTACAAAATTCAAATGGTTTTTCCAAAATTTTCTGTGCAGAGATCCTAAATCAAGCCCATCCACTGGAAAAGGCCAACAGTTCTACCACCGGAAGAAAACAGACATACTATTCATTCATCTAAAGTTTAAAAGCATGGATCAGATTCAACTGAAAAGCATACAAGGGAGCACGCAAAGGAAAAATGGGATTTCTACTCTGTTAATTCATGATATATTCCAGATAATGTTTACCAAGTTCTGTACTTACATATCTCAGATAAAATACTTCTTAATTGCAGATGAATGAAAATGCAACAACAGAATTTTATCTAAATGTTTCCCATTGTCCAGTTATATACACAGGCCATGAACTATAACTTTCAGTTATTATCAATATGTTTGTTCCTTGCAGTTACACTAATAACATTGTATGAAACTCCAAACTTGCATTAAGAAGGAGGAGGAATCATGACAAAAAAGAAACCTGCATCTCAGGAGCCCAGCTTCTGGTATCCGTGCTGCTTCCGCTACTTGTGAAAGAGCATTTGGGGTAGATGATACAACCACAGAGGCAAGGGTTTGTGAATCAGAAAATGAACGCACAAATCCTTCCACGTGTTTCAGGGAAATCCTTTTAATAACATCTAAGCTCATAAACTTTGAAGCACCTTCTGTTAAAGGTCCTGCAGCTACAATTTCATCCATTCTGCATATAACACATTCACTCTCAAAAACTTTTGGATAAGCAGACACGGAAAAATTGCCATCCTATTTATTAACCAACAAGTTGATCCCATAGTAAACAGCAGGGCACCTGTGCTAATCTCCAGCACGCGTTAATTCACTAAGAAACATTTGTGTTTAGTGTATGTTTGTAACAGATAACAAGAATTTTGAATTTTACCTCCTGTCGAAAATGTATGCCAGTGCCAATGCGGCCATAAAACGTGCCATTTTTGAAAGTGAAGAAGTACAAAGATGAACAAGGGCTGGAACTCCTCCATCTTCCGCTATGCGACGTGCATTACCAGGATTAAAAGCCAGATTCCAAATAGCCCCTGCTGCAGTCTCATGGACATCCTGGCGATTGAATCATTTCATATTTATTTCATCTTTAAGTTAAACTAAAAGTCTGGCAGCAGGCTTCTCCAGTTAAAGAAAAATTAGAGTTTTCCAAATCCCCCCTCTAAAATAATAAAAGCCAATAGTAGGACAAAAAAATAAATAAACAGAAAACAGAAAATTGATTAATTTGTTTGGGTATCTCCCAAAACCGAAATAAAAGTGAGGACTTGTTTAGTCCTTTTTCCCCATTTATCAATCAATAATTTAGTATGATAGTAGCACATAAAATTGAAAAAAAAAAAAAAAATCAAGAACGTTACAATTCACCAGCGTTCCAGGTTTTATTGAATATAACAAGCATGATGAACTCAAGAACAAAAATTCCTAAATGATACTGATGATTCTAGTTAATCTAAACAAGTAGTGAACTTACTGCAACATCTGAGCGAGCTAACGCAATAAGTGGAGCTACACCGCCAACTTGTCCAATAGCAACACTAAGTTAATATGAAACAAAAACAATATATTAGCAAATGTGGAACATATAGAAAACAAGCAACTTTTCCTATCAAGACTGTTAGCCGAGATTAAAATATTATCAAATGAGTTTATGAAATACAATAGGGGAATGGAAAATGAGGACAGCCTTTTGTTCGGAGTTCAGGCATCATATATTTTAACTTTGTAATTTTTTTAACATTTCTAATTTTCTTTTAAATTACACTTGTTTACAGGTAAGGGAAAACTGCGAATCAAAAGTTCAGAGAAGGCAAACCATGCATTTACAATTGCAATAGAGGAGTTGTAATGTTTCAAATTCAATCTTAACATTGCCTTCATTAAAATGAAAAGGACTAGAGGCAAGGATCTCTAAATTCAAGGCAACCAAAGCAAGACTGAGAAATTTTATATTTCATAAGGTGTAACTCAGAGCAGCATCATATTAACAAGAACTCGTTACCTGTTAGCTTCTGATACTGACAATCCCCACAGAGCACCTGCAGCCCTTTCTTGAAGACCCTGGGAGGAATTCGAGCAAGATTGTGCGAGAGAAACCTAAAACCACAAATGCACTAAACATCAACTATTGTTCATAAATGCATATGACACCATCCCAAGCCCCAAATATTATTTTAACATTTTTTTTACTTTTCTAAAAGAAACATGCATTAATATTGCAGTTAATGCCTGGTTAGACCAGAGTGTCATATTGACAATCTCAATTAGACCGATGACAACCACCATTCAAACTTAATTTTTAAGTGTCTCCAGAAAAATATAATGTGAAACAAAAGAAAACAGAGAAAAGGAGATGAAATTTGTACCAACGGTAGAAAAACAACAGAAACAAAATCATATATTGGGAGACCCTCAATGCTTGAAAGCATGTAGTATATTTTGGTGCTTTTTCTTTACTAAAAACCATTCCTACAATAAAGACCAAGATTTTGATAGTTTAGTTTTGATATATCAAATGAGTGTTCCTAATGCATAAGGCTCCCTGCTTTGTGATAGAGGGGAGGACCATCTTTTGTAAGCACCAAGTGTGAAGCAAGAAAAATTATATATATAAAAATGATTACAAGAATTGGAATAAGATTTTCCGTGCAATTGTAATGCCATACCAAAGCCACGATACCACCAGCTGCTGCTATCGCTTCTCGATTTTTGTCATCAAATGATAAATTCCACAGAGCACCAGCAGCCTCATGCCTGTTTATGGTCATAAAAATTCAAAAAAGAAAAAGTTGCAATATTAGTAGCACACTAAGTTGTGAAAAGAATTAACATTCTATGGCATTACAACAACAACAGCTACGCCTTAGTTCCAAACTAGTAGGGGTCGGCTATATAAATCCATATCTCCAAAATCCATTCTGATCAAATTAATATCAACATAAAGCAAAGTACAAGTCAGAAAAAAATTTGAAATACTTTTTGTAGAAAAAAGTTTTGAAGGGAAAATATTTGAAAATGAACTGAACTTCAAGATCATAGTTAAATTATGAGCCTATTATGCGTTAAATATTTTAAAATGGAAAAAATTTAGCACAAAGACATTGCTAAAGGAGAAGGTTGAATTAACTTGCATTATCTGAAATACATAAGCTATTTGGTTATTGATTTGAGCAAGACATTTGCCATTACTATAATATTCATACTGCAGGTAATAAGAAGAAATATAAATTACCTTACACCTTCATGTTGAGAACAAGTTAGTTGGACCAACGCTTCCAGTGCACCTGCCTCTTGGCCAACAGCAGCATTATTAATATTGCTATCTCCATGAGCAGCCAAATTTGCCAATGCACGAGCAGCCTAGTTGAGAAGATAAGAACATGTGAATGTCACATGTCATATTTAGGGTTCTCTTTCAATCTGGTAGATTAATCATATACCATTGCCAGGAAAAAGGCTGTTTATCCATCTTTGAAATGTCAACACATGGAACTTTCAGTAGTTCCACTGGTTTTTTCTTTTCTAATAAAAAAAATTGCTACTTTTTAAAAAAATATTAAAAAATAATAATTCACCAAAATAGCAGTTCCACGATTTATAATAGATATGTAACAAAGAGGTCCACAATTCTGTTTTGAATAAAGGAAAAGAACCCAAGAAGACAATTGTAGTCCTTTCTTCCTGTTTTCTGGGGTGGAGAAGGAAGCAATGGCATCATGGATCTTGGAAAGACACTTTTAAACTAACAGAAAGAATTTTTGGGGCTAGATTAGCATGATTCAAGAGATATAAGCAAAAAAGTTTCATGGTTCTAAAGGAGTATAGAAGGATAGGAAATCTAGCTTCGAAGAAGATAAGTTGGGCATTATGTTCAGGGAATTTAGCGAGGACTCGCTTCACAAATGTATTCTAACTGTAGAAACATTTCAACATAGAAAAGAGGTCACAGTTCTGATATCCATTTCATTGATTAATGAAACTTTGCCTGGTATAGCCTTCAGACAAAATGAATTTTCCGTTATGATATTAACCCAAGAAACTTTTCTAACAAGTGTGGATTACAAAGGTACTGAGTGGCTTATTTTGCATGGCAAAAGATGACAAATACTAATGTCAATGCAACCAATCCACCGGCAGCAAAAGTGGAAAGCACACAATAGTATTCATTACCATGATCTGATACTGAGAATGCCATGTTCACTTAGGTACTTCAATTGGATAAGCATTGTTTTAAAGGTGAAAATCAGGGGGCATACCTAATATCTTCATTACCATGATCTGATAGTGAGAATGTCCTGTTTTCTGGGTGGGAGAAGGAAGCAATGCATCAATGCGAATCTTGGAAAAGACACTTTTAAACTACACAGAAAAGAATTTTTGAGGGCTAGATTAGCATGATTTATCAAGAGATTAAGCCCAAAAAAAGGTTTCATAGGTTCTAAAGGAGTATTAGAGGATTAAGGAAATCTAGAAACTTCGAAGGAAAGATAAGCTTGGGGCATTATGGTCAGAGAAATTATTAGCGAGGAACTCGCTTACACAAATGATTCTAACTGTAGAAACATTTTTCAACATAGAAAAGACGGTCACAAGTTCTAGATAATCCATTTCAATTGATTAATGAAACTTTGCCTGGTATAGCCTTCAGACAAAAGAATTTCTCCGTTATGATATTAACCCAAGAAAACTTGTGTCTAACAGTGTGGATTTACAAAAGGTAACTGAGTGGCTTAATTTTGCATGGCAAAAGATGACCAAATACTAACTGTCAATTGCCCAACCATTCCACCGGCAGCAAAAGTGGAAAGCACACCAATAGTATGCATTACACACAATAGTATTCATTACCATGATCTGATACTGAGAATGCCATGTTCACTTAGGTACTTCAATTGGATAAGCATTGTTTTAAAGGTGAAAATCAGGGGGCATACCTAATATCTTCATTACCATGATCTGATAGTGAGAATGCCGTGTTCGCCTAGGTACTTCAATTGGATAAGCATTATTTTAAAGGTGAAAATCAGGGGCATACCAAATATCTTCTGTTGCAAAACTCTTTTTAATAATACCAATGCATAATCTCTTGAAGAAGATCAAAAATAGCCTACTTCATTACAAAAAAAAGCAACAACCAGAAAGCTCCAAGTTCATCAACTCCATTCAAATGGCATACAAAAGTAGGTAACAAACAATATAAACAAAGTACATGTTCATTCTATTCATTCAGGTATTATAAAAATGATTATAGTATGTATATTAGAAGCTTAACTAGTATCACCTGCTCTTGCACTCCTTCAAACTTGCAGGACTTAGCAAGCATTACTAGAGCACGGACACCACCAGCCAATGCTACTTCCATGCTGCACTTGTCATCAGCAGCCAAATTTGCAAGCGCCCCAGCTGCACGTTCCTGAGAACAAGCACCAATATGGGCTCACATTTAGCCTTGCAATGCTGTGATAGTCATAGAATCATAAATTCATAAGCATAATCCCAAGCTTACAAGAACTCCATCGCTACTAGAAGGCCATTTGAAAATAAGATCAACCAAAGCTTTTATGCCACCAGCCTCAGCAATGGCAGCCTATAAACAAAATGGAGTAAATGAAGCTGTCACTTTTGAGTTCAATAAATAAGAAGACCACTTTAATTTGAATAACCTTGTGCTCTTCTCCAACAGAAAGATTCCATAGGCCTCCGGCAGCCTCTTCAGCAACCAATCTATTCATTGACCTAGCTAAATCGGCAAGGATATAAATTCCACCAATTTCAGCAACAGCCTTTGCTACTTTTGAATCGACAGATAAATTTGCTATTGCCTGCAAATCTCAACATTTTAACAGAAGGGTCAAGTAAGATTTTCAACTAGTAGGAAATCAAAATGACATGATGAGGATCATATAAGAATCAGAATTTATGCAGTGGGTACAAAAGATATTTCTGAAACCAAATTTGGCCTCAAGTCATTTCTAAAATCTCTCTCAATTTTTCCATTTGAAAATTTGCTACAAATTGTCAATAATGTTAAGAGAGATTATGATTCAAATTCCAGAGTGATTAAGGACCAATGCCTAAATACATTATCCTTACCTTTGCTGCTTCAGATTGAAGTCCCTCTTGACAAGATTTTCCAAGGTCCAAAAGCAACTTTATTCCACCATTCCGCATAAATGCCTCAGCCCTTCGACAATCAATAGTGGCATTTTCATCATCAATGACAACAAAAGTTGCAACAGCAGTAGCTGCTCTTTCTTGAACATCTTCTTCTGAGCTTTGCAATAAATGAAGCAATAATTCTGCCCCTTGCTTGACCCAGAAAAGATCAAGCTCCTTTGGATTGTTCTCTGCAATACGTAAAAGCGAATGCGAGAGTACCCATTCAATCCACAAGACAATCTCATCTAAGCTTCTATCCATGATCTTTAATTTCTTCCAAGAAGAGAAAATTTTGCTTTCATTTTCAGTTGCATCCGCAAATAAAGAGGTTATTGCCTTGGAAATGTCATTAAAAACAGTTAGCAATATTTTACCCTTATGAATGTATACCATGTCATTATCAACTTCAGCTTCAAAAACTGGACAGTTCAAGGCAAACAATACTTTAAGTTTTTCTGATGATGACAGTATTCTCCTGATAGAACTCAAACTTATATCTGTTCTTGACACATCTAACCCCACCAAATAGGGTAATTTACTCCAAACTTGCGAGGCAAAACCCCATTTGAGGTTTCTTGTTCCAGCAACTGACAGAAATCGAACGGAAGCCAGGTTTCCCAATGCCACTTCATCAACAGCATCTGATTCCATGAATGCAACATCTAGCAAATTCCTGCAGTGCCTAGCTAGAGAATTTATGGCGTCTTTGCTAACTTCTCTGACACCTGAAAGCTGAAGCCTTCTCAACAAAGGGCAGCAAAGGGCTATTGCTTTGATTGCATCACTGCTGATTCTTTCACAAGCATTTGATCCAAGTTTGAGGCTCTCGAGCATCTCATGACGAGCTGCTATGATTGAAATCGTAGCATCTGTAATATCCCGACAGAAATCACCACTGATTTCACGAAGTTCCCTAGCTTGAAGACTAATTATTGCATCAGCAGACTCTGCTCCACGAAACCTGAGCTTCCGGATATTTTTGGATCGAGATTTAAGTGACTCAGCTGCTTCAATGTCAAACTTATGAGACCGGAGGTCAAGTGAATCCCATAAACAAGGGGAGGAACCTAATGATCTAAATGTTCGACATGTTGATGACAAGCTAGCTCGGTCTCGATAATTCAAATAAGAAAAGAGTTGAATAGCTGTGTCATCAGGCAAAGTTGTCCAATCAAGGTCACCTATAGTATTCAAATGCAAACGTCCGCCATCTGTAATCTCTGAATTACTGCCTACAATTTCCTTGTTTTTGCCCAAGTGTGACAATTTCCTCCTCACCCTTCTTGTCATAGCTCAATCAAATTAGCTCTAACGTAGTGATCACCAGAAACCCTTTTGTAGGAAAACCTTCAATTTAAGATACGTGCAACTCGTCAATCAAACAAGCTTCAATTTTTTTAACCAATGCAGGCCAACAACAGCCAATTTATGAACCCATTAAAAAAAAACAACTAACCATGAAAGGACGCTCCTTTCCTAGTGTCGGATGAACAGCCTTCAATACATGAAAGGAATTCAAATATTCAATCAAACAAACTCGAATTTTTCAGGTAGTCAATATCTAGCATTGGGCAATTCTGATATTTAAGGAAGCAAATATTCAATGAAACAAACTTCAATTCAACAATCACGACAAGCTCAAAACTCAGAAATCAATGATTTAATCAAGCAACAATATTGAAGCAGAAAAAAAAAATTACAACCTGAAAAATATTTTAGATAAAAGCCAACCATCATCAAATACACCGAAAATTGAAACATAAACGAGTAATGATACCCGTATAGGCTCTGATAGTTGTTAGAGTCTACTGGGTTGGTCTTTTGAAGAGACCTTTATCCCTGTAAATATAACAAAAGCCGAATGGCGGTTAAAGTGTAAAAAGAAAGGTGTAAAATTGAAGGTTTGGATCATCTGCTTCTGATGGGTTCCTCTATAGAGACAAAAACCTTTGGCATACATTGAAGGGATTCACTTTCTCAATTGTTTGTTTATATGGAATGTGTTTACCATGGCCATGTGATTTTAGCAAATTTATAAGCTTATTATCACTTTCTCAAATATTTCTTTTTTTTTATTATTATTTCTCTATAATGAATGTAACTTAATTATTACCAAGTTTAAACATTTCAGAAACTAATAATTTGAAAATTATGGAAAATAATAATAATAATAATAATAATAATTTGAAAACATGGAAAATAATATTATTGATTAAAAATATTTGAAATATTTTTTTTAAAGATTTGAGAGAATATTTTGAATATATTAAACATACTTGAAAGAATGTACTCTTAAAATTATTATAGAAAGAGATTTAATTTTAATATATTTAGGCACTCTTTTTCAATTTGGTGTGTATATAATGTGACTATTTTTCGATAATGAATGATAGTAAAGTTATTTCTTATCATTGTATAGCTTAATCCAAATATTCTTTTTTATTTGAATACAAAAGTGCATTAATTAAATATAAAATAATGATCAATGAATGATATTTTCATTTAGAAAGTTCAAGTTCATAATATAGTCAAGTCATTTATTACTTGGTTCAACAGGTTTCTACTAAGATTTAAGTATTTACAATTTCTCAAATTTAACTTTCAATTGCAATAATGCCATTATATTTTGCAATAACATCTCAAAAAATATTTTCCAATCAAAATGCCTAACAAGTAATAACGTTTTATTATTAATCTCCACGAATTGCATGCGGCAATTGGATTCCTGTGGTTACATTCTATCAAACACCTGAACATCGAGCCGAAAGCATCTCCTGAATTGTAGTTCAGATTTGTCACAACAACTAAGATATGAGCAAGTCTTGATCTCGTTTTAACTTGTGAAGTCAAACTTAGGTTTGCCTGTTGTTGGAAATGGCATATCTATTTCACTTTCTCACTTTCTACATATGCCCAAAAATAGTCAAGAACAAGACGAGCAAATCCCAATCCCACATGATACAGATTCTATCCATGCAATTTATGGTTTCTGATTTCGTTGTCTAGTGAAATATTTGCCCAAACTCGAAGGCTCGTACCATGTAGGTTAAATGGTAAATACAAAGAAGTCATATGATCATGTTTCCATACATACATATAAATTCATCCATGCATGAGGTTTTTACCTCCAAGTGCTTGTAAATGTTGTTTGCTTTTGTTTTTTTCCTCCTCAAGCCGCTCCGCAGCTCAGAATGGCCAAAGCCTGTTCTCTACGAGCCAAACATGGAAGGCTCGAGGCAAATAACAAATGTATACAAAATTGCAAGGCAAGAACTGAAAGATATTGCTGAAAACTTGGCATTTCCTTGGAAATTTGAATTTCTTTTCTTGCCATTTTTACACGCAATATCCACTCAATTTAATTGGCAGACATGCATGGGAATTGTAAATAATTTTACAACACAGAAAAACTATAGCAGAAGTCTGAATTACAACAAACAGGAGCCTCCCACATACAACACATTGCAGCAAAACACGAAGAGAGTTACAGCTGCCTGGTTGATCACAAGTGTCATTTTACATTTTCTGTATGCTAATTGCAAGTCATCTAGATTAGAAGAGTAGAGATACCTCAACCATCTGAGCTATATTCACTAGATTCAGGCAATGGGGGCACAATAAGTCAATAATCTTAAAATTGCTCCTTTGAATGTAAAAAAGAGTGACATTATTATAGAAAGTGAAGTTCGAGGTGTAAATCGGGTGCGGTCTGATTAGTCTTCCTACTTCTTGTAAAAAATATGAGTTAAACGCTTTGAATTCGAATTATTTCTAACATAAAAAGTTATCACTAATTTGGTGAATGTCATTTAAAGGGGAAGGTTATCACATGTCCATTTGAGCCTCCCATATATATATAAAAGAAGTGAAGTTTAAAATACCATAAATTCGATTTGACAGTTTAAAGTGGCTAAATTATGTGTAAAGTGAATTTTTATTAATGTTTAGTGTGCTTTAACTTAAACTGTGGAATTGATATTCACATAACCATTGTTGTAACAAATCTAAGGTTAAAACTCATCAATTTATTTTTTGTTTTCTAAAATACTCCCCAATAATATAATTTTATAAAACACTAGTAAAAAAAAAAAGAATATATTCATTTTTTTTAATTCTAAAACACTAATAAATGGGAAAATGTTGGCTCACGGCAAGCTTCGTATCTTTGTCCTTCTCTGGCACTGGCAGGCGCTAGGTTTAGTTTAAATTTGTTTTTTTTATTAATTATTTAGCTATTAGTTAAAGTTGGCGTGCAAGGATGTTTTTTTTTTCTTTTTTTTTTTGCCTTCGTGCAAACATCTTTTTTAGTAAGGAAAATCTTTGAGTTTATAAAATTATATTCTTTAAGGATAGCAAAACGTGCAGAAATATTTTTACAAGGCTGTATCTATAGTTTAACATAATTGATAATTAATGCTTAACCTATGTAAGTTGCTTGGGAAATTCATCATCTTTATAACATGTTCATACATATTCAAGGGGTGCAGGGGTTTTTTCATCCACTCCTGCAATATTGAAGGACAGCGATCTAAGTTATGCTTGTTACAATTATTAAAATCCTCGTGTATAAGCACATTTAAACAAAGAAACCAATTACTATTGAAGATCAGTTCAGCATCTACACGGAGAATTCGGAACATGAGTAGATAGATGCATTGAGTTCAGCAAAAGTCTTCCAGGTCAAGTGGATTGCGCCATTACTGATTCATAACTAACCCACTTAGCTAGAAACTGGACCACAAGGATATCCAATGAATACTGTACTTTACACTTCTAAATACTTTCATATGACTCTGGTGATCTTTGACCAATTCTATCTTCCTGTCTGGAGGAATCTATTTAGAATCTTTTGTATCCTTTTATTTAATATATACTGCAGGAAGTGTTGAGCCTCTTAAACTTTTCCATTAAGATACAGCTTTAAAATATTAAACAACAGCAATCATTGCAAAATTATACATTCTTCTGGATCTAACGCTTAAATCGCTACGATAGTATTATTATATGCAGGCGTTCCATACCAGAGATGTTTACACAGGATTTTCATTTCTAAAATAGCCCTTAAAGTGAATAAGTCTATGAATTTATCATAAATGTCACATTTCCACACAAAAATTAGGGAAGGCAGTGTTTATTGGATATTTCCTGATCGCCTGAATTCTGATTTTTCCATCCATATTTGTGAAAGTGGTCAGTAAGCTCTATGAAATATGAAGTGTGGGCCAGCAATGCAAATACCAAAGACAATGAAAAGCAATGAAGTATCACCACCTTATATTTCAAGGGAGAATCCATTTATCGACTAGTAGTTTTGGTAGGCTTATCAGGTACAGGTGAACCCATCCATTATCACCGAATTCAATTGTATCCACATAAAAAGGTTACCCATATATCTTTGCCCATGTAATTATAATCATGACATGCTTAGATATTGTGGTCAAATGATGTAGATCCTTGCAATCAGCCTTGTAATTGCGTAAATTTCCCATCTTTTGTGATGAATCCCCTAGAAGCATTGTTTTGGGCACATCTGCAAACATGAACACATGAGCAATGTGTTGACAAGTTTACCAACTGTATAAAACGCAATTGAAATTTCTGAATGTAGTTAAGGTATGTTGCCGGACTTGTACAGGACTTCTCTATTGATAAGAAACTCGCCAGGCGAGTGACCTGTCATCAATATTGTGCATAGTACCAATTTCAGTTTGGCCAATTCGAGCGCATTGTCCTGTATCATTGTCTTTTGATTAAGACACATAAGATGTATTCAGAATCAAAGTGCGCGGCATTCTATATAGCTTAATCTTATCCATGCATGAAAACAATTGCACAACCTGCATAACATGAATATATCAATTCAAATTTAACAGCTTTTTTGCTTAACAGTATTTAAATGAATAAGAATATGTAATTGCAAGCAACCTAGAATATCAATACTATAAACTCAAGTTGAATAATGTAACACTCAATTAATAAATTTTTACTCCTCTTCTCTTAGATTTGGCCAACATATGTCCAAATATTCAATACATACTGTCAATTTTTCAAGATTTTCTCGGGATATATAATCAAAGCATTGATAGAAACAGGTTAATTACCGGCAGAAGCATTTGACAACGAACTCATTAGCAAGATTTCAAGAAGTACCGTTAAAAAGGACAGACGTTCTAGTTTCGATGACCAAGCGATAACGCGTTGCGACGGCGGTATTTCTTGGCGTTGGGTCGAAAAACTAACAGGCGCCAGTCTGCTTATAAGCCTCGGTTGTTATACTACCATTCTCCTTGATCTCCTATAAGCATTCTAACTATCAATTTATCGTGAGGCATTTCTTCAATTTCTAATTTGGAAATACTGCTAGAGACTGCTACTGTTGTGCTTTCAGTTTTTGCATGTTTTTAAATTTTCAATTTTCTATTTCTTGCGTTACGTCCGAGTCGTTGATTTTTTAAAACAGTGGTCTTGTTACTTTTGATTTTTACTCTTGCAAGAGATCCCGTAAATCTTTTGGATACTTTTTTTGTTATTTTACTGTTTTTTGTTTTTTTTTATTTGCCTTTTCTTGTTTTGAAACGTCTTCTGTTGATATCGTTATTAAGGCCCAGATTGAACCCAACAGTAACGCTAGATTCACTTTGGCTCCCATACAAACAACTTACCAGTTTGTTTTTGGGCCATAATGGAAGTTAAGTTGCCACGATTTTAGCTCAGCTTGTTATGGCCTCACTATCTGAGCCCAAATAAAGCCTATTGTTAAACTCCATTAATGAGAATTCAGGCCGTTCAATTTTGGTGAAGTGCCATTATTTGAAAAAGAAATTGTATTTAGGTATTGTGCCAGTAAGACATAATAACCATTCATGTCATTTTGGGTTATATGATGCTTCACGAAATTATATGGCATGACTCTACTGTCATCAAACTTTTTTAACTCTTTTTCCAATTTAGCTCCATATAATATTATTCCAACACCTTACATTAATTTTCTGTCATCCTCGTTTGAAAATTAATTTGATATTCTATTTCTTCTTAATGTCTTCCTTAGCTTCTGTCCTCATCTTAAATGCAATATGCTTCTGCCATCCTTCTTCCAATGGGTTCTTTCGACCTGATTCGACTAACAGTTCTTATCCAAGTCTCTTTGAAATGCAGTGTAATTAGCTAAGACTTGCTAGATACATCGGTTTTAGTGCTTTTTTTAGTGTTCATGCATAAGTTTGGCTTCGTCTTCTTTCAGATAACGACTGCTATGAGTTAGCACCAATTTCATCCTCGTCTCCACAGTAGGCTCTGTCATCAGAAACCATATATCAACATCATTAAGTAGTACCTTCAATATAGGCTCCACATAAGGCATGCCTTTGCTCGTCGCAATTTTATTGTATGCTCGCATGGTGGATGAATGCAGCCATTTCAAAAATGGTGAAAACAAGTAAAGTTGTGATTTGAACCTTAACTTCTGAGAGAAACAAAAAACCAGAGATATTAGTTACTATAACTTGAAATTTGAACACTTGTCACTGAATGCGTCTTGTAAAAAAGCAACCAGAAGATATTCAAATTGATTATTTGTTAATTTGGCTCGCCTTAAGTTGCATTTCACAATACATGAGGTCACAAAACCTAACCATAAATCTAACTAATTTAAATAGAGTACGTAACTCGTTAATTTTTTTATTAATTTTGTAAATGAAAAAAAAAAATATTCACTAAATAAAGCAACATACTATTTCATATATAAATCGAAGATATATTACTTAATGATAAATGCATATCTAAACTTTAATAAATCCAATGTTCAAATCTTCTCCTCCAATACTGGCAATATAGTAGTAGTACATTATAACTATATATATGTATGTTTGTTCTTGTAGAATTATATAATTATTAATTAATTAAAAAAAAAATAATTTAAGATCATTACAGACACTTTTTCTTAAAAATTAAAATGTGTTGTTATGACCTTTGTTAATATTTTATTCGCTTATCTTAAACGCCACATTATACAAAGAAAAGGAATTAACTAATTGAAATGTCTCAAGTTATAGTCAAAAAAAATATATTCTTTATATTTTAAAAACTGACAACTGTATCAATTTACTTTTATTAGATCAGAGGCGTTCAAGATGATAATATTAGCCAGTATAGGGAGAAAAAAAATTCTTCTTAATTAACATAATTATCTCAACAATTTAGCCACGGTGCAGCCATTTTCTTGATAACAGAAACAAATATATTCCTTGCACTGCTTAGCCACAGGCTATTTCTCCTAATCTCTTACTCGAACCACTAAGCTTCACTTGCCTTGTTGTACTAAATCCTATATAAATATTGAGATTTTACCAATTTTAAAATCATCTATCCAAAAAAACACGGAATTTTAATTGATTGTTAGCTCTGACCACTGTGCTGCCGCCTTATTCTGAAAATGGGTCACCCGCTTTCCATGATCATTGGAGGTATTGACCTTAAGATGTTTTTACACCACATAGTGCTGGATCCGTCCATTTCTCTTGAGAATTTCCTGTGCTAGAATGATTATAAACAGTGTAGCTTCCACTTATCTCTTTCTATGCGGGCAGTTCACTTCCAAGGAAGGGAAATTGGTTTTCCGGCAAGAATACCAAGGTTATTTCTTCTTTTTCAACTATCCAGAAGGGTGTCTTGTACAATTTTCTCGTTTCCTAAATTATGTCGTAGAACTTTCGCATCTTTTCGCTCCACGAGTTGCAGCAATACCATATATATATATAATTAATTAATTAATTAAAAAAATAATTTAATCAATTACAACTTTTTCTTAAAATTAAAATTGTTTAATGACTTTGTTAATATTTATTCGATTACTTTAAACGACACTTATAACAAGAAGGAATTAATAATTGAATGTCAAAAGTTCAAAAAAATATAAATCTTAATATTTAAAAACTGACAACTGTATCAATTACTTTATTAGATCAGCGTTCAGATGATATATTAGCCAGTATTCAGGGGAAAAAAATTCTCTACATTAACAAAATCAACAAAAGCACGTCAGCCATTTCTTGATACAGAACATATATTCCTTGCACTGCTTAAGCCACGGCTATTTCTCCTAATCTCTTACTCGAACCAACTAAGCTTCAACTTGCTGGTTGTACCTAAATCCTATATAAATATGAGATTTACAATATACACTTCTCAAAAAACACGGAATTACAGATGTTAGCTCTGACCACGTGGCTGCCCGCATTCGAAAAGGGGCACCCGCTTTCCATATCATTGGAGGTATTGCCTAAGATTTTCACCACTCATGGACTCCATCTCCTTGAGAATTTCCTGTGCTAGAGATTTAACAGGTAGCTCCACATCCTCTAGCAGTTCACCCAGGAAGGGAATGGTTTCCGGCAAGAATACCAGGTATTCTTCTTTCAAATTATCCAGAAGGTGCTTGACAATTCTCAGTCCTAAAATTCGAGAACGCATCTTTTCGCTCCGAGTTTGCAGCAATACCTGAAAAGTTCAAGAAATAAAATTATATGATAAGAGCCAATCGTTAATCATTGCCAAACAACAAGAAATGTAATGAGGCTGAGAAAAGAAAGTTTCAATAATTAGAAAGGAATTGCTTCAATACACCCCCACACATGCATAAATAATTCAAACTTAAAAGATCCAACCCTTCAAATCAGAGAATGGATAAAAATGTTGCACAATAAAGGAATAGAGATTCTAAAAATCACCTCATGGTTCAGAGCTTTCCATAGAAGGTCACTTCCTGCAGCAACAGCCATTTGACCAATGCAAACTACTAACAACTCATCAACTTCTGTAACAGAAGGTATATTTGGATGCTCTCCAATAGAAGTAGGCGGTTCTTCAACAAGCTGTGAGACAAGAGGTTTCAATAGAACCTGCAATGGCATTCAAAACCATATATCAGAAAAAGCAAATGACAGTTAACGAAAGAGAATCAACGGTTGCTTCCAAAAGAACATATTGCTGCTCGGAAAATATACAGAATGAATATCAGATTATCGTCAGACATTCAAACAATAGACTCAGTCACTTCCATTGGAATATATTTGACTTGAGAGATCACAAACAAGGAATACTAAAAGCTAAAGTTTTGATGTGTTCTTAACAAAAGCAAAGTAAATCTAAACAATCAACGAATAATAAAGGACACAATGTTACTGGAATTCAGTACTTGAGTCTTCCCACATCAAAGTATTGACCATGAAATGTCAAGGTGCAAATAACAGCAAATAGTAAATGTTCTATGCCTATCTGTTAGTACCTGGTCTAAGTGCACTCATTACAAGCTTATAGAGATGGACCCAAGTGAAACATTAGTAAAACCACCACATAAGCAATCATTGACTGTATTACTCCTTAAAACAATTAAAATGCTTCCAAAACAATGAGAACAATTGACATGAATATTTAACTGACTGACCAACGGAAGATCCATCAATGTCCCAGCCCATCCCATAATGGGAGTACTAAGATACATGTCCAGTTGCACATGAAACCACGCAACAAAATCAGTCCGATGGCATGTTTTAAAACTGGAATTTGTGACTAGCCACATCAAAGAGTTTTTATGATTGTGCAAAGTTAAAAGAAGGATATCTATGAGCCCATAATGCAGCATCATAATGAGCTGTTCCTTAATATTAATATGATCAAAATTGAGACCTAAAAAGTAGATGATAGAAATAATAGATCCAACTCTTTCTTTTTTAAAATAAATATTATTGAAAGACCTCTAGCATAAACTACATGTAACAGAAAGTTAAGTGCAAAGTTAGAGATGACTAGCCTGAAAATTTGATGAGTCCAGAAATTTCGGGTTCCCGGTGTCATATAGAAAACATTTATGTAAAGCTGATATGACTAATGCCCTTAGATGCCAGTTTTTAAGTGATGATACATTGTTCTTGTCTCTTATATGAGTTCCAGCTTCCTGAACCTTGGCTTTCTTTTTCTTTCGAACACCTTTTGCATCTGCAGCATCAGAGAGATGCCGAATGCAACCCTCAAGCAAGTACTTGAAATAAGGGACAAAAAGAGACCTGCATTTGAGGGATGACTTTAGATAGCTGTCTCTTTACAGAAAATAATACTACGTAAATCATATTAAGAAACTGCCATTGGCAGCTTGTTATCATATCCTAATAAAAAGATGTTGATATAAAAAAAAATTCTCTCCAAGAACTTCCAGTGATCAATTACATGCATAAAAGCAAGATAAGGCACAGCAAAATAATTGAATTGTCATAATTTAGAGCCACAATTTGATGAACGTAAACACCAGTGACATGGACCAAGAAACAGCTATGGACAGGCAAACAATATGAAATTGTAGGTTATGCTATTGTAGAGACCGAAAAAATTAATTGGAAAATATGTATCAACTCACCTATGACTCTCAGCAAATTTATTCACCAGACCATATAACGCAATGGATCTGTCCACAGATGCACCCTCATTGGAAATTTCTGCCACAGGTGACTCTGCCCAATCGATGCTACTGATGAAGAGAGGTTTGAACATAGACTCGGTGAGTTTCATTGTTAGAGAAGCCGTAGCCTTGATGACACTTGTTTCAACAATATTAATGTTCTTAATTGAAACAGGACATTGACGACGAAGATCAAGAGCATGCAAGCACAGGTCAAAAATCTTTCCACAGTTACCGCCAACAGATGATCTATCCATCTTACCAATTAAGCTCACTAGCATTTCAAAAGTCATTGCCACGCTTGAATCCCCAGACTCCACAGCATCAGAATATACCTTCAGCAAGGGTGGCAGAGCAAGACGAACCTAGGGAAGCAAAAAATAGGCTTAACATTCCTCAAGCCATGATAGATAAGATGAAGAGAACAAAAAGTTATATAACATCTTACAGGGATTTTTTCAGTGAGAAGCCTTCGCACTACATCAGCTTTCAGTTTTAGCTTTGGTTTGGATTCTGAAATATAATCAGGACCAATCACCATTAGTCTTGTAACCTCCTCAAGATAGGGATTTAAAAAACCACCTAGCTTGTCCACAATTGCCTCCAAAGCAACAAGAATAGAATGCATGAAAGATTCTCTGGACGAGGAGTTATCATCACCAACACGGGAAGACATTTCATGAGATATCTTAATCACATTCTTCATTATTCTAGGAAGCTCAGCTAATGCTCTTGGTCCAAGCACATTAACTAAAGCACCAATTGTTCGAATGCAGCTGTAAGAAATGGCCATGTTGTCCGAATTCATGCCTCCTGTTATATATGGAAGGCACATGCTGAAGACAGAATAATTGGAAGAGAAGTTTTGAGCCAAAACTTCCACCGTAGAGACTGCTGAAAGCTTCAGTGAAGAATCAATCTCATCCATCTTACTATCAATTAACCGAACAATTTCCAGACACATTTTGTTAAAAGATTCAAGAGAACTATCATCCATATGGAGCCAATCACCATTTGATTTTACATTCAGTTCCCTTCTTCCCAGGTGCTTCCATTTAATTGATTCATGGTCTCTTAATGTCTCACAAAGAAGCCCAAGAGCCTGATTGATGTAAAGCAGAGCAAACTACATTAGAAAGATCCATTGTTATCATATATGCAAAACTAGGGATTCAAACTAATTGGAACCCCAAATATTGAAGTATCTTGTAACACATGTATTCAAAGTATTCATGTATGAATATAGTGATAAATGGACATTTCTCACATGAAATTTGCGCATTACATTATTCAGTGAGCTATTTTAAATAAGTCATTAGTTTGTCTTCAATCATATCAATTCCATTAAACTTGTCAGCATCAGATAAAAAAGTAGAGAGGAGGGCCACGGGTCTCCATTCCAATTGATTCAATATCTAAAAGTCACTTTTTGACTTGCAAACCTGATGCTTTATGGAGAAATTAGAGGGGAGGGGAAGGGGATTACCAAATAAAGATTTACTGATTTCTAATAACAGTGAAAACAAAATCTTTCCAGGACCTTAGATTAAGTCCAAAAAAAATATTATGTCTCTTTTTTGCATTTGATGACTAAGAAGATATGGCAATACATGACCACATACCTTCTTCTGCACATTTCCATCTGAATGGCCAAGCAAACTGATGATCCCTCTGAAGTATGTTGCAGGACTCATAACTGCCGTGATAGCTCTCAAGACGGTATGTGCACTCTCTTTTAATTCTTTTCTAATTATAACATGGATGCTTAATTGTTTTCTCCTTGAGTCAATGACTTGTAAAAGAGAAACAACATGCTCCATGAGCTGTTCAAGAGTTGTCTGTAAACACCAACAGTAGTCATAATCATGCTAGCCAACAGAGAAACGAAATCAGAGAGAAAGATATGGAATAACCCAGGTCCTGTTTTTTATTTTTCACCGTAACATTCAAATGTATACCCTATCTAGACAGAATCAGAGCATAGTGAGAACTAGTGTTCCAACAAAATGTAAACGATGCTCTACATGATTGGAAAGGAAAAGTGTAGCAAGCAAAACTTGAACTGCATGAAACCAGATTTGAGAGATCTATCATAACTTAATTAAAGTGGGGGTAAACAGGTCTCTGATTATGGAACCTTCAGAGAAACGAGTTAGCTTATTCTCTGGCAAAATATTTAAAATTTTCCTTGTGACCTTTGATAATCCTACAATTCCAAGATTCAAAAGATGAAGAAACACTACTTGATAATAATATCATAGTGTAACACACAAGGTCTTAAAAAATGCATTATTCTGTAAAAAAAAATTCTTAACATAGAAGCATGCATCAAAATGTTAAAAACAAATGAATAACCACCTGGATGCTATCAGAATCTTCACTTGATTCGAGCCTGAACGTGAATTCTGGTTCTTTCAATTTGTGTAAAATGAATTCCATAGTAAGCAGCAATACAATAAACACTTCTTGGCATAAATCATCAATTCCTATAATTTGAAGCAGCATAACAATGGATGGAAGCCATATCATGCATGAATATTGATCACATATCTGCACAGAAAAGGAATACTCCCACTCTCTCTTTATAAAAGATGTAAGACCATGTGAAGTATGTGCATCATCAAAAAATGGTCCTTTCCTTGAAATTGACCGAAAAAGGAGGACAAGCAATGAAGCCAAGCTATTACGTTCTCCCAATGTCCTGTGAAAAAGCATGTGAATCAAGCAAAAATTGAAAGAAACAACAGAAGACTTAAAATTTTAGTTTATGATACCTTAATAGGTATACAATAACTGTCAGCCTCCTATGCTCTGCAACTGAAGGCAACACGTTCACAAAAATCTGCAGAAAATTCAACCAACATGGAACATCGATTTCAAAGGAAACAACTCCATTGTAAAGGATGTTAACCAGAGAAGAACAATCTCGTAGATTACCTGAAGTAATTTCTCTGTGTTGTTTGTCTTAGCCAGCCAACAGGGAACAACAGAAGATATAAGATCCTCAAACACATGTTGCGAGTGGCTGTCAATCTACAAATTTGGAAGAAATTATCTTTTCAGTGGCTTCAAAGAATCTTCCAAACATCCAAAAGAAAAAAAAAATCTCTCCAAGCAGATTAGACACCTAAAAATAAGAAGGAAAATGTACAGGCAAGTGCAAGCACACGCAGGCAACTCACTCCAGACAAAAACCAGTGAATAACATTCTGTACAAAGGAAGAAGATATGTAACAAACCTGAGTAACAGTTGATTCTCCAATAACAGTAAGTATATCTAATATGTCCTCCAATATCTTGTCCGGAATGACCTTTGCAATTGAAGATAGCAGTGAGAATACATGGTTGCGTGTGACTCCATCCTTTGCAGAACGGGCACACTTAACCAACATTTTGATGTCTATTTTATTTGTTATGTCATCCTGCAATGAATAAGAGATACATCAAGTCAAACAAAGCAAACAAGTAAGCATTCCCAGCTAGTATTTTTCCAACTTTAAAAACAGTGGTATACCTTTAGAGGAACAGCATTTATAAATGAAGCAATAATATCTTCCAGCATCAATAAAAGTGCTTGTTGAACATAATGCACTGTACTGGACATGGTCTGAGAAATGCCAGACGAAACTTGGATCCACTTTTCATCTTGGGCAAGGACCCACTCATCCGAAAAGATTTTTCTCAGGAGATCAAACAGGGGTCCAATAAGAGATTCCCTACAACATTAAATTGCATTAGCATAGTAGTTATTGCAACAGCAGGCAAACTTAGAAACTAATCATTCTAAATTACACATTACTGAGCAAACCTGTTAGCCATATCTTTCTTCAGTGCCAATATGTCGAGCAAGGAGCTCAGTAAGCATAATGCAGTTACTCCTTTACAAACCACATTACAATCAGAGGTTTGATGAGCAACTGGTTTCTTTTTCTTCTTTCCATGAGCTGAATCAGTTTTATGACCATCCTGTTTAAATATAAAATCCAGTGTCTGCACCACTGTAGAGCAAGTAATCTGCAAAATCCAGAGCATATAGCTAATCAAATTACTGCACTTCCAAAAAATCACGAAATTTGTAATTCAGTTCACAAAAATTTTAGCAAACTCATTGAAGCAAAAATCCAACAAGCTTCTAAGGTCAAGCAAGAACAAAAGTCAACTTAGATCCTCCACAAGAAGAATCCAGTCTAGAATTTATTTTCTTATTCTCATACATATTTCTTTTGGTTTCTAGTTTCTCCTAGAAAGTAGACATTTGAAGGTCTAACATTAGGTGAGCATGTTCAATCAAGTTCTAGAGAACCAATCATAAATATTCCTTTGAAGGGACTTTATAAGCAGTTTACACAGAAGAGGAACTCATAAAGATCTCATGCTCATCCTGCAGCCCATATCCTAAAAAATTACAGCCTATCAAATTTAGATTCTTATTAAAGAAACACTGAAGCAAAACTCGACCAACAACTTTGAAATGCAATCCATCAAATTCAAAAGACCACACCACAACCTTACATTCAAACAGTATGACACATCATGTTATTGAAAAGCTGGATAGAACATCAAAGACAGGCATGAGTGTTTTCAATCTATTGCAATGACAACCGCAACATCTCACGTGAATTAATTCCCACAATTTTTGCCAGTATAAATTTACCCTATGACGTGTAAAGCAAATCCTTATAGAGCTTTGAAATTAGCAGAAAGAAATAGGCCATACTGTTTTACAGGGAAGAAACAGTCAAACAAAGAAGTATGTTCTTTACCAGAAAATTAATCAGCTGTCTCAATTTTGTCAATATAAGCATACTCAACAAACTCCATAACTAGTTTAATCCAAGAAATGTTCAGCAAAACACTTAAAAGCAATTGTATAAGAGAAAAATGAGAAGACAGAACAAGCTGAGAAAAAGGGACACAAACATTTAAGCGCAGCAAGGCCTCTCTAGTTGCGTTATGTATATCACCATTAGCATTTCGGAACAAAATCACAAGCTCACGAAACAGAAGCTCCTGCTCAAAACAAGGAAATGATATTAGGATGACCACTTCTAGTCTGTAAATGATAGATATCATGCAACCAAGTGATTCTTCCATTGCTATTTCACAGTTAAGTAAGAACTCTCTATGTTATTCATAATATAAAATATAATTTTATTTGTTAGTTAAGCAACACAACTTTCAGTGAGGTCATGAAACTTTGTTTTGGCAATTCAGAGCATAAATTTTCAGTCATTCTGCAAACCTACATAACAATGCTGCAGATAAAGGTTTCTCAAGAGAACTAGCACATAAATAGAGCTAACCTGTTTCTGAATTGTCAAACCACTGTAAAATTGGCCAGTTAACTTCTGCAAAACAGTAATACAAGGTTCCATGACAGCAGATTCTTCTGAAGAGAGCCCGCCCAGCTGGAAAAATCAACAAAACAAAGGGAAACATTAACACACAAGGTAAAAGCATCATATAGAATATTAGAATCATCCCAGCAAGTTGCAGATAGCTTCTTACTTGCAGAGCACTTAATAAATAATCTTCAAAAGCATATCCCTTGAATGATAAAGGCTGCGCAGCACAAATCTATTGCAAACCAGAAGATCGAGTTATCAGAAAGCAGAAGTATGAGATGAACAACACAGTAAGGTTAAGAAACACAATACTGCTGATTTACCTCCAGTAAAAGACATAAAAGTTTGACTTCAGTTCTGGACAACTTCTGGAACGACTTGTCAGCCTCAAGATAAAATTGTCTGCGTCTTCTCAGAAGTTGAGATAAAAAGGTCTCAACCTCTTCAACACACATTATGGTAGTGCCCAATCCTTTGAGCAATGATATAACCCTCAGCTGCCATAAATATTCACCCCAATCAATTTTCATACTACAAAAATTTTTTTCTAGCAGCAAGAATAGTAGAATATGATTAAGAGAAAACTGAGAAAGAAAAATTAAGATAACTTTCTGCATCTAGAAGTGGAAAAATAAGAGAACACATCGAAGAGCCAAACCTTAGCAAATGCAGAAAGTTGAAGAGCATAACCCATGATGAAAGCAAGGATTTTTTCCTTTGTAGGTTGATCAAATCTGAAAAGTTAAAAGCAAGCAACTCACTGAATAGAAATTGCAATTACGATCATAACACTAATTTATATAAAGATATACAAAAGAACCCAAGAATCATTTGAAGTTCATAACTCAGCACTGAACTCAACTATGTGTTTATCCCAAACTAGTTTGAGTCAGATACGAGGATACTTTCCTATGATCCAGCCAATGTAGGCTACATTTTCAAAATTAACCTTACATATAGCCTGGGAACAGAAGTTTCATAGTAACTTATAACTAGTAGGGAAAAGAGCATGATTGAATTCCAAGCTTACATATAGCCTGGGACAACAGTATTCAACATAAAGCATGAGGGAAATAACTAATTGGAAAATACCTTTGTTCAATATTTTGTGGCACAAGAAGACTACCACAAGATGAGCCAAGCAAAGAGGTCAATAATGAAGGTAGTAAGTTCTTGTCAGACAATATGACCCTTTTTTGTTGGACAATTAAGCCTAAAAGTTCATCAAGAAAATGACTCCAATTCGCATTGTTCCCTGTCATTCATACCAATTACAGCTATGAAGAAGTACAAACAAGGGAACCAATTTTTATCGCATCAAATTTAAATTGCAGTGACATACCATTTTTCTTACTTAAATGGTCAACTCTACGTGAAAGTGAATAGAGTCCTTCAATGCAGCCCATGGCAGCAATTCTTATATCCTGTAGGCACCAACAGATTCTAGACATCAAACCAAAAGATATACTAAAAACAAAACCAGAACATGAATCCATGAGCAGCAGATTAAAAAAAATGATTGTAGACTAAGTAATTAAATTGTTTGACTGTAACACCTGACTATCACAAGCAAGAGGAACAAGAAGTGAAGGAAAATTGGCTAGTAGTTGAAACAGCAATCTATCATCGGGCTCCAGACAAAGAAATGTAAAACAGTGAAGACTCTCAACTTGGACAGGAACAGCAACATCTGTAGAATGAAAAAAAAGTAATAAAAAAAGATGCAATTGCATAGCAAACCTTCAGCTTATTATGGCGAATTAGACTCATATTTTCCTGTACAGTCCTCCATAATTTACACAGCCAGAAAAATCAGTTCATCAAAAAGTATAAGAGAAGAAGAATATAAAGCAGTACAAAAATGAAACCAAGAACCATGGAAAAATAAAGTGCAGACTGAATACTTAATTATAACAAACGTTCAACAAGATAATATCCATTACCACTTCACTTCTACAACAACAATTATAATAATTAGAAAACAATTTAAAAAATAAAAAATAAAAAGACAAAGAAAGAAAAGAAAAGAAAGAAGAAGAGGAATACCATGTGCCTAAGCATTTTTGCATTTTGGGGGCTATAACTTTTTTCCAGGGTACCAATGTGATACTTGTGGTTTTCATCTATTATCATTCTTATTCATATTATGCTTATATAGAGTCCGTATAGTGTTAAAAAAACTCATTATATTAAAACAAATGGTTTGTTAAAAATCTGTATATGCCAAGAACAAATATTAATATCTCTTCTTCTTATATTATAGTAAATTTTTATAGACTATAGAAAGAAAAAAAAGAAGTGAGATAATGAACTTGCTCATTCACACAGATGCCCATTGATCATACTGTTAATTATTATTTTAAGACATGATGTAATATGTATAATTGCATATTATGCTTATAGAGGTCCGTAGTGGTTAAAAAACTCATTATATTAAAACAAATGGTTTGTTAGAAAAATCTGTATATGCAAGAAGCAAATATTAATATCCTCTTTCTTCTTTTATATTATAGTAAATTTTTTATAGACTATAGAAAAGAAAACAAAGAAAGTGAGATAATGAACTTGCCATTCCAACACAGATCCCATTGATCATACTGTTAATTATTATTTTAAGACATGATGTAATATTATATATATATATATTAATATATATATATATATATATATACTTCATTGACATCAGTGAAAAATGGCACTACAACAATAACAAGCAAGAAGCAAAAATACTGTAATGATTTTAAAAGGGCAAAAAACCACACCCTTCAAACTAAATAAGTGGTAAACCACAAGGTATGTTTTCCCTAACAGTAAAATATCACTCTTCCAAGCCAATTTAAGTTCCTTTGCAGTTCACATACTGTAGTACACCGAATCAAGCATCAACATCCCACAAAATGATAAGCACCTTTATTCAGCAATCTATTTTCATGTAATTAGTTCTCTCTAATTTTAATTATGTTTGTCCATAGATAGCTATATGACAGTCTTATATTAAGAAGAAAAATACATCAAATAAAAGCTGCAAGCAATGGTGAACTCATAATAAGCAGTTAAGCACCTTCATCCATGAAAAACCCAGAAAGAAAATCAATAGAAGAGATCTTGCATTTTGTAACAAGATAATGAAGATGTTCCTTGAAGACATTCTTTGAATCAGAGGTTGCAAAAAAGACAAATAATTCCCTAAGTGCGCTGCTAATCAACTTCCCATTATCATCCTGAAAGAGAAACACAAGTCAACATTTCCAACAAAAATGAGCATAGGAAGGGGAGTAGTAGTGATAACATAAAAAATTAGCCACTTATAAATGTCACTAACCAACAGCATATCTGTGGGAGCTGCTGAAAGAATAGTTTCCAATAACCTCCAGAAGAGAGAAACTAGGATGTTTGCATTTAATGCATTGACATCATTATAAAATAGCTGATCTAAAAATCTTCGGCAATCCCAGGTTATCATCTCTTTATTGAACTGTCAACCATTAAAAAAGCAGGCATACAAAAATTGAGGGGAAAGATCAAGAATAACATCAAATCAATAGAAAATGCAATACCAAACCATGTCTACTAACCTCATTCTGAGAAACATCAGCAGCAGATTTGAAATTTTCCCACTGTGCCTTTAAAACAGGGAAGCAAGTTTCAAAAAGTGCCAAACTTTGCCTACTCTCTGTCATCCAAGAAAATGCAAAACAGTCTATTGTTAGGGATCTGAAACTTAGCAGTACAAGCAATATAATCAAGCATTACAGCAACTAATGTCTAAACAAATGCATGTGCACATTACATACAACATAATGGAGCTGATCTGGCCCACACAGAAAATTTAAGTCCTTCAATGGGTTGTAAATCAACCTTAACCTCTTGCATTTGATGGCTTTGACAGCTTGTGAGGTGCAACAAATGTGCACCATGATTTCAGGGGCTTTGCACCTTAGCAATACCTCAAAGTCAATTAAGAATTCTCAAAATTAAACTACCCTAGAATGGGTTTCAAATAACATTCTACAGTACGAAAGCCCAAGGACGAACACTTTTTTACTGGAGGAGGTGTTTACTAACAATGGAGCCGGATGGCTTTGACAGCTTGTGAGGTGCAACAAATGTGCACCATGATTTCAGGGGCTTTGCACCTTAGCAATACCTCAAAGTCAATTAAGAATTCTCAAAATTAAACTACCCTAGAATGGGTTTCAAATAACATTCTACAGTACGAAAGCCCAAGGACGAACACTTTTTTACTGGAGGAGGTGTTTACTAACAATGGAGCCGGATGGCTTTGACAGCTTGTGAGGTGCAACAAACGTGCACCATGATTTCAGCGGCTTTTGCACCTTAGCAATACCTCAAAAGTCAATTAAGAATTCTCAAAATTAAACTACCCTAGAATGGGTTTCAAATAACATTCTACAGTACGAAAGCCCAAGGACGAACACTTTTTTACTGGAGGAGGTGTTTACTAACAATGGAGCCGGATGGCTTTGACAGCTTGTGAGGTGCAACAAATGTGCACCATGATTTCAGGGGCTTTGCACCTTAGCAATACCTCAAAGTCAATTAAGAATTCTCAAAATTAAACTACCCTAGAATGGGTTTCAAATAACATTCTACAATAAGAAAGCCCAAGGATGAACACTTTTTTACAGGAAACATACCATTCTTTTGATTCAGAAATGATTCCATCACAACCAAGAAGAAAACTGTCTTTGACAAACTGAAGTCATTGCAGCTCTCTATAATCCAAGATATATGTTCGTCAGGCTGCATTGTGAATGTTTCTGCCAAGCTGCTAATAAGCTTCATATTAACTGCAGATATGATTTCGCTTTCTAATTTCTGCATATTTTCCACATCAAAGATCAAAAGTCATGTAGCTAATAGAGAATTAAATATAAAAAATAAGAAATATCTAAAACCTAAAAACAATGGAAGTGAATGGAAGAACTACAAACTAAAAGAAAGAATGAAGATCAGCTGGAAAAACACCTCATCTGATACAATTTTCCCAAATTCATCAAGATACTAGATACCATGAAGTCACATAAGGCAATATTAGATCACTCCAGCCATCTAATGCTGTCTGATTGAGACAAACCTAATAGAGCATTTAGATCTTTGTGCCTACAAACTTCTTTAGTTATATTTAAGGATAGAAGCTTAACCAATAACGGAAATATAATGATGAAAACAAAACATTAAATTTACATTTTAAATTGCATAGTGTCAAGTAATAACAGCTGAACAAATATCCCACAATCAAAAACCATTATTCCATAAGTCCTGTCTTCTTTAAGTCCAACGCTAACTCAGACATCATTCAGACTTTTATTCCTTGTATAAAGCTTTTAAAAGACATGTTCTATGGGAGTTCAACATAGACTCTTTTAGTCCTAGTATAAAAGCTTTTAAAAGACATATGCGACAAGAAATTAAAGTTTCAACTGAATGAAGAAATTAAGCAAGTACTACACCATTTCTTCAGAGGGGATATCACTAAGATTATGGTACAGCGGCCAGTTCATTTCTTTTGCCAACTCCAAAACCTTCAAATTTATCCTCTGAGTCTGCATGCACAAACACGAACAATTAAAATCCAATAAGAATAGAAGAAAACATCTACCATGTCTTGATTGAAACAAAATGACCAACCTAGAAGCTATTTAGAGACATGAGCATGAAAACCACAGACCTTAGGTAATATTAGGAGAAAAGGAAATATCCTGGCAGCAACTTTCTTTGAATAATCACCCTGGTCATGCAAACTTGAGATAGCAATCTTCAGGAATGAAACAACAATATCACCAGCCAGAGTAGATGAAGCTGATAAACCCGCAAACGGTAGAAGCAAATTAGAAAGAAACTGTAAGTAACAGTGCAAGAAATTGCTGCAAAAGTTCAAATAAAATGTTTTCAACCAGTTGAGCTACAATGAGAAATAGAGTTTTCCAATTAATTAAGTGAAAACTTACAAGTATGTACAGGACTATGAAGCCAAATGACTATAAAAATGGTGTAAGGACAAAGCATTCAGAGCCAGTCATACTCACTTGAATTTTCGCTGATATCAAATCTTTTGAGTTGTTTATCTAATGATTCAAGAAGATCAGAAGCGTTTATTATTTCAGACAATCCCTCAAGAGACAGAACTGCTTGAATAACTGTTAGATCATCATCATCAAGCTGGCACAAAATTGCATTCTGGATAGTTGTAAATCTCTAAGAAAATAAGGCATCACTCAAGGGTGAGAATATTTCCATTCTTGGAACCAAAACAAAGTGATTGCACCATTTGACAGACAGATATAATTGTAAAGGATAAGAAATAAAGTTCAATAACTGCTGCTGCTAATATCATTTATTGAAGCAATCCACCAAATCAACCATCACACCACAAACAGACACAAAAAGTCCTTAAAAACAGTAAATCTCAATGGTAAAGTTCTGCACAAGCTGAGCAATGTTACCAAAGGGGAACAGATTGAAAGGAACAAACACTTGATCCTGAGGAGAACAATCTGTTATAAATAAATAAACAAGGGCTACAAGCCCTTCAGGCTGAGAAAATACGGGGGAAAACCAAAAATGGCAACAACAACAGATAAAAACATATGATCTATGATCTAATACTCGAGTTGATTCCATGACTATGTCTGTTCACTATCTGACAAGAAGAAACAACCTATATACTTTCTCATCATGAGAAGAGATCATTCAAGCATATTAAATAACATGTTATAGTCAGAAAGGAGTTTTTCCCGCATTTACATCCTATAATGGGACAGGCTAATGTACTTATACATTATGAGCGATTATTCAAGCATTATTAATGGGATGTAGTATTTACATAATTCTATCTTCCTAGTTACTCTTCATTTCAGACAGAGTTGTAATTAAACCCTTTCCTTACGCATATCTTTCCTCATTTGGAGTTTATTCTATTCAACTAATTGAGATTTCATCAGATCGTGAAATGGGTTTAATGTTCCAGTTTTTTACCAACAAAACAAGAAAGGGAATGGAATCATTAGTAAAACTGAGGAAATACTGCAGATGCCAGTTGTAGGAGGAAAAGGATAGCAATCAATTAATCAATGAAACCATCCATATGTGAAGGTGCTCGTAAAGTTCACAGAACAAGTTGAAGCAATTAGCTTGTCATTATGAATTCAACCAACAAAAATTGGCAAAGAAGATTCAGAATCTAAAAAAGTCAACAAACAACACCTTAACAGGCATATTTTTATCCATTTCGCTTCAACACCAGCTTCCCTATATTGACCAAAAAAATGCAAAAATTGCTGCTTAACAGAGGTAACAAGACAATATACCCAACAAATTATAATGTTTCAAACAAAAGCAAACCTTTAAATGTAGAAGCAACTTAACTATGAAAATAACATCTCAAGACAAGAACTCAGAAATCAGAATTGAGCAAATCAAAAATAGAGCATTGAAAGTAACAATTGAGTTCATAAAGAAAAACAAGTGGCCATTAACAAGTTATTTTGAACAAAATCCATACCAGAAACTATATCAGTGCATCAGGAATACTAAATATTGCAATTTTAACATGCTTAGCAGCAAAAACCACAAAGAAAATATAAAATAAAATGCTCCAAATATTACCTGTGAATCAACATCCGAGGTTTTAAGGATGCCAGATGTCTTTAAACTGGACAATGCAGCACGTCGGACCTCTGCCTATGTAACATTACAAAAGCATAAGAAGGCTTGACAAAATGTTAAAAGGAAACAACTGCCAAATATAACTGATTACTCAAGGAATTGCCAACAGATGATACCCTAGGATGGTGCAGAGCAAACCAAATTTTGGAATCTGATTTAGCCATTGAAAAATCCAAGTTCCCATCCAATATCTTACATAAAGTTTCAAATACTGCTCCATCTTTATTGGATTGACCTTTGGTATCCTTTCAACAGAAGAGGAAAGATCAGTAAAACCAACGTGTTCAAGTGAGAATGACTGAGAGAGGAACAGTAACCCAAACCTCCAAAAATTTACGAACTGCTTGATGAAGTTCCAATGGATAATTCTTACTAATAACCATCAAAATCTTCTTTGCCCAGCTCCCTAAAAAGCCCAAAATCATGGTAAGAGGCATAGAAAGAAAAATAATCATAACCAAGGTAAAAGCATATTAAAAATAAGTAGCCCCAGAATAGAGAAACATAAAGATAAAGTTGGTAGAAACGAAAGCTAAAAGCCCCAGCATCAGTACCGTAAAATTAGAAGAAGAAAAAAAATCTGGGCAGCAAATAGTAAGATAAATATACATAAGACCCAGAAATTAAACCTCTACTTAAAACCAAAGCAGTGAAGAAAGATAAGTCCCGTGTGACTGATATACCTGATTCAGAAGGGGTTGAATCAATTCTCTGTCTCATTTTTATGCAAGACATGAGGACCTTTGAGACCACTTGTTCAACAAAATTCTTCACCGGAACTATCTCTATTATGGATATCAAAGCACGACAACTTGCATCATCTTCAGAACTACCAATAAACAAAAATCAGTTTAGATTAATTACTGAAAAGGAATTCAGTTGGTCAGAAACAATTATCTCATGTTTACCTGTAGTCAACTAAAGATTCCAAAAGCACAACCAGGAACCTATCGATATTGAACTGTTTAGACAATTCTAAAAGAACCTCAGCAATATCCCTGCAGAGAATAAACAGGGTAATCAGAAATGGATAACCAGTATATATAACATTTGGCACTGTAAATTTACAAACATATAAAGCAATTAAAGCCTCACCTAGTTTCTTTTAAAAGCTCCAAGGAATTCTTTGGGAATGTATGGATTGATTGCAACTGAAAAATTGCAGAAAAAAGTGAGAGGTGCGAAGAAAGGGGCAGACTACTAAATCAAGAAATCAGTTGCAATTAACTGTTCAACATATTGTTCTTTTTACTTTCTATTTGATCTATAAAATATAGATAGAGATAACATCTGCAAATTTCAGTAAAAAATTCAGAAGAGTACTTCAACATGGAGAAGATCAGCACATTGGAATGAAAGGAGGACTTTCTCAATGCAAAGAAGTTCAGGCAAGTCAAAATTACGAGCAATGACAACCAAAGTTTCACTTCTGTCAATACAGTGTAGTTAAAAAATGTCTTCACATCATTAGAAATACAAAAATGTGATCATTGATGACGCAGATAATAAATAAGAACCATGTTGAGAAATGACAAACAAAAATCAGCAAATCACATTTAATCTTCAGAAACACAACACAATAAAAAAACAAACAAAAAAGGCAGTGTCAAAACAAGTGAATAAAATAAATTTGCCATTATCACCACATATAGTTCTGCATTCTCACATATAGTTCTGTGCAACAGATGAACTAATTGCATGTTGATTCACAAGGTAGTACCTGAACAAAGTTTATTAAAGTCATGATGGATAAACGAAGCCATTGCAGATCACTCAACTCTTTAGCATCTTCACGAACCATCTCAGAAATTGACCGAATCAAACTCTTAACAAGCTTAGGAGCCAATGAAACTTTATTTGCTAGCAAGCCCACAATCATCAAAGCACCAGCCTACATAGAGGGACAAGTATTTCCAACTTTTACCAATTGAAAAGCTAGAGAATAATTTAAGAAACAAAATATATTTGATTATTCATCCAGACTTTGAACACCATCTTTAAACTTCACCTTGTGATCTGAACCTCTTCTGGAAACAGGTTGAAGTCCAGAAACTACAAATGGAAGGATTCTCTTCACAATATCACTATTGATAACAGTCATAGAACCCAAAGATTCAATAATAACTGCCACACAAAAGCTGATGACAGGTCTTGAAGGTTGAAACTTCTTTGTTGGAGATGCCTGCAGCGAAAAAGATTCACTATCTCTTACCACCAGTAATGACAATACAGTCAAAAGAGCCCAAAACTACGAAAAGGACACTCACATAATTGCACAGAGTCTCCAAAACTCCCATGTCACGAATACATTGCTGCACTATAACATTTCTAGGAGGTGGCGCACCAGAGACTTTAACACCATCCAAAAACTTCCATTTACTATTTCTACACCAAAAAGACATAATAATTTGTTTTTGTACTGACTTAGCAAACATACAAGGAATCTCTTCTTTTGTACCTTGTGTCAATTAACTGGACTATTCGAACAAATGCGTGGGTGTCATGATAAGGCAAGGCACATAAAATCAAATCCTCATAGTTGTATACATGAATCCTGAATTTTCAAACATTGCCACATTATCATACAAATAAAAAGTTTTAGAACGTGCCAGAAACAAAAATAATAATAATAATAATAATAAGGCAGAAGAAACTTCTTACTTATATCTGCGTATCAAATACTCGAGTGTCTTGTGGGAAGCAGGAAGTTGAAGATGTCCAGAAAGCAACCTTAAGAATGAACCAATGGTTGCATTTATACGGTTGTTTTCATCTTCACGCATCAATTCTCTATTCAATTCTTTACTTTTATGACTGAACAGATCATTCTTATATTTTTCAAAACGTTCATCCACACTTACAATAGCCTCTAGACCTGAAAAGCAAATGTACAAGTGTACACAAACTTGTTTAAACAAATGATCATACAAACTCTTAAACTCAAAATGAAGTGAAGCTAAAAAAAATGCAGCTTAGCAATAGATTAAAACTGCAATTTTCTCAATGTAGACAATTAAAGTGATACAAGCTTCATTTAAGAGTTCCCCGTGAGACAAATGTAAATTTGGCGGCAAAAAGAAACAAGAAGGACGAAAGACAGCTAACCTGAAAGTGCAATACTGAGTATACTCTCAATATCGATATCGGCAGCTTCTTTAGGATCGAACAGGATAGAGGGCCGAGTGATGGGTCGCTTTTGAGGCGCGGAATCGGTTTGTATGACTGACCTAATTGCTTCCAACTGAGAGGCTATGCTCGTCGCCATGTTTTGGTTCTTACCAGGAAGAATAATGAAAATAGATTTTAGAGAAAGATAGTTAAACCCCTTAAGAATAAACCTGATAAAGTTCGATACGTTTGCCTTAAACCCTAATAAGCTCAAGTTTAGCAGGTTTGAGAATCAATAACAAATGTAGGCGGTAGGGTTTTGGAGGTGGTGTGTATTCGAAAATATTGGAATGATTCAGGGGTGCAAATGTCTTTTTATATTTTAAACCGGATCAAACCAATTGGCCAGACCGATTACCAGTAAATCAGTAACCTTTTGTACCTCATTCGTTGTAACTTCAATACATCAATACCCAAACGCCACAGACACGCGTACCCAAGTACTAAAATGAAAAATTATAATATGTTCCGTATTATTTCAAAATTAATTACTCTATCTTTTGGCAAAAAAAATTTAAATGTTTTGTTAAATGGCTTGCGAAAAGACATAAATATCCTTAAATTCCTTTTAAATTTATATTTTCTATCAAATCGAAATGAATTTAAAAAATTAAAAATTAAAAAGAGTTAATGCTACCCTCACACTCCTTCGCACGTATGGCCCGACGTTGGCTCGGTTATTCTCTCGATGTAAAGAGACTGCAATGTATTTAATTTTTGAAGGTGGGTGTAAATTTTGGCTATATTATTCTCTTGATATGCAGAGATTGCAATTTGTTTAGTTTTTTAAGCTTGGTGTAAATTTTAATTTCCGTTTCTTTATTTACAGAGGCATAGTAATGAAATAATTACTTACTTTCTCCATCTTTTTTGTGATTTTTTTTATTTTTATTACTGTTATATTTTTGTTTTTGTATTGTTTTTAGGTGCTAGCGTATAATTATGGACATTTGAAAGTATCGAGTTAGCAAATTAATTATGTGGTATTTGCTAATTAACGGGAAAAGGGCAGGGAAGAACAGGGAAGGGACAATTGACAAAAGGGTAGTTTAGTCCTTTTTTATTTTTTATAGTGAAAAGGGGAAATATTGATGAAAAGATAAATAGTTGGACGAAATCAACATATGAAAATAAAATAATGTATTTTTAAAAATAAGAGGATAAAATAATTAATTTTGGTATAATATATGGACAAGTTGATACTTTTTCCTACTAAAATTGTTCAATCAAGCAAACAAATTATTAAAAATATGACTTTGTTTGTAAACTGTTGAGTAATACGCGATTCAATTAATAGATACACCTTTTATTTCACAACAAATAAGAAAAATTAGTTATTTTAATTAAAAATGTAAATTTGCATGTATTTTTCATATTATACCTTTTTTTAACATGAAATATGATTTTATATTTATTTTTAATGTTACGTATAAATATGAATAATAATAATAATTGATTTTAAATATTAATCATTAATGTTATAATTAATTATAATATTATAATTAGAATTAAGTTGGAATATTAGTTTTTTATTGTCAATTGCAAAATATTAATTATTAAAATTTTAATTGAGTTGTTAAGTTCAAATATTTGTTATTTAATAAATCAATTAATTATGAGGAATGCATTTTCTAAATCAAAAAAAATTCTAACTATAAAAAACTGTTTCAAATTTTATGTTGAAACCATTTCTTACATGTATCCAGTATAAAAATTTAGAAAAAAAAAATTCAAAATCATGTAAAATTTTACTCTATAATATTTGAATTCCAAAAAAATTTAGCATTCAAATGTGTAGTTTTATACTTGCGCCTAATTTTAGTATTAAAAATGAGACCTTATATGTCTAAAATGGACAATTTGCCATTATAACATAATCTAACAAACTAATGAAGTCATAACTTAAAAATCATTTACGTCTAAGTTTGAACTACTTAACTTTTTTATACAAGTAATAAAAACTTAATTTTTATCATTTGATTAAAATATTTTAAATTAATTAAAATATATTAAAGTCTATAACTTCAATAGAAAAAATAAAAATTGATTACCAAAATCTTTAAGAATATCATTATAATGAATTCACAAATTATTTATGGCGAAATTCAAATAAATTTTTTCATGGCTAAAGGAAAATAAATCGGTGATGATCCGAAATTGCAATCCGAAAATAGGCTTGGTGAGAAAGCCCCATCACGCCACTTTCGGACTCTCCATTTAAGGCCGAAGGAAAACTAAACCTACCACCATAGTCAAAAATCAATGTCCTTAACCAAATCGGACTTGGAATCAACTCTAGCAACTGGCTTATTTACAGCGCAATCTCCTTTGGCAACAGAGAAAACCTATAAATCCCACCATTTCTATTGTTTCAAGCTATTGTTATTTTGATCTTGATCTCCATTAATTTCTTACAGTCATAATGCTTTCTTCGTCGGAGGAGACAGTTGCCCACAATCGCCTACTTTCTCCTTGTGCTCTCTCCCTGTGTAAGTCGATTTTGTTTAAAAAAGCTGAAGATGAGCACCCGATTGATGGGCCCTTCAAAACTCTAGATTTTGTTTATGACCCGTTAGGTATACAAATTGCTGGTTCTTGTAATGGTTTATTATTGTGTTCCAGTTTTAAATATTACTCACCTGAAGCAAAACATTACGTTTTTAATCCTACCACCAATCAATTTACTGTACTTCCTCCGCCAACTAAAAGTGCTAGTGGAATTCGCGGCAATTTTTTTATAGCTTTTGATCCTATGAGATCGCCTCATTACAAATTTATTTGTGAGAGTCAGTGCATGCTTTCTGAACCTGATTTCCGGATGGAGATTTATTCATCAGAAACTCAGTAATGGAAGGTTTCGGATGCGGGTTTCACCGTAGACGAGTCAAGCATTGCAATCCATGGTGGTGTTTTAGAATGGTGCTATTCATTGGTATACTAATAAAGGTCCATCTTTTTATTTTGATGTTGATGAAGAACAGGTCAAAGAAATGCCAATGCCTGCAATTCCAGATAAAAGTCAATGGAGGAGGGTAGAGTATTTCGGGGAATGTAAAGGACATTTATATCTGGTTGAGATTGTCAAGTGCAGGATTGATCTTGATGAGATGATCACAAGCTATATGGATCCTTTATTTTCTGAGGATCAAGTGTTCCAAATAATGTACATTGTCAAGGGAGAAAGTGATGATGATGATGGTTCGTATTTGGTGCTGCGCATTCCTACAAAAATCATAAGATATAATTTGAAGGATGACACTGTTGAGAAGCTTTGTGATTTTATTGCTCCTTTCGATCCTGGGGATGGATTGTATTATTTGGAACCTTACTATGCTTATGAATATATTCGGAGCTATTCTTGTGTTTGACCGGGTACTTAATCTTTTGGTTTGTTTCTTGCTATAATATTCGGGGAGCTTATTTCTGTCAATGAACTACTATGGATGTATTCTTAAAATGACCACATTTGTTGAGATTACTGAACAAAAGAGCTGCGTTTTAATTTATGCAGGGATGCTGTTTTTCTTGTCTTGTTCTCTGAGTCCTGTATTTGCATTATTTATTTCTTCAGAGCTTGGTCTGTCAGTACCAAGTTGGCTTGTTAGCTTGTTAGCTTGTTAGGAAAGAATCAGTACGAGGCAGAACATCTTCACATGAATAGAGAAGCAAAAAAAAAAGTCATTAACTTTTAAGCAAATAGATTAAGAGATTTCCAATGCACGGTTAACCTTTGAAAGCTCATAATCAAGGTCCGAACTTGGAAAAATAATACTCACAATGATGATTAATGGTCCGAACCAGTGGTCCGACTCTGAATGCGCCACACGTTACCAGTTAATTTATGTTAAATGGGTCCAGTGTGGCCCATAGAGACTACAGCCATAAAGCTGTGAAAAGCACAGAAGACCATTGACCAAAACTGACATTATTATAAAGTAGAGGACTAGAGAGGGCCTTAACCTTAAGTTCAAGATGATCTCTCATAGTTGGACTTTCGAACCTAAATCCAAAACCCACCCACCACCAACCATTGCCAGCTAAAATATAATAATGCTGATAATAAAGAACCCTCAATGCAAGAAAGAATGGTAATGAAATAAAACCATATGAGCTAGTATGGTTGACAAAATGAAAGCCTTTCCCCTTTAAAAATTATATTCTTAAATGCTCTAAATTGATAAAATAACCAAAGTATGAAAAATTGGTACTAAAATAATTAATATCCTACACAGTTTTCCAATATACATTTAGCAATTGAGGTCCCTCACCTGGTAATAGTAACTACTATGCCAAAACCGAAAAGCAAAAGCATCACCGAGAATAAATTAACCACCAGTTTCCAGAAATGCAAAAGTACCTCACTACAAGGTCAAGAAGATGCCGGACTTTTTGGCCGTTTTGCAAACAACATATACCAATCCAAATAGCTGAAGATGCGACCCCATATGTGTTTTGGGTTTAGAGGTACATTTGCTGAGGCAGCTAAGAGAAATACTGACACTCTTGTTGATAAAATGGCATTTTTCTAATAAACTTATATGTCTTCACAGAACAAAGCTGGGGACCATAAAAGATTCACAATCTTTTGTTGCTCTTTCTTTTGGCAATAAAGATTTTCCAAAATCCGACAATGTCAATCGCAATTTCACTATTGTTGTTGGATTTTGTTCAAAACTTCAAATGTGCAACTTTGCTTGAAATCAGTATCCTGGCTTGATTTGGTTGGAAGCTTCTGCATTAATGCATACATCACAGTTTCCACAAATCTTGTTAAGTAGCCAAAATTCTTAAACTTTTTTGCTTCTAGATAAGAATCATTGTGCTCTCTCCACATATGTCTATGCTGTCATTGTCGTCACTGCTGCCATCATCAAACACCATTTTAGAAAATCAAATTGAAGAAATTTAGCCCGCAATTAACTCCACAATGGCCTACCATCAGAACTCATATTTCCACAAAATAGATAAAAGATCTTATCTTCCAATTTCTTCAAGCTTCCAGAGAACTTGCTTAATGTTCGGTCTAAGAGAAGGCGAAGGCGAACAGCAAGCCATGGCAAGCTGAAAGAACTTCAGTACACATTCCTCAGTAACAAGTTTTTCGTTATCACTTTGATTGCTAACAAGTATGCCTGGATGGTATAAATCTGTAATTCTTCTATCAAGAACTGCATTTCTCATGTAAGTTGGTAAATGAAAATCATCATCCGGAGTTGGATTCTCATTGATTGGTTCTTTTCCCGATATCAACTCAAGCAAGATTATTCCAAAGCTATATATATCAGTTTGCTCGCTAGCATCCTTCATTTTGATCAGCTCAGGAGCTTTGTAACCATCAGCTGCAGAAGCTTCTAGCATTTCTTGTGCAGCTGTAGGATTCAAGAGTAGATGCAGGCCAAAGTCTGATATGAATGGTAGGTGACTCCCATCCAACAATATGTTTTTGGATTTCAAATTACCATGAACTATAGGCTTCTGCAATCCTGTATGAAGATAATCCAATCCTTTGGCTATGCCAATAGATATCCTATAAATGATTGTCCATTTGTGAGAGTCAGCATTTCCATCTGCTCATAAAAGAAGAAAGTTTGACCTTTTATTGCGATTTCAAAGTATTTAAAGAGCAGGAATTTACAAATTCCAGCAGCTAAAATATGTGTACAAATTGAAACACCATATTAAAATTATCATTATTTTTCTAAGAAGTGGAGAGGGAAAATGACAAAATGCAGGTGCCGACAGATATAAATTAAGGAGTGAAGAAACCAAAAAGGGTTGGCGATTTGTCTACTAAAAGATCTAAAGTAATGCAGGCAAAACAAGATTTTGAGTCCAAATCACGGAAAAGAATATTAAATGAAAATTACAGCTTAACCACTCAACATCCAAGAAAAAAACAGATAAAAATAAATGAACATACTTGGAAGATAAACTTAAAAAGGTAAAAAACAAACACCTTATTCTAGTTTATCTGATTCTCCAAGATCTATGAGAGTTAACAGATGCCAAACCAAACTAACAATGAATAAGCAACTCAATTTATCAATCAGAATTCAGGAGCATTGTTGCAGAATTTGCTAAATTTAATTTACAAGTCCAAACTCCAAAGGGTTATTGCCAATTCTATTTTTGTATATTTGTTGAGTAATTGCCAAATACCATTCAAGCTAAACATTAGTCAGAAAAGAGAATCCAAAGAACTGAGGATTAAACAACAAGAAATTTTATGTCTTATAGTTTTAATTTTTCTCTAACTCATGAAAAATAATCCACTTAATTGCGAAAAAAAAAAATCCATTTGTTAGAGAAAATATACACAGGAAAAGAAACTATTACACACCTTCTTACTTACCAAACAGCAAATCAAAATGTTGAAGAGGAGAGGAAAAAAAAAAAAAAAAAAAAGAAAATATACAACAGGGAAAAGGAAACTATTACACACCTTTCTTACTTTACCAAACAGCAAATTCAAAATGTGTGAAGAGGAGAGGCAGGGAAAAAAAAAAAAAAAAAAAACATACTTCTTAATGAACTGAGCCAGAGGAAAAAAAAAAAAAAAAACATACCTCTAATGAACTGAGCCAGATTGCCACGTCTAAAAAATGGATGAACGAGAAGCTTTTCCCCTCTAGACCCTGCATAGAACCCCAAAAGAGGCACCAAGTTAGGATGTCTAATGCAACCCAACAACTCTATCACCTGCCCAAAATCTTTAGCCCTTGCAGTGCAAACTGGCCTCAAGAACCTAAGCAGCCTTACACAGTTGCTTCTCTGCAACAACGCCTTGTATAAAGTACCATAGTTAGATTTTCCTATCACCTCCCCTGGAGCATCAAGAATGTCAACTATTGTAAGGTCTTGCCCACCTTGAAATATCACCAAGTCCTCTGTTTCTGTTTCCTCTCCATTCCTCTGTTCAGGGCTTTCTACGTCATGGTTGCCATTCTTTGCCATTATTTTAAAATGAAGAAAGAGTACTAGAATGAGACTGATTAACAGAGTAACTGAAGTCAATCCAAGGATCAGTATTATCATATGGGTGTTATTCATTTCTACTAAGTTACGATCTTTTCCAGGTTTAGACTTTGGACTACTAAGAACTTATGAAAATGCAGGAGAGACGGAGAATTTAGAATTAATTAAGATCTGGGTACAGTGCAAATAGAGAGAGAGAGAGAAAGGAAGAGAGAGTGAAAGCTTAGTGTAAAGATTTGTATGGAAAAGTGTGAGGGAGAAGACAAGAAGATGAAGATAGAATTCAACTTTGAAGAGGGTGTGGAACCCAATAATTATATGAGCTATTAAAGAGAGAAAAAGAAGAAAAAAAATATGGTTTTAAAGAAAATTTGAAAGAAAAAAAAAAAGATCAAAAGAAAATGAAAATGGAGTTTGGATCCATGTTAGATAATTGAGGGTGTTGGATGGCAGAATGAGAAGGGAAGAAACAGCGCAATTATGGAGAGCTAAATGGGGTAAAGACAGATCTAGCCATGTGATGTTTTTATCTATTTTGACTGTCTTGCTTGGGCTCTGTTGTGAAAGTTCTGCCAAGCCATTACTGGGTTTTTTTTTTTTTTTTGACAATGATAGAGATTGTTCGTTTCCTCCATTTACAAGTTTGTATTTTAATTTTTTTTACAGGTATTATTCTTACATATCAAATCGACGTGACAAATTTCCTTTTTCTATTCCATTTCTGTTAATATGAAATATTATATTTAAGCTTTGTTATAAAATAGCAAATGATTCACATTTAAATCTCTCGTGGTTTAGTATATGATTTTCATATAGAAAAATTTTTTTATTTCAAACTCATTCTTCGTTGCAAGTAGAACAATTAAATCAATCATTAAAAGAAATAATTAGATAAATAACCTAATTTTTACTAAACTAAAAGTAATCATCAAAAGGATGGCAACGGGGGTTTAGGGGTGGCGGAATTTTTTTATTTTTTTTTAGAATTCACCCATAAAATATTAAAACATTTTTATTTTATTTCCTAAAATAGTAAATTTTTTTTAATTTCGCCTCTCCTTAACTTTTGAATTTTTTTTTTGCTCCTAACTTTAATTTCTGAGTCTGTTACTAAGGATAGTATTATTATCTAAAAGCAAAAGATATCATTACTACATGAAGATATATTTTTTTCATTAATTGACTAAATTAACCAATTTCATTTGAGTCAAATATAATTTATTTATTTCCATTGGTATTTTATTATCTTTTCAATATTAGAGCAAAATATTTGATTACAACATTAAATTTGATCAAATTAACTTTTAAAACCAAATAGTTAATTTTTTCATTTTTCTTAATAATTTTTATTAATAATTTGCTGCTTTTATTTAATAAATAAATAAATATTTATCTATTTTATTCTTAAAAATAGAAAAACCATTAACTAATATTATCACAAGGGCAGCAAAAATTATGGTTTGTTTTAGGATTCTGCATAGAGATTGGTTTTCTAACTTCACAACTTTGTCTCGTTTTCTTTTTTTCTTTCCTAACTTGGAGTATATAATGTAATAGAGCTTTTGCATTTTCCTACTTATTATTATATTATTTTTATTAATTTTAATGATCATTTCATTTATTCAATTTATCCTTCCATAACAAGAATCAAGGAAAAGAAGAGAACACAAAAAAATAGTTAAAAAAAAAAAAGGGAAAACTATTCCTAGGATGATTTGTATTCCACATGGGGGCCATTTCAGAATGTCTATACTGAAATCATTATCTATTAAACAAAAACAAAATAAAATAAAAGGATGACCGTACGATTTGAAGACGCTCCAGCTGGAGAATATAAATCAGCCTACACGTGTAGTAAACGTTGATTTGTTTTGACATAGGCTAATTCTCACCGTCGGACCAGCATAAACTTCAATCAGATCATAATCCACGGTTCACATTATCTATTGAAATATGTGAGGAAGGTAGTTGACACAAGAATGTAAATTGACGGCAGAGATTGATGAGATGTTAGTTAGGAAGACCCCACAGTACCAAAAGCCTATTTTCTGCAACGAAATCAACCGTGTGGGACCCTTTTCCGCCACGTGAGATATATCATGGTCTCCCCAAAAGTGAAAGACAAATATGCCCTACATGGTGTTCTCTGTTTTAGCTAAAGTAATGTACTTTGAAGTTATTTCGCAACCGGAGGTTATTTAACGGAACCATCAAAATTTAGGTTCTAATAACTGTATTACTTTTTTTTTTTTTTTTTTTTTTTTACGGAACCATTCAAAATTTAGGGTTCTAATACTGTATTACTTTTTTTTTTTTTTTTTTTTTTTATCACCAAAATAAATAAATTAAAGAGCCACCAATCAACTTTATGCGCTGTCTAATTGACTTCTTTTTTTTTTTTTTTTTTTTTTTTTTTTTATCACCAAATAAATAAATTAAAGAGCCACCAATCAACTTTATGCGCTGTCTAATTGGCTTCTTTGGTGTTTGTATAATCAGCATCCCAATAGCCCCACGAGGCCATAATAAAAAAAGACAAAGGCAAATACACTTTTTAACTCAAAACAATCACAATTTTTATTATACTGATTGTTGGAATTGAATGTTCCCCACTACTTAATAGAGGAGAAATTCTTAGTGTTTCTAATCAAATTCTTATCCTTGTTCAATAATCAGTGGAAATCATATTCAAATCGCATTTTTTTTTTAATTTTTTAATTTTTAGCAGGGAGAAGAACGTGAAATGAGAATGTTGTTTTCTTTTAACAAGCATGTATATTTAAACTTTTACTATTGCAATCAAAGTATTTGCTACTGATTCAATTATTTGTTGATTCGAAAAATATTGTTTTAGATGGCAAAAGAAAATCACAAAATCAAAGAATTTTTATGCAGCAAAAGTGAAAAATCAGGATCCAGGTGTAGCCAACATATAGACAGACTTATCTAAGATCCACTTATTGCTCGATGATGACTTTCAACTAGCAAATGTGTAAGTTTATAGTGCAGCTGCCTAAAGAAAAAGGCAGACAGGGACCAATATATGAATAGCCTGAATCTTAGTGTAGAAGTGGGGATGCTGCTGACAAAGACAAAGTGGTCCTCTTTAATAATGCACTCAGAGGTTGGAATCTGCGGTGCCTGTTAAAAAGCACCGCAAAAGACACCCTCATGGAGAGGATTTGAAATAGGATGTGTGAAATTGAGGATGAGTCACCACTCACCACCTCCCATGATATTGGCATCTGATGTGAACACAAAATCTAGTAGTCTCTGTCTACTACTGATAAACAGAGAGCTTACTCTATATCAGGTGAAATTATTAAATAGGATAGGAATTTGTACCAAAAATAATCAAAGTTTGTATTCAAACTCTTATAACAGGATAGAAGCTTATAGGGGAAAAGCACTCCATACTTCGCTGAAAGTGCATTGCTTAAGCATAAATGCAGATTCGAATCTCCGACTCTTAATGCTACAAGAAAAACAACTTTATTTTTTAATAAAGAATGTCACCATACAAATGTAATAGTAACATTTAGTATGGCATCATAAATTACAAGGTAAAATTATATTGGAGAATATTAGATGCCTTTACAATTTCACAATACTGATATTCCTATTTAGTACACAATTACTTACTTAGAGTCAAGTAATTCAAAGAACAGTGCTTTGTCAAGCAATGTAATACATAGGATTTGGAAGCTTGAATGAGCGAGTTGACATGGAAGAACCTAGTAAATCGCTCCATTGGTCACCAGAGTTTCCTTGAATACGATAACCTTCATTCACCATCTCATTCCTCTTCTCAGATTTGTATGTTGTTGCTAGTTTCCCATGGTCATCAGAGGCTCTACACAGAATGACAGACAAAGACTTCATTTACAATCAGAAAAAGGACTAGTAAGTAACTCAATTATTAAAACCTCAAAAGTAATTGCATTGGTTTCTTCAAGCTAGAAATTTCAATGTCCATCACGATTGAGAGAATAAAGTAACAGGAAAATAAACAAAGCACTAAAAAACTAACAGAAAATGTCAAACTATCATCATGGTAGTTTTCATGATAGTTACCAAAATTTCCCCATTTTCTCCATTTTTCCTTAACAATTCGGCATGAAATTCATGTCGAAACACAATTAGTTACTCGAGTCCTAATAGGAAAGAAGCACTGATGAAGATCACATGCAAAATAAGTTGTGATGAGAGCCTCTCCAAAGTGGACCCTCTGTTTCATCCATAACTGCTCCTTTAACCAAACATTTTTAACCCAGGAAAAGGCGAGTGTAATTAGTGCCTTGAAAGTTTGGACCTGGTTGACTCTGTCTTCAGAAAAAGTTTCTAGCTCTATGATTTGAATGCACCATCAGCCTTCAAACTGATTAGGCAACATTTAAGGAACGTTGAATTGAGTTCAAACTCAGAATCTACTGTTCCAAGTTCAGAGAAAATAAAATGAATGAGGCATAATTCCCGTGTATAATCAGTTTCCTTTTTAAAGAGAAGTATGTGGCAAAATTAATACAAAAGAGTTGGACAAAAAGGCCTTCAGATTGTTCTGATTTATAAAACAAACTTGAATGTGGCAACCTTCTGTTTCATTACTGTTTATGATATTGGTATGATACCTAAGTCCTCTATTGAATATAAACTTCTGTTTCTCCTCCAACATGAACCAACTTTCCAAGTTGGTACTCGGTATACTCCAAAAAAAAAAAAAAAAAAAAAAAAGTTTGGTACTCGGTATACTCCAAAAAAAAAAAAAAAAAAAAAACATCCTGTCCTTTTTTCATAACCACCTAGTTTGTACTTTGGGTACAACCCAAAAAAACACTCTCTTTCAAAAAAAAAAAAAAAAAAAAAAAAATCCTGTCTTTCATAACCACCTAGTTTGTACTTGGTACAACCCAAAAAAACACTCTCTTTCACAACCACCTAGGAAGGCAATCCCTAGAAGAAAATACATTCAAGGTACGGAACAACAAACAATTTAAACATGTGGACTAAATACTGGATTATAGAAAAAGGTCAATAGGTCACAATGGCTACCTATTCTACAATAGAAATATGAAACACAGTAATATGACCTCATGAGGCATCCTAATTTGAAGCATATCAAAAGAATGAACATTCACCAGAGCTAGTTTAAGGATGTACTTCCAACAAAGGAGGAGTTATTGGTCTCCCAGTTATACAAGATGTAAAGGGAATTAAAAACTACCTATGTCAGGATATCCAAGAAAGGGATCATTTTGCTAACTACTTTTAAGACAATTATTATATTTGATAGTTATGCAATGTAACATCAACACTACATTACCGTAATAATTTTCATGTGCATCCAGACATAAAACAGAATGTTTGAACAGAAAAGATGCATTGGAAGAAATCCCGCTGGAGAAGTTGCTTATGATGATAGAATGCACATCACAAAGGTGCTAAATCATCAATAAGTTTTACTCTGTTATAAACTCAGCATATTTTGGCTTAAGATAATCAATATGCATTCATTTACTGTTCAGAATGCTGGTCATTATATATAAGTAAAACAATAGCAAATGGCATATGAACCAACATATTTATCCATTATAAAAAATAACACAAAAATGAATTCAAAATTCAATCTATTGTCAATCACAATCACAAAAGCTTCCATACTCACCTCAAAATAAGTTTGTCCCAATTCTGAAACCCTGCGTTGATCAAGTTCTCTTCAGTGACACTCCTTTGCTTCTCATTGCGTCCTGTCAGCAAGAAAACCTTGAAGCCCAAACCCAGAATCTCCTTATAGAGTTTCAGACTTGGTTCTATAGCTGGTGCCATAGCCTTCTCAACCCACTTATCAAATTCCAATGGATCAAAAATCTCCAAGCTAAAAATTGCCAAAATGAAGAAGAAGAAAAGGAGGAGGAGAATTAACTATTTGTTGCAAAATAACCTTCCCAATGAATCAAATTTAACTAAGAGCTATTCGATTCTTACCCCTTTCTGATAGATATGGTACCAATAATTTCAGAGAAAATTAGATATGAAACTTATAATTTACAGCGTTCAGTTTTCAGACAATAATAATTGAAATTCAACTTCTTTACACGCATTTTCTTTATCAAAAGCTCCAAAAGATGATGATTTTAAGTTTCAATATTTTTAATTAATACTTTCTCAATCTGTTCTAAACATAATGTAGAAACCGTTGGAAGACGAATTCAAGCAACCGAAATTCAAGAAAGTCTAAATAACCCCAAAATAAACCTTACCCATAACCATGCCCAGTATAATAAGGAAGATTGGAGAGCAAAGTTTCGTCAACATCAAACACCCAAGCATCCTTGCCATCCTCATTCAACTGGACACTCTTGGCATAAACTCCAGCTTCATTCGACACTCTCTCGAGATCAACTTGATAACCTCTTCCCATCATGTAATTTCTCACATACTCTGCACAATCCTGGGGAATTGTTTTCCACGGATTCAAATTGTTAGCCTCCACCGCAAATCTCCAGCTGGTACACTGCAATTGGAGCTCATTTTCCAATTCCTTGAATTGGTTACTTTCGATTATGTTTTCTGGGTACTCGAGGATCAAAGGCCTCGGTAGAAGGTGGGAGTTGAAGTGTTCATTAGAGAATGCGAGGGGAAACAAGGAAGAGAAAAGGAATAGGATTGGAAAAATCATGATGTGTATTTTGATTGGCATTCAAAGATTGTATAGAAGTAAAACGATTGGAATTTGGGGAAGATAATTTTGACAGGAATTTATAGAAGGGAATCTATAGAAAAGTCAATCTAAAGAATTCGTCTTTTTCTTTTATTCCTATTCTTTTTTTCTCGGGAAACCAAAATGGAAAAAGGTGTTTTGATGAATAAGATTAGATAAGAGAATGTTTTTTCTTTGGTGAGGATACGAAAAAGTTTTGAGAGCCTTTGAACAGGAAAGTTACTTTGCCGGGTTTTTGGTTTGCAGAGACACAGAAATTGGGGGCAAGGAGAGAAGTGGTCCGGTAGCGTGCGTGCGAACGAAGCGAAGGAGGTGAGAGGAGATTTTCAGTAACGGCACATTGGGTTTTGAATATTCGGTTTTTGCAGCTTTTTATTGTGCTTTTTTTTGTGTTTTCTGATGTGGAGGGAAAATTGCAGGAAAAGAGGAGGTCGGGTTTAGTAAGAGGCGATGTGGAATTGCTGACGTGGCTGGGTTTGATTGGCTCGTGATGAATTTATGGTGGCCTTTTTCTTTTTGTTTCTTTAATAATTCAAAGATTGACCATATAGAATAATTTCTTTTTAATTATAATTAGCTTTCATTCATTGGAGATTGAAGTTGTGGAAATAAAATAATACTGTTGGGTTTAAATATAGTAAGGACTTTCAAGTTGAGATTTTTTCATTAAAAGGAATCAAGGAAAGATCACACCAAATTTTAATAAATTATAATTAATTATAATAATGCGATCTATATATTAATTTTCAATGTAACGAAAATTTTTGAGTTCGAATCATATTTACTATGGTAATTAAAAGAGTTTTTAAATTTGAAATTTATTTATTATGATGAATATAATATTATTTCAGTTTATTAATTACTCATATATATATCCAATTGATATAGTAAAACAAGGCGCTGAATTCTTTAAATAATATTTAAGATTCGAATCTAAATTCGGATTAATAGATTATATCAGTAGTTCGAATATTAATTCGAAGTAATCTATTGTAACGTTGGTACTGGATGGTTGGTTTAACGGAAAAAGAAACATAGACCACGATGGGTGACATTCCAACATCCTCTCATCCACCGACCACGCGTTTTTCTTTACAAAATCTTAGAATCCAGCCTAAAAAAAATTAAATTTTTTTGTCTCCAAATCCTATTGAGCGCGCGGATACCGAACGAGCTTTAATAATATCCCATGGGCTTCGGTTAAAATTGCGGCCCAAGTCCAGGCCGAGTCAAATCGGACTCATTGTAGAATACAAATTACAGTTGGGCATGAAAAATTATCCAAATCTAGTATTTTTGTCAGGCATCCAAGCCCAATGATCTGTCGTTCTAATGATTTAGAAAAAGAATTTTTACCTAGCAAACGACATGTCATCTTCCACACAACGATTTAATGATCTAAAGCTGTTCCTTTAGCTGTGTGCCAGTAGCTAACGATGTGATCTGATTGGTAAAATTTAAAAGATTGATGTTAAGATTTAAATCAACTCAATTGGCAAGGTGAACTTTACAATTTTGGGAACAGTAGAGACAGATATAATCAAACGAAACACAATTTTGGGAACAGTAGAGACAGATATAATCAAACGAAACACAATCTACTCGAATCAATGAATCAATGAGACCAATTCAAAACCCTAACCCAAGTTCTGAGTTCAAAAGCTCTCAAATCTTCATACTGGAACCACTAAAATAATTATGTACAACGTCATTGACAAGCTATATTCTCAATTTTCAAAAAGGTATTAACTAGAAAATGCATTTACAACCCCCCCCCCCCCACTAAAAATAATTATGTACAACGTCATTTGACAAGCTATATTTTCTTCAATTTCAAAAAAGGTTATTAACTAGAAAATGGCATTTTACAACCCCCCCCCCCCAAAAAAAAAAAAAAAAAAAAAAAAAACCATTCAATTCAAGCTAGGGATCTTTACAAAATTCTCCTTCATGTGCCACTTGAACAGTGAACAGGAGGAAGTCAATTATTTGTTATTGGACTTCCACTCTATGATTGCAGACAGAAGTGTGTAATTTGGTAAGACAATCTTATTTGACAAAGGCAGGTTTGTTATTGGTGATTCATCATTCTCTTCGAGCCATTTTTCGATTGCTTTGCGGTCATAAGTGTATCCATCAGCAGCAACACAAGGCTCCATCATTACATCCTGTAAAAGAAACCAAAGTTCCACATTCAGCAACACGATTACTTTGTTTATACTTTGAAGAACTTTAACTTTTTGGAAAATTGTGTAGACATTACCTTAAGTATTGGGCAGATGAAGTGGTTAGGAGGTGTGCATTGAGCACTGGAAATTATATTCCGGGCTCTATCAGCAACTTCCTTCAATCTCTCAAGTGCAGGAAGTACTTGCTCTTTCAAGTCAGGTCTGTCCTTACGGCGCAACTCTGCACAACTTAGTCCCAGTAAAGCCAATTGTTTTGTCTCTTCAAATGGCCAGTTCCCAGCTGATGAATCTAAAATCTCCGCCAAATTACCATCCTCAATAGCTGTTTCCATTATGTGTGTGAGTGCTATTGCTGGTTTTGCAGTCAGCAGCTGCAAAATTACCATCCCAAAGGCATAAACATCAGATTTTGGAGAAATCAAGCCAGTCCTTTGATACTCAGGATCTATGTAGCAAAGCGTCCCAACTGGCCCTGTGTCTTTAGACATAGTGGTTGCGAAGGAAGCATCTGAATGAAGCATTGTTGAAAGCCCAACATCACCAATTTTGCTTACAAAGTTACGATCAAGCAAGACATTAGCAGGTTTCAGATCCCGATGAATGATTGGCTTTGGCCTGGAGTTGTGAAGAAAAACAAGAGCTGAGGCTACTTCCCAAGCAATTCGGTACCTTTCAAACCATGGGATGGATGGTGTATTGTTCACCCTCAGTAGCCTCTCTTCCAAACTACCATTCTCCATATACTCATAAACTAGGCAACCATGATCAGGACAAGCACCAAGGAGGATAAGTAAGTGCGGGTGACGAATTTTACTTAAGACATCAAGCTGAAAATCCAAGAGACAGCAAAGTAAGTATTAATTTAAAATTCAAGGGTCAGGAGTCAGGACAGCTCCAATTTCCAGTGTAAGATAATTTCATTATACAATTTTTTTTTTTATGTAATGTTGTTCTTGTCAGTGAAGATCTATATTTTCTTCCATAGCAATGAGACTTCCCATACCTCCTGCTGAAATTGCTTAGAATTGCGATTCTCTTTTGAATGAAGAACTTTCACTGCTGCAGTCGTGTGATGCAAACTACACTTGTAGACAGTTCCATATGCTCCCATCCCAATTTTAAGATTTTCTGAGAATGATGAGGTTGCAGACACAATATCTTCCCATGTGAACTTCTGGTATTGCTGCACTGTACCAGAGAGAACATTGTCAAGCTTTTCCCTTTCTCTGGCTTCACGCATGGCTTTAAGCTCAGCTTCTTGCCTTTGTGAAGCTTCTCTTTCAGCACATTCCCTCATGTATTCAGCTTCCCGTTTTGCAGCTTCACTCCTTTCCTTCTCCTGTCTTGCTAATTCTTTAGCTTCCTCCTCCCTATGGTTTATTTCCTCGAGCTTTATTGCTTCCTCAAGACGGCGTTTATTAAGATCATTCAACTGAGAAAAAGAAGTGGTTGAAGAACATCAATCTATTTTGAAAGACAAAGATTCGGAATTCAAAAACAAAACTAGAACAAGTCCCATCAATCAAAATGACGTATAAGGAGTTAATTTCTGGTTGACAGGAACTGAATATCCCGTTGGATCTTGACCAAAGGAACTACATGCTTGAATTTCACCAAAACAAGGATACCAAAACTAACCTTACGAGAAGCATCAATAGCCTCGCTTTGAGCCATAGCATATATTCCTTGGACATGTCTAAGTTCAATCCTCAGCTTTTCTAGCTCAAAGTCAATATTTTTCTGCATATAAGATTAAAAAGCAAAATGTTTAACTTCAGTAATCAGTGGTCACATGCACCAGATGAAGAAGCCAAAAGAAAATGCCAATGCTACCTCACTTGCAGATGAAAAATCTGTGACTGTAAGTGCATCTGAGGAGGAAGCTTGATCAGAAACCCATGACTGGTAATCAGTTGGCAAGCTTTTCCAACTGGAACTCCGGCTGAGTGTATTTCCAATTTCCGAACTACTGGGATAAGAACTTGCTCTGTATTTCCCTTCCTCTGTGTCCAGAGACTGGCGTCTGGAATGATTGGTTTTAATGGAATTTGTTCTTGCGTGAAGAAGGCCCTGGTTTATAGTTGAGAGAGCTTGGAAGCGCTGCATCGGTAAAGAAGGAGAATGGAATTGGCAGCATGAGCCAACTGAGACATCTGCATGTTAGACAAAAACAGAAGCAGAGATATGAGAGAAACAAGTTTCTTATGTATTTCTTTTGCTGGAATTCATAGCAGAGTGAGTGTATCACAAGGAAAAAAATGCTAATTATACAGTTGATACACGAAGTTGATTATCAGCGGAATGCTGATGGACCTGAATATATGCAAGTTCTTACAATAATAGAACCATAAGAAAAGTAGCACAGATGAAAATGAGAATTAACTGATTGTTTAGCATCAAATCATCATGGATGCAGCAAAGGAATCTAATGCGGGTTTAATATCAGATATTTTACTAATGACTCGTGATCAATTAAAAGTTCCAAAGAACAAAAAGAAGGAAAGAAAAATATTACAGTTCCATTCAGTATTATCAGAGACAACAGCCAATGAGACATTTGAATCTTTATATTAACCCTTCCCCTAAGAAGTACCCTACAAAGTACTTTGTACAAGCAGATTAGTTAAGTGCATTCACCACACACAGATGCAGCTCAAATCTTAAGTACAATTACCTGTTTGAAAGCTCAGAATGTGACTTGTTGAGCTATTACTATTAGTAGAAGAACTAGTGACACTAGTGTCATCTCCAATACTTCCCTTCGTCTCCAAGTCAGATGGTCGGATGGATGACAATTTTCCTTTTGAAACAACATACACCGTACAAAAAAGTGGGATGCAAGTAGAGATTCTAGAGGACAGAATATTCCCCTCGAGTTTCCTGAAACAATTGCCTTGTTAGCTGGAGAAATTGGAAATAAGAATCCAAAACAAGTGTATAGTTATGGTCAGACCACTTTCGTTTTCTATCTCAAATCAATGTGGGTGTTATATACATACCTCGTAAACAAGCCACGAGAAGAAGCTCCTATAACAAGCTTCTTGATAGTGCACTTAGCTACTTCCTCAGCTATTGCATTGGCCACATCATCCGACTCAATTATGATTACATCTGCTTGCACCTATACGTGAGGATTTTAAAGTTCTAGTTTCTAAACGTTAATTTCACAAAATTCCTACCATTAATACACAGAGGAGAGAAAGAGAGAGACCTTTCTCCGAGTACAAGTTTTCTTAAAGGGAAGAAGCATTTGACTTCTCTGCCACTCCATTTCTTGCTTATAAGCTGCCGCTACATCATCACGTACTTGTGATATAGGAATGGAATTGCCCACTGAAAAGAAAACAAAAACCAGATGGCCAGAGAGATAGTTAAGTTTAATTATGAGTCGCTTAATCTTTCTCTTTCTCAAATTCGATGTCTAAAATTGTTTTCTAGGGAATATTCCCATGAAAACCAACAATAGAAAATCCTTCCAATGTATGTTCAAGTCATTGGCAAAAATACTAACATCATGCATATAAGAATTCTCGAGAAAAGTAGCTTACTTGGTGTAGGGACAGCGGTAATCTTTGGGCGGACATGTAACAACTTGAACACAACCTTTTCCTCGCGAATGAAATTCTCCAATGCCCAATTCACTACATATTTACTTTTACTTCTTCCATTGATAGCTATTCCAACAGTTAAAGGCAGGGCAGGAGGCAAACCAAGTATTTTTTCAGACTCGACAATTTCATTTCCCTCCATTACTATCCAGTTCTATGTAGCACCAAATTGTCTATGCCGCTGCAAGAAAAGTCATAGCAAAAGTAACGTAAAATAGAAAGTACAGAACCAACCATTTCAACACACACTGCAAAAGAGGTGGAAGATGATGTCTAAAGAGAAAACGATAAAGAATTGCGAAATTATGAAAAATAATAAATTTATTTACTTCAATCAGAAATCTTGTGAATATATCCTTTGCTCTGCAAAAGGCGACAACTTTCTAAAAGCAAATAAGTTGTATTCTGACCACCAAAATCCCAGAATTTAACTACTTCGAAATGAAGTTTTCACTTCAGCCTGCAAAGCAATGATATTCAACTCCAAAGTAAAAGGAGAAAAGAAAAACTGAAAGAAAACAGAAAGATGCAGAAAAGAAGAAATGGCCAAAGAAAGTCAGAAAACAAGAAACAGAGAAATTATACAAACAAGAAATTCAGAACATCATTTCACATGCCTTCAATAATCAAATTCAAACTTTTGAATAAATCAATAAATCAAGAATTCTGATTACTTCAGCGGAGGCAATGACGAAAACCAGAGCACCTTACAATAAAGCCAATATCCAAGGCAACCGAGCCGTGAGGCGTTAACTCGTCTCTGACAGTGACTTCTTGTTCATGCTCTTTGCCTCTTTCTATCTTTTAAATAAACAAAACAAAAAACAAGTTGAACTGGGTTTCGTTGAAACTTTGTGATCTGACGATTATTTAACAGGCAATTTGTTTTGGTTTTCTTGTATTATAGAACTTTTTTTTTCTCTACATGGGACAATTCTTGTCTGATACCAAATTTCAAATTCACTATTAAATTCTTTCCTTTTCGTCTCAACAGTTTGTTCAACTGCAACTCCTTAATTAACACTACCTGCGTACCATTTCAAGTGTCATTGAGCTAATCAATAAATAATTAAAAAATTTATTAAATGATTCATGTTATTCTATTCTAATTAAATGATTCACATTAAATTATTTTATCAAAATTTAAATTTTAATGTAAGGATCAAGGTAATTAAAGTTATGAAATTGATTACCAATGCAGAGTTAATCTAAATAGAATGAATTTGGTTACTTTAAACAAGTGACTTTAAGTACGATTGTTACGTTGAGAAGATTAATCTTGCTTAAACAATATTAATAATGACTTGGTTGATAGAGATGAATATTAAATAATAGTGAAAATTATATTCAAAAAAGGGAAATAAGATTATAATAATTTGTAACAAATGGGAAAGAAAAATAAACAAAAATTAAGAGAGAGAGAATCAAATATTTTCAATTGAATAAAAAAAAAAGGTTGCAATGGACTAAATTACATTTTTATAAACTCTCAAAATAGTTAATGCTTGCTGGTAATGAGATACCAAAACGTAAAGATAAAATTGGAAAAGAACAAATTTTAATTTTTTCTTAATCTTTGATTAAGGTAATGATTTACATGTTTTTTTGGATTACAAGTCGTTGGGATCTCAGCAAAAATATTTTGATAATACTAAACCACCCTTGTATTTATCTGAGACTTTTCCAAGCAAATCAGGGATAAACTTGTCTCTTTCTTCTTCAATACAGCCAAAAAAAAACCAGTGAACTACAACAGTCTTTTTTTGCACCGTTCATCACATGAAATGAAAGGTAATCTTTCCTGGAAAATAATTTCTGCCAATCAGGAATTTTCTTTTCTTACAGAGTCAAAATTGACGAAGACGATGTGAACCTGTTGAGTTGGTGACTTAATAAATATTTTAATGAATACAGGGCAAAGACCAAAAATGGAGAGTCAAGAGTGAGACCGGGTCAAAGTCGTTGTCCTATTAGTAAAATTTTAATCTAATTTTGAATATTAAAAATAATAAAATTAGATTACAAATACCAAATTGGTATAGAGAAATGAGCATTTGGGCCTAAGATAGAGTGCTGGGCTTGTCCATTTTGGGTATAGGCTGGGCTTTTATACAAACCAAGCCAGGCTCTTAAATCGTAAACTTTGACTATTATAATATTAATAGTTGTCTACATTAACAAACAAATTTGGAACATCATAGATAATAATAACATTATTATTATTATAAGATTAATTTTCATCGAGGTAATGAAGTCATGGTTCGATGCAGAGAGTGGTAGTCGTAAAAGAAAAGGATCCTATTGGCCTCCAAGCCGATGACTTCTTCCGCGAAAAGCCACTCCATCAGTTGAACTATTATTAGGCCGTCCTGTTGGTTGTGCTTCTTCCTGTGTAGGGCTTGTCCTGGTACCGTTGAGACGAAAGCTTCTTCCGCGGAAAGCAACTCCAGCGTAAGGATCGCTCTGCACTGGGGCATTCACTTGTGTCCCTTCACCCCAAAATGCTACCAATTTGTGACTTGGAAGAAGAAAGTTAAGGATTATGCAAATAAAATTTCCAAAATCATTAGCAAGAACAGGTTTTTAAACAAAACAAATGGAGGATACACCCAGAAAGGAGTCTTCAAAATGTATTTTCCACCAGAAAGAGGATGAAGTACTGTTAGAAAATAGTACAGATGTCCAGCAATCATTCCAAGAATATCAGGCTTCAATGGGTTCCCAAAAATCAGATCCAGTGCTAGCATTGCCCATGGAAGATAGAATCCCTTCATTTCAAAATCAATTACTAGTCCCATTCAGAAATGTAGTTTAAGTATCAACATTAAACAAGAGTAATTCCCAAGCTACCTTCAGTGAGACAACACCATATAAATTGATACGTGCATTTGGGAACTCGCGTCCCCATATATAGATGATCATGAAAACGAGGGAAACTCCCATGAAAGGAGACCACAGCAGAGGAATAGCAGCCATCACCTACATGATATCAAAAACATGAGTAAAAATGATAGTATCTTTTTAATTTTAGAGTTACCAATCTAATTACTTACCAAAAGGGAGAGTGCTCCAAATAAGAACATCCATACAAAATCTGCAGACCTCTTATCAAAAGGTCCTCTCTCCAATGAAACCCCATATTTTGCTCTGCAAAATTTAACTTTTGGATAAATTCCTCTGCTAATCAAGAGGTAATTTATTGTAGTATATGAGCATATCGTCTCTTACATAATTATAAGACGAAATGCAAAAGGGAATGAAAATGGCCCAAGAAAGAAGAAATTGGTAATCAACCTCCAAACCTGCACACTTAATTTATTACATCAGCACAACCGAGCTCCAGGATATATATAAAAAGGGAATGAAAATGGCCAAAGAAAGAAAGAAATTGGTATCAACCTCCAACCTGCACACTTAATTTATTACATCAGCACAACCGAGGCTCCAGGATATATATATATATATATATATATATATAATATTTATAATCATAGATTTTATACGTACCTGGGAAACCGCTTAATTACATCCTATATATAATCTATAGATTTATACGTACCTGGAACCGCTTAATTACATCCTCGTAAAAAAGTGCTATGTTCCCGAGGTTGTAAAGACCCAGATAGTAGGCGGACGTGGTCATTAAACAGGCCACCCCATAGGCCTTGCTTACAGGTGGTAAAGAATGATAGTATCTAATGAATTTCGAAAACAGATGAATTAATCAATTTAATCAATCATACAAGATTGTTCATTCATATAATAATATTTTAGAAAATAAATATCATATGAACATATAATTATTCAAGCATGTGATTAGAGAGGGCAAGAGGGATTACTCGGCTGGTGTAGACATTTTGCAACAACTGACAGTGTAGTTGGTTTCTAAGGGTTGAAGAAATAAAACATCTTGCAGCAACTAATTGCGTTCATCGTCATTGACACCTTCAATGGTGGGGTGGGCCTCATAACATTGAATCTTCAAAAAAAACAAGAATTTGACCCTTGGAGCCGTCTGTCTTACGCTAAAAGTCAAGAGCCCCTAGAACAAGTTAATCATCTTCCAGGGCTGCATAAGTGCCACGTGTCATTCACAAATTGAAAACTGAAATTTTTTTTTTCAAATAAATAATACTCGCAAAACCAAGTGCAACAGAAGAGAAAAGTAACCTTTAACTCAATAATGTTAACGTTAAAGGTAAATTTGCATATGGTTACAGAACATTCAATTGTTCCTTTTCTTTTATTTTTTCACTCTCTTCATGTTTCCTTGACTGTGTACAGTATACATAAGTTACAACATGACATCATATCCCTAATCTTACTACTGATTTTAGAAATCTGTCCAAAGAAGTGTATAGTAACATAAAAGTTCACTATTTCTGATGCTGAGGCTGCTTGCGAAGTTATCCGAATACAAAACTGCAGTATCGAATAACTTGATTACAGACTGCGAGATCCATCTGGAAGGTAGTCTAGCTAAACTTCAGGACCAGATGCAAATAAGCTGATAAGCCCTTGAAATACTTGTGCTGAGAGTTTATGTGCAGGAAAGAGCTCACCATCCAAATTCCAGACACTCTCCTTACCAAAAGAAGTAAATGTAAACGCTGGGGTCTGTGGAAACAAAATAGTTAGAAAGTTTTCGTAAACATTGAGATACTGGACCAAATAAGTCAACTGACCTTATGGTGTTCCACAAACTCAAAATTCAGGGGCCTTCCACCTCTCTTTGCAAGCTGGGTAAGGTGCCTGCATGATTTGATCATGGTTAATGACGTAAAAGCATTAAGGTTATCCGGCAAGGCAAAAGCAATCCAAGATTCATTAATAAAATCAGATAGATGATAAAAGAGAGTTGAAAATATATAAGCAGCCATCTCTGTACATGTCTTGACATACAGCTGAGACTGCAATTATGTGATGAATAATTTAATAAGATGCATTTATGGATGTTCTCATTTATAAAGTTCTGAACTAGAAACAAATTAAGGGATTAATTGGAGGAAAATGACAAACAGCAAGCAAGTTGATTTCTTTTGTGCTTGGTCAAATGCATAGCATCACGTTATCATCTTTTTTGATTCTCTTTGTAGGCCTAATTTATTTCAGATGCCTAACCTAAAATATAATAAGCAGAAATGTGCTGTATATCCTCTGAAGTAAACTTTGTTGCCAGCAATCCATGAATCTCAATTGATAAGTATTAAATAGATCAAACATCTGTGCCAACCCAGACGACTTTCTACCTTATCAACCAAGTCAGGGGCGAAGCTGGGAAGTTATATTAAGGGGGCAAAGTATTTAACACCACAAACAAAGGGGGCAAAGTGGTTACAACTTGAAGAAAATTTTAGCAGATCCTGAGTTAGCACTTGAGTTGGATTTGCCAGTGGACCAAGCTAACAAGAGAAACCGAAGAAGGTTTTGAATTACCATAAATATAAAGCACGAGGACAGTCTCTAACCAACAGGAGATGCAGGAAACCATCGGAAAGGTGAGCATCAGCCACCAAACCATCAGGTGCTCTTTCATTTCTGTTAGAGATCACAGCAGCACCAATGCTAAGAAAATTTCCTTTGCGTCTTCGCCATCTAATTTCTTCCGGTCGTGAATAAGGTGTTGCCCTGGGACTCCTTGTAGACGTGTAAACAGGCTTTGTGTTACAGACACTACAGTTTATGCGACAAATCGCTCTATCCTTTTCAAGACCCCACACTGATTTCATTCTGCTAAGTAGATGACCTTTCTCAGCTGTTGGATTTTTCTTTTCTGCTTCAGTTTCTATGTATGCTACTTCTGCCTCATACGACCTGAACAACTTAAAGAGAATCTCAATGAGGAAAAGAGCAAAGAAATTATGGATATCAAACTCACATCGTATAATCAATTAATCATGTCGATCACAACCAGAAATTTATGCAGCTCAAATTCACCCTATGTTTAGAATACAACAATACCAATAATTGAAGGCCTGAGAAAATTCAATTGGTTTAATTCAAATTTGAAATAAAATCTACCCTGGATGGCTAGGCTGCCATGGGATTGTATGAGAAACACAATCTGATAAATAGATACAGTTGTTCAGATTTGGGGAGGCTCAAGGCAAAAGGGTTAAAAAAACTAAAAAAAAAAAAAGAAGAAAGAATTACCTGTGTCTCAAAAACACCTGTGTTCCTGCATAATCATATCGTTTGGGGCCCATCCAGCGGTATTTTTCACTCTCTGTTATAACATCTCCATAAAATCCATACCTGAAAATAATAAATGGATGAACTATGGAGTAACACAAAAAAGCATCTTAATAACGTGAAAAGGAAAGTGTATTTATTCTTTCCATCAATTTCCAGTCATCATAACTAAAAATTTGCAAGAGGTTCAAGAATAAAAGGAGGACAGGCCTTGGTAAAAAAAAAAAAAAAAAAAATTGCAATGAGGTTCAAGAATAAAAGGGGACAGGCCTTTGGTAAAAAAAAAAAAAAAAAAAGTTTAGCTATACTTGCATCAGCCATCAGGTCATATAGCATAGACCAAGACCAACTACCAAGGCCAGCCTTCATAAAAGAAGAGGAGGGTAAAAAAAAAAAAAAAAAGTTAGCTATACTTGCATCAGCCATCAGGTCATGCATAGACCAAGACCAACTACCAAGGCCAGCCTTCATAAAAGAAGAGGAGAAAAACAATTGGAAACTACCCTGCAAAAGAAGCTGCATAGCGTATGCAAGGTTCAATATCTGATGTAGATGATGTTTTCCATCTCACAACTTGAGCTATATCAAGGTACACCCTTTTGCCCAAGACAATGTGCAAAGCAGATGTCATAGGATCTCGTGTTCCGGTTGTACTGCAAAATAGAAATTTTAATAGATATACTTAATTGCATCATCTAGAAAAAAAGAGGAGAAAATTAAAAAGGAAAGGAAAGGATATGACTCAACTATTTCTAGAACCAGACACATATCCCATCTTCTATTGACTCACCACAGAACGATGAGGCAAGGCTTTTTTGAAAATAGGAGGAAGAGGGGTGGGGGAAGCTATGTTTTCTGATAATTTGCTATGATCTTGATTGATATAATTTTTCAGTGCATACTAACAAGTTTTGCAAATAACACATAAACACAAGGGAATCAAGGGACATTTTCCCATTTCTTATTCCCATTTATTAATTTAGAGAGTGCTAATGATTTTATGGGCAAAAAACAAACTTGGACAAGATTTTAGAGTCGTATTTGACACAGATATTACCAGAAGCTGCTGGTCTATCAAAACCACCTAGCCAAAGTTATTGGGTGTATTTTAATTTCCAGATGAAACCCAAATACCTAAGTCTTGGAAAGCAAGTTTCTGGGGAAAAATATAAGAGATGTCAGTAAGTAGATAACAGGAAAATACCACATCGCAATTGCATCTGTTGAACCAGAAGGAATAATTCCAAACCTAAACCGTTTCCTGAGGTGATGAAACTCGACATCTTGATCTGTCGGTGGCCAGAAAAACAAAAGAATAAGAATCACATACTATGCATTGTTAAATGCAGGTGAACACATTAAATTTGCAGAAGCAAGTATTGGTACTGGCTTGATCAGCTTTTTGTTATGATGCTGCTGGAGTGGGATAAACAATTATAGAATATCATATTTCAGTAAACAATATCATGTAGCTTGATTTGGAGCTTACTAACCTGAGTGCCAAAGACCATCTTCAGATCCTGTAATTTTAGATCATGCAGTAATACATTAGAAAACCACCTGGTACAATTAGAAATTTACAATTTAACTCAGATATTTACTTGTATGGATATATAGTTGCTAAGGTACATACTGAAACTACCGAATTCTGGTCCATCACAGGTAGAACTTGAAATAAGAGGAGAACTGTCTCCATTTTCGTAAGCAGTTCCATGACACATCTCATTTGACTCATGGACTGAACCGTTGCCTTTGTTCTCATCAGAATGCCGCAAGTCTGAAGGAGATGGTGGGAAAGGGGCTTTATGCCTAGAAAGAAGAAATCCATTAAGGATTTCATTGAAGAAACCATCACCACCCTGGAAGCGGATGAAATAGCAAGGATCAGCAGTCAGAAAATAACGTTGAAATAAACGTAGCATAATGCAGAAACAGAAGAGCCCTTAAGAGGTCATATTAGGGATACAAGATGCCTGGTCTGCATTAAATTCAGCAGCCAAGTATTCACCCAAAGTTACATCAGGATCTCATCACACATTTGCCAACTGGCAGCATTAGTGTTTTCTTTTTATGAAAGTGCTAACCAACTAGTAAAAATGGAACCAAACACCACATTGACACTAAGTATAAAGATCTCAATAATCTGGAGGATGTCAATACACTTTAGTCACCGTGGTTGCATGGGATTCTGTTATTCTATCGACCTCAAAATCTTAGAATCAACTACTGCCTAGTACTAGAAAATAAAATAAATTGATCCTGAAACTTACTACAGCTATAACACCATCATATGAATTCAGTTCCTTGTTTGCAAGAGATGCCATCACATCAAATGCATGTCCTGCCTTCTGTGTCACAACCACCTGAGGATATATTCAAAAGAAATATGAACCAAGTTTATCACAAGTAATTATGTATTCCGGAAATATAACATTTACTTATATCTTCAGGGTGGCATAAGCAGTTCATAGACCATAGTCATTTCAGCTGCATGACACCTTGGACCTTTACCATTTGATTTAAGTGCAGGAGATCACGATCAAAGTAACATTGGAGGAAAAGGAATATAACAGATTATTATAGGTATGCTGACGAGATTTCACATAACTTGAGAACATCTGTTTAGAGATTCACTAAGCATGTACCTTTGTTTCAACACCAGCACGTGAGAAAACAGGAGCAACAGTTTCCCAGGTCCTACAGCCATTTGTTTTGCCACTCCTTGGATTAATGAAAACCTAATCAATAAGAAATAAAATCTGGAAACATTTTTATAACTAATTTATGCCTTCACAAGCTAAATGAAAAAACACAAATGACATAGCAATTAACTACTTGCAGAACAAACCAGAAGATTCTTTGGTCTCTCCACTTCTATCTTCAGTGAAGAATTAATTTGATTAACCCACATCTGACATGTCTCAGAATCCTTGTGACCAAAAGTGTAAGTGGTCAGGACCCACAGACAAGGCTGAGTCTGAGACTTTTGGACACCATGTACTTTAAAGCGATGCATCTGAAATAGTTTCATTTAAAAAAATTGTATAAATCAGGTGTACTCACCACATGATTTGAAAACAGTGCATAAAAAACAACAGAAATGAGAAATTGAGAACTAACCTGAGATTCATGAGACTTGCGACTCAAAATATACTTCCCAACATTAGGGTGAATTGATCCATGAATCAAACCATAGTTGATGGACTCCACACCATAAACATCAGAAAATTTTATCTCAGTTGCAACTTTGGGAACAAATTTAATTCCCAAACAAGTTGATTCATTCTGTAACTGAAAGTTTGAAAAGAATCACAAATTGAAAGTTGCAAAAAAAAAAAAAAAAAGAAAAAAAGATAAGCATAATACTAACATCCAGAGAAAACATCTACATGGCATAAGCTAAGTTTAGTTTCTAATTGTTTTCAGAAAGAAAAGAAAAAAAAAAAAAGGAAAAGAAAGAAAGAAATGAGAGAATGGAAGTTCATATGATGTATCAGAAATCAGTCCAAATTCCAATCAATCCTTTATGCATGCTCGGTCAGATCATAATGCCAATTTGCTGATAATTTGGGACTTCACAGAAATAAAGAATAGAAGAAGAACAACTTCCAGATGATTCTATTGAATTCCCAAGATTCAACTTCATGTTATAGGCGAAACCAAAAAATGGAAAGGGGAGCAAAATCAACCTCCAGGTCAACCTCTAAACAAACTTCTAAGGACTAGCACATACAACCTCATTTTATGCTGTGATATATCAAAACCATGTCATGAAAACTAAACATAAACTCTTAAACAATCTCTCAGTTTAAATTTGTTATCAAATCTCCTTGTCCCATCTAGCATCAAGAAAATGAGCTCAACAAAGCCAATAAACAAGCTCCTTTTCGTCCTCAGTGGATCATAAAACGTCAAAACAAAACAGGTACTGACTACTAACCAGATAATTCCTAGTCCTAGAAAATCAATGCAGTCACAAAGCAAACAAAAAATTCCTGAGCTCATATATGTCATTATCCCAAGGAAAAAAAAAAAAAAGGAGAAGAAAAATTTCGCTGTTGGAATCACTAAAAGAATTAACTTTACCAATCAATTCAGATTTTCATTTGAAAACAAAACATGACCAAATAGACCCACAAGCTGATTTGCAAAAAACAATATTCAATATGATTAAAAAGATAAAAACATTTTGGCTGATTTCTGTGAACTAAACATGCCTGACCAAGGTACTTACATTATCGAAGGAATCTAGCAATTTCCAAGACAACCCACCAGAATTGAGAGTGAGAAACACTTCCCCAACGTGATCCAAAAAAACAGTTGACCTCAAAAGCGGTGATGATGCTTCTCCATCTCCTACCTCTACGTTGTTCAGGTGAGATTTATCTCCTCCTCCACAGCTGCTACTACTACCATTGTCATCTCTCTTTATTTCCATCAATACAGACTTAAATTTGAACTTTTTATTTTTGCTACTAATATTTATACAATTCAACAAATTCTGAGTTCTCTGGTATGAACTCAGCCTGATTTGAAAAATGATTCAGTGAAAACTTTCACAATCTCATTTTCCGAATCAGGATCTTTTATTGATTTATTAGACAAAATGACGAATTATCTAATTGGAGACTAAGCATGGAAAAAAAATGGTCGCACATAACTATATAAATCCGAGTTACAAATCCGGATCCAATCAGTTTTACCAATATTTTGGGTCCCCATTCCTACTCTGGTATGTTTAGTAATAATATGAATAGAAATGTAAGACTTTCCTGCACCCATCCCATGCAGCAAATTAATAAAAAATTGTCATCGTTAATGTTTTATTTATCCTCATTTCAGAAGAAAATTATTTTTCATTCATTTGGATTAAAGTGGAGCTCATAAATCGGGTATTTGATACAGATATAGTTTGAACTTTTCGTGTACTTTTAAATAAATACTAGCATATCCGCCTTACTTCCAACCCGATCTCCAAGTATCTAAATCTAACCCACTAAACCGAATCCAATTGTTGACTGGTGGGTAGGGTCGGACTGGTAAGCAGCCCACAGTCTTATTATCCAAACCAAGATTTGCTCTACACAGTAAGGCCCAAATTTTGAAATTTTTACTTTTGGAATCCAAACCTGAACTTGCATTTTGTTAAAAAGATAGTCCAACGGTCATTCCGCCACAAATAAAAACGACAGAAATTTCCTGTCGTTTACTTATGCTATTATTGTTTTGACGGAAAAGGATTGGATTTTCTTCGGGCCCGTGAACGGCGGCTTCTATGTTTCATGGTGACAACAAGTTCCGGTCATCAACATGTTTAGGAGTGAAAATGAACCGAGCCGAGCTAAATATGCTAATATTTTGGCTTGGCTCAATTAATACATAGTATTGTTTGAGATTGGTTTGAGCTCAAATCATTTTTAAAGCACTTTGATCAATCTCGACTCAAATTACAACAATCATTATTGAGCTCGGCTCATTTGGATCCCTCATAAAAAATGACTTAACAAATAATAGTTTCACATGTCGTTCATCAATAAGCAAGGTTTAACAATGCTTGTTGCACATATTACAAGTTGACTTTCAATTAATTGATGTTTATAATCAAGTAAATCTAAATCAAAGAAGAACAGAAAATTAAACCAAATGAATTTAACTTTATAATAAGAAAATTAAAGACAAAAGAAAAGTTAAATTAGAAAATAAATTTGACCTTTTGGGTTATTTATAGTCATTCTTTGATATCTAATTAGTGAATAATCAAGAAGAAATTGAAAGATTTATAGTCATGCTTAATCAAAGAATCGGCAACAAGCTTAAAAAAAAAAAGTGAAATCTTTGAGTTTTTGTTCCGCAGCAGAGGGAAGATAGCCGCCACCATTAACAATAATTTATCAGTATCGTTACTCATTCCTCAGTTGCTTACAACATATTATCTAAATTTGAATCTTCTGATCGAAATTTAATAGTATCAGAATTTTATTTGAGTTGTAGTTTGCTTTACGTTTTTATCTCCGTATTTCCATCTAACCGTACATCTCCTTTTGCACATAATTGGTAAAGATACAATAGGTAAAATCATAAAATAAAAGCAAAATATACCACTTGTATTCCATGCATCAACTATTTATAATATTTAAATAATTTATTTTAGAAAAATCTATAAAGTTCATGAAAATTCGAGTCGAGCTTCTGTTTTCTCATGCTCGGCATGTTTGTAGCTTGAGCTTATATTTCTGATCAAACTCAGCTTGTGTACAATATGAAAGGATTTAAACGAGCCAAAAGCCAAGCCAAGCTCGAGCCAATCTCAAGCTACTCGGATTGTTTTACACCCCTAAACATGTTACTTGGAAGAAGCCAAAGTCCCCGCTTCTATCTATTCCATCAACTAATATCACGTCCTTGGAAACTGATGCCTAATACTACCGACCCGTCGTTTTCCCTCAAAAGGCTGAGAAGAAACAGTTTTTGATTTTTAAATGCCGATGAAGTGTTGAATCACTTAACTGATGGATGGCACGAAATAAACAAGCCTGTGAAAGTGAAACACGATTATGTTGCAACTTTCAACACTCAATTCTTTTATCTAATAACAATCTTTTACACAGCATTCTCCAAATTGTACAACTTACAGAAACATCTTCTGTTTTTTGCTACACACGCGCACAAATTAACGTAGTAATTTCAGTAAAGATCGAATGTGACAATGTGATTGGAGAATTACCAATTTATGGTATTGGATCCTCCAGAAAAATTTAATAAACTTGTAGTAATAAATTCCCACTTCAGGATCAGGGAAATACAGTGAAAACCTCCACATCGTCCATTTCTGGACTCCTCACTGAGTACTGAAATGTCCATCCATGACAAGCACCGGCATGCACACCACTCTTATTGACAGCAAAAACAGCTCCCACAAAATCTGGAAATTTTCTTGCTATTCGAGATATTGCATCCTCAGCAGCAACCCTAGGCTCCATACCTAGTCTCATGCTCTCCACGACTTGGTAACTGGGGAAAAATAAGAGGTCAACTTAGCTTCAAGCAAAATGAATCAACAAGATTATTTTAGTGAAGAAAGTAGAATAAGATTGTACGAAGAAGATATAATGCACAATTCAGTGGAATATCAAGCTTGAGCTGATTCAGAGAGGAAAGATACATAATGGCAACTTAGACTACATGAAGAAAAAGGCACATGCCTGAGCTGTGCCAGAACATGATAAATAGATTAGTAGTTTAGGGTTCATGAAAGCAGGGGAATCGAAAAAGTGGATGAAGTTGGCCTCTTACAAGCAGAGATCAAGCTGAAACGTAAGACAAACCAGTGCATATTAGCTTCAGGTTTCTAATAGCATATTTATTTCTGCTAGTGGTTCAAAGAGACAGAAAGTCTTGCTTAGCTATTTGCATGTTTTTGGAATAAAAATAACAAAATATTTAGGAAAATACCATGGAAGGAAGCGCATCATGATGTCACCATCCCCAGTTGCACCACAAGCACCAACATCATTATCAGCATAAGCTGAAGATCCTGCAATGGGTCCATCACCCACTCTGCAGTCAAAGTAAAATTTGCATTACATGGTATCTATAATATGAATGCATGTACTACATAGCAGTTGAATTTAATTGGCTTATATTTCGTTTACAAAGAAATGAACAGAAAAATATGCAATCTAATGACTCTGAACCAATAACTTGAAGCAGAGAAATACCCATTGGAAAAGTTGATAGTTTGATACACATAAAGAGGAAAAGTTCATCATCACTTTTTCCATTAATAGATATGCCCCAGAACTTCAACAATCAAAACTGAAGCAAAGAGACTCAGCTGATTATGGTTAATAATTTGTTGGCAGGTCCACTATGCCGGTCTTTTTATGGCCTCTTACTCCATCTACAACTAAAATTGTGAAGCAAACTCCTTATCTTTGGATACAAAAAAAGGAATTTCAAATGCATTATCTTGGGAGCAGAATCTTATTTGTCATGATCCAAGCTTCACACAATCCTCAAAATACACATTGCCAAACAATGTTTTAACCCCAAAGTCCATAGACTATGTATTCACCTTACCTGCCAGGGATCTTATATGTGGCTCCATTAGTTGACGTACCAACAGCTACACGCCCCATCTACACCATGAAATTAACTTTATATGTGGAAAATATAAGTGGGAAATGTGACTCCATCAAATCGAACTTGCTCTTGCATGAACTTACTTTATCAATAACAGCCATTGATATGGTGTCATGGTTGTGGCGACCAACATGAGATGATCGCGGTTCAAGGACTCCCATCAGGTTGATTTTGGGAAACTCCCCTTCATTGAATTCCGCAGTGCCCTTTGGATGGTAGGGGCCACAACTATCAGCAGGTACAACATTTTTCCAAAAATTAGGTCGGCAGTGGTTCTCCTTCCATTTGGTCCATTTCTCCATGGACTCTGTCGAACTCAGGTTTGTAGGTCCAGGGAGTCCCATTGAAATGGCAAAGGCTGACGCTGCCTCCCCGACAAGCAAAGTGTGCTCTGTGTGCTGCATCACTAATTTTGCAGCTCTGATACCATCTTTAACATACCTCATTGCAGCAACAGCTCCGACCTCCATTGTCACCTATGCATGTACTTAGCAAATTGAAGATCTCCATCATTTGTCTAATATAATCAAAGAACAAAGGAAAATATTAAGAATGAATGGCTGTTGATTAACATAACACAAGTAAGGTTATTACCCCATTCATGACCATGGCATCAATTGTAGTTTCTCCATTCTCATCTGGACTTCCACCAGGCCCCACTGTTTAAAACAGTTAACGTTGCTGATAAGCGATCTTAGCAAAGCTACACTAATGAGAGCATCTAATAAGAAATTTTCTGCTTATGATCATATAATAAACATTCACATGCAACTTCGACAAGATTATGTTTCTGTCGTACAAACCAACCAACTTTCAGAAGTGACCATGTGAAAACATAGAACTACTCTCATGGTCATTATATTGGGTTATATCACAATTTGAGAAAAATGAATCCTCCTGTAAATTCATTTCAGTACATTGTAAACTTGGAATCTGAAAATGTTGATATCAGTAGCAGTCTAGCACATGGGATTAATAAATATTAACTAGTCAGTTGAATAAAAACAACCCAAATAATTTGGGGAAAAGACTAAAAGCAACACTTACCTGTACCATCACACCTGAGTTCCTCACAAGCCGAACAACCCTCCACGATAGCATCGACAGCAGAAAGGCCACCATTAACAGCCCTCCAGGCAGCTTTGACAGCTTCTTTGAAGGGCCAGGTGGTCACTACTAGAGGATACTGCCCTGGGTTCCTATCCCCATCATCTGCTAGAACCTGATAAGCAGCAAGAATTAGAGGGAGAAGAAACAATAAATACCCACATCACGAATTGATGACACAATCAATAAGAAAATGGAGCTAAATGTGAATGCATAGGATTGGGGATCTCATTCCCATTTACTTTTCTCCATTTTATCATTTATTCAAACATAAAGCAAGTGAGAAAGAAGAAAGTTTTTGTCAATTATTATAATTACAGCGAAAAACAAGGTGAAGAGGTAGAAAATAATGGTAGGTAAGCTTCCGATGGCCATGGAATTGTTACGGAGAAAGAGAGAACACCACTCTAAATCGATGGAAACTGGAGAGTGGGAGTCTTGACTCGCTGCTATTGACAGAGGCAAAGCAAGGATAGGATAGGATAGTCTCGTGGGCCCGTTCCGCCGTAAAGGGCCAACTATAGATAGTTTTACGGTTTCTGAAAAATAATATACAGCACCTTGTCGTTCGCGGCCTCCCAAAATCTTTGGCAAACGTCTAAAATCCAACCTATTTGTTAGCGGCGAAGAACGATAGATCGTTTCGAGTTTTATAAATTTGCAAACGACTGGAAATCCTAAGTGGTCGTCTGCTTCCGGGGCTAAGAAACGAATTTTCGTTTATGGCTTGTTAACCATTTGTTTGACCTCACATTTATCTCGCAATTTTGTTTCTGGAGAGGCCAATTACTATGGAGGAGGAAATTGGTTTTAATATATATACAGTACCCTTAAATTTTTGTTTGGAAATCATTAACCCATTTTTTAAAAATTTGCGTTTCACTTAGAAAAATTTATTTTTTTAAAATTTATTATAAACTAAATTCTACAATTGTAACGCCAGCTTTTATTCATTCATTAATCTTAACTAGTTACAAGTTTATTCAAGTTAAAATTATTAGCCTTAATATAATATTCTTACCTCAATAACACATTAATAATTATGTCATATGATTAAAATTTATTTTCCATTAGATAAAGTTCTATTTCATGGTAAAAATCATGAAATACTAAGAAAATTAGCAGTGTTTATGATAGGAAGTTGGCTTTGAATCTCACCAAGTTGGAAACTTGGAATGGAAGAGTTGTTAAAAGAAACTTCTGTTAATCAAAAATCAACTCGAACCTTTTGCTCGATAGTATTTCTCGAAGCAAACCAGAGTTTCTATAGAAAGCAATTGCTGAACGTCACATTATCTTATTTATCAACCTTCTCCAAACAAATAAGTTGGGGCAAAGCAAAACAACTCTCTTTCAAATACTAAAGCTACTTTTCATGAACCATATGTTATCAAATGCTAGCGCAATATTGAAATGTTACACTAGAAAAACATTTGGATACGTTTTCCACCGTGGCTTGTCAAAAACATCCTAATAATTTTGAATACACAATTTCCTAACCACCAACATTCACAGAACCACATCGAATAGTCCCAGGTTTTTTCTAAAGCTGTAATAACCACTATCGAGCGATTGTTATATGGATGATATTCAGAAATTGAATTAATCGTTAGTATTTCAAACCGAAGGATATTTGGTCACATTGGAAATCCAGGAAACAGGTGCTGTTCAATGATCTTCAAGTTACCTCCAAACTGTCTCATTTGCGTCTGTAAAGATTGTGTTGTGCTGTTCTATGAGACACTGAATGACCTCAATAGCACTGAAGTCCACAGGTGTACCATCATCCAAGGGAATAGGAGATGAAGCATCCAGATCTTCACCCTCATCTGTAGCCATAGAATAGAAGAAAAACAAGCACATTAATTAGGGCAAATAGCTTTTACCCTTTCTATTATGCAAGCACAATTTGTAACCCATCTATCACGGTATTTCTATTTGATGGGTGAAAAGAAAATGAAAGTGCATATATTCTGAGTTTCATCTACGGAAAGAAGGTAGCTAACCAACGGGTTAACATGTGCACATTGCATATATAACAATGCAGATTCACAGAAATTATTTTCTTGTCTTCTTAGCTTCACCATTTGATATGCGAGTAGTGACTCACCTGAAAGCATGTCCCATGCACTGTAATTAGGCGCTGGGTCCCTGCTCCTCTTGGGAGGATTTCTAGATGCCTGACTCCAGTATTGCCTGTAAAATTCTGGTTTCTGCTCTTTCTGCCACATTACAACAGGGGCAATCTCCATGGCAAGGCTTCGTGCATCCATCTGCAGAAGACAACAGATTACATGTGATATTTATCAGATCCATCCACATCAACTTAACAATGCCATACGTCACTGGGTATATGTAAATCCAAAAATTTAACAAGCATGTTCAGAAGGTATTAAATGGCGGGAAAGCAGAAGGGGCATTATCATTTTGAAGAAGACTTGAGATATTCAGCTCAATAGTGAAGCAACTTACAATGAAATAGCAGAGCAAGTAGTATTTAAATTGCTTACCACTTAATGAGTTATGCACAGTTAATAAATAGAAACTATTTGAAAAGTTGAGTCCTAGACTGTTTGCTCATCAGTTCATTATGTATGCCTAACAGTGATCTAAAGTTAGGCTAACAAGTTGATTTGAGATCCATATTTTCAAAATACATGCATGCTGTGAAGGTAAAGAATCATAAATTCACATCCGTAAAATCTACATATAGAAGCATGCCAACCAGCAGATACTTGAAAAGATACCGCTTGGCGATGAGTCTGATGACCACGTGTGCACATGTATGTGCTTCTCTAACCCAACAGAAAACAAGAAAATATGCTGCAACTCATTTAATAATGCCATGCAGAAGAAAATTTTACCATCAAGCACAGTAATATACATTCATTTTGAACAACCACATAGATTACAAATCATATGCTTCTGAAAAATGATATAAAACAGAGCAGGTGAAGAAAAATTCAAAAAAAAAAAAAAAATGCAAATGGGAACCTTTTCAATCTATCCATCAAATGCTAGGGAGATGAAAATATTGAAAACATTTATTTATATATGAATCCTTTCTTATGCAGCCTCCTGCACCAAGAGGAAAGGGGGGGGCATCAAATGCTAGGGAGATGAAAATATTGAAAACATTTAAATTTATATATGAAATCCTTTCTTAATGGCAGCTCCTGCAAACCAAGAGGAGAAAGGGGGGGGGGGGGGGGCATGCAAGCTTGAACATGCACCCCATAAAGACAACGGGGGAAATAATGGGGGGGGGGGGGGGGGGGGGCATGCAGCTTGAACATGCACACATAAAGACACGGGGGGAAATAATGGGGATAGAGAGGGAGGGGTAGCTGTTTCTTGCCTTGTTAAGAAGTGACTTCTGGCTGACTCGGAGCAGCAGTGCTGTGATAAGCTCCAAAGTCATATAGTTGACAGTAGGAAGCTTCTTTAGGATATTTTTCATCGCATATATGCTAGAACGAGCACCTTTAATCTCATTATAGAGCTCAAATGTTGTTAGGGGTTCAGGAAGGCTTGCAAGATAACATTTTATTAGAGCTGCCACATCAAGTGGATTTACACCTTCTGGTAATGAAGCATTGGAATCTGCAAGACATTTATAACAAGAGTTAAATATAGTATCACCATGCTGAATTAAATAATTGTCATTTCTGAGAGTAGAACAGTCAAGATACCTTGGTTGTACACAGAAACCAAGTGCTGAATAACCTTTTTCTCTCCTTCAGCTTTAAACAAGTCCATTGAGTTTAATCCTAACAATGAATGCAATTAAAATTAATCCCAGTTTAGAAAGAGCACCAAAGTTATAATTGAATGTCTGATTTTCATATCAATCACCTGATAATATGAGATAATCTGCACATTTGACCAAAATGTGGGGAACAAGACTGCTGGATCGTTGCCGTTGTACAGTGACTTCAATCGGCACTCCAAATACTGAAGATACAGAGTTAATTAGCAGTAATCAATCTATACTAGCATGCACAAAGATTGGATTCAGTATGCAGCAAAACTACTTTTACTAGGATATATTAGAACCAAGCCCATACTCCCTTGCACAAAAACCTGTAAATGGATGAAGGCACCTAGAAATACTCATAATGAGTAGAAGGATTTCCAAAAAGAGAAAGCCAAACATTAGTTTCTTTAATACTAATTTTGGACAATAAATAAATAGTCAGCTACTAAAGGTAGTATTGTATGCAACCCACAGCTGAAATTCGCCCTTTTCCAGACAAATTTCCAATAAAAGAATCTGCTACTGATGGTTTCAATTTTCAACTTTCATGTAGGCAAAATGGAAAAGGGAAAAGGAAAGTGGTATTCTCATTAAACAGGGAAGACAAAGGAATTTTAATAAACTTACCATCAGTGCTGGCAATTCCCTGGAAATGGACAACAAAACGATAATGTCAAAACACGAAACTGAATGTAAAATTGAAGAGGGGGGAAGTAATGTAATAGGAGCAGCCTCATGATATTATACCTTTTGCCATCTTTCAATATCAGTGATAATTGTCTTACTTTTTTGAGCAGTCTTTTTTGCGGCCTGCCAGAAATGACAAATATGTTAAATCATCAACCTTGCTCTATACTATAAACCCATGTCAAATTTTATGCTATTGTAAGCCAGAGGAGCACCTTTGATAATTGGCTTTCCTATCTAATTTCATTAATTCTTATTTTGTATATTCTACCATTTTGTGTATTTTAAGTTCATCAAATAATTATAGAGAAATATAAACAACGGAGGATGCAATCTAATACTAGGAATTTGGTGGAAATATGTCATAAACCCACTGCTGCCTGTCCAACACAAAAATCAGGGTCTTCATACGAACTATGATGCATGGAAACTCTTAACCATGCTTCCGCATTTGCATTTCCCCCCGCATAAAATATGTTTACCCTTGTAAAATTAAATTTAAAATGTCATTTGCCCATATCGTTTCTAAGTTTCCACATCCCCATGTTACCGTTTCTATGCAACGTAGCACATGAGAAGTGAAAGATAACCTCTACAGTCTACATTATTACCTCTTCAACTTTTGTCTTCCCAACAGCAACTTTGTCCTTTGTATCTGATAAGCCCTTCCTCAAGAACATGCCAGTTGTAGCTGCTGCAGTTATCAAATTTTCCTGCAGAACATGCCTCGTTGATGGCTCCCGAAGAAACGCCCATCGACTTTTAACTGCTGATCCAAATCGTTCCGCTGCATCAGCAACATTACCTCTGGCATCCTTTGCAACTCCTCCCACATATGTTCCAGCAGATTGCCCAGCTTCTTTAAGCTTTGTCCCTGCATTAAAACCATAACTTAAGCACTAAACAACAACAACAACAACAACAACAACAAAAAGAAAGGAAAGAAAAAAGATGGCAGGCAATAAAGTCTAAAAAATACTTAGAAAGATACCTGACGAGGAAAAGAAAACAGTAGCCTTCTCCTGCCACTGAGGTGACCCAGCAGAAGGCATGGATCCAACTATGAAAGCTAATGTTGAATTTAAAATTTATATAAGAAATCCCTGTTTCCAAGCGGACCCATAAAATGAGTGTAGGCAGTAGTCAATACCAGCAGCTAACTTCAACAAATTTAAAAAGTACATAACAACAAGGACAGTTAGATTCTGCTCAGTATCAATTTCTCCACTCTTTTAAGCAGTGAAACAGATTCAGTACTCCCAGAAGTCACTCTTAGTCCTATCAGTAAAACTCAACTAAAGACAAAACATCTAACTAAACATAACCAGATATAACAGGTAACAGAAAGACAAATCACTATTTACATGCCGTGATACCATTAAAATTATGAAGAAAATCCCCTTTAGAATCTCGTTCATTGCTCTTGCTCCACGGTGATAAATATTAAGTTTCTACAGCTAAAACCAATCAATCAATCAGTCGCTGAAAGATGACCACCAGTTCAATTTTTGAATTTCATAAGCTTTGATCGTTTTCATAAAATCAATATAAGATGAGATAACTAAGCATCTAAGCTCAAAATAAAAAAATTATTTTCCCTCCATTTTCCCAGCAACCGAACAATAACAGAGCAAAAAGATCAACGATTAATCACTCAAAGGAATCGCTATTCACACAGGAAACCTAATTATATTAATCCTCCAATATAATATAAAGCCATAAACCAAAAATAAAAAAAGATGGTACCAATACAAAATCATAATTCTCACCAGAGAGAGAAGGACAAAAGAACAGCAAGAAGAAATTACCTGTTTATGTATGTCGGCCTTACAATAAAGGAAGCTGATAGAAAATGAAAAGCAGATTCGAAGGAGAGGTGTTTATGAGTCCAACAGGTAGACGAGAGGTGGGGAGAGTTCAAAAGTTGAAAGTCATTTATGATGGGCAGAGTCGAGAAAGAAAGAGAGAGAGTCCTTTTCTGGTATTTTAAGATTTTACGACTTTCTTTAAATTAGTCAGGGAGTCTGTTGAGGTCATTGCCTACTTAGGGTGGGCCACGTAGATAATTCTCCGGGAACACGCGTACAATTACCCTGTTTGGTTTTTGTTCCTTGATGCTTCTGGTTTCTAACGGATATAACGGCTCTCCGCTTGTTTCTCTTCAAAACTTCATTTTTGCAGTCCGTCTATTTTAAGATTTTATTCATAAACACCAGAACATTTTTTTTTCCTGAAATTGCTATTTTAGCTCCATTTTTTAAATTTCGAACATAAATTTGAAATAACGTTGTTCAAAAAACCAATAAAAATAAATTATCAATTAAATGAATAATTGAATTGCTAAAACCTCTTTTGATAAAATATGAGATTCCTTAGTTCAACCAGCTGTGCAGTATATTAGTTTGTAGTTAGTTGTACCTACCTTATATGTTTCCTGGAAATAAAACTAGATACAGGTCATCTCGTTATTTCATTTGTTCTTACATTATGCTTTCCATTTATGGCAAAACTAAATAGAATTACCAATTATGGGACAACATTGTTCATATTCATCAGGACCTTGTCATCTTCCAATGGGATTTTCTCCCACTTGCATAAAAATGTATCTTTGCATTTAAATCTACATTCTTTTGGTACAACATGAATTTTTACATAAAGCATGTAATTTTTCCAGATTTGAACGTCCGATCTACTGTAACTAAAACTCGAATATCATGCCAATTGAGGCTTATTCTTATCATTTACTTCTTCCCCTACAATTCTCTTCCAAAACCAGTGCTCTTTCCAAACTATATCCATTAACTCAATTGGCATATTTTTAGTCTCAGGCAACAGGAAGAACACAAATGCAGTCATAACAGCAACCCACCCTCCAAAAAAGAAGAAAATGCCGGACTTGAAGTAGCAAAGCATAGTTAGAAAAGTCTGTGCAACAACAAATGTAAAAAGGAAATTCACTGCCACAACAATACCTTGTCCTGCTGATCTTATCTCTAACTGGAAAATCTCGCTTGGTACTAGCCATCCCAATGGACCCCATGACCAAGCAAACCCAGTTACATATACACATATCATAATCAAAACCAAACTTGCATACCCTTTTCCAATACTTCCATGATCACCTAATTCAGCTGCCATAATTCCTCCAATCGCAATCTGTGACAGAAACATTTGTGCACCCCCAAATATGAACATTGCTCGTCGGCCGAGTCTGTCTACTACAAGCATTGATATAAATGTTGCAGTTGTGCCTGCAACCCCAGCTATAAGTGCAGACATGATTAGTGAGAGGCTTTCACTTAGACCAATAGTCCTGAATAGTATTGGAGCGTAAAATGAAATGACATTGATGCCTGTTACTTGTTGAAAAAATGGTATTGCTATTGCCATTACTAGTTGAGGCCTATATTTTCTCTGAATGATTTTCTTGAATGGGTGCTTAATTGAAATTGAACTTGCTCTAATGAGATCATCAAGCTCTGCTTGAACATTGGCTGTGCCTCGTATTCGTTGTAGCATAGCTTTAGCCTTTTGGTGATCATTGGATCGTTGAATTAAGCTGTTGGGTGTTTCTGGTAGGAAAATTGCACCTAGTGTTAGTATTAAGGCTGGAACTGCTGCCATTGCTAGAGAAATTCGCCAGCCCCAACCACCTTCAATTTTTTCAGTTCCAAAATTAATAAAATTAGCTGAGAGTACACCAATTCCAACACATAGCTGGAATCCATTGTTGATTGCTCCTCTATATTGTGCAGGTGCCATTTCAGAAAGGTAAAGAGGAACTGACTGCAGAAAAAATGAAAATTACTGTAATATACAATCACTGAGTTTCAATGGTACTAAAGTTGTCTCCAAATTGTGAGGTTATGAAGTCAAATTCCGGTTACAGCCTATATACCTGGTTTGCAAAGCCAACCCCAACTCCGAGCAGGACACGACCAAATATTAGCATGTACAAATTTGATGCAGCTCCATTTAAGGCTGAACCAGAAAGAAATGCAGCACCACCTGCAAGAATTGATGGTTTTCGCCCGAAGTATCTAGTGACTGATGAGGCGACAAAGGAAGCGATAAGACCAGCCAGATAGAGTGATGAAGTGAAGGAGGTTAAAAGTTGACTATCAAATTTGCAATAGTTGCTAATCTCAGTATCTTCTTTCATTTTATTGTAAACTTCTGGGAAAAATTTTCTGAGAAATGATTCCATAGATGTCACTCCACCTTCAAATTTATTGTTTAAAGAAATAACAATTAGTTTCACCTTCTGGATCACAGAGCAAGCAGCAATAACAGTTAAAGAAAACAAAACAGGTTTTGGAGGGTCTGACCTGAAATTCCAATATCATAGCCAAAAATAAGTCCTCCCATGGCAGCTACCATACAAGAAAGGATAACAAATGGGGTAATGCTGCCATTGTACTGCCTTCCTTCACTCTCTATGGCTAGTCCTCCTGCCATAGCTTAATCTCAAAGCACAGAGAGATAGAGAAAGAATCCAAACTGTAGATAATACAGAATAAAAGAGCATTTCAATTACAGATAGTAAAAGAATAGCAGTCTTTCTTGACTGATAGAGATCATCATCAATAGCATCACCGTAGAATGGTTAGTCAAAGTAAACTAATCATCTATACTGTGGACTTGATGGATGCACGCGTGGGTTAGACTCGTCAAGTTGCGGAATTTGGACTTTAATGGTTTTCTTTATAATAATCCTCGTTAAACAATACCTGCTGCTAAGTGCTAATTCACTATATGACAAATAGAAGATCAGAAAAGTTGAAACAGATGACTTTCTTTTTATCTGAGGAGGATTTTTCACATCTAGGTGGAGAATAAGGAGCAATTTTACCAATTGTATCACCAAGTACAGTTTTAGAATTTTGATAACTAGATTTATCAAAATGATGAATTTATAATCAGGAAACGAAATCTGTAATAAATTGTTCAATATTCCATTTAAATTAGTACTACAATGTCTTGCTTTCTTCAGCTAACGGAAACATAAGTAAATTACTATTTTCTGGTAAAGGACTAAAATGAAATTGTACAACAACAAAGTTTGAAAACGTAACTAATTGTATCAATTTCAAGCTGCTTCAATTTTATTACTTTCCTCGACAGTTTCCCCCACAATTCTCTTCCAGAACCAGTGCTCCCTCCACACTATTTCCATTTTCTCAAGTGGTATATTTTTCGTCTCCGGCAAAAACAAGTGCACGAAAATAGTCATCACAACAACCCATCCTCCAAAAAAGAAGAAAGTTCCGGACTTGAAGTGGCAAAGCACCGACAGAAAAGTTTGTGCAGTAATGAAAATTAAAAGAAAGTTCACTGCCACTACAATACTTTGCCCTGCTGATCGAATCTCAAGCGGAAAAATCTCACTAGGAACTAACCAGCCAAGAGGACCCCATGAGAATGCAAATCCAGCCACATAAATACAGATCAAAATCAAAACTATATAAGCATACCCTTTGCCTATACCGCCACGATCACCTAATTCAGCTGCCATGATACCTCCAACGATAATTTGTGACGCGAACATTTGTACACCCCCAAATAGAAACAGTGCTCTTCTTCCAAGTTTGTCAACTACAAGCATTGATATAAAGGTTGATAAACTACCCACACCTCCTGTTGCAACTGAAGACATAAGCGAAGCACTTTCCCCTAATCCAATTGTCCTGAAAAGTACTGGAGCATAAAATGCAACAACGTTAATGCCTGTTACTTGTTGAAAAAATGGTATGGTTATTGCCATTACTAGTTGAGGCCTGTACTTTCTTTGCATGATATTCTTGAATGGGTGTTCAATAGTTTTTGAGATAGAGCTAGCTTTGATTAGATCATCAAGTTCTGCTTGGACGTCATTGGTGCCTCGAACACGTTGCAGCATAAGTTTAGCTCTTTCATGGTCGTTAGTGCGCTGAATCAAGCTGTTCGGTGTCTCTGGGAGGAAAAGTGCCCCTATTGTTAGAATTGTAGCTGGAACTGCGGCCAGAGCCAGGGAAATTCTCCATCCCCAACCGCCTTCTATCTTTTCAGTCCCATAGTTTACGAGATTAGCAGACAGTATTCCAATGCCAACACAAAATTGGAAGCCATTGTTGATTGCGCCCCTATATCTTGGTGGTGCCATTTCAGAAAGATAAAGTGGCACTGACTGCAAAAATAAGCATATATGTCGTTTGAGGAACCAGATTTGAAAAGGAAAAAAAAAAAAAGGAAGAAGAAGACAGGTAGAGAATAACAAGTAGATATGTACCTGATTAGCAAAACCGAGACCAATTCCGAGCAAGATACGGCCAAATATCAACATATAAACATTAAAAGCAGCACCACCAAGGGCTGAGCCGGCAAGGAATGCAGCACCTGCTAAAAGAATTGATGATTTCCGCCCAAATGCTCTTGTGACCCATGACGCGAAGAAGGAAGCAACAAGACCAGCAACATATAGTGAGGACGTGAAGGAGGTCAGCAGTTGACTATCAAATTTACAGTAATTGCTAATCTTTGTGTCTTCTTTCATCTTTTTGTACACGTCTGGGAAGAATTTCTTGAGGAATGGTTCCATAGATGTGACACCACCAGAAATTCCAACATCATAACCAAAAATGACTCCTCCCATGGCAGCCATCATACAAGATAGAACAACAAAAGATGTCATTCTGCCATTGTATTGGCTGCCTTCACTTGTTAAGCTCAATTCCCCGGCCATGGCTAAACTCTCGAATTCCAAGTTAACTCACCAGTGTTTACAAGAGAGAAAGTCAAGGGCTTTGAAGCTTGGATGAACAATAGATGTAATAAATAATAGACAGAGCAGTTTTTCTTGACTGATAAAGTAGAGAGATCATCATTAATAGCATTACCGCGGAATACTGAGTCAAAGTAAACTAATCACATGTACCGTTGACCTGATGGGTGCACGGGTGGGTTAGACTCTTCAAGTTGCAGAATTGGAGTTTAATGGGTTTCTTTATAATAATCGTCCGCCAACAATATCTGCTGCTGAGTGCTAACTCAGTGTTTGACAAATAGAAGCCCATAAAATTGAAGCAGATGACTTTCTTTTTATCTGAGAAGGTTTTTTCCACATAAGCGAAGATTAGGCATGGAAAAAACCTCTCCAAAAAAGAAAAAAAATAGGGGAAAGCTGGGTACATCAACCCTTTCCAGAGCCAATATATGTGGATGTTTGGTGTATTGAGTCTCCCTTAATTGGAGTTTAAGGAGCAATTTTATCAATGTGAAATTCATAAAATGTTCAAGATTTCATTTAAATTAGTATTACTATGTCTTGCTTTCTGGTTTCTTCAGCTAGTGTAAACAAAAGTAAATTATGATTTTCTAGCAAAGTACTAAAATGAACTTGTACAACGATAAAATCTGAGAAAGTAATCCATTCTATCAACGTCAAGCTGCTTCAAACTTAGTACTTCCTTCAACAGCTTTCTGGTTTCTTCAGCTAGTGTAAACAAAAGTAAATTATGATTTTCTGGCAAAGTACTAAAATGAACTTGTACAACGATAAAATCTGAAAAAGTAATCCATTCTATCAACGTCAAGCTGCTTCAAACTTATTACTTCCTTCAACAGTTTCCCCCACAATTCTCTTCCAAAACCAGTGCTCCCTCCACACTATCTCCATTTTCTCAATTGGCATATTCTTGGTCTCCGGCAACAATAAGTGCACAAAAACAGTCATCACAACAACCCATCCTCCAAAAAAGAAGAAAATTCCAGACTTGAAGTGGCAAAGCATAGACAGAAAAGTTTGTGCAATAATTAAAGTAAAAAGAAAGCTCACTGCCACCACAATACTTTGGCCTGCTGACCGAATCTCCAGCGGAAAAATCTCGCTAGGAACTAACCAGCCAAGAGGACCCCATGACCATCCAAATCCAGCCACATAAATACAGATCAAAATCAAAACTATATAAGCATACCCTTTGCCTATAGTGCCATGATCACCTAATTCAGCTGCCATAATACCTCCAACCATAATTTGCGACACAAACATTTGCACTCCCCCAAATAGAAACAGTGTTCTTCTTCCGAGTTTATCAACTACAAGCATTGATATAAAGGTTGATAAAGTTCCCACAACCCCTGTTACAACTGAAGACATAAGTGAAGCACTTTCACCGAATCCAATTGTCCTGAAAAGTATTGGAGCATAAAATGCAATAGCGTTTATTCCTGTTACTTGTTGAAGGAACGGTATGGCTATTGCCATTACTAGTTGAGGCCTGTAGTTTCTTTGCATAATCTTCTTAAATGGGTGTTTCATAGTTTTCGAGATAGAGCTAGCTTTGATGAGATCATCAAGTTCTGCTTGGACATCACTGGTGCCTCGAACACGTTGCAGCATAAGTTTAGCTCTTTCATGGTCATTGGTGCGCTGAATCAAGCTGTTAGGCGTCTCTGGGAGGAAAATTGCACCTATTGTTAGAATTGAAGCTGGCACTGCAGCCATAGCCAGAGAGATTCTCCAACCCCAACCGCCTTCTATCTTTTCAGTCCCATAGTTTATGAGATTAGCAGACAGTGCTCCAATGCCAACACTGAATTGGAAGCCATTGTTGATTGCCCCTCTATATCTCGGTGGTGCCATTTCGGAAAGATAAAGTGGCACTGACTGCAGAAATAAGCATCTTTAAGAACCAGATTTGAAAAAAGAGAGACGGAGGCTAACAATTAGTACCTGATTAGCAAAACCGACACCAACTCCGAGCAAGACACGGCCAAATATTAGCATATAAACATTAAAAGCAGCACCACCAAGGGCTGCGCCGGCAAGGAAGGCTGCACCTCCTAAAAGAATTGACGGTTTCCGCCCAAATGCTCCTGTGACCAATGAGGCGAAGAAGGAAGCAACAAGGCCAGCAATATATAGTGACGATGTGAAGGAGGTTAGCAGTTGACTATCAAATTTACAGTAATTGCTAATCTTTGTGTCTTCTTTCATCTTTCTATACACTTCTGGGAAGAATTTCTTGAGGAATGGTTCCATTGATGTGACACCACCAGAGGTTCCAATATCATAACCAAAAATGACTCCTCCCATAGCAGCCATCATACAAGATAGAACAACAAAAGAGGTCATTCTGCCGTTGTATTGGCTACCTTCACTTGTTATGCTCAATCCTGCAGCCATGGCTAAACCCTCCACTTCCAAGCTCACTCACCACCGTTTACAAGAGATAGTAGATAAGTTAAAGCTTCAATGTAAAGTGATATAATAATTCATAGATGTAATACTAGAGCAGTCTTCATTGACTTAAACAAAATCAACATCAACGTAAGCCTTAAGTCTAATGAATTACTTAATGTAGATTTTGGACTTCATGAGCATGTGGGTGGGTCAAAATGTTTATTGGAAGTTAGCTCAGGCGGAGATTTGCCTAAAAAGAGTTAAGGAAGTCCACAATTATTACAACATTGCAGTCGACTACAGTCCAAAGTTATTGGAGGAGAATCTTTTGTGAAATTCTGTAAGAAATATGCTTTATATATGAAAATGAATAACTACAAGTTGGAGAAGACCAACTCAACTGTGCTGTATACAGTGTATACACACGGTTGACCAATAACACTGCCTTCCAATCACATACAGGCGGCTGATTAAAATATTATATCAAAATAAAAATTCATATTCAATGATGTATATTTATTGATTTATAATATTATCAATATTTATTAATATATGATTAATTTCAAAAGTCGTTCTTGCGACATATTAATTTTCAAGCTTAAAGCAATATGTTATTTGATCTCAATCAAAACATAAAAAATTCCTATAAGAAATAAAATACAAATAAGTTACTTTACTACATTTGTCAAGAACCTTATTTTTAAAATTTAAGTTGTATACTTATCTTATTATTATTATTTCGTTATTAGTTCTTACCCGTACATATAAGATAAAGACATGATTAATATTTATTTTTACTCTATATTTATATATATATTACTTATATATATATCTCTCTATGTATCTATATCTATAGGTATTGTATATCTATTCCGTTATAGTTCGCTTACCCGTACACTATTAAAGGAATCTAAAGACATGATTTAATATTTAATTTTTACTCTATACTTTAATATATATATTACTTATATATATATCTCTCTATGTATCTAATCTATAGGTATGTGTATATCTATTTTTGTCATTATATATATATAATATATAGCAATATCATTATTTAATATTTCTTATATCTATGTATATATTTATATTCATCTTCTTTTTATGTATCGTTTATCCTTTTTTTCTAAACTATATATATATATATATATAGCAATATCATTATTAATATTCTATATCTATGTATATATTTATATTCATTTTTTTATGTATGTTTATCCTTTTTTTCTAAATGTATAAATAGAAATATTTTTATTTTAATAAAAAATTAATTAATTTGGTCTTAAATGGGCCATGGATCCGTTCCGATAAAATTTTCCCATTTTGTTGATAGCCGGTACGGGTCCAAAACCTTCGAGATTTAATTTACTATATTCGCTTTCCGGATTTATCCCTCTATTTTCACAGCCTCTCCATAACCAGCAAATCAAGGGTCAATTAGTTTGGTGATGGCGTAATGGGCTTCTTAAGACTCAAGTTATTGAAGCATAGCTCACTTTTGTTACCTAAACAGCTACTTGTTCCATCTCCGTCTCATTCACATTTTCATCTAAGATCATCAGTTCCTCTTCACAGTTTCACTAACCGGAGAAAACTAGTTGTGAGAGCGCTTGCTACAACAGCAACGCCAGAAATGGTCAAAGCTATTAGGGTTCATGAGCTCGGTGGACCTGAGGTCTGTGTCTCTCACTCTCTTCGTCACTTATATTCTTATCTGAAATAAATTTTATTGTCTAGGTTAATCAAATTATAAATTACACAGGCAGAATCATTTCATCTGTGAAGTAATTTATTGTATTTTGCTTTGATAGCAATTTTCTCAATTAAGCGTGAAAAAATTATGTCATTTAGGTGTGTTTTTGAATGTAACAGTGTTCATTGTTTGTTATTGTTTCACCTAAATCGTGTCTATGCTGTAATTTTTTATGCTTAGTGTTGCTTTTAGTTAGAATTTCTGTTCTGTGTTTATTAGAACAGCGGTTACTTAGCTTCACTTATTCATTTGTGTAAATGATGACATCAGGTTTTGAAATGGGAGGATGTGGAAATAGGAGAGCCTGGCCAGGGTGAAATACGTGTAAAAAACAAAGCTATTGGGCTTAACTTCATTGATGTTTACTTCAGGAAAGGGGTTTATAAGGCTTCCTCAATGCCCTTTACTCCAGGTTTGGCTCTCTCTCTCTCTCTCTCTCTCTCTTCTCTCTCTCTCCTATATATATATATATATATATATTATATATATATCATACTATTATATGTTGTGGTGCTGCGTTGCTGCTTGTGTTTCACTGTTATGCGTTACTGTCATTTCTATAGTTTTATTCATTCGGCTTTGAGATGGCTGAAAAATTGGACAATTAGGGCACTAGGCTTTTGTGTGCTTTTGGCTTATGGGCTATCTCATAGTCCATTTATAACATGTGCATCACTCAAAAATTGGACTATACTTTACTCTTTTCACGATATGTTGCTGTGCAAACATGGCTGGACGGAAAAACGCAATATATATGTGTTTGTGTGTGTGTGTGTGTTCACTGTATGGTTACTGTCATTTCTATAGTTTTATTCATTGTTTGAGATGGCTGAAAAAGTGAAATTAGGCACTAGGTTTTGTGTGCTTTTGGTTATGGCTATCTCATAGTCCATTTATAAATGCATCACTCAATTGGATATACTTTATCTTTTCACGAATGTTGCTGTGGCAAACATGCTGGACGGAAAACCACCAATTATACACAGAAAAGGCAGAGCATTTTTCTACTTGTTGGCTGGTGATCATAGTTATGAATCTAATATTCTTCAATTTCGGCTAATTGGAATTGCACCTGTTCCTTTTCTGAATGAGACATTCTTTTGATGACATTGGTGTACGATGAATTTGGAAAAGATTTTCAAAAAACCGACATACAAAAGAACAAAAAGGGTTGGTGGAGGGGCTCTCGATTGCCAGAAGTGGACTGAAAATCCTCTTGATTAGAGAGGGGACCTGCCATGAGTAATTGAATGTTCTATAGCAAATTCTTCTGAAACTAATTATAGCTGTTTTGGAGATTGGAAGTAATGTCATGCATTTTGCAAATGATGCTTGTGTTTGCATAGTATTAGGAAGATTAAGGGGCCTGTTTGGCATTTATATTGCAAGTAGCTGAGTTTGAGCTAAAAATTAGGAGTAATCTGGTTGACCCAATAGATATATATATCATCATAGAATTTTCTATGGATCCTAAATTGAATTTGGGAAAAGCTCACATTCAAAATTTTTCTCAACCTCAGGCTCAGCTTTGAGCCCATAGAAAACTCTATTGCAATTAGCTATATATTTGGCTAATAAAATTACTGTTAAGTTTGGTCCAAAATGTGTTACTTGCAATAGCAATGTCAAAGGAGACCCAAATATGATATGGATTCTGTTTTTGGTTACTGCCATAAAAGCTTAAAAACTGAGTTGAAAACTGATAGACTTGCTTGATTGTATTGCAATTGACGGTCAATGGAAGTAAGAATTTTATAACACTCCTGGCCTTTGAAAATCAAATTTCATGAATGAAGAATAAAACGAGACTTCCCCCTTTTACTGAGGTTTATCAAGAGAATAATATAATCCATAAAGAATTAACTCAGGCATTAAAATTTGAAATTAAAAGATAGATATCCAACATTTAGAATCTTAACGTATCCAGTTGTAAATTGTCTTTTTTTATCTCTTAACAATCTGTTCTATAGTTTCAGAGACTGTAAAGTTGACCATGTATTCTTATTCTTTTTTCTATTCTACCTGTTGATATTGGGTTAATAAGCATTGGAAAGATAGTGTCACCTGAAACCATTGAAAACTGTTCTCTATTGAAGGTATGGAGGCTGTTGGGGTGGTGATAGCTGTGGGTCCTGGAGTCACAGGTATGAACGTGGGAGATATTGTCGCCTACGCGGGCCAACCTATGGGCTCATATGCTGAGGAGCAGATCCTTCCTGCAAACAAGGTTGTACCTGTTCCTTCTTCAGTCGGTCCTGTTATTGCAGCATCTGTTATGCTTAAGGGCATGACTGCTCAGTTCCTACTTCGTCGTTGCTTCAAGGTAGGTAGTATGTCTGTCTGAATATGGATTGAAGCCTTCATAATTCATACCAGGGTTGTTATCAGGCTTTTAAATTTGAAAACATAGAAATAATGCCACATGAGAAAAGCTGAAATTTGCCAGTTGATGACCTCCCTATGATTGCTCATGAATCACACGTGCATTCTTCTTGTTCTTGAACATTGCCATTGCATACACAACATGAATTTTATTCTGTGTGCATGTGAGTGGATACGTACAAGAACATGATTTTTATACTGTCTGCATGTGTGTGCATACAAGCATGCATATATATGCACCTATGCAAGACAGAATTGTGTTATGAACATGATCTTGGTTTCAGTGTGCAAGTTTTTCTCCAAACTTCTTTCAAGTTTTGGCTTCATGGACTCTAGTTTTGATTGGCTATTCCGTAAAAACACATCTTTGAAATAATTATTTGCATTAGTTGATTGTTGGTTCTTTTCAAGATGAACATCTGCCCAATTTCCTTCTGTATTGTAGGTTAAGCGTGGGCATACCATCCTTGTCCACGCGGCAGCTGGTGGAGTAGGGTCTCTGTTATGCCAGTGGGCAAATGCTCTTGGTGCCACTGTCATTGGAACAGTCTCATCCAAGGAGAAGGCCACACAAGCGAAGGATGACGGATGTCACCATGTGATAAACTACAAAGAAGAAGATTTTGTTGCCTCTGTCAATGAGATCACATCAGGCAGCGGGGTTGATGTGGTGTACGATTCTGTGGGAAGGGACACGTTTCAGGTAATCTATACTCTATTCTCCTATGAAATGGTTATTGTTTGTTTTCTGAGTTGGCATTTGTAATTGCTGGTTCATATTTATATCAGGTGCTTCTTTATGTCATCACATGTTAGAAATCAATGGCATTACATTAAATTTTATAGATCTAATTTTCCATTTTCCTTTATGTTATACCATCAAATGTTTTAAGGTATCAACCTAAGGACTACTTCAGTTGTATCATGATAGTTGCATCTAATCTAAGCGCAATTATCTCTACAAGATTTGATGTTTCAAATCATATATTTCATTTGGCTTTATTTGAGAAGGTTATACGACACATGGTAGTTAGGTATCCGTCAAAATTTAGTTAGCAGTGTAGCACTTTTAATTAATATAGATCCAAGTTGCATTTTGCTCTTAAGATTTTGTTGGTTGAGAGTTCTTATGGGCAAGTTGTGATATTCAGGGATCATTGGCATGCTTGAAGACTCGTGGGTATATGGTGAGCTTTGGTCAGTCATCAGGTACTCCCGATCCGGTTCCATTGTCAGCACTTGCACTGAAATCGCTGTTCTTGACAAGGCCTTCCCTCATGCAATATACTGAAACTCGAGATGAGTTGCTTGAAACAGCTGGAGAGGTATTTGCCAACATTACATCTGGCGTCTTGCGAGTTCGGGTAAACCACACATATCCTCTGGCTCAGGCAGCACAAGCACATGCGGACCTTGAGAATAGAAGAACATCTGGGTCAGTCGTGTTGATTCCATGAGGCTAAATGGTTAATTACCAGTTACACTGAGCTCTCCTTTGAGACAAGAAAACTGCTCTGGGTTAGTTTGCATATCAGACATGTCGGGCTGAGTGAGATAATGACTTTTTTTAATATACTTTATCCTATTATATAATAAAAAATGATTGAAATGGTTACAAAGTAAGCAGATGAGCTAGGCCAAGGCCCCAGACAACTGGGCCAAACTAAAACCAACAATGAAATGGTAAATCACTGTGGTATACATTTTCTCGAAGGATCAGTGGGATCTAACTGACTTGATTGAGCAATCTGACCGACCATATCTCGGTTAAGACGCGTCTGCTCATCAGCCTCCCTTCCCGTTCCCGGTTTAGTCCTCTTCACTTGTATTCGATCTACGTGCAACGAAACAAGGGTATATTAGATTGGGAATGGTGTCAAGCATAGTAAATGGGCTGCTTATTAAGGCCGAGAAATGTGTGTTCCTAGACCGGTCCAGTCCACATCCCCACTCACGAACGGGCCAATACTTCACTGCTACAGAAGTTGTGCTAGCTTTTCTTGTAGGTTCGGAATTGAACGAAATCTTTTTTAATATTAAGAGATGATTTGAATCTGAATATATTGTTATATTAAATAATACGTAAATATATATTAAATTTTAAAAGCTTAAATATGATGAACTTTATAAGTAATTTATAATATAGAAAAATATGTAATAGAGAAACATTAATTATGTTGCTAGCTTTTTTCTTGATAGCGTTCGCGAAATTGAACGAAAATCTTTTTATAATATTAAGAGATGATCTTTGAATCTGAATATTATTTGTTATATTAAATAATACCGTAAATATATATTAAAATTTTAAAAGCCTCTAACATATGCATTGGAACTTTTATAAGTCAATTTTATCACATATAGAAAAATATGCCTTAATAGGAAGAAACACTTAAATTATATCATATATATAATATATATATATAATATATACTATATATATATATATATTATCGATATATGTATAACTAATATTATGATATTATGTATAATATATGGAATTGTTTCTGCATCAATCGCAGACCAATTCCTAATTCCTCTTTTATTAGGGGTATTGAATACACCCATAATTCTGAGCTTCATGTTACTCCTTTCAAGCGACATGTTAGGTCCGGGGCATCCCAATTCGATTAAATGGGATGACAGTTTTTCATTTTAAAAATGTAAAATCAAAATTTCGATCAATTTACACATCGCAGTATACTAGGCCCTCTAATTCTTTAAGAGGTTTATCTAAAAGATTTGCGATATAACTAGGGAGACGTTTCAAGTACCACACATTGAGTTACTGGATATATCAATTTAATGTAGCCCATTTGATATTTTAGTATCCGAGAATCAACAAACTAAACTTCGCATTGTTCACAAAATTTTGGATTTTCTTTTTCATTTCTGATTACTCGATAATTTCTACATGGGTTTGTAATGATTCGTTTTCGAGCTGTCGAGTGACGATTGCTCCATCTATTAAGAATTATTAAGAAAGGATGTAAGTGGCCTGTCTTATTATAAAGGGGTACTCTCTTCACAAAAGCAAAAGAAAGAAGTCAGTTTTCACATTATACAACTAGGAATTCCTAATATATCATTTTTTAAAATTATAAATTATACAATTATATTTCAACTATATGTAATTTGTGAGGTGGGATCGAGCCATTAGTGCCTACCCATCAATGTCACCGGAAGCATATCTAACGAGTAGTACTATAGTAGGCAAGTAGCATAAAAAAGACGGGGGGGATGGAGGGTAGAGCGGTAATTTGAGGCAACGGTTATTGAGCTGGGGACCGGAATCAAGCAACGAAAGCTCACGTGAGGAGCATCACGTATGCTAATCATTGCAAATTTGCTATATTCTCTCTCAAATGCACCATTGCTCGGTTCGCTTGTGCTCGTAACAGATTACGTTTTCTCTTTCTCACATTACACGAGTAACTTTTTCTCTCTTATTTTCTTGCTCTCCAAACAATTATTCACTCACAATCATCTTTTGATTCCAAATTTTTTTTGCACAGAAAGGTCTGCCATTTGATTCCATTTGCCTTCTCTTTGGATTTTGATCATCTTCATTGCTTGCGTTTTCTTTTATTTGCCTTTCCAATCTCTGTGTTTGATAAATACGTATCGAACTATCGATTGCAGGTTCTTAGGCTTAAAAACCATCGGAATTCATTGCTTTTGTTGAAAGGAATAAGCTTTTTACATTTTCTCTGTTTTCTTATGCTCTGCCTTTAACATTATGAAAAATCTCCAAATATAAACGTTTGAATCTTTTTTTTTTTTAATATATAATTTCACTTCTGGTTCCTCAATACAACTTTCACCTGTTTTCTCTTTGTTTCCCAGTAGCCAAACAGAGGCACTTTTTAAACTCAGTTTTTTCTCGCTTTTCAATGCAGAGCAAGAGCTTCATTTAAATCAACTGCGACTTTAAACAAATAAAGCTTTTCCAAAAAGAGTAAGCTACAACTATGCTTCATCCTTTTCAAGCTTCATCTGTATTCCATTTTTCAAGTCAAACCCTTGCATTAATTTACCAAGTTAGTGTTTGGATCACCCATTCACCCTATATACAAAGCCGCAATATTTAAAATAAAAATCCTTTACTAAACTTAGGAACCTTCCATTTTCAGTCCTTCTCTCTGCCCCAAAATTTTCTATGTCCTTGTCCTTTTTCTTTATGTCCTCTTTGCAAATTCTTCTCAATTGTCCTTTCAGAATTCAGATTATACAATTCAATGAAGGTTACAAGATTTTTTATTAAGGTTTTTAAGAGAGAGAATTAATTGTAGTCATTTTTCTGGTAGGTATTGCATTGCTGTCATGAAGATTGAAAACGCAGCTACAGGGCTCACTGTAAGTGTATCTTCTCTCTCTCTCTCTCTCTCCAAATATTCCAATTTTCTGTTAGTCATATGTTGATGCTAACCCACTCGCACTTTATTTCACGCGCCTGCACTTCCCTAACATTTTGATTCATAAGCCAATCGGACGGCCTATATGCACTACAGGAAACGACCCGCATTTAATGTTTTATTCACGCGTGCGATAGACGCGTACTTAAACCCACACGTCTGGCTCTTTTAGCATGTCGCGCTACCACCTTCAGCAAAGTTTACTTGAGAAATGATTACGAATCACAATCCGCATGATCATACATAATCAGAGAGCAAAAATCATTATAGCGTATATTCTACGTAGTGACGAGTATGAGCGTACGTAGTGTGTATACATCAATATAAAAGGATTTTGGTTGGTTAATAAAATGGTTATGTTGTATGTACGTGATGCAGGAGATATTAATGGGCTTGAAAAAGCAGCAACAAAGGCCTGAGAACGCCGTAAATGAAACAGTTCTGAGCGGACAATCGCTGCCAATATCTTCTCCTATTGGTGCTTGTTTTTGTTTGTTTTGAACAATCTGATTTGAATCGACTTTTTTCCTTGTCCATATTCGAATAACCAATCAGGATGTCCTCTCTTCTTCAACCTGATGAAAGTCCCACCAATCAGTGCAGTTTTATGCTTGCAGATCCTGCAGACCACATTAACGTAGGTTCATTCTATGAGATTGATCACTCAAAGCTTCCTCATAAGTTTCCAGATCAACTTAACTCAGTCCGGATTGTTATGGTAAATGAATAACTCTACTGTTTGTGCTTGCATGTAGTTATATTATTTGATTTGACTTTGTTTTGGTTCGTTTTCGGGTTCTATTTTCAGGTGAATGAGAAGACTAGAATGAGAGTGTCCCTGAGATTCCCGAGCGTCTACTCTCTTCGGACTTACTTCAATGAGAGTAACTGTAGTAAATCAGATGGAAAGAAGCTGCCGGCACTGGACGAAAAGTACACTATAGGAGCGGAAAGCGCAGCAGAAGCACTTTATAGGAGGATCCAGCCTCATGAAATTACGGATAAGAGAAAATTGTGGCATTTCTGGGCTGTCGCTTCGATGTTGCCTTCAAATTCTAGGTCTAGAAATACTTTTGTTTCTAAGAAAGGTTCTCTTTGGTCTGAGCTTAAAGGAACCGGAATTGTTAAATGGGGCCAGCGCCGGCAGGTCAGGTACTTGGCTAGGCATGTGGAGAATAAGCGTGACGTGGTTGTAACATGTAACGTTGTGAGAGAAGAAAAGGAAGCAGAAGAGGAAGAGAAGGAGGAGGAAGAAGAAGAAGAGAACGCATCAATGGTTGTACCTGACGAAGGCGAAGGAGATCAAAAAGAGACTGAAGAAAGTGATGGTGATGAAGAAGATGCTGATGTGAAGGCTGATAAATCACCGGAAACTAAGAGGAATCGCAAGAGAAAACACAATGGGCCTAACTATAAGACCCAGAAGAAGATCAAAAGGCCAAAACGTGAAAAGAAGAATCAAGCTGTAGTTTACAAGCAGAAGAAGAACAAAGTTCTCAAAAACTCAATTGACAGATGGTCCGCTGAGAGGTGGGGCAACGACTTAATCTTATAGTTCTTTTATCTTTTAGTTAATTGGTTGATAAACTTATTTTCTGTGATGAATGACTTTTATGCAGGTATAAGTTGGCTGAGGTGAACATGTTGAAGATAATGAAAGAACAAGGTGCAGTGTTTGGGAAACCAATTCTGAGGCCAGAATTGAGAACTCAGGCGAGGAGACTGATTGGGGATACAGGTCTGCTAGACCATTTACTCAAACATATGGCGGGGAAAGTGGCGCCAGGTGGTGAAGAAAGGTTTAGGAGGAGGCACAATGCTGAAGGCGCAATGGAGTATTGGCTGGAAAAAGCTGATTTGGTTGATATAAGAAGGGAGGCTGGCGTGCAGGATCCTTATTGGACTCCACCAACTGGTTGGAAACCTGGTGATAACCCTTCTCAGAATCCTATTTGTGCAAGGGAGATCAAGGAGCTCAAGGAACAGATTGCTAAAATGGAAAGGTAGTTAGTGGACATCATTTCCTCCCTCTCATTATCTTAATTTAGTATGCTTTTTAGTTAGTTTGTTAGTTCAGCTGATGTATATGTATAGTTAGCGCTCCCTTGTTTTTTCTGTTATTCTTGATAGCCAATTTGTGTGTGAACTGGCTAGTAATCAGCGATTGTCTTTTTGTTTGATGAACAGGAACATAGAGGAGCTAGTATCTAAGAAGCGTGAGGAAGAACTAGCTGCTGTGACCACCCCAATTTCGTCTGTTACTAGTCACAGTATAGAGCATGACACCTTATTAACTCCACTGAAGGTAAAAATCTGAACTGACCATATTTTTTTACCAACAAAAATTCTTCTCTTGACCTCTATTTGTTTCTTCTTCTTCTTCTTCTCTCTTTTTTTTTTTTTTTTTTTTTAGAGGAAAGGATTGCTAAAATGGAAAGGTAGTTAGTGGAACATAGTTTCCTCCTCTCATTATTTCTTAATTTAGTATGCTTTTGTTAGTTATGTTTGTGTAGTTTCAGCTGATGTATAATGGTGATTTAAGCGCTCCCGTTTGTTGTTGTTCTGTTAATTCTTGATAGGCCAATGTGTGTGAGACTGGCTAGTAGATCCAGAGCGATGTGTCTGTTATGTTTGAATTGATACTTGGAAACATTAGAGAGGCTAGTAAATACTAAGAGAGCGTGAGGAAGAACTAGCTGCTTGTGACCACTCGGCAATTCATCGTCTGTACTACTAGTCACATCGTATAGAGCATTTGGTAACACGCGGTTGATTAAAACTCCACTGAAGTAAAATCTGAACTGACCATAATTTGGTTTTCTACCCAACAAGAATGTTGCTTCTCGTTGACCGTTCATTTGATTGTCTTCTGTACGCTGTCTTCGGTTCATCTGCTTTTGTTTTTTTTTTTTTTTTGGTAGGAAACTGTATAGATTGGATTGGTGAAATAAGGAAGGCTAAGATTGAGAATATTGATTCCCCGCCGCAATATTTCAGCACTTATCTTTGATGTGAGGATGGAAGGTTTACGAAGAGCAATCGACGACGCATGGTTAAATTCCTAGTCTTTCTTACTAACAGTAGTGTATGACTGCACAATGATCTAATACACCTAACGTTTTACAAGATGTGCGATCTGACCACCCTGCTTTAATACAATAACTCTAGCCATTAGACTCCTTAATTACATTCTTCCCCTCTATATTGGGGGGGGCCGTTTTTTTTTTTTTTTTTTTTTTGGTAGGAAATGTATATTGATTTGGTGAATAAGAAGGCTAAGATTGAGGAACTATTGATGGAAATTTCACAATCTTTATGTGAGATGGAGGTACGAGAGCATGACCATTTAATTCCTAGTCTTCTTCTAAAAGTAGTGTATACTGCACAAGATCTATACAACCTAACTTTATAAAGATGGTGAATTGACCACCTGCTTTAATACATAAACCTCTTAGCCATTAACTCCTTAATTACATCTCCCCTTATATTGGCTGCTATTGATTGGGTAGTGATGTTAGCAGGCGGTGGATAGATTTTTTTGCCATCTTTAATTTAATGCTCAATTTCAAGACTTCATAACACAGAATTGAAAGTTCAACTGACTGAATGTGCTTCATGAATAATTTTCATTGTCCTTGTTAATTGATTGCTCTTGACTACTGTCTTGGTTATTAATGACACTGTTAAGAAAATGTACCGTGATGCATTAAATGATGTGAAAAATGATTAATACGATGATATTAGTGGTTGTAATTAATACAGGAAGAAATGGGGAAGCAAAAATCAACAACGGAAGAAGCAAATAGGACAGAATCATTTGAAAGACCAGCAATAAAGGGATTACCAGAATCAACACAACAAACAGGAGAAGAACACGGCAAGGCAGGAGGAGGAAATAAGACACCGCCAACAACAAAATCAGCAGTACAAACAGAGGACAAAGCAGCAAAAATAGAAAGGCTAAAGAGTGGGTTCAGGATATGCAAACCCCAAGGAACTTTCTTGTGGCCAAACATGGCTATCTCATCTCCTAATCATGTTATGGTCCAATTTGAAGACCTCTTTTCAGTCCCTACACCCCCTTCTGTCTCTTCAACATCAGCATCAAAGACCCACCTTCCTTCAGCTCCTTCTCAACACAATGGTCCCGTCCCTACTTCTCCGGTGAAGCCATTAGCTGAAAAAAGGCCTGTGAAAATTGCTCTATCCAAATCTCTCTCCTTACCAATTCCTTCTCCTCATGAGATCTACAGTGCTCAGTATGAGCCCAGCAGCATTGGCACTACATCTGCTATTAGCACCACTACCACTAAAACCACTCTAATCAACCTCAATGAACTCCCAAGCAATCAACACGACAATGGCTTTTCTCCTGGTCAGACTACTTCTACCTACCCTGTCACCTACCAAAGAAGAAGCCATCATTCTGTGACTACCACTAGTGCTACTGCTACGCCATGTGTAAGTAGTTTAAAAATCTCAGTTTAATTAATAATACCCAGTCCTGTGATTCTGACCTTGACTAATAATATGGGTCATTTCATGTTTTCTGCTTGTGTTACAGTTTATACCTGCAAATAAAGACACTAGCGATTGGGAAGGAGATGATCATCAAGGAAAGGAGGTGATAAGGTACTGTGAACAACAGCACAAAGGGTGCTGCTCTTTTAAATCTTCAGGCTTGTCAGTTGGAGTAGGTTCATGGTTGGCTATTGCTACTTCAAAGCAATCCTCGGAAAACAAATCTAAAAGGGGCTGAACAGTATTAATTATTGGGAAATTTATATTTTGGTATACACTCGTGAGATAAGTTTTTATATGTTATACCTTAGTTGATTATTGCTTCCATCAAGGAGTAAAGAAGAAAATGGGGACGAATTTTTGTTAAATAATTAATATAATTAATGATGATGACTCTTTCATTTTATGAAAGCATCCATTTCAATTCTATCAGGTCTGTGGCTATCAACCATGTGCTATTGCTAATAACTTTATATGATGTTTAGTTTGTCTAACTACTAACATTCACACTCCTCCAACTTCCTCATGCAATTGGTGCTGTATAATTTATGTATACACGACTGACTCATATACTTTAATTTCTCAAAACGCATCCAGCTCCCATTTGTAAAAAAAAATAAATAAATATTCATCATAATTTTCTTTTCCTTTCAGGAAAATAGCTTGGGACGAGGCTACAACTCTTTCTTGCTGAAATCATTGCAATAGATGTTAGGGTATTTCCCACCATTACAACCAATAAAAATCATGTCTAAAAATGGATGAAAAGCACATGGATATATTTCATTTTCTGCTATCGCTTGGCACAAAACGTCGTGCTTCAAAACCCACTCATATTCATTACAAAATGCAACCACAGAGCATACAAATTTGAAGATTCCCATCTTCCGCATTAGCATAATACAAATTTCCATTACTCACCCCTATGCATCTCTTCTCTCCTTCAGAACTAGGCAACTTGATCGCATGAACTCGATCACTAACACTAATTTCTTCACCAATTGAAAATTTCACTAAATGCCCTTTGTTAGATAATTTGTAAATTGACCCATTGAAGTAAATAGATCGATTATCCCATTCAACAACGTTTAATTCTTCCTCCAATTTCAAATCTAAAACTTTCCAACTCCCAGACTAAGATAAAAAAAACCCTTAATTGCCTATAAAAAAAAAAAATCTAATAAAACAACCTTATAGCTAGGAGATATAATAGGATCAAAAGCCAAGGAAGCATATAATCTATACCTAACACCACCCCTAATTCTCTCAAACTGTCCACTAATTTCCTCAAACTGTTTAGTTATAGGATTGCAAACAACCAAACACACTGGTCTTGGATATAGAAGTAATAGACCATTGCAACAATCTCTAGTAAATCACTTGCTATCATATGTTGCCGCAGCAATGGAGAACAAAAATTTCTCTATTATCAAAATAATGTATGTGGTAATGTGGAGAATAGAATATGAACTGCATACTAGTAACCGAAAATTCACCGTTAAATTATCCGGAAAGCAAATTTTATTATTTCATATCTTAGAAAGACACTTGAACCTTACTAGAGATTTTATAGAGGAAGCGTACACAAGATTTTTGAATTAATTCATTGAATTTGTCAATGTAAATTTTTCGCTCGTTGCAATAGTAGTCGGATTGTGCTCTTCACCTTCCAGGATTTGTATTTCTTTTGTAACACTGGTTCGTTTGTTTAGGTTAAACATAAAGGGAGGTATGTGTACTATATTGAGAATATTTATAAGTTTATGGGTGAAATCCAGAATTAAAAAAAGTACAAATAGTAAACATGAATAACGAAGGGTAAAAGAATAAATAAATGAAAAAGGAGGAGTGGGGAGAGGGAGACCCACTATCCCTGAAATTATCGTGACGGACACGCCCTCCCCTCTTCTCTCTCCGCATTTGAAATTTCTAGGGTTTTGATCTGAAAATTGGAGATGGTACTGTCGCAGAAGCTTCACGAAGCTTTCAAAGGTACAGTAGAGAGAATCACAGGGCCGCGAACGGTGTCCGCCTTCAAAGAAAAAGGTGTTCTTAGCGTTAGTGAATTCATTCTTGCCGGCGATAATCTCGTCTCTAAATGCCCCACTTGGTCCTGGTAATTTACCTCGTTCCTGATCCTTATGTTTTTCTTATTTCAGCTGGCCTTTCATTTGTACATATGGCTTTTTGTTGTTGTGCTTGTTGCTTAATTAGCCCCGATCGCATAATTCTAGTTGTTTTAAGCTCGATTTTGGGGGTTAAATATTTCGTATTTTAGTTTTAATTATATCTTCGCGAGTAAGTGAAATATCTGAATTTCGTTTTCGCATTTGGAACTTCAATTAGTATGGGTAAGAATTAGATTTTTCGTGTCGAATTTGCTATATGGATACTTTCAATGGAAGTCAAAATACATTGATAGGAATGCTAAGATAAACTTTCGGAAGCATCCTTTGATACTATTATTTGAACTCTACCTTCAATCATTTTAATTTAAAATACAATATATTGTTCTCCCTTCGCTTAATTACTATATTCTCTCTTTCCTGTATTGGAAAAATAAAGTTATTTGAACTGATTTAAGTCTTATGAAGGAAATAAATAATAGGAATTATACAATTTTTTCTTCGGTAATTGGTCTTTTTTGTGTTAAGGATGTTTTTTATCAGACATGGGTATGGTTTTTCATTCTTTCCTTGTTCCACCTGATTGTAGGGAGTCAGGTGAACCAAACAAGAGGAAGTCTTACTTGCCCCCAGAAAAACAGTTCTTGATTACTCGGAATGGTAAATAATGCCATCTCTGCCAGTTTGTGTTTGTATCAATCTCTGTCTAGTTATTATATTTATGAGTATTGTAATTATTATTAATATACATATTTGGCAATCACCAGGAATACTAGTTGTTCTTCTTTTTATCCAAAAGAACTGTTCGGGAAATTGCAAATCTCTTGGTTTTGAATGTAAAGAAAGATGCAAGTTTTAGTTATCTGAAACAGCCATTGTTTAATATTTACACAAAATTCAATTATGATAAAGTTCGACCCTAGTGGTTTTTTTATTTAACTCTAGCAAAGATTATCTATGATCACAATAAGCTCACAAGGAAGTATGGACTTTCTTTTAGTTCCTTGTCTAAGACGAGCTGCATCTGTTGAAGAAGAATATGAAGCTGCTGGAGGTGAAATTCTGCTTGATAATGAAGATAATGATGGCTGGCTGGCAACTCATGGCAAACCAAAAGGTAAATTTCTTTCCAAATTTGGATATTTCGCAACTTTGATTAATATGTTGATTTCATGCTTCATATTTCTTCTAGAAACTAAAGGTGACGAGGATGATAATGTACCTTCAATGGAAGCCCTAGAAATCAGCAAAAAGAATCCTATTCAACCGATCCCCACATACTTTGGGGGTGAAGAGGAAGAAGATATACCAGATATGGCAGACTATGAAGACCCTGACAATTTAATTGAAACAGATCCTGTAAGTTATCACTCTTTTGCACCTTTCTTGCAGATTTGTTAGAAATTTGAAACTTTTGACATTGTCTATCTACCCGATGCAGGCAACACTCCAGTCTACTTATCTTGTAGCTCATGAACCTGATGATGATAATATTCTTCGTACTCGAACATATGATGTCAGCATCACGTAAGCTTATTTTGATACTAGAGTTAGCAATGAATGTACCATTAGTCAATGTTATGATTTTTCATGGTTCTGAACTTCTGATCATCACACTTGCATTTAAATTCCTCCATTATGTTATTTTCATGTTTACAACATGTGTTCCTTTTGAAATCCATAGCATTGTTTACCAATTATAACATGTTTTTCGTCTTTATATTTCCAGGTATGACAAATATTATCAAACTCCTCGCGTTTGGCTGACTGGATATGATGAGGTTGATCACTCTTTACTAAAAATTTTTCATCTTTATCTGTTTCATAAGTTGGAAAATATCATATTCTTTTTTACGAAAGGATAATTAGTACAGAAAAACCAACATTCTGGTTCTGATCTGCATGAATTAACGGTTTGTGGAATTGATTGCTGAACATGGTTATCAGCTGCTATCAGCAACAACATGATGGATTGAACTGTTTCCGTATGTCAATTCATCCCATTGCTCAGCAGAAGGAAATGTATCTAACCAGTTGACTGTTTCTTATGACCAATGACAGTCAAGGATGCTTTTGCAACCAGAACTTGTACTTGAAGATGTTAGCCAAGACCATGCACGGAAAACGGTAAGAACTAATATAAGTGTTTTTAAAATCTACTCAAAATATTCTGCAAGAATCAGCACTGTAATGTACTCAAAAGCTGCTTATAACGTAATGGGTGCTCCTAGGCACTTTTCTAGCAATTTTATTTACTAAACCAAAGGAATCACTATTTTCGGAGACCCCAAGATCATAGATATAATTATTGATTCCTAATAATGTAGTTCTTAGAATTCTTCATGCTATAAGGTTAATTGCATGCAGGTAACTATTGAAGACCATCCTCACTTGCCAGGAAAGCATGCTTCTGTGCATCCATGCCAACATGGAGCTGTCATGAAGAAAATTATAGATGTGTTAATGTCACGAGGTGTTGAGCCAGAAGTTGACAAGTGAGTTCTGCAATTTTTTTTCTTTTTGATACAAATCTCCCAGTCTTCATTATGTTGTATTACAAGAACATGCATTGGATTATTCTTTCTTATTGTTTTTAAAATGAGGTATACTTTCTTATCTGTCACATCGTTTTTTAATCTGAATGTATCTGACTATTGGAAATATGTGCTTTGTAGGTATCTTTTCCTATTCTTGAAATTTGTTGCGTCTGTAATTCCAACCATTGAATATGATTACACAATGGACTTCGATCTCGGTGGCTCAAGCAACTGATCAGAGGTGATTTTCATCATTAGTCTACTGCCTGCCCTCATCATTGTTCTGACTATTTATAAGATGAGCATTTTAGAGGGAAAAAATTGATGAGGCATTTTTATCATTGCAATTGTTTTTGAGTTGAATGTGCTCAGTACCATTATTTGCTACTTTGCTACATTGTTGTTGTTCACTGCATGATATGACTGTTCATGGATTTTCTAATGGAGAAATACATACTTCCAAGGAGAACATGTAAGCTATATTTCAGAGTCAGGTCTTTTCTTTCTCTTTAGACATTAGTTTCTGCCTTGACCATTAAATTCGCAAGTTTTTTTAATTTCTTCCTATCAATGACTATCATTTCTTCCAAATTTATCAGCTCATAATTTTTGGGCCAGAGACCAGTCCTTGTAGCACTGCACCGTCTAGGCATCATTGCCAAGCACACTGCATCTTGCATTTCATGGATGTGTATTCTTACCTCTTTGTGATTGAAACACATACTTGACAACTTCCTGTCTTCTTGCTGTGCAAAGCTTAACACATTTGTGAAGTGTTGTTTTTTAGTGTTTTGAATTTGATGATAAATTAAGTGATGTTTGGTTTTGGCAGGTGGATGATCCAGTGTGAATTGACAAAATTATCTCGTGGTGCATTCTGTATCGATGGGCCTTCCACAACAATATTATTGTATATAAATCTAAACTTTTCTTACTAAAAGTCTATGTAACTTTATCTAGAAAAAAAAAAAAAAAAAAAAAAAGTATTCCCTTTACTCTTCTTTGTGATTGAAAGCACAATACTTATGGACAACGTCCTGGTCTTCATCTATGACTTTGTGCAAAGCCTTAACACATTTGTGAAGATGGTTGATATTATTTTTTTAGTGTTTTGAATTGAATGATAAATTATTATAGTGAGTGTTTTTTTGGTGGTCACACGTGAATGATCTCAAGTGATGAAATTGACAAAATTAATCCTCGTCCGGTGTGCTTTCCTGTAATCGAAGTGGGCCTTCCACAACAATATTATTGTATATAATGCTAAAACTCTTTCCCTTACTAAGTTCTATGCTCTTGTAACTTTATCTAGAAAAAAAAAAAAAAAAAGAAAAATAGAAAGAGAGAAAAAAAAAAAAAAAAAAAAAAAAAGACTTTGAGCTGTGTTTGTGATGATCGTACAGTTCATGGAAATTGTAAATGGGAATATCAATATTATTCAGATTGTTTCAATTGGCATCCCATGTTGAGTAATAAGCTGAGATGTAATTCTCATATAGGTTTCATTTTCCTTTTTTTTTTTTTTTTTACTGATTTTTGTTTTCATGGAAAAGCATGGGACTAAGAAAATTTTAGCATGGTTTACGTGATCATGGACCTAATGCATAAATTTGGTCCGGAAACTCTTGAACTTTTACATATCAACTATGTCCTTTGCCTAAATGAAAGTGAAAGTGCAATATGAGGATTGAATCACTAAAAAGTGAAAGATATAATTATAACTGAGATATAAAAGTATAAGGTCATCATTAATTCTTCCTAAAATTTAGGAGAATTGCAGAAAGAATAATCTGCTAAAATTTAAGATTAAATTTATACATTAAATCCTGAATCCTAAAATTTTAACATGAATTTACATAATCACGAGTGATTTCTGGCGCATTTTAAAATGGAATGAATTGTAATTGTTCGAAGTGGAATTATTTTTTCACTACAAAATGGATGAATGAATGAATTCACTGACACCCGAGAACATGACACATGATGATATTGATGGTCCATTTCCATCTAATTACTATGTCCCTGCATTAGCACCATGCTTATTGACGTGGTCATGATTTTGGATTCCATCTCGCTAAATCCACTGAAACTCATAGATACATGAGAATTACAATTTTGGAATAGTTATTTTTGGTAAATTATTCACACCCCAACCAGAAATGGTCAAACCAAACCAGCAAACTTCTCTACTATATATGTTAAATATTCACACCCCAACCAGAAATGGGTCAAACCAAACCAGCAAACTTCTCCTATATATATATTATATATATATACGCCTTATTAATACTCTTTACCTTCAATTCCCTCACCGTCACAGATATATAACTCTTCTAACCCTTCAATTCTCACCTCCACTCCACGATCTGTTTTTAACCCAGATAAAGAAAAAAAAAAAATGAAGAAGAGTCTCTTCATCTCCGTACTCTTGTACGCTTTCTTCTCTGCAGCAGCAACTGGAGACCACCATGTATATAATACTAATGTATATGTATATTTGTAGAGTGAATTCAGGATCTTATCTAATGTACAATTTTCATGGATATATTTGTTGCAGGATGATTTGTGCGTATACACATTGTACGTGAAGACAGGAACCATCTTCAAGGCAGGAACAGATTCTAACATCGGCCTTTCCCTCGGTGATCCACAAGGCCGCTTTGTGTGGATCCCTAACATCTTATCATGGGGTCTAATGGAGCCATCTCACGATTTCTTCGAGCGAGGTAATCTCGACGTCTTCTCCGGCCGTGGCCCTTGCATTGGCTCGCCCATTTGCCGTCTCAACTTGACCTCCGATGGGTCAGGGTACCATCATGGCTGGTATTGTGACTACGTTGAGGTCACGTCCACTGGTCCACACAAGGAGTGTAGCCAGACCTTGTTCCACGTTGATCAGTGGCTGGCTACCGATGCACCGCCTTTTAAGTTGACGGCGGAGCTTGATGGGTGTAGTTTGTTTGGTGCGTCTTCTAAGAAGGGGAAATTTGTTGTTGGGAATCGCAGTGGATTATCTGCTTCAGCTTCGTCACTGTTTTCTTTGGGTCTTTAATTTCATTTTCTTGGATTTCTTTAATTGTTAGCTGTTTTGTTTTTCTTCCCTAATCATGAGTAATAAGATTAAGATCGTAATTAAGGTTTTTAATTCCTACATTTGCTATGAACTTAGTAGCCATTTACTCTTTTAAATTAAGATCGTAATCAATTTTTTATATAATTTACTCTTTTAAATTTGCACCAAAAAGCCATTTTAGAGAAATACTGAATTTTTATCATATAAAAATTTTGACTTAAATCAAATATAATTAAAAATGACGAAATAATGCCAATCTAGTGGTGATTTAATTAGTCTTCTTTTCGAGTTCAGTGGCTGGCTACCGATGCACCGCCTTTTAAGTTGACGGCGGAGCTTGATGGGTGTAGTTTGTTTGGTGCGTCTTCTAAGAAGGGGAAATTTGTTGTTGGGAATCGCAGTGGATTATCTGCTTCAGCTTCGTCACTGTTTTCTTTGGGTCTTTAATTTCATTTTCTTGGATTTCTTTAATTGTTAGCTGTTTTGTTTTTCTTCCCTAATCATGAGTAATAAGATTAAGATCGTAATTAAGGTTTTTAATTCCTACATTTGCTATGAACTTAGTAGCCATTTACTCTTTTAAATTAAGATCGTAATCAATTTTTTATATAATTTACTCTTTTAAATTTGCACCAAAAAGCCATTTTAGAGAAATACTGAATTTTTATCATATAAAAATTTTGACTTAAATCAAATATAATTAAAAATGACGAAATAATGCCAATCTAGTGGTGATTTAATTAGTCTTCTTTTCGAGTTCGAGTCCTCTTAACTATAGTTATTTTTAACGATTTGGTGAGTTAAGGGAAAGACTACCCTTATTATATAGCCTGCAATATTGTTTCGGTTATAAAAGCTTCCAATGAATAAGAAAAATATGAAATAATTGATTTAAATTAAATATAATTCAAAAATAATGAAACAAAAAATAATAAATATTTCACAAATCAAATATTTTATAATTTTATATAAAAAATATATTTCTTTTCTTTTGATGAACCTTATCCATTTTTTTTTTCCTAGACCTATTGAAAATTATGTTCCACAACAGAAACTAGCATGCACAAGAATTTGAATTTACCTTATTTTGTTTTCTTCTTGTCCAAAAATAACAAATTAAAGGAGAAGAAAATTAAAGACAGCTCTATTTCAATTATGCCGCAGGAAAGCAAACTGATAACCAACCACTCTCCTCCTACGTTTGGACTGACAAAATCAAGAAAGTGAGACAAAAAGAATTATAATATTAATATTACCACTATTAAATAAAGGGAATATTTCAATATATTTATTTTAGGACAATTTTTATTCGACAGGATGTGAAAATTAATTACAATATAAGCTTATTTTTGAATTTTGAGAAGTAAAACTTTTGAACATTTTATCTAATTGGATTATTAATAAAATTAATTTGTGATAATATCTTATCATTAAAATAATATTAAATAAATTGGAGGAATTAACTTCCTCCTTTCTTCACCAAAAGGTCCGGAACAAGGCTGGGCCGGATATCAACAAATACCCGTTGGCCCAAAGTTTACGAAGCCCAAATCCGCCAAACCCGTAAAAGCTAGATACGGATCACATATAATGCAATTCCAAATCCGATACGTGTACGGTGTTCTCTGATTGGAAGGTAAATAACAAACAATATACTATATCATTCAATCGATTCATTCCATTACTGACTGCGAACAGACCACAAGTTAAATCTGCCCTTTTGATATCTGAAAACCCTACCTTTCTCTTTCAATTTCAATGGACTCTCTAGAGCCTGCCGTGAATCCCCAATTCCAAGCTTTAGATCCTTCTCAGCCACCTCCACCTCTATCCCTAGATTTCCAGTATCAAAGTCCTCCTCCTCCTCCACCTCCATTAGAAGAACCTCAAGTTTCCGGTCCCCAAAACCCAGACAAAACCCCAACTCTAAATCTCCCAAATGTATCCGACAATGGACATAATCAGCAGATCGCCCAGGAGAACATTCCAAAACTCGAAATCCCAAAACCCTTGCTGTCTGAAAATGGTCTCACCAATACTTACAGTGGCGACAGGGACTACTCGGGCGGCGAAGAGGAGACCTCGAGCCGTCGACGTCGACGCAGCCGATGGGATCCACCAGCTGATTCAACCGCTAACAATCAGTCCTCGGACACCAGCAACAATGATACGGGTAGCGGCACCCGCAAGAGAAAATCGCGATGGGCTGACGATGAGCCCAAGCCAGGACCAGTGATTCAGCTTCCCGATTTTATGAAAGATTTTACCGGAGGTATTGAGTTTGATCCAGAAATTCAGGCTTTGAATGCTAGGCTCCTGGAGATTAGTCGAATGCTGCAATCTGGTTTACCCCTCGATGATAGACCTGAGGGAGCTAGGTCTCCTTCTCCAGAACCAATTTATGATAATATGGGAATTAGAATTAATACTAGAGAGTATAGGGCAAGAGAGAGACTGAATAAGGAGAGGCAAGAGATCATATCTCAGATTATCAAGAGAAACCCTGCCTTTAAGCCTCCTGCTGATTACAGGCCCCCCAAACTTCAAAAGAAGCTTTATATACCCATGAAGGAATACCCAGGTTATAATTTTATTGGATTGATAATTGGGCCAAGAGGGAATACACAGAAGAGAATGGAGAGAGAAACAGGAGCCAAAATTGTGATTCGAGGTAAAGGGTCCGTGAAAGAGGGAAGACTGCAGCAAAAGAGGGATTTGAAGCCGGACCCATCAGAAAATGAAGATTTGCATGTTTTAGTCGAGGCAGAAACACAAGAGGCACTGGATGCTGCTGCAGGAATGGTGGAGAAGTTGTTGCAGCCTGTAGATGAGGTCTTGAATGAGCATAAGAGGCAGCAGCTTCGGGAACTTGCTGCTCTGAATGGTACAATTAGGGATGAGGAATATTGTAGGTTGTGTGGTGAGCCAGGGCATAGGCAGTATGCATGTCCTTCACGTACTACTACATTTAAAAGTGATGTACTTTGTAAGATTTGTGGCGATGGTGGACATCCTACTATTGATTGTCCTGTGAAGGGAACAACAGGGAAGAAAATGGATGATGAATATCAGAACTTTTTGGCTGAGCTAGGAGGGACTATGCCAGAATCATCAACTAAGCAAACGGCTACCTTGGCTTTGGGTCCAGGTAGTTCTGGAAGCAATCCTCCCTGGGCTAGTAACACTGGTGGTCTTGGTAGTGCAAATCAACCAGGATTAGGAGCAAATGGAGTTAAGCCTATTAAGGAGTATGACGATACCAATTTGTATATAGGTTACTTGCCACCTAACCTGGATGATGATGGTTTAATTGGATTGTTTTCACCTTTTGGTGATATTGTGATGGCCAAGGTCATTAAGGATCGAGTTACTGGATTGAGCAAAGGTTATGGTTTTGTGAAATATCGCGATGTCCAAATGGCTAATACTGCAATTGCGAGCATGAATGGCTATCGTATAGATGGTCGAACCATTGCTGTGAGAGTCGCTGGTAAGCCACCTCAGCCTCCTGTTCCGCCAGGCCCTCCTTCATCCACTGTGCCAACATATCCTCTTTCATCTCAGCCAGTTGGTGCCTATCCGTCACAGCAGTTTACACCAGGTGGTCCTCTTCCAAATGCGCCACCTACTGGCTTTGCAGCTGCTCCTGCGAGCTATGCTGGAACTCCAGTTCCATGGGGACCTCATGTACCTCCTCCTTATGCACCTTATGCTCCTCCCCCTCCAGGATCCACAATGTACCCTCCTGTCCCGGGACAGCCAATGCCGGTGTACGGTGTTCAATACCCTCCAACTGTACAACCTGTTCCCTCTGGTGCTCCAACACAGCCAGTGACTTCTAGTGAAGCTCAGCAAAGCTACCCGCCAGGAGTGCAGTCTGAAAACAACACTTCTGCTCCACCCCCATCATCAAATATATATGGGAATTCTGTAGCTGTTCAACCTGCATATGCTACTGCCTCATTAGGTTACGCGTCTTATTACAATGCAGTTCCTCCTCCCCCTCCTGCACCAGTACCAACAACTGACCATTCACAGAGCATCAGCAATGTGCCTTGGGCTCCAAATCCACCTGTACCTCCTCCAGTTTCTTCTGCTTCCGAGAAGACAACCTATGGTGCCGATGCAGAGTATGAGAAGTTCATGGCAGAGATGAAATAACTTGATCCTTTCCGTAGTAGTTCTTGGTTCAGAGGTATATGCAAATTTTTCATATGTTTTACAATATACGTGCACGTAACATGCTGAAAGTCAATTTTTCCTTATTCAACTGATTGTTGCTGTGTCAGTCTGATCCTCAGGGTATGAAATAGGGCACATGGCATTGGCATATCCTCGTATGGTATTGCATATGTTAACTTTATTATTTTTGAAGTTCAGCCAACTAATATGATACACTAACCCTCTTATAGATGTGGAGTTCTAATGGTAGAACTGTGTTCTGTCATTGAGGAACTCTTATTAGTAAACATGTGAATATATGCCTACTAAAAAGGGTTTGCTATTGTGCGACAACTTCTTTCTCTAACTCTAGAAATTTGTTTCATTTTTTTTTTCTTATTCTTTGAACTTTAGTTGTTACTAGGAACTGGAACTTGCACGAAACGATTTTTTTCTTTGCCTCTTGCCATATTGTTTTGATTCTCACATTTGGATTTTCATGTACATCCCAAGGTTTTCTAAGAAAGAAGGTAATAAATTCGTAAGTATATGAGTCTTCCATCTCTAAATGTAATCCAGATAACAAATACCACAATCTATGATTGTGACCTTCTGTTAAATTTATGTGTTTGATTTCGTCATGACACTAACTCTTTATTCTTCTTTGGTATTATAATGCAAGCTTTGTTATGCAGCAATGGTGGATGATAGATGTATGCACACACTTTTGTCTACAGTTTCTGCGTCTGTGTCTGGAATATTCTACCCTACTGTAATAATAATAACAATAATAAGTTTCGCCATTGCTAACATGCTAGCAGTATCCACCTTATAATCATGCTAATATCTGTTAATATCTCGTGTCTACATCTCTTAACCCCTTTTTTCCTTTGCCATTATTGAATAATTTTTACAGGCCTGATGTTTCTTGGAGCAACCTGATTTCTTACCTCTTGCAATGACTTTGTTGGAAGTTTGGGACTCACATCTTTAACCTTGCTGTACTGTTATGACATTTGCAGAGATTTGGGAAGTTCTGTTGACACGGCTGCATATTGGAGAAGCCGCTGAAACTTATTAATGTTAATATTTCTTATTGTTTTGTAGGACATAATTTTGTCTCTTATTGATGCTTGTTGTCCCTTTATAATGTCTGGTCACTGATTTTCTATCCTTTTTAAGCTCATTTATGCTTCTGGAAGTTGCAACTGACGTGGTCATTATTATATTTTATTTTCCTTGGAATGTTTAACCATTTGGGTTATTTGCTCGTCATGATTTGCTCCTTATCTTTTTTCTATAATTAATACTTTGTTTATTGGGAGGATAACTGAGTTATCCTGATTGCCATTTCTTCCCTGAAGTATCCTTGGCTTGGTTTTGTCATCGTAAGGTGAGTGTTCTCTAGAATCCGAAGGTCTTTGTGGGTATGTGGAAGCAGTTCTTGATTTATACCTATATCCTGCTGCTTCTTTTTTCTTTTTCTTTTTTTTTTTTACTCCTTTTGCTTATATTATTATTATTATTCTGATGTATCTTCCTAGTTTTTATGTGGCAGGTGACAGAACTCAAAACATATATTGGGTTTTGGAGTGCTCATTTTATCTCGTAACCTGGTTGATGACTATTTTTATCTTTACATTTCTAGTTTGAAATTAAGTTTGCTGTGTCACCAATGAAGTATGCATTTAATTTAATTGATGTTATATTTTTAGATAAGAAATTGATCCAACAAGCTGAGGATATACATGTTTCAGGTTGATGGGATTAGAAAAATGCTTTTATGATGGGGAAAAATAGTCTTTGGAGCCTGCAAGACATATTAATAATTACTGATACACACACACACACACACACACATAGTGATATAGTTGAAATGGTTGTTCTTATGTTAGGGATGATAGAGATACTTCATGTGATTTAAACTGTTTGGTTGAGCTATCTTTGTGAGGTGATTTAGAAATTATGAGCGAGAGAAGTTTGTTTAGAGAAATGGTGAGGTAATTTGGTAGAATATAGTCCATATTGGCTGTGTGGTTGTGGAACCTTGCCCCATTCTGCAGGAAGCACAGGATTTTATCTTTGCATTTTACTCTTTTAAGTTTCATTATCACATCCTCTGTGCTAATTGGCCTGCTTACTCTTTCCTCGTAAATATTCATGTACTCTATTATTGCTGTTGGGTAATTTTATTTCTTCGATAGAGTTGATTTCTTATGAACTAGAATATGGGATGCTAAAATCCTTTTCTTGTTGCTGATTCTGAATTGTTGATGAAGATTCTTCCTGTCTGGATCAGCTGTACTGAATAGGATTTATTTAAAACATGCTGTTAGTTATTTGGTTAAAGATATGGCATAAAAAATTAGGCAATTCCTATTTAGTGATTTATTAGTTAGCCATTTTATGCAGTACCTCAATAAATTTTTAGGGATCAAGTGTTGAAGGTATTGCGATCAATGTTCTTGAACTATTACTAACAAGGTTGTACATCTTCATCTAGGTATTTAAATTAAGATACTTCAAGAATTTATGTAGCATCTTCTTAAACATAATTTTTCTCGTTGATACGTCACAATCCCTTTCATTTTTTAGTTATTTATTTGGGAGTCAGGGTTGGGGTGGGTTAGGACGTTTGATGATGAGCAATAAGAGCTGTTTCCTCTCTCCTTTTAATGATCTGTTTGTCTTCACCTTGCTAATTCCAATTATCTTGTGCTTTGATAGGTTGTTCATATCTATGCGAATATAAATAAGTTGGCCTTGTATGCGGTTCATTCACATCTCATGTTGCTTAAGGCATCCAACTTAGCATGTCATTGTTTTCATGCACATAGGTTTTTCACAAATTTACAGTTCATCCAACTTAACATAATTTGTGTGCACTGGTTTTAACCATGATTTAGGGCTTTATACCTGTAGGATATCAATTTCTCACAAGGTTGATTGATCGTTTTAAGGCATTTGTGATATATTCTCATCCATCAGCTAACCTTACTATGTGTAAGTTGATCAGGATTTAGTTTGAGATGAAAGAGGTTTCCCCAGAAGGAATCTGTTACCATCACAAGCTGTGGACCCTGTCCAAGAAGATATTTGGCGTTCAGCTATTATTGTAGTGCTTCTTTAGCGCAACTGATAGGTGTGAGGAGACTTATTATATCCATAGGCCAGAAATTTCTGATTTAGGGGGCTTCTTAGCTGGTCAAATTGCTTGGCTTGCTGTAAACGGTTTTTTCTTTTGTTTAATTGATCATTACTTTTGAGTATCTTCCTCTCATATAACATCGAATGATAACATGTGGCCATTACATTTGAGTTGTATTGATTGCCCATTGGATTTATGATGTTTATGATGTTTGCAAGGTTGTCTGTTTCACCTGGTCTCCTTGTGTTCCCATTTACAGTGGAGTTGGATCATATTTTTATGATGCGTTGTCGCTCTTATACCGCCATTGCTGTGATCTTGCTGCTTGGGTTACGGCATTTATGGATTGTTCAAGTTATGGCAAATATACTGATCCCTTTCTCGCTGATTAGGAGATGTAGGATTCGCGGAAATGCACCATTGGACTCCAGTTGGAGAAATTATGTGATAAGTTGGACATGTTAAGAGTACAGGATACTTGGCAATGGTACAATTAAACTATACTGCAGAGAGCTACCAACGATTAAATCAGTTCTGTAGTATCCGATAATGATTATACAAGGGTTTAGGATGGGAATCAAACCGATGCTTGTGTTCTTGTTATTAGCAATTTTGGGCTGTTAAATTGTGGTTCTTTTTTCTCATTTAGAGTGCGACACAAATAGAATAAAGGAATAATGCGAACTTGATGGTAGTATACAATTTGCTGTGAAGATTAACTCTGTTTTTTTTTTTTTTTTTTTTTCCCTTTCTCGCTGATTAGGAGATGTTAAGGATTCGCCGTGAAATGCCACATTGGACTCCAGTTGGCGAAATGATCGTGATAAGTTGGACATGTCTAAAAGAAAGTACAGGATACTTTGGCAATGTAACAACAGTTAAAACTATACGCTGCAGAGTAACTACAACGATTTTAAATCATAGTTCTGTAGTATCCGTAATGATTATACAAGGGTTTAGGATGGAATCCAAACCGATGCTTTGTGTTCTTGTTATTAAGCAATTTTGGGCTGTTAAAATTGTGGTTCTTTTTTCTCATTTAGAGTGCGACACAAATAGTAATAAAGGCACATAATGCGAAACTTGAATGGTAGTTATACAATTTGGCTGTGAAGATTAACATTGTTTTTTTTTTTTTTTTTTTTTGTACAATTTTACTTTAATTTTCCATCGAAAGTGATTACAATAACCTTTTTTTTTTGTATCAAACATAATAAAATTATTATTTTTTTAATTAATGAAAACTATTTAGCTTAAAAGATGAAAATTTAAAAATATATAATTTTTTTACCTTAATAAATTTTTTAATTTAATGTTTTTTTTTTTTTTTTTTTTTGGTACAATTATTACTTTAATTTTCCATCGAATGATTACAATACCCTTTTTTTTTTTATCAAACATAATAAAACTTATTATTTTTAATTAATGAAAACTATTTAGCTTAAAAGATGAAATTTAAAAATATATAATTTTTTTAACTAATAAATTTTATTAATTAAAAATATTGAAAATTATTTCTTTATTGTATAATTAGAATTATATTTTGTTTAGAAATATGATTTTTGAGTAAATTGTAACTTGCAGCTCAAAAAACACGTTAGCGAGGAATCTAAACTTTGTGTTGCTGACAGTCACAGCACAGGATTTTTTCCTGCGCGCCATCGAAATTAAAATAATTTCATTACTAATTTTTCTGGTGATCATGATATCGGAAAAGAGTACCATATGATATAGCCTGTTTGTTTTTCTTAAAATAATTACAAAAAATTTTTATTTTATTTTATTTTATGATAAGCTTAAAAGTTGTCATTTACTTGAATAAATTGTAGTTTTATATTAGTCCCAAAAATACATTAAGAGATCATCTCATTTTAGTTTCTTTTTCCCCTTTAAAGTCCTAATTAAAATTTTAGTTCTCTCAAAAAAAAAAAAAAAGTATATATTCATATGTATAGTAGTGTCAACATTTATCTGACTCTGTAAATAATACTATTATCTTTTAGGTTGACAAAGCCAATATAAAAATTTAGGTATTATATTGTCGTTTATGTACAAACTCACTGAATCAAAACATGGTTCTATCTTCTCAAATGAATTTTATTTCCTTTTTACTGTTTTCTTTGCACAAGCACTATTATTCTGCCAATAGCTCTAAAAATGAAAATAAAGAAATAAAATACTCGAAGAAGTTTTAAGTATACGTATGGTGGATTGCAGTAGCTATAGAAACTATTCTTTCGTGCGTTTAGACTTTAGAATACCTCTTCTAAGAAAACTGGTAAAAAAACCATTTCTACAATGTTGAAACATTTACTTCAAGCACTTGGGGTTAAAAGAGGCCTCTGTTCTCTTTTATATAGTTACATTGGTGAAACCTGCCCAATGACGATTTAGCTCGATTGGCGATTAGCTATCTTTCTGCATCCAAACGTCCGCGGTTCGAATGTTGATTCAGCTTTTTTCCAATAATTTTCTTTTCTCGCCGTCTTCTTTCGCCGGAATGGATCAAGAGCAGCCATCGCCCACTCCCAGAAAGGTAGATCCGTTTATTTGCATATTCAATTATCAAAATTTCTCAATTCTGTTGAATTTCTTTCAACCCTTATGTTTGAGTCTACCAGATCTTGAATTCTTAAAAATATCATCTCGTGCAGGCTAAGTTCACCCCCAAAGCTCCGCCTCAACGAAAGCCTATACCCACCGTTACCAAATCGTATTGTGCTCTCAATTTTTCTACGTTTTACTGCAACAGTGCTTTCATTTCCCTTTTTTGTTTTTTCTTTGAATAGTTTTCACTTCCATTTATCTGAAATGAAATTATTTTGAATTTCGTTTCATTTTCGGTGTTGTCAAATGCAGTGAGGTCAATGATTCTAATAACGATGAAGATGAAGCAGCCCAGGCTCAGAAGCTCATGCGTAAATTCAATGTAATACTTCCGTAATTTTCTGTCCTCGATCAATTATCTCTGTTTCAATTATTAATTCTTCAACCCCTGCAAAATTAGAGCTTTGTGGGGATAATTATAATTTATAGTTTATAAAATTTTGTTAGGGAGGAAAATAAAAAGTAGGACTCTTTGTTTTTATTTATTTATTTATTTATTGTTAATTTCAGTTTTTTCTTCCAAAATGGACGACTGTTTATCGGTTCAGCGGTTTAGACATCTAGAAAGAAATTGTGTAAAAGACAGGCCACGAGTTCAAACTTTTATTTCAAGTTAAATAATGTGTGGACAATCCATGGGGGTTAGAGCGTTTTACTTTTATAGTCTTGTCGTTTTGGCGTGTCCATGTGTTGTGGCCTAATATACTTGGAATTTCCTCCGCAAAGGAAAACACACCTTCCTTAATTATAACCAGGAGGGAAAAACTCAAGAAACTTTGTGCGTTAGCTGGGAATAATCTTTGCTATTAGCAATTTATCAGAACTCAACATTAACATGCCATTTTGCACTAACCTGATGGTAGAACAGTTCTAATTCAGTAATTTGATTCCTTGGCATTTGCAGGAGAATCTCAGAAGAAAAGTACCTAAAGTGGAGAAAAAATGTAACTTCTCCTTAACTTTTACGTTTATGCTGTTTTCTGTTTTGTCGTTTGTTTTCATTCAGTGTAACTTTGTGCAAAAATTTCATTTTTGCTGGATGTTTGTTCCTTGATATAAGGTTACGAGATTTGCATTGGCTGTATATATTTGTTTTTAATTTTACGCCGTCTGATTTTAATTAAAATATATTGTGGTAAATTAATAAAATAATTGCCATAGGGTTATTCATTAGATGACTTTCAGTGCCAATGCTTGGTCTTATTGCAAGCTTCATTTTTTATACTTCATTTTTGAGGCCTTAGAGTTGTTCTCTTTGAAGTTTTGAAAATTTTTTCCCAAGATTCAATTTCTGTAGTACTGTACTACTGCGGTCTGTGTCAGCTCACCCCTTCCTCATATCACTGAAATCAAAGATGACTATGAGTTGTGATGGAGTGACTGTGTTGTACTAGAAAGAAACTATTTTGCATTAAAATCATGTTCAAAGTTTCAATCCTGCAGCTTCAGTGCAAGTTGCTTTTGGCCCAGGCGCTGCTCCATCAACCTCTATAAGGAAATATGGTGTTCCTGGCTGTGAGAATGCTGGTAGCAGCAGTAGGTTAGATATAAAAGATTCTGACAATGACGATAGGAGAATCGTGGTTTCATCACTTTCAACTGCTGAAGAAGATGGTGCTTCTAAGTATCATTCAGAGGCCATTGGTGTGTTACCCCTGAAAATCAAGAAAGATTATAGAGAACCATGGGTAAGAAGTTTTGTTTATGAACTTCTTGCTCTGTTTTTACTGGTTCACCTCTCCATCTCACTTACCCTAAACCCAATTTCTCTTATGTCATTGCAGGATTACAACCATACTTACTATCCAACAACTCTTCCTTTAAGAAGGCCTTATTCTGGCGACCCAGGTATGCTACCAGATGCCCTCTAGATCATGGTTTTGTTTTCATTTTCATGGTACTGAAGAAAAGTCAATTGCTTGGTTTTAGAGCTTCTCAACGAGGAAGAGTTTGGGGAGGCTGCAAGAAAATTGGAGTATAATGAGAACACTATTAAACCTGCTTCAGATCTTGGACTGCTGGTTGGTGTTTGGATTAACAAATTCTTAAAATAATTCTGAAGTGTAACCATTTGTCTAACTGTGGCATCTTTGGGATTTAAATAATTACTGGCATCTTTGGGATTAAAATAAAACTTGTAATTGGTGACAGGAGGAAAGTGACAAGGAAAGGCTTTTTTTCTTTCAACTCCCTTCTAAGCTGCCCCTTGTGAAGCGATCAGCTATTACAAAAGGAAAAGAAAAGGTCGAAGGCTCAACTCCATCACAAGGCACGAGTGCTTTAAAGAAGGAAAGCAGTTTTCAAGGGTTATCAGAAGGATATATGGGCAAAATGCTGGTTTATAGGAGTGGAGCAGTCAAGATAAAGCTAGGTGATACACTCTATGATGTAAGTCCTATCATAAAAATGTTTGTGCTCTTTCCCAAAAGGAAAAACTGCAAAGCTCTCTGAATTCAAGAGAGAACTGATGTGATGCTTTACTGGTAATTTTATCTGGTTCCTTTTTTTGTTTTTTTTTTTTTTTCCTGAGACAAGATTAAACTGTCTGCAGGTTTCACCCGGTTCAGACTGTACATTTGCTCAAGATCTGATGGCCATAGATATTGCAAGCAAACAATGTTGCACTATCGGAAAACTCAGGAAACGGGCTGTTGTAACTCCTGATGTTGATTCTCTCTTGAACTCAGTGATCAACTTGAGCTAAATGCCCGACAATACATTCAGTAGCTTAGAATGCTCATAAAGTACCGTAGTAGAATGTGTAATAGGCAAGTAGAATTGAAACAATTTGACTAGGTAGCAGGTGAAATTGCTTCCAGCATTTGTTGGATTTCATCATTGAGCCATACACAAATTACTAGAAAAAGTACATTTTTTTCCCTTGCTTGGTAACAGATCTCAGATTGAAGAATGACAAAGAAGTCTGTATTTTAAAATATCGTAGAACTACTGCTTTTTTCATTTTACAAATTGGGTCACAAAGCTTCAGTAATAAAAACAAGAACATGGATTCGATGCAAATTAAATTTGACAACTTCCTCCAGCTTAAGGCTCCACATAATAAGCTGAAAGACACTTTTAACTGACAAGAGTTTAACATTCAGAAGTACCACAACACTGTACGTAACCTGTCCACAAATTGAAGACTTTTTTGACGGTTCGATCGTCTCATAATTACCTAATTACATAAATATAGCGATGACTCTTGTACATCTTCAGCTGAAAGACTTTCAGTGTCCAGTAACCACTGGAAAGCTACCTGTCATGTCGGCAAATTATAGTCAAGCTATATGAGCTCGAGTGACAACCACCACCAGCAGAACCACCACAGATAGCAGGAAAGATGTTCTCAGCTTTTCCTCAAATGGATCTGTAGTTCCACTTTCAGTTGTTGTCTTCTCATCATTGGTTGTCTTGAACAACTCGTTCATCAGCATTGTTATTTTCTCGATTGCTTCCATGAATTTCGCTTTTGTGTTTTCAAATATCCACCTTACAGCATCCATAGTTGGGTTTGACCTATTGTGAGTCTCATCTGAGCTCTCTGTGGTAGCTGAAGTATTGTTTTCTTCTGCATATATCATAGGAAGTCCGCGTCAAAATTCAGTATTATGTGAAAATTTCAACCAGAAAATAAAGGAATTTATGTCTGCAATCTCTTGAGAATAAACAACATTCTTTGCCAAGCAAATAAACAAACAAGCAGATTTCAAGCAATAACAGATGACTGAACCAACACAATCTAGCTTATAAAGACCAACTTGAATGCTGAAAGAAACAATTTTTTGCCTAATCTTAGATGTGAGTTTCCCCTAGAAACGTTTAGTAATATTTTACTTTATACCCACCTGCATTGAAGGTCTCCCGCAGTTCCCGAACTGCCTCATTGTTCAAAACAGCATTCCAAACAGCTCTGTCTGAAGATAATGAGATGACCATCCTCTGCACATAAATGTTTTAATAAGGTTCAAAAGAAAAAAAAAAAGAACAATAACAGAATTTTTCATGCATTGGACCTTAACAAAATGCATAAAAGGAGTCTTGTTTTTGAGATAAGGGTTCCCATATGATAACATTTTTAGTATATTATTGAATAACAGTTGTCAAGTTCACCTGAATAGATGGCTCATTCTGCAACAAATGGAAAGCATCATAAACTCGGTCAGGTCCATAAGGATGCAATATTCGTGAGTGGCACAGGTTTGGAGAGGGCTCCATCCAATCTGAATCTGATCCAACTGGCGAAATATGGCGTTGCATGCTGGTTGGACTTGAAATTTCATCAACATCTTTATCCACAGTACATGAAAACTTATCTGTAACCATCTGGGAGTAGGAGGCAGCATCAAATACCCTGCAATAAAAAAAAAAAAAAAAACCACACCAGCAGGCTTTTACAGTTGCAACATATGAATCAAGGAACCAAGATTATGAACTCAAAGATATTTATGCTTATCACACACTAATATCCTTTTCTCCATCTAAAAACACAAACGTTATCCTTCTCTTTTTTAAAAAAGAGGTGCATTTGAAGCAAATTCTCACACGCATCTCTCTCTCTCACACACTCTTTTTCCTTTTAACCTGCATTCTCACATTCAATAGGCCGAAATTCTCATATCAGCTAATTCGTAACACTAACATCCACTGCGTAAAAAACTATAGTCAATTTTACCAGCAGCCTCTGTGTTCAAAATTACATCTGTTCTTTGCCCTTGATTTTCTCCATAAACTATATGCATATTCAAGCTTTTCCTCTGTTGGTTATGCACGTCAACATCACTGGTCGCCATTGTTATCGCCATCACCCTCATTATAAAAAGCATTTCCTCATTATTGATTATAAGGATTAACTTTAGATAATCAAGCTTTATTTTTCTTGTTGGAGTAAGCCAGAGACGCGTGTCATACCATTCCTTCACCACGTCTCACCGTCCCAAACACTAATACCGACATCACCGACAAGTATTTTCTCATCAATAACGAACATAATCACTAGTTTAGCCACAAAAACAGCAATTATCTCATATTAAACTATCCTAATGGTAGTCTTAAACAGTAAGAATATCAAGCACAAACTCAGCAATAACAGTATAAGAAGAAATATATGTTCAACAATAAAAATCAATTAGACATTTAGACTAATTAATTTTCCATATGATTAATTTTTTTTTATTTTTTTTTAAAGGAAGAAGCAGAAGAAGAAATCTCACTGTTTAAGCGCAGAGACAGCACTGTTAACTTCGTCGACAGAAGGAACAGGACCCAAAATAAGATCATCAGAAACTGAAATCTCCTCTTCACTCCCATCCACAGACACCCACTCATAGTCATCATAACAGGAACCAGGATGAGGGCCAAAAGCCGGCCAATAAGTAGCATTAGGTCCTCCAGAATTGGCAGATATTGGTGTACTACAAGCAGAAAAAGGATTCCCAGGACCGGAAGCCAAGCTTAAAACATTATTAGACGAACTGAGCTTATGGGTTGACCTAGAAAGAGAAGTTGGTGAAGTAGGAGTAGTATTTGAAGATGAAGATATAGTTTCTTGAAGATTCGTGACACCAGCACGAGTAACTGTCCTACCAACTACCTTTATCATACTGCCTCCATGGCCGCCACCGCCCATGCCTTTGCCTCCACCGAACATAAGTACCGTTATCTGCTCTAAACTACTATGTGTCTGCGTATAGAGAATCCAGTTTTGCTTTGAGACTCTGTGTGGGCAAGCGAATATAAAAAAGGCAGTTTGGGAGACCTGTGGATTATTTGATGCTTACGAGGCGATTTTTTCCGGATATGATCTGAAATTGAGTTAAATTTGTGTCCTAAGTTTCTTTCTTTTGTTTATTTGTGAAATTTACCCTATATTTTTTCTATTGTTCCACAATCCTCCCTCGCCAAGCCATCACCATTCATCAATTAACCCTCCTATTTTTTTATATGGAAAATATTTATTAAAGCCACGTGTACATCCACGAGTCCGGTGAGTAAAAATGAGCAACTATAAACGTATGTAGAAAATACTGATTAATATTTTACATTATCTATAGTATTTGACTTAATAGTTTACGTGTAACATATTTTACCTTTAAATTATTTGTATATATACATTAAATATTATGAATTACATAATGAGACAATCTTTTTCTTTATTTAATTGGAGAGAAATTTGAAAGTAATGTTAATTATTAGTTTATCATTCTTCTTTTTCTTTTTTTTTAATATATCTGATTAAAATTTTCATAAGGTAATCAATCATGGAGTTAACTTATCTTTTACGGGATTCCAAAAATCTTTTATTATTTATTGGATGCCAAGCCTTTCATATCTAATTTATTACCTTAAACTTTGCTCATACGACATTATGAGAGGAGAATGCCAAATTTGGTAAATAATGAAATCATAATTGGTAAAATCTCCGTTTTACCTAGCACGTACCTTTACAAATTTCAATTTAACTTTCTAATAACAGTGAAAAATTACACTAGGTAAATATCTAAATTTAGTGAGAGTAATTGAAATATGAAGGCTGCTTTTATTTTTACCTTATTTCTATTTAGCCACATTAGAGTTTCTATTTAAAAAAAAAAAAAAACGGAACCCGTTTAGAAATTGGATGGCAATGACATGGGTAACGCAAGACAAAAATATGGTACTGTATGTGGAATATTAATTCATCTGCCAATTGTTATTTACAGAACGTTCTATTTCAGCTAAGGAAGCCCAGATTTGGACCTCTCCTCTTCTCAACATGGCTCTTTTCGCCTTTTGTTTTATTTATTTTCATTCTTTTTTTGTCTCTATTCCGATGATTAGGCCATACCATACCATCTTAAGATCCAAAAATTAGGAGGTAGCGACAAATGAATGGACTGCAATTACAAAGTCTACGCAAGTACACGTGTACCTTTCTCTATCTTCTGCTTTTGCTGCTAATAACTATTTCAAATGAATACAACCAAACACGGAATACTGAATTTCACTCCAAATTTGTACATTCAAATCCAAAAATTTCTCATTGTTCTGATAGTAAGTTACAAAAATTAATTGGATAAATTTGAATCATTTTGCAATCAAAATACTTTTAAAACCCTCTTCTTTAATTAAAACAAAATAAAATAATTAAATAAAAACATTGTTCGTTTGTAAGAATAAGAACTGATGAAGATTTGCCAGTACAAAGTAATTAAGCAAACAGTTTTTCACTCTGTGCACATGTGATGAGTAGTGGTTAGTGACAACTGCAGATGAAAACTTTTAAAATTTGTAATTTTTTCTGGAAAAATGAAATTCAGGTGAAGGAAATATTTTTCTTGGTATGCAAAACAAAACATAGACAAACATTTTCTTACCATTAGGTAGGGCTAGGAGGAAAAACTTTCTTTTGATATGTAGATGATAGGGATATAGGTGAGCATTTGGTCCATTCCGCTCAAACCGAAAATGTCAAATTTTATTTATATATAAATAAATTAAAATCGAATTGTATTTGAAATTGAATTGAATTGATCCATTTAAATTTAATTAATTTTGGATAAGTTTAAACTTTTTTTGGTAAATAAAATCAAACCAAACAAGAAAATTTTATTTTATTTATTGAAATAAAATAAAACTGAACACGAAAATATGAAACTAAATTGAATCAGTACAGTTTGATTTGGTAAATTTTTCCAACCGTGCTAATCTCAAGAGTCAAAACTGGGAAACACAATCTAGAGGGAAGGGATACCGTTCCGTCGGCATTTTAAGCGACGGGAAAGTTATTTGCGCTTAACTATACGTAAGGCCTAACAGAATTGTATACATGGGCTTTCAGTTAGGGCTTGATTTTACTGACTTGAACCCAAATCAAAGAAACCAATCCAATATAGCCTACGAAAGCTGGAAGGCCCATTTACGGTCCATATATCTACAGAAATTTTGCAATTTGTAAGGGTAAATTAGTCCTTTCATTCATCTCTAAAACCCTAATCGATACTTATATCCTCAACCAGGTTCCATCTTGGCCGAAACGAGAGAGCGAAGGAACCTCAACGAAGAACAAAGAATGGGTATGCATTTTCTTGTCTCTTACTATGCCTCTCCATTTCTTTCATGTCTAAGACATAACATGCTGTAATGCAATCGTCTCTATGTGTAGTCGTGTTGTTTTGCTTTTAGAAATCATATAATTAATCCGAATATTAGAATCAGACTCTTTATTTATCTAATTGTAATTTGCAAGCTCTCCATAGTTGGATCCAGATGTAAGACTAATTGTCGTTGCTGTGTGAAATTAGGGGCTTACAAGTACGTATCGGAGCTATGGAGGAAGAAGCAGTCCGATGTGATGAGGTTCCTGCAGAGGGTAAGGTGTTGGGAGTATCGCCAGCATCCTTCGATTGTGCGCGTCACCCACCCTACCCGCCCTGACAAGGCTCGCCGCTTGGGTTACAAGGCCAAGCAGGTATGAACAGACGGCCATTTTTGTTTTGCACTAATATCCCTTTTCATTTTATGTTGATTTATGTTTTTAGATTTTAGGACACGGGTTCCCTGCGATTTTTTTTGAGCGATAACTTACACACTTAAATGCTTCTGCTGATATTCTTAATTGTGTTTATCATTTAGAACTGGTAATTTGGAACTTTATTTTGCAAGCAATTTGGAAAAAGTAAATTAGTAATAGGTGTTATTTACTATGCTAATAGATATGTTGTTGTTAACTAGTGCTACACTGGTTTCTGGGTTTGATGCATTTGACAGGGTTATGTGATATATCGTGTCCGTGTAAGGCGAGGTGGAAGGAAGAGGCCCGTTCCCAAAGGTATTGTGTATGGGAAACCCACAAACCAGGGTGTTACCCAACTGAAGTTCCAACGCAGCAAGCGCTCAGTTGCAGAGGAGCGTGCAGGCAGGAAACTCGGTGGTCTCAAGGTTCTCAACTCTTACTGGATCAATGAGGTGCGAAAGCTGGTCTTAACTTTTTAGCTAAACTTGTTTATGAATTTGTGAGCATATGACCTTGCAATGAATGTGTCATTTGATGTTTTATCAGCAAGTATAGCCCTGGCAGAGTTTTTTGAAAACCCAGAATCAAATTTGAAGTTTAGTTTATATTTTCTGTAATTAATTAATTCTTGTTATTAGTTTGTTTGCATGCCTAATTGAAATTTTTTGTAATTATTTAAGTATTCATTGAATTTTTTTTAGGTCATTTTTAAGAAGTTAATATTTTTTTATTTTAAAAAAAAATTCTGGCAGTAACTGGTCAAAAAACCTTCCAGGTTCTGGTTCTGGTAGTTTCTTTCTGGAACCAAACCTTACAATTAAGGTTCAGGTTCTGGTTCTCCAATATGGAGGAAGGGAACTGTTGGTTTGGTTACGTTTCTGGAATCTTGGTCAGAACTAGGCTAGTATTTGATACGTGCACTGGTGATATGGGGAATTTGGGATAATTATGCTTATGTTTCCTGAAAATTTGCTTATATGGCATCTGGCAACTAGCATGCTTGAGAGCTGTGATTTATTATGGTGATCCTGATCCTAGATATTCAATATCAATGTGCTCCTGTTCTGTTATGCAGGATTCAACATACAAGTACTTTGAGGTCATTCTGGTTGACGCTGCCCACAACGCCATCCGCAATGATCCAAGGATCAACTGGATCTGCAAGCCAGTCCACAAGCACAGGGAGCTCCGTGGACTTACTTCTGCAGGGAAGAAGTACAGAGGTCTCCGTGGCAGGGGACACTTGCACCACAAGGCACGACCGTCAAGAAGGGCAAACTGGAAGAGGAACAACACACTTTCTCTTCGACGTTACCGTTGATCCGAGTGACGTTATTTGTTGTTTCTATCATCTTGTTTTTACTTTTGATTGTAGGATTTGCCTATTTTGATACCAGTGTCTCAGGCGACTTTTGTGGAACATGTTTAATTTAGCTGAATGCATTGAGGCTATTGAGTTGTTTTTTGTTGGGATCTTTATGTTACGAATTACTTAGAAGTATGTTGGATGTTTGATTGATCATATTATTAAAATATTTTTTAGCATGTTTGTGAATAGTGCTCAACACATTTATTATTTTTTTATGAAAAATTAACTAAATTGATCCTCGATCAAAGTGTTTGGGCTTAATTGATCCAAAATTTTTTTTAGGTTTAATTTAATTTCTTGGGCTATGAAAGTTTTACAGGGAAATTTTATATGCAAAATATGTCCTAGAACGTAGCATTTCAATCGTAGAAAGTTAGTTCTATCGATTCTTGGATTTAAGTTTGGAGTTGAACATACATGACAGGAGGAATCATTGCCCCATTGGTCCGAATAAATATTAAATCTCAAACGCCACAAGACACCAAAAACAACCAATTCTGAGCCTTCAACCCTTGCATCTCAAATCCCTGTGAGCTTAACGCCACGAACAGTTGGTCTCTTTTTTGGATTTTTTGGGATGTTTAGTTGTTATTATGGTGGGAAGAAGAAGATGAGCTTTTGATTCTCATTGGTTGAGAAGATGACGAGAACGGCTTTATAGCTAAATACTGGACTAAGCCTTCTAAACTTAGTAAAAAATTTTCTTTTTGCTAACGAAAACGACGCTGCATTATATTCTTGAGATTTTCTTGTTAAAGAAAATTTTAGAATTTTAAATTTTTTTTTCACAAAAATTGATTCAATTAATTTTACATTTAATTAGACACTGAGTGAAAATTCTGAGCCAAATTAAACATTTCTCCTTTATAATTCAGAAAGAAAAAAAAAAAAAACGTTTCTCCTTTAAGCTCTAAACGGCACACAGAAACGTAGAAGTAACCTGTTTCGGTCTCTGTTATTTCAACGAACTCAAAAACCGGTGCTGCTAATCCAAATTATTTCCTTGCAATCCTAATCGAAGACTATTCATAGCTCGGTGTTACTTGTATTGGCTATAAATTCAGAAGGCTTCTGTTTCTAAAAGAATGGGCAACTGATTGATACTATCGAATTCTTTTTCATGTGTGAAAGGCATCACTAGTGCAGTCTCAGATGGCCACCGATGCCAATCTATCTCGCATTTTCAAGTACCTATTCGGTTAGTTTCATCTCCTATTCATTATTATTATTTTCACGATCAAGGCTATATATATAGATTGGGACTTACGATTTTTCTGATATTGGGGGAGAAATAGCTACACAGTTCTTGTCAAGAGGAATTCCATTTATTTTCAATTCATGGATCGTGAGGCACCTCACAGAAGAGGATTATGCGGTATCATTTCTATGAACTGTTACCTGCTTGCTTTTTTTTTTTTTTTTAGGAAAATTCTTTAGTTTGTTCTTATTATCTGAACTGAAGTACTCTTTTCAATATTTTTTTTTCCTCCTTCAAATTCAGCTGTACGCAGTTCAATTTCATCTGTTTGTCACCTGTGTCTTGTTTCTTAGTCGGGAGGGGTTCCGGCGAGCTTGCATGCGAGCTGAAATTAAAAGGTATTATTCTTGATCAACTTATGGTCCTATAAATATATATTCCGTCTTTAGATTATACTTGTGTGCCTGGCCGTTCGAATTGTTCTTTTGCTCATTGCTGTTGCTGTACACTTCTGCAGTGAACTTGCTTTACAATTTGGATTTTAAATATGCATTAATTTGTATTTTATAGAGTTCTTTCATTTTTGCCTTTGCTCTTACGTCTGGCGGCAGGACACAATTTATAGTCGAGTACTACCTTAATTTCTCTTTAACATTTTATAGCGCAAATGTTAAACTGAAATAGTCAAGGTTATTGTAAAACAAATGTTAGTGAGAGAAATGCTCGAGTTGGTAAATTCTATAATGCCTGTAATTTGATGTCATCGTGGTTCTAGATAACTTTTGAACTATTTCATTTGTTAGAATATAAGATATTTATATCAGGATAAGATCTTTTATTTGGAGGTGAAGTCCCATATATTTTGATATGCCTCGTTCTTTTTCTTATGCTGCAGCGATGCTACTTCTACAGAACAACATGCAGAAAAGCTACTGAAAGTAGCTTGGATATCTTTCCCTCTTGGGATAGTCATCACAGTTGCTGCATGCATTTTCGTCTTTTGGTGGCAAGGACTAAGCTATTCTGACCCATATGCACAAGCTATCTTGATTAATGGTAATACATTTATGATAGCTTATAACCTTTGAATTACCATTTTGCAGTAGGTCAAATGATGTTTGTTTACTGTCAAAGTTTGGAAGCAGCAAGCTGAAACAGATGCAAACTCTCATGTGCATGTTCTCTAGACATGACTTTGAGTTTGTTACTTCTCTTTCTGTGTTTCAGGAGCATAACTGGCTCATGGATGTTTGAGAATTTTAGGGAATAGCTCAAAGTTACACAAGTTACATTTTATTTTAGGAAAGATAACAATATTGAGGTGACTTGTTAATTCAATAATTTAAGGAAGAGTGTCAACAACTAAATAATTCAAGTGACCAAATGGTAATCCCTGTAATTGGAAGCATTGTCATTGTAACCGGAAGATATATGCAACAACTCTTTTGCTTTCGTTGTTCTTCGTCAAAGCTTTAGCTATCTAATTATCTTCCTTTTAATAATAATTTTGTCATTTATAGCAACTGATTAAAATTCCTTTTGCAAACAACATAAAGCATGATAATCACTTCGCTTCATGTTGCAGGTGGTGCTTGTATACTGGAGCTATTAGCTGAACCGTTGTATATCCTTTCTCAGAATTTACTTCTGCTCAAACTGCGGTTGGTAGTTGAAACAGTTGCTACATTTTTGCGTTGTCTGACTATGTATTTCCTTATTGTCAGACAACCCAGCATGGTAAAACATTTAATTGGTTAATCTTTGTGATTACATGTTGTCAATTTAATAATGGCTTGTTCTAGTGAAGTACCTTGATTTTATGTTAAAAAGCTTAGATTAAAATGTTATTGTCTGTTCTTCAACTAATTCAAAGATTTCATCTGATGTTATTTTGAAACTAAAATCCTCGTTTCAGAGTTCATGAATTTCACATGTACTATCAGTTACACCCCTGTCAAGTTGCTTATAAATGTGCCTATAGTTGGGGATACCAAGCTGAAATCTTGAAGGAGAATCTCTGATCCTATCTTGTTGGATCTTCTATTGCTATTATGGCATTGCAGTTATCTATCTCCTGTCTCAAAGATTTTTTTGCAGTCTTTTTGTTATCTGCAGTAGTAGGGTCAGTGCTAGAGGTTGCTTTTAACTTACGTTGAGAATATAGTCTGCAGTTTTTTTTTTTTTTTTTAATTCTTTTGGCATATGAGTTACAGTTAATTTTTTTTTTTTTAGTAACTAATTCTTAATAAGGTACTCTGCAGTCTGCAGGACTTATCACTGAGATAAGGTTAGGGGTATTCCTTCTGTTCTGTCTCAGTGTCTATTCAAATAAGATCTTAATTTTAAATGTGGCATGACCTGCATATTTTCTTATAATTTATGTGAACTTGCTAGATGGTTTTTGCTTGGTGACTGCTGCTGTCATGAAAAATTGCCTATTTTCGCAGGAGAAAGGGATTGTTTTTGCATTGTCACAGACTGCATATGGAGCTTGCTTATTCATTGGATATTGGAGCTATTTTCTTCTTTTCCGTGTATTTAGAAGTTCTGAACTTTTCCCTTTCAGGTATAGATTCTTCTTTTATCATACCCAATTTTTCTTCAGTATGTTTTCATTGTCACTTCATGCCCCCTCTCTCCAAATGAAAAGGAAAAAAAGAGTAAGCAAGTTATTAATTGATAATAGGGAAAAAAAGTTTAGTTCCCCGAATTATGGCGAAACTAACATACAGGTCCTTATGTTTTCAAGAACTAACTGCGGAGTCCCTAAATTATAATGAAACTAACACATAGGTCACTCCGTCCGAAAAGTCCGTCATTTGTCCGTCAATTCCCATGGAATAGACATAGATAATCTTGTTTAAAAAAAAAAAAAAAAATTCGGGTCCATAAAATGACAGACTTTTTGATTGGAGGGACCTATGTGTTGGGACCCCTCAGTTAATTTTGAAAATTAAAGGACCTTTGTGTTAGTTTTGCTATAATTTGGGGACCCAAAAATTTTTTTTATGAACATTAATGACTAATGATTTAAATCCATGAGATGTAAAGAAGCTATAGGGTCTTTAGATGGTATAAATCTTGGTTGCCTTTGTGGAAAATGCCCCCTTCAACAGCCAGCTGGAAGATTCTCAGGGAAGGGCTCGACCTATTTCATATGCAGCTTCTGTTCTTTCAAGTTATTCATTGATGGTCTATATTACTGTACTATCAATTAATCCTAAAGTTGCTCATAACTGCTAGCTTTTCCTGTTTTTATCCAAGTGATTTTTTTAATCCATGTTCACTCACAGACTAGGAATCGCAATTGATTTCGATAAGGAACTCTCAAACATGTGTATGCTGTTCACTCTTCAATCCTTTCGAAAGCTCATCCTTCAGGAAGGGGAGAAGATGGTCCTTGTGTGGCTGGATACTCCATATAACCAAGCTGTATATGGACTTGTTGACAAATTAGGTATGTGGCTTGTCTAGATATTCCCTGCCTTTCTGAGTTAGAATAACAATTTTCTGATTGTAATCAAGGTTTTTCTTGAATACAAGAAACCATTGTTTTTACCACTTCAATTGAGAAACATTAATTTACATGATCTCAGTTGTGATTGTTATATCATCTAATACAGGAAGCTTAGTGGTTCGAATGGTGTTTCTTCCATTTGAGGAAAGTTCATATGCTACATTTGCTAGGTCTGCATCAGGTTCACCTCTCTCCTTTATTATTCCGTAATGGCGTTTTGTTTTTAATAAAGCCTCATATGCAATCTGGATTATGCAAGTTTGTGTGCATTCTGCATTTTCTTTTTCTTGGTAGGATAATTATCTTTTGGTAGGATACAACTTGTTTGTTTTAGTAACTTGCTTTTATGCAAGTATACTCACAGCTAATGCTATAAGCTTATTTTGTTTATCTACAAGTCCTCTGGAGTAATTCACCATTCTGAATTCTCAAATTTCTCCATATTGGTTCCCCATATTTTTCTTTTTTTCATTAAACACTTGAAAGTTTTGAAACATGCTGCTGTCTATCACAATGACTAATAATTATCCTTCTGTTGACAGGGAAAAATCCACAGGAAGGCAAGAAGTTGGGGGGCTACCTTATGGAGGCCATGAAGCTTGTTTTACTAATTGGTATTTTGTTTCTTTAGTCTTGCCATTTGATCAATTATTCTTCTTGTCCACTTAATCGATTTAATTTTCAAACTTTCATCTGACTATTATCATATTCCATGATTGAAATATTTATGTTATTTAATTTATATTGATATATATGTCCAAGGGATGTTCAAAGTTGGGGCATTTTCTCTGTACATTCTGGCTTTACTTGATCTTTCTCCCTAACAGTAGGTCATGGAGTCGTTTAAAGAATCCTCTTCTCTTATGCTTTTAGGTCTGGTGTTCATGGCATTTGGCCCAAGTTACTCTTACTCTCTCATCAGATTATTGTATGGCCATAAATGGAGTGATGGAGAAGCATCAACAGCTCTTCAATATTATTGCCTTTATATAATTGTTTTGGCTATGAATGGTTAGTAGCTGCTTGTCAACGTTACTTCTAGATATATTTGTAATCTAACACAAGCATTATGTATAACAATGCACTTCATGATATTCTTCTGTTATTCTCTCATTTTGAATCGTTTTGCTTGCTCATCATGTATTGGATGACAATGCTGCTCTATATTATGGAAGGTGATCCACAATAAGCTAGCTTTCTTAATATAGTCATATATGTATTGAAGTTGGAGATGTCTAAAACTAACTACTTTATCTGTTGGATGCCAGATTCCGTTTTTTACCTTGCAGAATATTTTGTGCAAGTGCATTAAGAATGCCTATTCCCACCTTTTGTTGTATTAAATACATCACTACTAGCATATGGTGGATAATTTAGTGAAAATTGTTTATTTAGTTTTAACTTTTGAGTCGTGAGAATGGTGGTTGTGTTATAGTTTTTGTCTAGTAGATAATGTAAACTTGTAAACGCAACGTACAACTTTACTATTTTATTCAATGAATATGGTAGCTGCTATACTTTTAGATAATATCACAGAGATTTTGATCATCCTTTGCATGTTGTATCAGGAACTTCTGAAGCATTTTTACATGCTGTTGCAACAGAGAACCAACTCAAACGTTCAAATGATTCATTGCTTGTTTTCTCAATGCTATATATAGTACTGAATGTTCTACTCATACGGTCAGCTGGTGCAATTGGCTTGATTATGGCAAATTCATTGAGTATCCTTTTTGTATTCTGTTTTTTCATGAGCCATATTTTTACAAGAGTTTCACCACAATACATGCATGATACATACAAACTGGATAGAAAAAGATGCAGTAATTCAATGTATAATAATCTATGGAAATTTGACATGTTGAAAATACCATTGTCATCAAACACAAGGAACATCCAAAGGGATGTGTATAATTTATCAACGTTTCTGTTTTTACAAATTGGGTCATCTACCCATTGTTTTCTTCCCAGGGAGAAGAGGAGAAAAAGGTTGCCACACTTATGGTTACCATCGGCAAAAGATCCCAACAATCTTGCTCTGCTATTTAGATGTTGAGACTTGATATTGCTTTAACAATTTGGTCGTGCTAGTTTCCTACAAATTGGTCTCTGGTTTCTTGACTTTTCTGAAGATATGATTTTGAGGATTATATATTCTGCAGTATTCATCAAGCATTATTTCAAGGTATGACTTTGATGCTGTAACTCTTTCACGTTTCCATTATTCTATTGACCTTTAAACTGGACTTTTTTTTTCCTTTCATCTATCTCTGCAGGGTTCTTCATTTTCTTTTCGCAGCTGCTTGCCTTCAGGTTGGATAATTCTGTTGTTTTCAGGTGTAACTACTCTCATTTCTGAGAAAATATTTCTGGACCGTGAAAACTTCTGGCCTACATTTTTAGTTCACTTTTCTATCGGTTTAACTTGCTTCTGCATATCCTCCATTTTCATGTAAGTATCCTCTTGTGTCCATTTCTTGCAACTTGTTTTCTTTTGATTTTTTTTTTTCTTTTTGTTTCTGGGATATGGAAGTTTAACAGTAATTCAACTAATCAATTTTCATAAATAGTTATCGGCGGGAAAAGGCCTTTATCAACAAAATTATATTTTCTCGTGATCATGTGGACTGAAGAATGGCTAACTGCCCCAAGAGATTTTTGAGGTACAATTGCCTCTCTTTTGATACTATAATTGTTTTCTGTGTATCTTCTGTCATTTGGTCGATTTATTTTAGGAATGCCCCTTGTCATTCATATTAACAGAAGAGGTCGTTTGATGCAGCCCTAAAACTGTAAAACATGAAGATTAGGGAGTCAAAGTCAAGACCCCTTTTATTCATTCAAGGGGATTACATGATGATAGATATATCATGTAGAAATTCAATTTCACTGCAGGATTGTTAGGAAGATAATGAACAATCTAACAACTTATAATGTTGCCACCGGATGCCCTTACAAGCTAGATTTATTGCTAATCACGCCCATTATTCCTTAGTCCTTAATGCGCCACCCTCCTTCCCTCTCCCCCCCAAACCACCTTATTCCCTCCATCTTTCTCCACATTAACTCAAACTCTGTATTTTCGGTAAACCCATTAATCTTGTTGTACTTCCATTTTGTTTTTCATTTTCCATGCTGCTAGAACTCGGTGGCGTGGAGTTTTGATGAACTTGAGCATGTGAAGTTCCTTTAAGTTTGTTCATACAAGCTGAGGTAATATTGTATTTCTCAAATTAATTACAATACATCAAAATTGAATAATAGACTGAATTCTGAGATGCATTTTTAGTTGTTGAATCTGCTGCCGCAGATTATTGAATCTTGGGTCTCTTTTTTCCCTTGCTGGTTTGTCATGGAACTATTCGGGTAATGTGAGCTCTAAAGTGGCAACATGCGTAACATTCTCTACAATGGCACTATCAGTCGACACCTTTTTTAGCTCAACCTTTTCTTTTCCTTATTGTGCCAAAAAATATTTTATCTGAACTAATTTCTTGTTGGAACATTTTAATTCGTCGATGTGGTAGGAATTAAACATTAGGGTAGCTCCTAGATAGTAACGGTATTTTTGAAGTTCAGCTTAAAAAAAAAATTAATAATATAATTATATTGCTCTGCATAATTATGTGTCTATCTCTTAGAAACATTAATCTACTAGAGTCTAGAGACAACCACTTGACTGCTATCAAAATATTCCATTACGAAGTTTACCCTGCCAATCTCTATATGATAGCAGCATTTTTTTTATTGCATAAGAAAAATTGAAAGTTGTGCAAAATATAATATTTTATTAGAAAAAGATAGTAAACGTTTAAACATCCATAATAACAATTATAATGGAGTTTTAGTCAATGGCCCCATTGTCATATGTAAAAGTAAGTTTGTCTATTATAATGTTGGTTATTATCAGATTGAACAATTTAAACTGAGAACCAAAAAGGTCTGTAGGAAGAATTTCTGTATGCCCTAACAAGGGGTAGGTGAGATGAGAAATTGGGGTTGAAAAGAAAGAAAGAAAGAAATATAGTGATTGAAAGGGCCACAGATAACAAAGTGATGATTCATAGGACTCCCACGGGTGCGTGGGTTGTCACTCTGAGAACAGCAGCACTCAGTAATTATAAGGTTTGAAAGCTTGAGAAAGAAAAAGTAAGATAAAAAGGAGCAAGGCAAGGAGAAAAATTGAAACTTACGATCATTAAGGTGTTAGAATAGGGTTTTTAGAGTTTAGACAAGTATCCAACAAACCCATGAACATAAAGTGGCTTCTATCTTCTAAAACAAAATGATGGTAGTTTGAGTTTTGCTTAAGAGGTTGGATTCCTACTGGAAAGTGGATTGTGTTTTTGGGAGGTTGGATTCCTAGTGGCAGTGGAGATTACATGACAAAACGCCTTTGCTTCACTTGTACGTATTTAGAGGGTAATGACTAATGAAAAAAGGAAAATTTTACAGATGATGTACCAAATAGCAGAGAAAGAAAATGGTCATAAATCTTTTAAAATAGAATGAACTATTTAAGATTATACATTTTAAATAAAAAAAAAATTCATAAATTTAGCACTGAAATTGTATAGAAATAGCATGTAATAGTAAGTTAATAAACTTATATAGTTTAGAATTTTCTATTTCCATAAAATTGAAAACCAGGGTGCAGGGGTGTAGCCTAAGAACTCCGAAGAATGTTTCAAGTTGGTAACAAAGTAAAAGTTAACTATCATTCTGCAGCTGCAAAGCTTTACAAAGAAGGGGAAAGGAATAAATTCCTCTCAAAAAAATGAAAAAGGAAAAACCTTGCTTTTACATTCCCTCGTACATGTTTCACTATAGATGAGATTGTCGAGAGACATAATTGTTAAAAGAAAATTTTTCCAGAAACATGTTTCTCATACACGAATCCCATGGACAACTTATAAACCTGTCATGCTTCGAATGAAACCCTAATTTTGACCATCTCAATATCTACTTGAATTTCTCTCTAGCAACTGAAAAGTCTGAGTTCGTTCATTTTGAGTTTGTTTCAAGTTTCAATGAATACACTTTAGTTCGCAAGGGGAAAAAATTAGAAAAGGCATCACTAGTCTCATGTGAGAGCCAGTTTATAATTTGGTCACAAACCCAAAACTCCTTGCCTTAAAAATACAATCATGGGAGAGAAAGGGAGTGATTAACTCTCTCTTTAACTCTTAAAAATGGTTATTAGGGCAAGTTCCCAAAAACCCATCTCTGAAATTAGTTTTAAGAATTAAAAGATAAAAACTTTGCTTTGGAAGGTCTAAATCATTTGGTTGTCTATTCTCATTTTTCTCATATACTATCAAAATAAGTGGCGGTGCCCTCTAAATATATACATGTCTTCAAGCTAAAGCATCTCTTTTATTAACAAACACCAAATGATAGAACATGACATGTAATTATGACATGGGACCCTTCTTGAAATGAAATGATCTTACTTGTTATCTTTGTTAAAAATCTCTCTTACCCATTAATTAAAGTTTCAACAAACAAATTAAAGGTTTCAAATGTGTGATTATTATTAATTTGCTATTGTTATAGTTCCGTAATCGCATAGATCTCTCTTAATTTTAACCTCTTTTTTTTTTTATTAACCAAAAAGCTTAATTAATTTTTTTGAAATTCTCATCATAAACAACAAAATCATGGTCCATACTTCATACATTGAGTGATGTAACTTTTCTCTTCCAGAAAAAAAGAATGATCCTATTTGAAAACGAGAGATATAACTAGAAAGCTACATTTAAATGAATCAATTTTGTTTTGTCTTCTTAAACAGAAATATACCCTAAACTTTATAGATTTGGGAATATTTAGGGATAGTGACTGGTTACAAACAATGCCGAATATTATAGAAGCAAAAAAAAAAAAAAAAAAAAAAAAAAAAAAAAAGAAATCAATGTTTTGAAATCTAGAAAATAATATTAGAAGTTTAAAATTCTAGCACCAATTTCGTTTTAATTAATTAGCGGAATTACTGAAATGCCAACTATGATGTTCCTTCCTGGATTAAAATAAAATGAGAAGAAAAAGACATGAGATTGGAGTTTCATAGGAACATATAATAAGGATAACAAAGACATTGTTAAAGACTTAAGTCTAACCCAAGTCTTGACTTAGAAGAGACTGTCACATGCATATTACACCCACCTTCAAAACCCTAATAATTTTGTTCACCACTTAAAGATTAGAGATTAGATATGTTATAATGTGAGTGGAAAAAAAATTTAAAAAAAAAAAAAAAAAAAAAAAAAAAAAAAAAAAAAAAAAAAAAAAAAGAAGAAGAAGAAACTATTCATGAGTTTGGACTGTGTGAAGTCAAACACTAATAAGGAGGAGGCAAATCAGAGTACATTTAAAAAAAAATAATAAAAAAATAAAATAAAAATGGGGGATGAGTCATAGAAAGGGACCCTCTTTTCTTTTGTTGGCCCAATTGTATGCTCAAGTATGTTCAACTCTTTCATCATTCCCTGTGGGATCCTCCACTCTCACCTTTTTTATCTTTGTATTACATCATCTTGGATCTCTCTGTCTTATTTGCTTTCTTTCAAACTTGCCAGTTTATTATCTTCTTTTTTTCTTTTTTCTTTTTTTTTTTCCATTGCTATTCCAACTATAAATATTTATGAATTAATTTAAACTCGGACCCATCTCAGTGGATTAACAGCATGCTCACAGTTTAAATATTTTGTGATCCAAAAGTTCTATTTTGGTTGGCTTGTCTTGCTCCTTCTTAGTTGTTTTCCATTAACAATTTGTATGCATCAGTTTAAATCAAATTAAATTAATACAAATTGAATAAATTAATTTTTTTATATAGAAAAGATAAATCGAACATAAAATCAGTTTAATTCCTTTTTAGTTGTCACTTAATACAAAAACCTAAATAAATTAAAAATAATTCATTTTTTTTTATTAAAATCGAAACCATATTGGATTTTTTTTAAAAAAATTAAAACTAAATAGTTCGATTCAATTTGATCCGCTTTACCGGTTTCCCTGTCCTAGTAATTTGTTCACTGTCAACCTAATTAAGAGCCTACTGATATCCAACTTTACTAATTAATTAGTATGATTATAACAACCCTTGGCCAGAAAAGTTGGATTAGCCATCAATGCAATTACGCGTTATCTGAGTAAAAGCAAGGCAGCCAAATTTAACCTCTCTGATTCAACCTTTTTCACCTCTATATGTGGAATTATTCCTATGTGGATGTCCCTATCAAAAACAAAAACAAAAACAAAAACAAAAAAGGAAGCAAAGGGTTTCAACGCGCAACTATATCTATATCATCAAAGCCCATTTGATTTTGTTAATAATAATTCCAACGAACAGACACATTTCATGAAAAATTTTATTTCAAAAAGACGGAAAGCTTATAATTAACTTCACACTATCAAATTCAATCAACTGTAGCGCCACGCGGCATTAAACTGGTCACTATGCCCCGGCAATGAGGCAACAAAGCAGTAACCGAACCCACTTTGCAAAGTGCAACATTTGTTGTTTTCCTATGCCTAACTATTTGTCTATCTTTCTTTTACTTGTAAAAATTTTAGAATTTGACAGAGCGTATTATAAAATATTTACTCTCATTTTATCAAACGGTGGTAAAATAACTACTAGAATCTTGATTAGAAATTTATTTTAGATTTGAACTCACAATTTTTTTTGGTCCTAAACTGTAATTAATGATACAGCATTTACATGAAGAATTGAGATGGTAATCCAATAAAATTTAATACTTTGATATGAAATGTCTTAGTTAGATCGGATTTATAATTATTGGCAGCAGAGACCACTCCATTCCACGAGCTTATGTTGAATGTCATGAGAGGTTACTGTCTGAAATACAGGGATGTAACAACAGTACTAACCCATATCAGAATACACAAACCCCACCCCTCACATGTCTTCGACATGGACAACAGTTACTTGTGGGTCATCGACTTGAAGCTATGAAATTAACCCCCATTGACTTGTTTAAAGGTAATGAAATTTAACTTAGTTTGTTAATCAAATGTGGGAGTTGCAGAAGAAGGCAAAAGAGTTAGGATTCACATTTCAATTTGAATTCGGACAGGGTGAAGGTGACATTGGAATATACCTAGGTTTTTGGTATCCTTGAGAAATGGAATATGCTAGGCAGGAGGAACTCTTGAAATAATTGTAGTTCCTTAAATTTCATAGAAACAACAACTTAATTAGTCCACCTATATAAGGAAAAAGTAATAGGTAGGTATATGTATGCCTCCTCTATCAA